ACTACAAAAGAGTCACTATGTTTAAAATGAGCAATATGTCAAGTTAAATCGTTCAAAGTTCAACTTTTTCTCAAAGTTAAATTTTTGGTGCATACAACCTTACAATCCAAAAATCTTACATCTACTTTATTCATTCCTTAATCATGTTAAACTTGGGGGAAAGGTATACATTTAAGGTGTATAGTTATCATATTTAATTGATTATTTAATTCTTGTTCAACCTGTTGACTGAATTCTTGTTGTTCATCTTTTAAGAGCGGTCAATAAGTTATTCCATAGAAAGGGAGATGGAAATTTAGTTGCTGATATCGTAGCCCCTTGAAGGCATCTTTCTGAATAGCAATGAATTGCCAATTGGAATGGAATCCCAACTCCGCATTGGTTCATTGTCGAAGATGGCCAATGTAGCGCTGATTGGCTCATTACAGACACTAGTCCTAAATGAGATCAGCAGCTGAAACTAACATGCATTAGAATTAGGGGTGGAAATCAGAACCATATTCACTTGGATGTTATTGAACAATGTTGTGTGATGAATCAATCGGATGCCAGAGGCCATCATCATACTCTATTGCTGAGATACAAAGGAGACACAAGAATCGAACTGATGAATTTGAACCCTTTACTAACTACGGCTACTTGTCTGCAAAAGATATTTGCATTTCAAGTCTCATCTAAAGAGGTGAAATTTTCAAGTCCATGAGACCCACAAATTCGAACCCTTAAAGTCTATGGGGCCTACGGATTTGTTGCCACAAAATACATAAAGCAAAGGATAGAGTTTGAACAAAGTCCATGATTCAAATCCATTACCAAATCCATCAAGCAAACAACCTTTCATATTATCTAGTTTAGCCCCGGGTGTTTCCAATTTGAACCCTCTAACCCTTTTTTTTTTATAATACTTTTAACACCATAAGATTGGGATTTTAAGATATCATCACTCGATGTTTGTTTGCGTCACATTCATAATTGATAGTTATTAGTACGAGATGTAAACATCACACTAATACTTTTATTTATTATAAACTAAGTTAAAAAATTGAATTACCACATGTGGGTACCAAATACAAAATATCAACCAGAGATTTGGGATTTGTTAAACTTCTTTTCTATTAACTAACTTATTGGTGGCTTCTACAATGTACTCATAAAAATAGAACATACTATATGTACCTGCTCTAAATCTATCTTTAAAACAACGAATTTTTTATTTAATTGGAAACATTTGTGACATAACATAGGATCACAACTAAATTATGTATTCCCTAACCCTAGACCTTTAATTTAATCCCTAACACTAAACCAGAATTCTAAACTATAAACCGTTACCCTAAAAGCCCTATATTATTTAAAACATAGTAAATCTGAAATGATTTTTGTGCAAATTTACCGATTTTCTTGTCTATCATATCACAAGTGACATTTGACATCGCTTTAACATGAATTATAGGCTCAAAATGACAATTTATGAGCTGGATACATCACGCACCCAAAAAGTGAGGGCGGTGAAGACAACTATAATTTATCTCAATGGAGGTGTTGGCAATTAGAGAAGCTATATTACTACTTCGACAATGGCAGTGGCAGGATCGACCGATTGTGATTACAAGTGATGCTCTTGCAGTTGTACAACATTTGAAGGCTTCTGATGCCAATGATGCCCTTGTGGGGGCTATCTTACGAGAAGTCATCTTTATGTTGCAAGAATTCCCATTGGTCTCTGTTGCTTATACTCCTAGAGAAGCAAATCGGGCTGCCCATGTTGTGGCACGTAATGCCTTATGCTACTCTGGCTCTTGTAGTGTTCGTTTTAATTGTTCTTATTTGTTTTGACTATCTTTTCACGAAGAAGCCGGTGTATTGTGGCTCTCTCGTGCTTACCTAGTTAATCCGCAAGGGTTTCTATGACAAAAAAAAAACTATAATTTATCTCAACTATAAAATAGTTAATATAAATGAAAAAAAATGCCAATTGGAGTGTACTGGCGGGTGAAGGCAGCCATTAAATATAACTCGAGCCTGATTGGTGATTGGGTTTTGGTTTGACCGGTCCGGTCCAATTTTACCAACCGTGATTTTTTTGTTCAACATTATTAAAATTTTAAGTTAAAATGTAGTTGAGTGATTATGTTATTGTCATATGAAAATCATAATACTACAATCAATACATGTTTTGAAAATTTAATTTTTTTCTCAGAATATTGCCAAATGGATATCATAGAATAATTAGTGCGTTCTTTCTATGCAAATTTTTTAAAATTCATAGTTAAACTGAATGAGATAGGATTCGATTAAGAAAAATTTAAAATTAAAAAAGAAGTATAATCTCTCTCCTCTGAATTCTTGTGAGACGGTACACTGTTAAAAAAGAAAGGGATGCAGAATTACTTGTCCACCCCACTTGATTTTTGTTTTCCAGTTAGGATTTGATTTGAGCCATTAGATTTTCTTAAATTGGATGGCTATTAAGTTATATCACGGTCACTGTTTTGAACACTAACTAATATTGCTTGTACAAAAAAAAATCAACTAGTTATTTAATTAAGATGTCAAATTTCACACTCGATTAGATTGAATATGAAATTTAAAGGTTTGGTTGCTATCCTAGTTGCATTGTAGCAAAACGAGAATTTGAGGTGCTATATTTGAGTTATTTACTTTTTGAAGTGTTAAATTAATATTTTGAACAAATGGTTGTGGTCTTTAACGGTTTAAGTATTTAACCATGTGCCCATGTAATAAAGAAAAAACCTACTTCAACTTTTCTCTTTCTCTCGCTCGCTCGCCCGCCGATCCTCTCTGTCTCTCCTGCTCGGCCTGAGAAGTACAAAAAAGAAGTTGCAGACAGGTAAGAAGGATGCGATCAGCTGGTTGACAATGGCGGTGATCTATTTCCCTTTGTTTCCCTTCCAACTACTGAACTGAATTCCCTCTGTCTCTGTTTCATAATTGCTCTTCTGTTTCTGCTACAGCGGCAATGGATGACAATGCTAATCCTCATCACGGCAAGGGGGAGGTAGAGTTGAAGCACCTATGCAAGTACTGCGGCAAGCACTTCTGTAGCGGGAGGTCGTTGGGAGGCCACTTAAGGTCTCATATGCAGCTGATGAGGCAACCTCAAGCTGATGGGAAAGTCTTGTTCGTACGGAAGCTCCCACCACTTTCCTACTACACTAATTTTCGCTTATTCTACTACTCAGACTCGGACTCAGACGTTAAAGTGCCAAAGAAGATTGAGGTGCCAAAGAAGGAGGAGGCGGATTTTGATAATGTGGAAGCTTTTCTAGCGTCCTTGGACCCCAGCCATGAAACATGCCCCCGTAAGACTGTGATCAAATTAATACAGCAACGAGCAATCGGCTGCCTCACCCACTTCTCGAACGTAAACTCCCTCACAATCGCTTGGATATGTTTGCTTATCCCGACAGCTGCCAACCGCTCATATTTGAAGCTGCTGAGATCGGGTTCTATGGGGCGGTCGAGCTGTTTTTGCGTCACGGGGTTCCTCCCAGTGCCAGGGTACCAACACACTGTCCACAACAGGATCAGCTTCCCATCGATGCCGCATTATATTGGAGTTGCTTGAATCAGTTTCATTCGGCACCCAAGGGCAAGATTGATTATGATCAAAGGCTCTGCACTTTGATGCTCTGGCTCCCCGAATGGATCAGCTACCGCCATCATTTCGACTGCTGGCGCACAGTTAAGCTGCTGGGGCGGGCCACCGAACAAGGGCTGCTAGAGATGAGAATTCTGAACTATGCAAGGTACGGCCAAGCTCACAACCTGCTCTGGCTCCTGCTCGCCGTACCTGACCGAGTTCTCTCCCCAACATTCTTCAGGGACACCGATCTCCAGCAGCGGTTTGGAACCGCCCCCTTGTCACTCCGGGATTTCCTTACTGCTCAGCTTGCTTTTCTAACTGGCATTAGCCTCGCCATTGAACCCAACCATAGTCTCCCCGATAAATGGATCCGCCATGATCTGCACTGCAGGATAACGAGCATCACTTGTTCCTTGCGATTGCTAGAAGTCTTCCGCAGGGCTGGCCCCCAGTTGTGTCACTTAATGGCAATGTTAGAGAAGGAAAAGGAGAAGAAGAAATCGGAAAGGGAAAAGGAGAGGCAAATGTATCCTCTGCTTCCCGATTACCCAATAGCTCAACACTTCAAGACTGTGCTCAAGGAGGCTGGCTTTCCGATGGCTTCTCTAAGTTGGTAACTTCCGTTAACTTCATTTTTTCCAGAATCCATGTATGCGTATAAAGTTTGACTGTTGTTTGTTGACAGCCCGGTCAGAAGCAAACATCCGAACGATAACACGAGTCATGGCTATCATCAATGGTAACTATGCCAATAAGTTTCACATATATGGCTTATCTTGTTGCTGTTCTATGTACTTTTACTTGTACCCAAACTTAACTTGGTTGCTCGGTGGTCCTGTAGGATGAACCTGCGAGACGATTACCCTGGATTGGAGCTCTTGATTCGACCACCACATGTCTGCGGGAGTAAAATCCTTGATTCGGACTTCAACAAGGCCATCGAGAAGTTATGGTACACTCCCTTCACTAATTTGTTTGGTGCCATTATGAACAAGAAATTCTTGTCCTTTTCATCCATTTAGAGGATCCTTCCAATTGATTCAATCGAGTTTTCTGTTGTTCTTCTGCAGCCATCATCCTTGCTTGAAGGAATGGACATCCCAAATGTCCATTTTCAAGTTGCTTTTCATATTTTGCCTTCCTGATGTGGTAGAAAAGATGCAATCCGTGTTACCGTTGGAGCCCAAGTATGTCAACCCTGCAACTGTTATCCAACCCGCCTATCTTGCTGAGTTGTGCTTCATCTATATTATGGAGGGCCGAATTGTTAATTTTGTTACCGTTGGAGCCCAAGTATGTCAACCCTGCAACTGTTATCCAACCCGCCTATCTTGCTGAGTTGTGCTTCATCTATATTATGGAGGGCAGAATTGTTAATTTCACAGCGGCTCTAATGGCTGCGCAAGTTCTTCTTCGGTTGGGGTATCCACTACGTCCTCAAACATCTCGTCATAGCAATAATGATGTGGATCATCATCATCACAAGTCTGTCGCCCCTACTGTATATGAGTGGTTGCTGCATGCATTGATGAGAGTGCTTGATGAAGAAATAAGCTTAACTGGGAAACCGAAGGACAATGACTCTGTTCAGATTTGCAAGGAGAAAAGATTGATGATATCATCTGCATTCCAACTAACAAAGATATTCGATACATCTGCACAAGATATTCATTGGTATCTTCACTCACCAAGATATAAGGTGTGTGCTTCCTATTCATAGTCTAATTTGCTTGATAGTTGTCAAAACATGGTCAGCTGGTCACTTCCCTTTGAATGAACTGTCTTGCTCCCACAGGAAGTTGCTGATTTGAAGTTGATAGTAAACGATGTTGCTTCCTTGTTAAAAGGCGCGGGCTTTGCGTTAAGACCTCAGGATATCTGTGTGAATGACTTGAACTGGTATGTTGTAGTTTTTGACAGTAACTTCTTTCCTTCTTGATGTTGCTAATAGTATATTTCTCTGTATTGTCATAGTTTCTCGAGCAAATCAGGTTCCTGCAAAACCAAGTTAGGTGGAAATTCATCATCCTTCGGACCACTTCCGCATACAGGAACGTCGCTGACAATTTCCACAAGAACCATCAAGTCATCCTTCAGCGCTCCATGCATTAGCGAACTTTCAGCTCCATCCATTAGCAAACTTTCAGCTCGCTCTTATCACTCATTCCAAACTTCAAGGTACCAAGGGAATAAGTCCTTGTCGTTACCACCGGGGAATGGGGTAAGTTCTGTAGAAAAAAAAGTGGAAGCGACAAGACGATTAGATGCTATGTCAAGGAAAAATTGGAGGTTCCTGGCAGTGATAAAGAGGGCAGTGATACGGTTCTAACAAGCATTCTTAACCGCATCAATGGCAATAACTCATTTATATCCCTGGAATCCCACCGAGATTCTGCTCGGTCATGTAAAATAAGCGAGCTTGAATAAACTCCGAACTTGTTGTATATTAGAGACAGAGTGGGCGGTTATGAATTCACTACCCATTTCCAAGCTATTTTGACTGCATATGTATGTGTATTGATTCTAGTGCTGACCACTGAGGAAGTAATAAAGATCCAACCTGAAATTAGGTATTGAATCAGAGTCTGTAAGAGACATCTGCATTTCCATTATCGTCAAAGATCAGCCTTTTCTACTCTCGCATTCATTCAAGTGAACAAGTCATAAAGCACTGATAAGAAGAAACAAAGGAACCGACTGACTGTCTTCTGTTCAATCGACTATGTTCAGGGCAGAACTAAGTATTGCACTAAGCAGCCAACAGAACCAAGTATAGCATTATCAGAATCCGTATTCAAAGTTCAAAGTTCAAACAATGAGTAACTCGTACAAATTAACTGAAACCAGTCAAGTTTCTCTTGGGCAATTAATCGAACAGGTAGGTGCCCCCAAAATTGTGGGAAATCAAAGGACGGATTACCTTGCGAAAAAGGTAGGGGTTGAACAGGACCTCGTCGGGAGGAGGTGGCGGAGGAAAGGCGGCTTCAATTAGGCGAGGGTATTAGCGGTACCGTGATGTGAGGTTTCCATGGCAGTCTTGGTCTACTCGGTGGTGGCTTGAAGTAACCAACAGCGGTAGCATTCTCCCACTTCTCTCCAGCTGAATAGGTTCGGGGGATCATCGTGAATATGGCAACTTGTGATTACCGATTTCCGGCGAGCTCCGGCGGTGGAAGACGATTGGCGAACTGAATGAAAAAGGACTCGTTCCGGGACCAAATAGCCGGCGAGTGCTTAGCGAAGAAATGGCAATCGCTAATCGCCTTTTGCATTTCTTTCTACCACTTGTTCAGTTCTATTTAAATTATCTAGTTTAGCCCCCTGGACTTGTTGGATGTCTTCAATTTGAACCCTCAACCTTTTTTTCGTACTTTTAAGGCCATTTGTTCGTTCTTATTCATGTACATTAAAAAATTGGTAGATTTAAGGAAGGTAGGATTTTAGGACATGTCATCACTAGATGTTTGTACGTGTCACATTCATAATCGATTGTTATTAGTATGATTTTAAAAACGCGCCTAGGCATTTGCTTATGCGAAAATCACAAGGAAAATGCCTTGTTTTGGCCAAATTCAGCAGAGAAGACGTCACAATCACGTTGTGGCCTTAGTGGCGCCTAGTCAACATTAAATTTTGCCTCAAAATGATGTAATGATGTCTTTTTTTACCTTTTAATATGCTCTAATAAGGCCTTTTGATATGCTACTAGGAAGGACACTCTTGATTTCTCTATTATGCATCCAATTTTAAAACTAGCCTTAAGACAACGAATTTTTAATTGAATTGAAAACAATTGTCTACTATGATGATATAGTACATGAGCACAACTAATTTATATATTACCTAAGTCCTAGACCTTTAATTTAAACCCTAACACTAAACCTGAAAATTGTTAATATAAACCCTGACCCTAAATTCCAAAGCCCTATATTATTTAAATTGTAGTAAATTTGGAATGATTTTTGTGTGCAAATTCATGGATTTTCTTGTCCATCATATCACAAGCGACATTTGACATTGTTTTAACATGAATCAGCAGCTCAAAATGACAATTATGAGGTGGATGCATAGCAGGCACCCGAAAGGTGAGTGCATTGAAAACAACCTTAATTTATCTCGATTATAAAATGGTTAATACAAATGAAAGAAAGCCGGGAAACTCTATTTCTGGCCATAAATCTATTACAACAAATGCTACTAGAGGGGTGAGGCGAGGGACGATGTGCATCGTCTTTAGGATTCGAATTTAGGGGTTTTAAACTGAAAATCAGCGGCATGACCACTCGGCTACAGCATCGTTAGCCCAATTGGGAAACAATTAGTTAGGAGACTCTGATAATAAACCCATATTGTTATGATAATATACATGCCCTTATTTTTCTGATGTTCTAGGAACAATAGATCAACCTGGTCTATTCCCAAAGTCTATTAAGTGACAACGACGACTACTACTACTACAACAAAAGCAAAGCCCCTGGTAAAGTTACAGACGCAAAATTATTCTCCTAGTCATTGCCAAACACCTCGAGCTCTTTCTCAATATAGAATCTGACCATCTTGCAGACTCGGCCCCTTTCGTTAATAAATTGACCCCATCCTGTGTAGGCACCAAGACGCCCTTAGATGCTCCATACCTCAGCATTGGGAATGAGTGATAAGAGCGTGCTGAAAGCTTGTTAATGGATGAACCAACAAGCAAAGAAGATTTGATGTTTCCGGCTGACATTATTGCCTTCGACACTCCAGTTGCTTTCTTCTCCTGCACAATTACATATGATGGAACAACCAAGCAACAATGTTCATATTGAATGAAGGTAGTAGAGATGTTTGAAGAAGCAAGGATGTTCACAGTTTTCTGATGAATGAAGCAGGGAAGGGAACTTAATATTAAATCAAGATTGTACAAAGATTTCAAGAGACCTTTACACATGAAGCTCTCTGCATATGTGGCCCAAACAGCCATGAATCTCCTTTTAACTCAGTTTTGCTAACACTTGATTTGCTTGAGAAACTAACACAAGACACCCAAACACAGAATTAGAGAAGACATTGAGGAAACTGCAACACTTAGTTGGAAGGACAAAAGGAAACTACGACAGGTTGATGGAGAATCATAAAAACAAGAGTTGCCAAACATGTTAAATCGTCAGTCGAGAGGAGGGAAGACGCCAAAGAACAACCGACGCTTACCACTCCATGTGATTCACACAAATGTCCTGAGATGTTAACAAAAAGCCCGACTCTTCAAGAAAGGAAGCAACATCATCTACAATCAGCTTCAAATCCCCATGTTCTTGTATTACCTGTTAGAAGTTATAAGCAGCAAAAAACAAAACAAAAAACCAAGAAGGTTGCACCTTTGGCAACAAGCTATAACACTTAATTAAACAGAAATGGCAAGGACAAGATACAAACCTCATATCTTGCTGAGTGAAGATACCAATTTATATGTTGTGCAGACCTTTCGAATATCTTTGTTAATAATAATGCAGAAGAAATCACCGATTGTTTCTCCTTGACAAGCTGAACAGTAACACTGTCCTCGCTTTTTCCGGTTAAGGAGATTTCTTCGTCAAGCACTTTCTTCAATTGATGCAGTAAGTATTCATAAACAGTTGGGAGAGACTTTTTATTGCCCACTATATGGAAAGACATTTGAGGAATTAGTGGATGGTCCAGCCGAAGAAGAATTTGTACGGCCATTAGAGCAGCTGTGAACTCAACAATGCGCCCCTCTGTCATATAGATGAAACATAATTCGGCAAGATAGGTGGGACAGATGACCTTTGCAGGGTTACGATGCTTAAGCTGTAACTGCAGCATGCATTGCATCTTTTCTACCTGTAGGTGTTACGAATAGCACATCACAGATGAGAAAGCAAAAAAATGTTTCCCATAAAACTATTGTGGCACAGAAGGATTGAGAGACACAACGAGTTCAAGAGGAAACTTCAAACCAAGTCAGGGAGGCAAAATATGAAAAGCAACTTGAAAACAGAACTTTGGGGGCTCCATTCCTTCAGATAAGGATGATGGCTGCAGAAGGCCAAGAAACAACAGTGAATCATAGACACATTTGTGCATGGTATTCAAGCACTAAATCCAGAATGGAACGTGTAAGTTTTGCCTGTACTGAGAAGTGAAAATGGCATAACAAAACCAAGTAGTGAATAGAATTACCACAACTTCCCAATAGCCCTACTGAATCGTGAACCAAGGACTTCACTTCTGCAAACATTCACCGGTCGAATCAAGAAGACCAATTCGAGATATGCTTCTTTATGGCTTGCACTACACGGTACGGTAATACCAATCAGCGATTAACTTTGGAACAGATCAAATGCATAAACAGTAAGAAAAGACACCTTGAACATAGGATTCGTTCTTTTCACATCTAACACAGACAGAAACCTACAACTACAATCCCAACTGAATGCGAGGGAGATATCAAGACAGACAAGACAATGCAAGGCTGCTGTCACTGGTGGTGTTGGGAATAGAAACTTCTTGGTTACTACAGTTATAAGGCTGGGATAGTTACCTGGCATAGTCTTTAATCTCTGAATGATAGGGATGTGATATAATAGGGCTGTCAAGGCAACAAAAACACACAGAGACAGAGATTATTATGTCATAAAGATTGAAACTTTATAAAACAACCAAGTGGAAGCTGGTGCGGGGTAAGTTGATAGAAGTACCAATCCAGAGAAGTCAAGGGGAACCCAGCTCCCTCTAACACAGTCTTGACCTGTTTTGCAATTGGGATATTCGAAAGATGCTCCTTTTCTAAGGTGGCCACTAAGAAAGACAACTGCGGGCCAGCTCTGTGAAAGACTTCAAGTAATCGCAGTGAAGTGGCAAGAATCAACCTCTTCAACTCCAAAGACGACGACTTGTTGCTCATTTGGCTGGGATCGTGGTGTCGAATGGTGAGGCTGTCAGCGGTCACGACTGCTAGCTGAGCGGTAAGGAAATCGCGGAGGGAGAAAAGCTCCAGACGATCCTTAAACATTGGTATGGCGCGAAAGAATGTCGGGGAGAGAACTCGATCAGGGACTACAAGCAGAAGCCAGAGCAGCTGTATCGCCTGGCCATTGACTGCATACTCGAAGGCTTTCGACTCGATGTTAATGGAACAGGTGCGTCCCAGCAGCTTCACGGTGTGCCACCAGGCAAAATTGCCGGGCTCGGAGATCCATTCCGGCAGCCAGAGGATCAACTGAGAGAGCGTAATTTCTTCACCCAGCTTCTTCTTCCTTTCCTCGCAACTTGCCTCGAATGCCAAGTCGATGACTTCACCCCCATATTCATCCTTAGGAATATTGGTGAAGGAATCCCAGCCGTCGGGCAAGAAATTATCCCTGGGATGAATCCGATGGCGAAGAAAAAGCTGCAACCCCTGATGAAACCCTAGCTTAGCAGCCTTGCACATCGGCCTTTCGCCGTTTGCTAGTCGACGGCGGAGATCGAGCTGATTGTGAGCGACTTTGCGATCCAGAAGTGCGGTGATGCAACCGATTGCTCTCGACTCTAACAGCTTCTGCACCAGCTGGGGAGGGCAGTATTCGCATTCAGGATCCAAACTCGCTAAAAACGATTCCACGTCATCCTCTTCCACACCCGCCTCCTTCTTCGCCATGTCAGCTTTTCTGCTACAGACTGCAACCGTCAAAGCCAGAGGAATTGAGCTTGCGCGGCGGAGAAAGAAGCTGCCTTGTTTTTAGGATTTATTCAAGGGTTCCATTTTGTGGGTTTTTATATCAGAGTTAAATAATTAATAAATCAACCCGCGAAGCCCCCTAAACCTAACTTACTAACTAACTAACTTCCCCTGTTTAATATAGTTTGTTCTGTTGCTGCCACAGTAGCAAGCTAACTGATAAAAACTTGATTTTAATACTTACCCTAAGCATCAGAATGACTTCATAAACAAATAGGAATTACCTGTTTTAAACCTTTCTAAATGTTCATGTAGCGCTTTTATATACAATTGTCAATACTTTGTGAGATACAACCCATGCTTACTATCATCTACATCACATGAAAAATATTGAACTTGTGTTCATAAAAAAAAAAAGATATAGAAAGAAAATATAAAAATTTGTCTCTTATATGACAACCTTACAAATATAAAAGACGCCAACAAAGTTACATATCAAGAAGACATGTTTGGAAAGACGTTGTCTAATTATTTGACAAAAGCCGGAAGTATGATAGTAGCTATAGTCTCACAGAAGATGAAACCTTATGCGGTTGGCGAATTCATTAAGAAGTAAGTTCAGCTCAAATTATAGCTCAAAAAGATTAGGAAAATGCAATTGTATATATACTTGTCGATATATTTAGAAAACTTGACCATAAACTCGAAGATGCTCTCAGGAAAAATAATTTTAAGAAACAGCATTAAAGTATTATATACATTGAAAGAGAAAGAGGACCGATCCCAAAAAAATCAACTTGGTGACCATGAAATTGTTAGAACTGCCCCGCTTCGTCTAAGTCAACATCCAAAATACATCGTGTGTGTAGGAAGATGTACAATTAAATTATATATAACTCAGGACCCAACTTTTAACTACCAAAGAGTCGATATTGTGTTCAAAATGAGCAATAGTTGATTAATTGTGAAGTTAGATTTTTCAAAGTTCAACTTTTTCTCAAACATTTAAACAAATTTTTAGTACATACAACCTTACAATCCAAAAATCTTATATCCACTTCATTCATTCCTTAATCATGTTAAATTCGGGGGAAAGTTATACATTTAAGAGGTGTACACATTCATATTTAATTGATTGATTATTTAATTCTTGTTCTACCTTTTGACTAAATTCTTCTTGTTCATCTTTTAAGGGCGGTCAACAAGTTGTTCCATAATCCATAGAAAGGGAGATGGAAATGTAGTTGCTGATAGTGTAGGCACTTGGAGGCATCTTCTGAATAGTAATGAGTTGCCAAGTGGAATGGAATCCCCAACTGCGCATTGGTTTCATTGTCGAAGATGGCCAATGCAGTGCTGATTGGCACATTACAGACACTAGTGCTAAATGAGATCAGCAGCTGAAACTAAACATGCATTAGAATTAGGGGTGGAACTCATAACGGTGTTCACTTGGATGTTATTGTAGAATGTTGTGTGATGAATCAATCGGAGGCCAGAGGCCATCATCATACTCTAGTGTTGAAATACAAAGGAGACAATAATTGAACTGATGAATTTGAACCATTAACCAACTATGGCTACTTGTCTGCAAAAGATATCTGCATTTCCAATATCGTCATATCCAGCTTTTGCTATTCTTGCATTCAAATATACAAACCATAAAAGATAAAAAAACACTTGTAAGGATAAGTAAATCAACCATCTGTTTGATGTACTCTCTGTTCAAGGCTCAACTTAGCATCACTGAGCATCCAACAACAGCCTGCATTCTTGTGCCACTGTGAAACATCTTCCAAATCTGTATAGAACAAGGAGTAACTCGTACCTATTACCGAGCCTTGATATCAACCAAATCTCTGAATCCTCCGCATACGCATTTCTTGAATCCCAATCTCATCCGTTAAGCCTCCACGCCTTGTTCCACACATCTCACACTCGCTTAACCAACCCGAATTATCAAATGTACAAGCATGGCATCTCCATATACCCGACAGCCCGTCTCTCGTTTCCCTGCCGACTGTTCCCCTCCCGGAGACACGTGGCATCCTCCTGGGTTGAAACAATCCCCTTGCAGCCCTCAGCGGCCAGCTCGCTATGCCAACAATACCCCGGAGCACTCTAACCAAAGGATCTGAGCCTGAGGCGGAGTACTCGCCCTTGAGTTTGAGATAGAGCATCCCGGCAAGAATGCCACCAAGGTGGCCAAGGAACGAGACGCCAGGGGCAAACATTTGGATGAGAATTAGTTCAGCCCAAGCAGCATATCGAGATGGCACCACCAGTCCGTGCACGTGAGCATAGTCTGCAGACTGAGAATTGAGGACAACCTTCATCGCAAACAGCACTCCCGAGAACCCCACAGCATATTCGGAGTAGAACGGCTTGGGGTAGTCGAGAAACACGACGAGGGTCTTGGCCAGCAGCATCGTGATCCCTTGCGACATGGTGAGGAGTGCGGCGACCATGGATGCGAATTCGAGACTTCCCATTGAGGTTTCCAACTGGATGCCCTTCCATAGGAGTGAAATCATGTTGTAGACCAAGTGGGACTCGCTGATGTGGTAGAATGGTGATAGGAAGAAGCGCCTCGCATCCTTGTTCTGTTCACTTAAACAGGGCAAAACGAAGAACCCCAAATGTTCAGGTTTTGGACTCAACTGGAAGCAGCCAAGTTATTTCCTTTACTATCACAAGGAATTATTCATGGAATTATCTGAAACCAGTCCCTTTTGGGCAATCGATCGAACAGGTGGTGGGCAAGAATTATGCGCAAATTGTGGGAAAACAAAGGAGGAGGGGTTACCTTGAGAATGAGGTAGGGATTGAACCAGACCTCGTCGATGGAAGGGAGGAGGTGGCGGAGGAAAACGGACTTCAAGTAGACGAGGGTATTGGCGGCGATTAGTCCCGCCGTGACGGGAGGTTTCCATGGCAGTCTGTAGTACTCGGCGACGGCATGAAGAGCCAGCAGCGGCAGCATTCTCCCTCTTCCCTCCATCTGAATCGGAACAGAAATCGTCGTCAATATGGGAACTTGTAATTTCCGATCGTCGGCTAGCTCCGAGATTGAGCGGTGGCAGGAGAAGAAGAACGACGATCTGAAAGAAAGAGGATCCGTTTCGTGACCAAAAAGCCGGCGTGTCTTGAGCGAAGAGATGTCAGTCGGTTGCTTGCCTGCAGAGTAAGCGCCTAGACCTAGAGGCTAGAGGCTTCAGTTTTGCGGTTCTTTTTAATTATCTAATTTAGTCCCTCTTCTCCTTTAAATTATCTAATTTGGTCATTGGACTAACCGGGACTTATCAATTTGAACCCTCAACTTTTGTCTAGATGGAATTCCTACCTAGAACAAAAGATTAGTACATTGTGATTGTATGCAATGCCTATATTCATCAAATACATAATTTATAATTTTAAATAATAAATGAGTCTATAATTATACACATATACATATACAAGCGCAAGTGGACTAATAGTATAAGTTAATTCATGTCTTGTGTCTCCGGTATTCAATTTCGGATTTTATCCAGACTCGCTTTATATCTCTCATTTGTGTTGAATGTGTACATGTTCTGATAGATTCTCAATAAATATCCATTAGTAAAAACGCTAAAATGCACCAAAAGAATATTTTTCTACAATTCATTTTCTTATAATGGTGATTCAGTATTATTAACCAGGATAAAATTTTAGGAAAAAAAAGAGGATAGATGCTATAAACATAACAGCAACCGAAACGGAGTGTATACAAAATTAGAGAAATAAACACAAGGAAAAAGGGTGATGTGCAAAGGTCATAAGATCTGCATCCAACAAGTTTGGGTGAGGAGGGTCGTTGATCAAGTGACTATGTCTCTTCCAACCGTTAGATCAAGTTTTATAGATCCAAAGGTGAAATTGAGAGTATTTTTGTGATTATGAAAATCATTTAAATTTCTATTTTTTATTTTATGTCTCCCTTTCTCTCCTTCTCACTTTTCTATTTCATTTTTTTCATTAACAAAGAAGAAGACAATTTTAATGGATACTAAAGCAATACTACATGGTTTATAAATGACTAGTTTTGTAAAAATATCTGAATTGCTTCATCGTAACAATCTCTAAAAGCATTATAAATCCAGAATAAACTTAGAATAGAGGACACTGACTTGCCACGTACAAGTAAGTTTTAAATATCATTGACTTCAAATTGCGGGACTACCGGCATATTTTGATTTCGCTACCTACCACTAGGCATGTAATGTATTGTGATGGTTTGGAGAAAGGACATGTAGTAGGTTAATTTTTAATTAATTCTGTATTATTTTATGAATCAGAGGAATATTAGTTGATTTTGTTAGCGTATAACATTTTATATTCTATAAAAAATATTTATATTAGGGGAAAAAATCAAAATCAAGATGTTCTCACATGGAGACCATCCCATGATCTGTATTTTCATACTCAATTTTTCCAATCAAATCTCCATGGTCAAGAACTTCAAACTTAATTTCCGTTAAAATAAACATCTGCTTCTACATGATACAAAAAATCATTTCAATACTAATCGATCGATAAATCTTTTGGCGATACGATGGCGTAGAAATTATCTCCTATAGTGTAGTATAAGTCTCCTTCACATAATTTCCGTTAATGCTTTCTGATCAGACATGTATGAACAAACTCCGAGGTCAACTAAAGCATTCAGCCAAGACCCGCCATATGGGATACATCCATTTGTCAAATGGCAGACTGTTGACCAATCAACATTTGCTTTCACGAACGAACAGCAAGCAATCATCCATCCATGGCGGCTTGAAGCACATTCCCGGAAATAGATGAACATAGCAAAAGCCAAAAACCAACGTTTCCCAGAAAACAAAAGCTCAAAAAATGGCAGAAGAAATTGATGAAACAACCTCCAACAGGAGAACCCAACAACCTCTGCCGCTTCAGCTTCTTCCTATTCTTATCCTCTACTCCCTTCTTCTCCTCACTTCACCACTCCCGGCAGCTTCCGACTCCGCATCCGAAGCCGCCGCTCTCCTCCGATGGGCTTCCACCCTCAACGACCTCCGCCAATCCAACATCTCCACCTGGCCGGTCAACGCCACCCGCGCCGCCGCCACCCCCTGCCGCTTCGTCGGAGTCTCCTGCACCGCCGCCGGGAGCGTTCTCCGATTGAACCTCACCAACTCCGGCCTAAACGGTACGCTGGAAGATTTCCCCTTTTCCTCGCTCCCCGGCCTCTCGTACTTCGAACTGAGTATAAACCAGCTCTACGGCATCATCCCGCCCGCAATCGGCCAGCTCGCCAACCTCATCTACTTTGACGTGTCCCTCAACCAGCTCTCCGGCGTCATCCCGCCGGAAATCGGCCTCCTCAGAAAGCTGGAAACCCTCCATATCATCGACAACCAGCTGAACGGATCGATTCCCAACGAGATCGGCCAGCTGGAGTCCTTGACCGAGCTCGCCCTCTACACCAACTATCTCGAAGGCCCGCTTCCTTCTTCAATAGGGAACTTGACCAGATTGGAGCGCTTGTACCTCTACGACAATGCTCTCTCCGGTCCAATCCCGCCGGAAATCGGTAATTTGACCGAACTTACCGAGTTTTTCATCGACACCAACAGGTTATCCGGTACAATTCCCGCCAGTTTCGGGAAATTGACCAACCTGACTACTCTCTACATGTTCATGAATTCACTTTCCGGCCGGATTCCTGACGAAATCGGGAACCTCAGGTCGCTGCAGTTCCTTAGCCTCCATACCAACAACCTCTCCGGTCCAATTCCTCCGTCTATTGGCCGGCTGACATCCCTGGTCCAGCTCCATCTCTACGGCAACCAGCTCTCCGGCGGGATTCCACCGGAGCTGGGGAACTTGGAGTCCATTGTAGATCTCGAGGTGAGCGAGAATCGACTCACGGGCCCTGTTCCTGCTTCAATTGGGAATTTGAGCACATTGGAAATCTTGTATCTTCGTGTGAACCGTCTCTCTGGTTCAATCCCTAAGGAGATATCGAACCTCACCAAGCTCACGGTTCTCCAGCTAGACAGCAACAATTTCTCCGGCGTTCTACCTGAGAACCTCTGTGGAGGTCAGCAATCGCTGATCAATTTCACCGCCAATGCCAACAACTTCTCCGGCCGTGTTCCTAGAAGCTTTAGAACCTGTCCAACCTTCGTCCGGGTTCGTCTGGAAGATAATCAGTTCACCGGGAATATTTCCGATGACTTTGGTGTCTACCCAGATTTGCAGTACATTGATCTCAGCCGAAATAACTTCTTTGGTGAGATATCATCCAACTGGGGATCTTGCCCCAATTTGGCTACACTTCTGATTTCTGAGAACAACATCAGGGGTGAGATTCCGCCGGAGATTGGTAACGTTTCTCGGCTGCAGGGGCTTAATCTTTCTTCCAATCAATTAGTTGGTCAACTTCCCATAGAGCTTGGAAAGCTGAGTTCTTTAGTCAGGCTAGCACTCTACGGCAATCAACTCTCAGGGCCTATCCCTCCAGAGTTGAGATCATTTACTGAGCTGGAGCTGCTCGATTTGTCTTCTAACAGGTTCAACCAGTCAATTCCGGCGAGCATAGGTGAATTTTCTCAGCTGAACTACTTAAATCTGAGCAACAACCAGTTCGGGGAAAGCATTCCAGATCAACTGGGCAATCTGATTCATCTGTCAAATCTCGATCTCAGCCGGAACTCGCTCACCGGCCCAATCCCATCGAGGCTGAGCTCCTTGGGAAGCTTGGAGTTCCTGAACCTGTCAAGGAATAGCCTTTCTGGGTCAATTCCAAATGGGTTAGCACAAATCCCCTTGCGCACCGTTGACATTTCCTATAACAGATTGCAGGGTCCTCTTCCAAACAGTAGAAGCTTCCAAAACGCTTCGATTGAAGATGTACAGGGCAATAGTGGCTTGTGTGGAAGTATTGAGGGTCTACAGCCGTGCAATCCTTCTTCTACTCCAGGAACCGGTTCATCGAGGAAGAAGAGCCGTACGTTCTTGTTCTTGGTCATTTTCCTGCCTGTGTTGGCCGTGGTTGTTGTGCTATTAGCTTTGGGAATGCTCTGCATTCACCGGAATGGCAGGGGAGAGGCAGAAACACAACCACTACAGCAGCAGCAGGAAGAAGACATCTTGATCACCCCTGGATTCGATGGGAAGATCATGTACTCCGAAATCGTGAAAGCAACCGAGACCTTTGATTCCAGGTACTGCATTGGGAAGGGAGGTTATGGTACGGTGTACAAGGCCATGCTGCCATCCGGAATCAACGTGGCAGTGAAGAAGCTCCACGGTTTCCACGACAGCAATGGGGCGCTTCAGAGGGAGTTCCTGAGTGAGATCAAAGTGTTGACCGAGGTAAGGCATCGCAACATTGTGAAACTCTATGGTTTCTGTTCTCACTCTAGACACTCCTTCTTGGTGTACGAGTACCTGGAGAGAGGGAGCTTAGCTTCAGTTCTGAGCCACGATGGGGAAGCCACAGAGTTGGATTGGTGGAAGAGGGTCAACATTGTGCGAGGAGTGGCTCATGCCTTGTCTTACTTGCACCACGACTGCACCATACCCATTGTTCATCGAGACATAACCAGCAACAACGTGCTGTTGGATTCCGATTACGAAGTCCGAGTTTCAGATTTCGGGACTGCAAAGCTTCTCAACATTGATACCTCCCATTGGACTGCACAGGCTGGCACCCGCGGGTATCTTGCTCCAGGTACCTTCAACAAAACCCAATTTCCTCATCCTTTTTTGCTTTTGTTTTCAGTAGTAATGTGTGTAGATGAGCTTCAACTCTCATTTTTGTGGCAGAGCTGGCGTATACAATGAGGGTGACAGAGAAATGTGACGTGTATAGCTTCGGAGTGTTGGCACTGGAAGTGATCAAAGGGAACCATCCAGGGGAAACTGTATTATCATTCGCCTCCTCCCCGACAGGCGCAGCATTGCAGTTGGACAATCTTCTAGACCAACGTCTTGTGCCTCCTTCGGTTCTGATCAAGCAAGACTTAGAGAGTGTCTTGAGGGTAGCAGCAGCATGTTTGAACGCCAACCCACAGGCTAGGCCGGAGATGAGATTGGTTTCTCAGATGTTGTCAACTGATCAAATTGGTGTTCCACTGATAGCAGTCTAGCTGGACTGTTGTCTGTCAATTAGTGTAATATGTACTTGTAGGCTGGGTCATTCATACAAAAGAGTGTCATGGCCATTTTCTTCTTCGTGTTACACGATCGGCATCGTCATTTTTCCCCTTGTGGTGTGAATTGAGAAATCTGTTCAAATGTTCCAGGTCTCTGAATTGTCTTTTTGTCTTTCTCCTTTGATCCTCTTTGTCTTTTTGCAAAGAAAAAGTAGACTTCTATAGACTCAGGAACTGGCCGCATTGTTCCCTGAAGATCCCAAAATGGACAGCACCAAACTTTAAGTGATGGAATCCTACAAAAAAACATGAGGAATCGGGAAAAAGAACCAACCAAACTAGCAGATGAAAGGAAGCCTAAATACAGAGTATGCAACAACAACAAAAATGCTAGAATGAAATGTATTAACAATTTGATTTGTTAGGGAAAAAAGGAAGCCTAAACAGGTAAATTTGTATCAAAGAAACTCCATCACGCAGAACTTAGTTCATCAGACCACAGATTCAGATATGAAATATTACTGCAAGCTGTAAAATCTCATTCCACTTCCTTTCGCCACCACTGAACCCCTTGTTGACATTTCTATTTAGAAAATCATTTTTCATGTTCACAAGCTCAAGCTTAGGAAAAAGGTACGCATAGAACTGCCAATAAAAAAGATAGGTCAAGAGTTAGGTGAACAAACTAATAAGTGTATCTCAAGATTGCTTCGCTTTCGTACTAACATATCCTGCAGAACGAAACTAATAGGGCTGTGAATATTAACAGGAGCCATGGCATAGAAAGTGGAAACAGAATTCGTTAATGAACTGGATTACTTGTTTGTCACCTGTATCAAAATTACTCCGTGTTACATGTTCTCAAAGGCCATGACATACAACAAACTTACAAGGAAAGACAGTTCGTGGAAAGCATTTGGAAAGGGAATGATACCTCAATTGGTCCAAGCTCCGGGAGACCAAGTTTTCTTCTTCCAGCATTGTAAGCCATGTTTAGGAAGCCAATATTGCTGACACCAGGGATTTCAATTGGGGACTGAAAGCTCATAAAAAGCCCTGCAATGGACCTATCCTCCGGTTCCATGTCAAGCAAGTTCTCCCCTTTAAAGATCACGCTACCACCAGTAACTTCATAATGTGGATTGCTAACAAGAACCTAAGCATGAGTATTAAGATTATTCATGATCAGAACACCGCACACAAATCTAATCAAACCAACCAAGAAATTATCTCAAGAACATGGGGATAAGAAAAACAACTTCCAGACGACATAACATCAAAAGCATTCTCATTTCAAAAACATTCCCACCACTACTGGTGGGTGGTGCCACTAAAGCAAAAGCAGCATGGCAGCCCAAATTGATAAATCGTCAGGGAACATTATCGAGTGAGATCATATTTACTAACCTTGAGAATGTGCTTTTCCCGGAACCATTTTTGCCCATTAGTGCATGTACTGATGTACATATCCCTCGCCGGAAAATATGAAAAAAACGTATAAGTTGACTCACCAAACTCCAGAAACTGATAGAACTATCCTACACTATCAGTCAATATACCTCCCCTTCATTCACGACTAGGTTGACGCCCTTGAGAATCTCCTGTCATGTTTCAGCAATCACAGCCTTCAAATCTTTGACTTCGAGCAGCGGCTTCTTCCCCAAAGCATCGGCAGAGAGAGCCGTCACCGCCAGACGCCTGACGGAGTAGTTGGTGGAGGGCAAGCAGAGACGGATGAGAGGGATAGGGATAGGGTGAGGGAAGAAGTGGGAAGTGAGAGGCTTTACATTGTTTCGAAGAAGCAGCAGCGACGGAATTCGGAGTCACAAGAAGAGACGAAGAGAGAAATTCAGACATTGAGCCATGGCGGTGGACTAGTTTGCCGGACGGCAACTGGGAAAGATCAAAGAAGAGAGAACGGCTCGGAATTCTCACCTTAGAGTCGCCGGGTAATGAAAAGCCCAAATCTTTGTGGGCTTATGGGTTTTTGGACTTTTGCTTTCCCACTCACTCCTAGGGCCCTTATGACATAGGACAATCGGTACAACGCTGGCGGCAGCCGTAGTAACGGGAGTTAGCTTGAAGCCGTCGGAAGAAATGGCGGAAGAAGAGACGTCGACGACGGGGAAAGAAGGGGAGAATTTGCTCGGTCCGCCTTCCTTCACCGAGCTCGAGAACGGAAGGTTCAAGTGCGTCGAGACAGGCCACGAGGTCCTCTCCAAGGACAAGGAATCGTATTCGCAGAGCAAACGGTGCCGGCTGGGTCTCGTCAACCATGCTCTGTCCACCCGCAAGGCTCCTCTCAACATGTTCAAGCAGGACCCTCTCAACAGGTATCACTAGAAATGGCAAAATAACTCACCAGCTTCTCCGTTTGTTAATTTTTTTATTAGGGTTCTTAGTTTTTCCCGTAAAGTATTTACATTTTATAGAGGATTGCTGTGAATTCTTCTTTTGAAGGTCGAAATTGGTGTGTAAGTTGACTGGGGATACAGTGAATAAGACCGAGGAGCATATCTGGAAGCACATCAATGGCAGGCGGTTCCTCAACAAATTAGGTTCGTTTGTTTTTGTGTTCTTCTGTTTTTCCTTGCTTAACTGTTGGAAGTGGGGAGAAATTGTGATATTGAGTGGTCTTCTTTTCTGTGGAAGCAGAACAAAAGGAAATGGGGAAATTGGTTCCAAATGGGAAATCAGCTGAAGGTGAAGAGAAGAAGGAACGTGGGGATGGGAATGGTGATGATAAGGAGAAGAAGAAGAGGAAGAAGAAAAAGAAAAAGAAGGACAAGAAGGCAAAGACTGTTGAAGAAATCGTGACTGAAATCAGGGATGTTCCAGCTGATGAGGAGAGTGATGATTCTGAGGGAGAAGAAGCTGAGTTCTGGATGCCACCTAAGGGAGCACGGTGGGATTTCGACGATGGATATGATCGGTGGGGCTCTGACGAAGAGGCTGAGTTGGAGGAGGACGGCGAAGGAATGGAAGCAGGTATGTTACAGAAAAGCACCGAGCTTGACATGTTTTATGATGAAGCTTTGTATGTGTTCTGTTGTCCAAGCAATGGCCATGAAGTAGTCGTAGTATTATCTGAAACTAGGAGATGGTTTTTAACCATGTTGCTTGACATCTTCTTCCATGGAGCAACAAATTGGAAAACGCTTTGTGATCTCATGTCTTTGCAATTCTTGTTGCAGAAGATGCAGTTGAAGATGTAAGCAAGGAGTCGGAGGACCTCTCTTGCCGGTGTGTTTGTATATCCAATCTCAGTTTCTCTCCTGTATTTCAGTTTACACTACTTATCTGATGTTCTTGATAGCTTAGTTTTGACTTTAAGGAGTTCTGAAGTAATTGCGCCATGTTCTTTCTCTGCAGGACAAAGAGAATGGCAATTGAAATTGGACCCGGCAGCAATGCACCCAGAAAGAAGAAGAGTAAAAAGAACTCAAAAGCCTAGTCTTTCCGGCCACAAGCTGATCATGATTAAAAATACAAATTATTTGCTCGGTTTGTAGTTGCGACACTCCTATACGCTATTCAATTCTGCAATCTGGGATGAATAGGGAAAATGGTTGTTGAGTTGTAACTCTAGCAAGTTGAGTTTTTCCCCCTTGTTACCTTCTTTCTTTCAATCTGTACCTTGCTCTTTCTAGGAGCTAACTGGTGAAGTTTTGTAACCATAAGTTTCTGATTCTGTCGTTAAGTTGTTAAGTTCTGTAACTGGCATCTTCATCTAATAAGCATTCAGTTTTGGGCATTGAATTTTTTTAATCCTTTTCTAGCACCTAGCCTGCCTGCAACTGTCTTCTTTTGATTCTACTCGTCTCAAATAGGGTGCAACTCCTTTGAGAGGACTATGAAAATTTTCATGGAGGAAACAACTAAAGAAAGAACAGCTGTTATCAAAATTTCTCTTCCAGTTTGGTTTCATTACATGAATAGAGATGAAAGAATGGAGATATATATGGAGAGCACTATCGACTTTGATCAAAGAATGAGAGACATTATTATTAGTTGTTGGAAGTTCTAGTTGAAGGATCAATCTGTGCCAAAATAACGGTCTGCGAACTCTCCCATGCCTGGAATCACTCGTAAATCATCATCCAACGTTTCATCGATCTCCGACGTTATAACTTTGAGCTTGGGGAACTTCTTGCAGATGACATGTATTCCTTGTGGTGCCTGCACTTGTGGTAGATCGGCATACATGATTTGCGAGGATAGAGCAAGAACCAAAACGAACATGGAAAGAGATTGGGGGCACTTACTGCTATGAGGTTGAGGAAGATGATGTTGGACTCTGGAACGCCTTTACTGAGAAGCAAAGACACAGCTTCCACTGCAGAGTTCCCTGTTTTTCACCACATTGAAAAACATGGTTCATTTTCAAAGCTAAATACATTTTCTCGATCCTGGGAAACTAATGAACCAGGGGAGGCTTTTGTGACGAACCTGAAGCGAGGACCGGGTCGAGCAATAAGACATGGCGGCTAGAGATGTCTGAAGGTAGCTTCTCGTATATCAACTGCCTTCCATCGTTACGCTCTCCATGGATGAGGATCTTGCCAATTTTGATTCCTTTGCAACATGCTCTCAGCGCATTCTCCATGCTCTCCCCACTGATTATTAGTATCATAATGAATGATGCTGGTTAGTGATTGATACCATTGTGACATTTCAATGCGGAAGAAAGTATTTGCACACCTCCTGATGACTGAGACGCCACACAATCTCTTGCAGAAGACAACTCCTGGGTATATGGATCCTGCACAGAGGAACTTTCTTAAAATCCTCACTATCTTTAGTAACTAATACACGTAATAGTTCGAACAAATGGAACGAAACTAAAGAGATGGATAGAAAACTGAGTTTCTGGCAGTGTTTCTTGGTGCTCAAGCTTTTGGGGGAGAGAGGAAATAGAAAATGGCAATAGTTCTGCCTTTTACCTGTTGGAGTAATGATCTGCTTCTCTGTAAATGGCAGGTGCCCAAGACCATACTCTACCACCTGCAAACAGCAATTTTCAAACTATTCACACCGTAACTGAAAAGAAAGTAACAATGCAGTAACTCTCTTGGCCCAGTCAGCAATTCAGCTTCAAGTGGGATGCTTTTACCCACCAAACGAATCAACCGGTCTGCATAGAACACGAAATCATGGTTTGTAGTCTGCATATCCCTTATCAGCGTGTGCATGCCGCCAATCTGGAATCAAACTTCCAAGGATATGATCAGCCAGCAAAGAATGAAAGGCTTAGTTTCTAATCCAAAAGGAAAGCATTTGATGAATACCTGAAATGTGGAGAAGAAAACAAAAAGATTTGGATATATCTTGCACAAATCATGCTGTCCAAGCTTCGTATGAATGTGCTGTACAATCAAATCGATGGCAACTTCGTTGTCTCCTCCTCGTGGGATGATAATGTCTGCATACTTCTTTGAGGGGAGTATGAATTCGTCGAAGCTAGGCTTCACAAACTTAGCATACTGCAACATCACAGGTTGGCAAATTGGTTAACTGGCCATATTTGCAGATCAAAATACTTGGTGCAGGTTTGACTGCACATCAACGCGATTCAAATGTCTGGTTTTTCAGCTCGATGTCATCTAATTTTAAAGTTATGCCACATTAGTAAGGTAATAAGGATAATCTAAACACAACCCAAGTCCAAGACATAGCTACATCTTGAACTAGGTCAAGTGAGGTTATGGAACTTAACTTGATCAAGCACATTCTGAACATCCCTCCCTCTCTCAACTGTATCCCTTTTAATCCTCCTGGCAAGCCGTAGGTCAGAATCTGCACTGGTGGAACGATTCGAGAACGTCTCGAATGGTTACGTGAATCACAAGGACTAGAAATGTTGTACATTCTGATTTCCTGATCAATCTAGTAGATGAGGGGAATAGAACACAACCTGTGTCGACGAAAATCTTCATGTTCAGAAGATCACGCACCCGTTCATCGTGAAGAACTAGGATCCCTTCAAGAATCACTATGTCTGCAGGGTTCACCTGCAACAGCTCAATCCCCCCTAAAACACTTAGCTGAGACATAACACAAACAAGTTGACTGCACCAAACAAAAGGAAAACCAACACGAATTTCACATCAATTCACCTTGCTCCCAGGTCCCACGCTTTGATGGGTCTTGAAGTCGTAGTTCGGCGTGGTGACGGCTTCCCCGCGCTTCAGTGTCTCCATGCACGATAGCAGAAGCTCTGTGTTGAAAGCATCTGCAACAAACGAATGGAAAACAACCCAGCACTAGTTGATTTCAGCATTGAACAGGAACCCAGAAAAATGTAAGGCTAGCCCAGGAAAGGAAAAGCTACCGGGATGATCAAAGTTGTATTCTTTGACGTTCTTCAGTTGCTCAGGTGTAAGGGACCGGTAAAATGAATCCTTTCACAAAGGGGGGAAAACAGAGTTACAAAGAAGAGAAACTCCATTGATTCGTTCGATCCAGAATCTCAAACAACATTCCTGAAAGAAAAGAGATCACTCTATTCTCACTTGATTAACGAGTACGACTCGTTGATCGTGGAGCTGGGAGATGATCAGATTACAGACAGTCGTTTTGCCGGAAGCAGTCCCGCCGGCGACACCTGAAAACACAGAGAGAGAGAGATTTCAGCCAAAATCCCAGATCGGGAAAATGAGAAACCAGCGATTGAGAGAGGGGGTTTAATTGCCGATCATGAATGGCTGCTTGGGCAGGTGCTTTGCCGGCGAAGTCTGCGAAGGAGATCTACTATTTGATTTTACGGAGAAGGGAGGATCTTTTGTAGCCGGCATTGCCGTGGATACTGCTGCTGTCGCTGCCGCCGCAGTCGGGTTCTTGGAGGCGTTAATGTTCTTCTTCTCCATGGTGAAACGGAAGATATCTGTTGGTTTGCAGGAATGGAGATTCGGTGAGAAGAATGGATTTTCAATTATTTTCTTTCTTATTAATCGGCTTCAGGTTTTTCATTCTGCTTCCATATCAGTCCGGTCTCTGTTGTTTCCTTTCCATATTTTCAGATGAACTCCGGAACTGCTGACCGAGAGACGCGGGAAACCTGGATCACAATTCACAATCACAAGTGTCACAAACACAGTTCCCTCTTCTCTGAATATTGATTATTATTACAACTGGTAAACAAACAATCAGTATCCGACTTTAGCTCAGTTGGTAGAGCGGAGGACTGTAGTGGGCAAAGCCTTCAGTATATCCTTAGGTCGCTGGTTCGAATCCGGCAAGTCGGATCTTCTTTTGCTAATTTTCCTGTTTCGATATTTTAGCAATTGTTTGTTTCTTCATTTTTAAGATCTTGTCAACCTATCTGGCTCGACAATCTATCGCATTTTGAGTTTGGTTTTCATGTTTCGATATTTTTTGTGTTACGTCATTTCAACTTTTTTTCTTTTCATTTTTCACGCCTTATTCGGTGTTCTTCATTATCAGGTTTGTTAGCAATTGTTTGTTTCTTCTTTATCAGGTTTGTTAGCAATTGTTTGTTTCTTCATTTTTAAGATCTTGTCAACCTATTTGGCTCGACAATCTATCGCATTTTGAGTTTGGTTTTGAAAAATATGAATATTTTTTGTGTTACGTCATTTGAACATTTTTTTTTTTTCATTTTTCACGTCTTATTCGGTGTTCTTCATTAGCAGGTTTGTTTCAACTTTCAACATAGGGTAAACAGGTAAAGCTGAAGCAAAAGAAAGAACCTTTATGGACTGGACTGCAAATATTACAAACACGGTATATTCCAAATTACATACAGAATATCCCCCTACCTAAAGGGGATTCAAACAAAAGACAGTTCTCTGTCTCTGAAAAACTTCTAATCGATTGAGCAGAATGTCTTACATGGACAAGACCTCTACATGTAGCTTAAGTCCCTTCTCCAACCTACTAATGGTTTGAGCAGAATTTTATGGAACGGGACTTGAGACCAAAATAAATAGGGTGATGATGATGGTACAACAATGAAACAGCTACTACTACCACCACTACAAAGCAATCATCTGCATTTCAACACCGGATCTCGAAACATCATTGTCTGCGACGTCTGGTGTTCTGGCATCGTGAAGAACGAGCACGCTTAGGGTGCCGGGTTCTCTCAGCCATGCAGTGACGAGAGCTCCTGATGATATGAACCGACCTAGGTTGCATTTCGCCTGTTGGAATGGCGCTCCCATTCCGGTAAGCAGAGCTTCCACATTTCTCTTAAGGGCACTGTTTCCTACCACTTTACTATGCTTGCCCCATCCAGTCAGGATGCTGCAAGAAACCAACAACAAAAAGTAACATGAGTATATAAGCAGCTACTTGAAACAGTGTGTCCTTTAGGGCAGCAAATTTTTAGCCTACTAACTGTTAGACAGTGGTATAAGATCCAGCATAACCTTCTCCTAACAACTTGAGTTATTGGGACCAACTAGTTTATGACACTAACAACATGATCTACAAGTTTGTTAAAAATCAGAGTAGTTCAATGATTATTTGCGTAATTGAACAGAGCTAATGGTAGGATGCATACTTCAACCATTTGGGCAGTTCTCGGCCTTCAAACACAATGGATCGGATATCAAGCAGCCATGTGTGAACCATGGCTAGAGCAGCGCCAGAAGACATCAGATGCAGATCTAAGCAAGAGTCTGACCACACGGTCTCCCATACCTGACGACGTTTTCCTTCGACCACAACTAGCTGGGCCCCACGTTTCTGTTAATATGAATTGGCAAGAATATCTTGATTAGCAGCAGGCTCTCGTGCTAAGATATAGTATATAAGGAGTGACAACTGACCTGCCCAAAATGCCACAGAACATCTGTTAGCGCGTTGTAGAAGGCAGATGCAGTGGGAGCGTCCAAAGACTTCATTTCGTCAAAGAGTGAGCATGCCTGCAGCCAAGCATTTCCTCTGTAACCCATCAGGAGTCCATGAGCTACACCGTAGATTTGGTTATCAAATGAGCGTAGCTCCTCGAGTAACACCGAGGCATCTTGAAAGGAATTACAACGACTGCATCAGAACAAAAGGTAAACTTACACAATCGAATATGCTACGCTGAGTTTTCTCCATCAGTTCAAGAGCTTATGTAACTAAGCAATAACGCCAAGAAACAGCGTAGGTTACCTGCAAGCATTTAGAATGGCTGAAAATGTGACAACATTTGGTTTGATTCGCAGCTCATGCATCTTTTGGAAGAGCCCCAATATGCACAAAAGTTCCTTCCTTTCGCCATTCTTTGATAACCCAGTCTTCTCCGCGGCAAGCTGCCCAAATATCTTCATGATCTTGTTATCACCTTTCTCCATCAGCTCATCTAAGCCAGCAGCCTCCTGGGCAATAATTGTCCTTAAAGGACCAACTTGCAACATTTCATCGCCCTTCTCAGCATCATTAACCACCACAGATTCCGAATCAAATGACAGACCAAAACCATTGATGATCGAGTTGTAAGTTACGACATTAGGTCTAGTACCAGCCTTTGTCATCTCATCAAGCAAAGAAACAGCAGTTCCAACGAATCCACCAACACACAACACATTGATAAGTGCACTGTAGAGAACAACATCAGCCTCGAATCCTGCTAGCTTCAACTCTCTAAACGCTTCCATGGCTTCATTATAAAACCCCCCTTTGGAATACACATCGATCAAAGTCGAATAGGTTACCAAGTTTGGAGACACACGTCGCAGTTTCATGTCTTCAAACACTCTTCTCACTTCATGGTACTTGCACTTCTTCCCGAATGTAGCTATGAGTGCATTATAAGTAACAACATCTCTTCCAAATCCAAAAGCTTGCATCTCCTTGTAGACGTCCAGAGCCTCCTCAAGCTTACCAAGGTTAGCATAAACTGAGAGCAATGTGTTATACAAAACTCTATCCAACTCAATCCCCTTAACCTTCATTTCATTAAACAACAACAGGGCATCATTCAATCTACCAGCTTTAGCATAACCATCAATCATAATGCTATAAGTAACCACATTTGGAAACATCTTCTCTCCAGGCATCTCGGACATAATCTTCGATGCTATGTCTAATTGCCCAGCTTTACAAGCAGCATCCAGAAGGGTATTATAAGTATGCAAATCCCGTTGGATCCCTCGACCTTCCATTTCACTGAACAAACTTCTGGCAGCATCCCATAAACCTCCTCTACTACATACAGCAAGCAGAGTGTTGTAGGTAATTCGATCAGGCTCCACTTCATCCTTCAACATGAGGTTGAAAATCTCTACTAGTTTGCTATACTCAACTCCCCCCTTGCCACAAGCATCAATCACAGCATTGTAAGTGACCAAATTCGGCTTAAGGCCATAGTACTTCATCGATTCCAAGACCTGCATAGCTTCATTACAGTAGCCACTCTTCCCATAAGCACTAATCAAAGCAGAGAAAGTGTACACATTGTTGCCATACCCTTCATTGAAAGCTGTCTCAAAGACGCTCTTTGCCAGCTCCACTTTGCCCAATCTTCCGAGTGTGCTGATCATGGAGCTGGCTAACTTCCCCTTCTCCAGCTTTCTCTTCTCCCTCTTGATGGCAAACTCGAAGCAGCAGAGGGCTCTTCCCCAATCGCCATTGTTGCCGAGCTCACGGAGCATGTAAATGTAGTCGTCGGAGCTGCAGAGGCGAGACTCAAACGCGAGGAGAACGTTCTCGAGGGTTAATTCGTCTTTTCCTGAACTCATCACCTGGCGGAGAGCCTCCTCGGAGATTGGAGTGTGGCGGGAGCCCGCCGTTGACTTAGGTCGACCCAGGTGGAACTTGGAGACGACCCGGGTCGAGCTGCGACCCGAAAAATTGGCGGCGAGGTTGGAATCGGGTGACTTAAGGGGAGCTAGGGAAGGAAAGGCGGGAGCTGTAGCAGCAGAAGAAGAAGCGGCGGCGGCGGCGCTGCGCGTGCCCGGGACCCAGAATTTCTGATTGGGTACCTGGCGGTACTGCTGCGGGTGGTGGTTGTGGTGGTGGTGCTGCTGGTGCTGACGGTGGCTGCTGGTCTGGAAGTTGTTTTGTGTTAGCGGGTTGTTGTGATAAGGCTTCTGGGCGTTGATTGAGAGCGGCGGCGTGGACGCCATTGTCGCTGTTGGTAGAGCTGAGTTCGATTAACAATCGGGACGAAACGGGTGTAAAGGAGTGAAAAAGGGTTGAACTTTTTGAACCCAACAGTCAGTGGGCAGTGATTGCAGGCTTTCTAGGGCGGGAGACAGCTGAGAGCGGCGGCGGCCATTTTCGTGCAAAGGATATGGCAGAGAGGCAATAGAAAGAGAAGATGTGTGTAAAATATTCATCCGTGTGTGTGCAAAAATGAGTTCTCCTTTTTCTTTTCTAATCTGAGTTCGGCAGCTGAAACAGAGCATTGGAATGTTCACTTATTTCTATCCGATTTCAGAAAATGTTGATAATGATCCTATGCTAACAAAACGGTACCAAGGCAAGAATGGTCATATAAGTTTCGCCTGTTAACAGAGTAGTCACAAAATTTTAAAAACTTGCCCAAAGAGTACTTATATCTTATTTTCCTTCCCCGCTCCCTCCCACAATTTGCAGGCAAAAAGGTAAAAACCTTTCATTAAGTTTGGCCAGCTAAAAGTTACAGCACTGGATCTCAGTTCAGATACATATACATAAGAAACGAATCATTAACCGTAATCATGCTTCTCTCATGGAAACTTAACAATCTAGTTTCCCTTCCACGTCTCCTGTGTATGGAATTGGAGCACATTCGCTCGGGCCAAAAAATCTAAGCAAACTTCTGTGGAAAGAATTATGTTCTTTGGTAGTGTAAAATTTGCAGTTCCCTTTTAATAAACAGCTCCACAAAACCTGTCATATGGACACAAGGGGAAGCATGGCTGTTGAAGAAGTGCTGCAGCAAGAATGGAAGGAAGAGAGAAACGAAAGAAATGCAGAGATGATGGTAATTACATTATACCGTATTCACATTGTAGGTACATTCTACTAATTGCTCCATAGCTTCTTCCTGGCAATCAGGACTCGCTCTTCACTCACCGAGAGAGCATCAGTGCTCGGTTCAACTTCCGACACCCACCGATCCCACTTCAATGCCGGTAATGACTTCTGGATATAGCTAATGATCGATGGTTTGTCTCGTATGATGACGAATGCTTCGGGCCTCAGGATCCTATCCATTTCAACGAGCAGGTCTTCAGTACTGCAGCCTCGCTCCTCCAGCTCCGAGAATACTGCCCAGGCATGGAGGAGATCGTATGTTCTCGGATATGTTGAGAATGATTCACACCTGAGTGAAGAGAGAGGCCACAAGTTTCCATCAGGATCATTGAATGTAATGCTAGAATCAAGGTTGATAACATATTTATCGCTATACAGTGATATCCCCCCAAAACAGGTATTATAAGTACTTTGAGTATTGACCCTGTGAATCATTGAGGCTGAAAGAGTGAGAAGAAGGATGAATGAGCTACCAGTCATGAACCGTTCCAATCAAGCCACGATCATAGATGATCTTAAGCCGGGCTGAGATGGTGACTGGAGCAACATTCATCACCCAGACATCTGTATCTTTAAGGGCAGCAGCAAAACCTCCGAGATTTGCATTCATATCCATGACATTCCTGAAGTAGCTCTTCCTCACAACGGATTTCATCTGCTTCCAGTACTCATTCACCCTAAATTTCCATATACGCTGCAAAAATATAATGGGAAGAAGCAAGCCAGCTATCAACATAGAAAAGATCGAGAAGGTGGTTAGTGAAATTAAGCAACGAGTCAAAAAGCCTTACAGTGTCTTCATGGAACTCTTCGGGACTAACACCAATGTCTTCCAAACGAGGAGGCGGTGTGATTAGCCTCTGCGGCCATGGTACAAGTCCAGTCCCTTTCTCCCTGTGCATCTCTGAAAGAAAAACAAAAAATGAATTGCTAACTTCAGCAAAAGGCTAGTGAATGCTCTTAGATTAAGATACCAACTTTGGTCACTGAACATGTGATGGTATGTGTCAAATTAGGTACTGAACTTGATTTCGAAGCAATTTAAGGACATAATTCAGTTAAGTTCAACTTTCAGTAACTTACGTGCAGAGTATTGAGAAATACAGGCCTTCATCTGAACATTCCACGCACCATCTGCATCATCCTCAGCGCTACACAAAGGCGGCTGAGTCCCAGGCTCTCTCTTCAAGTAACAACCATTGCTGGTTGGTTTCTGCCAGATCACCGTTTGGTCTTTCTTGGAAGCAACCCTCCAGCACATTCTTTTCAGAAGATCATGCATAGCATTCCCTATCCTTTGGTTCTCCGGATCCTTAGCATACGCCTCAGGGGACGAGTAAACGAAATAGCCTCCTGGTCTCAGCACCCTATCGAGCTCCAACAGCAGGATTCCATCCCTCTGCAGCCAATCAATCCTGCACCTTGAACAATGAGCCAACTCGAACGATCTGCTCGGATACGGAAGCCTCTTGGTCCCCAAGACACCAAGGGTTGATGGAATCCCTCTCTCCAATGCAAACTGTATCTGGTTCTCGTGAACATCATTTGGTGCCAGGGACATGGCTATGGTGCTGTGCTGAAGAAGATAGGCACCGAAGCTTGCCACTCCACAGCCCACGTCGAGGACATTCCTGAGGTTCCCACCATTGTGAAGCTTGTCGTTTGGAAACTTAAGCATCTACATGAATAGGGTAGCTTGTCATATGATCTTGAATGAAGAGATTGTAACAAAACGAGAGTAACTTGTTGTGTCTGTGGGGTCGAATTTGTGGCTTTGCATTGAAGGAACGAGAATAAAGGTTCAAACTGTCTCATCAAACAAATAAGACAGAACAAGTCAAAGAAAGAGAGGGTTGAAAGATGAAAACTCTCTGGGCACAATCAATCATAATTACCCTAGCGAGAGAGACAATGTACTTGTCAGCACCATAATGGAAATGGGTTCCTCCACCAGGGAAATTGATCTTATCCCCCTTAACAACCATCCAATTCTGATCAGACTTTTCGCTCGCCAAGTGGGTATGTGGGATATTAGCCTTCCACACTTCATCTCTACTCTCCGGCCACCTTATCGGAATCTGAAACTCTAAATGCCAGCATTTCATCACGACAACTAAAACCAAACCAACTCTCCGAAACACAAACACTCCAGTTTATCCTGCCTAACCTTATAACCAGCCGGCGGCGGAATCAGACAATTGAGCCGCCGCTGCGGCGGCGGACAGTGGCGCTCGTAGTGCTCCATCAACGACAAGTTCAGCTTCAACCTCAGCTGGTAAATTAGCTCTCTATCCAAGCAAGGTATCAGCTCGGAGTACTTCATATCACAGATCTACAATCAAACACGCCAACACTCTCCAACATCAAACGACATCCAAATCCCCCAATTCGAGGAAAAACGGAACTGAACTTACCGGAATGGTTCTGGGTAGTTCCAGATTCTGGAGGGAGTCATCGTCGAAGTGCTGGGGACCGGGCAGTGAACCGAGGACCGGGTCAGAGCCGTCGCGGCGGAGGGATTCTGGGTCCGATCCGGGCGCGAAGGAAGAGCCGTAGTATAAACAGAGTAGGCCGAGAAACAGGATGACAATCAGGAGAAGGTAAGTGATTAGCTTGGACGACCGAAGCTGGTCGCTTTTCTGCCTCATTCTTCTTCTTCTTCTTCGTTCCGATTGAATCGGTGGAGGGTTAAAAAAGCCCTGGTGGATTGGAAGCTTGAAAGTTGAAACTGAACCGGTAAGAAAGGAATCTGATTTCTGCGAGCTTTTTTCAGCTGCTTTGCTTCTTGCTGGGCTGGCTACTACTACTAGTCTGCTAGACTACTACTGAGCACTGAACTGTTCTGTCGTCTGAAAGGGCGGGGAAGAATCAGGTGAGGTCGAGCTCAGTGGTACGAGTGGAGGAATTGGTTTGGTTGACGTTTCGGTTTGATTCAATAAAGCCGGCCAGCCCCAGTGAGGCCCAAATAGGTGGGCTGGCCCATTGATGTCTAGAGTCCATTGGATTGATATGGATCAGTAAATCTCTTCATTTTTATCATAGCCAGAACAAAGGAAACTGGGAGAGCGGCGCCGTCCACCATCGCCAGCGCTTCCGTCCACCATCGCCAGCAGCTCGCCGCCGCAAGCAGCTCGCCGTCCCGTCGCCATCGTCGCCAGTCGCCCTCGCAAGCGATCGAGAGAAACCCAGTCGCCGTCGCCATCGTCGCCATCGAGAGAAACCCAGTCCCGTCGCCAGTCGCCCTCGCAAGCGATCGAGAGAAACCCAGTCGCCGTCGCCATCGTCGCCGTCGAGAGAAACCCAGTCCCGTCGCCATCGTCGCCAGTCGCCGTGAAGACTGCCCTGCTCACCGCCGCAAAGAACAGCCGACCTCCTGCTCAAGGTAAGTTTCCTATAAAAACTGCCCTGCTCGAAGCTACCATTCTGAAGCTAGAGATTAAAGCTGCGAACAACAACAAAGTATCAAGTCATTAGGGCTCAACAAATTTAACCAGTCGGTAAAAACCCAAAAGAGAGAGCATCCAGGAATTGTAAATAATAACCTGCTTCCTTAGACGTTCTCTTTCCAATTTCCATAGCTAATTGCATCACTAAATCAGTCATCACTTTACTCTGAAAGCTAATGCCCTTTGCAGCAACTAATTTTGTCTCCTCACAACGATTGAAGTAAGCTTCTAGAATGGTTTTAAGAGAGTAATTTACTTGTGGTTTACCATGATTAAGAAGTGTCTACTATTATAGATAACTGTTTATTAGGTATCGGTTCTCAAACGGTTTTTAAACGGTCTAATGTCGGCTGGACCGCTAATGACCAAGCCGTTCACGTTACCGGGTCATACTCCGACTCGGCTTTGACAGCATTGAATTAAATTTACTTGTAACAATGAGTTAGTGACTATCAATCAAATCCATATCATTGAATCAATGCTCATGTCTTATTAGGGGCGTAGCCAAAATTTCGTCCAAGGTGAGTCCACTTAGGAAAAAATACACATGAGAAATAGATTTTATTAACTTTTTTAATCATTCGTGATATTATCTTTGTCACGACTGTTTCTCTGCGGATCGAGAAATTGGAGTATTCGACAATGCAAGAAAAACGAAAGCGCACACACACGACGCGTGATTTATGTGGTTCACTAACACAATGTGTGTTAGCTAGTCCACGGGCTAGAGAGAGCAAATTTCACTATACTTCAAGGAGATACGTATAGATTACAGAGGAGTATGAGAAGTATTTATAGTATTTTTTCTAAATCTAACACTAATCCAATATGGTAGCAGCTCATAGTTCGATTCAAATCGCATAAACAATCTTATATTTGGAATTTGTAAGTTAAAATGCATTAGTAGTTGTAACTATCAAGTTATTCGTTATTCGGTTAGTTGTTCACTTTCGAACGATGTTCTTTATCAAAAACCGTATAGTATTAATAACCCACTTGTTGAGAGATGTTTAGTAATTAATCTTATACCAAACAATTATTCGCAATTTAGTTAGTAGTTCCTTTCGAAACATGGTGGTTTTTTCTCCAAGAACATTTAGTATCAATAACTCGAGTTGTTGAGAGAAATTGAATAATATAATCTTATAGTATTTACTAACACACATCCTCGTAAGAAAGTCAACTTATATGAAATTGAAATTTGAACAAATATGAATTCTATGTAATTAACAAATGCGGTTGCCAAGATTCAAACGCAAAACCTCACGATCAACTATTCTCACTTAGACACACACTAATTTTTAGTTAACAAATTTCCTTATGAGTGACCCACCCTGTTACACTCTTCTCAACCCGTGTCTTGTACTCTGTATCCTTTTAACTCATTTGTTCGGATGATATCGCCCGAGTTCTGACTTAAAATTTATTTTTCATAAAAAAAATAATATTGGCTTGAAAAAGTTAAACTTGGAATCTTTAACAAATGCATTTGTTAACAAAAATAATTGGAAAACGCATAAAAATTATTTAAAAATACCATCGTGGAGTGTTTACTTGGCATACCATTGCCGCGAACCTTCTAAGTTCTATCCTTGCCATCATCGCATGCCTGCCACTCCGCCATTGTTAATCAATTCCCTGATCCAAAACATAAAAACCTCAAATTCCAGTATCGGCCAAAAAAGCTTCTTCACTTTCCTCCGCTCCCCTTTAACCCTTCCTTTTCTTCTCCTTTCACGGAAGACCCACACCAAGAAACAAGAAAGTATCGATTCCGGAATCCGATTCAGATCCACCTTTGCAGAATCTCCCGGTTTGCTACTGATCTACTCAACACATACAATCCACTGTGGCAGACTGAAACTTCCACACATCAAGTTTCTCAGACGATGCTACACCATCTCCCTCCTCTCCGACCTGCTTCGTAAACAGAGGTCAGGATAAATATACGAAACCTATGTCTCCTATTATAATCTCGAGGAATGCCGGTTGGGTTTTATTAATCCATCGGTCGTCATCTGGTAGGTTTCCGATCAGTGGATTGCAGTTGATTGTCGGCGAAGCTACCATAGCCAATTTCGGCATTCTGCCAAAATTGGAGCTGTGGCCGCTAGTTCTGTATATAAGCAGAAATAACGTTTCTGACAGGAGAGACAAAAGGGGAAAGAGAAATATTAGGCGCAAAAAAGGAACTTTAACCGATAAGAAATCGGTGAGGGGTAGGGAAAGAAGCCGAGTTACGTGAGCGAGTCTAGCAGCGAACTCGAGGCTTTGTTGATTTTTGTTGCAGATATTCATGGGAGCAAAGAACTCGAGGGAAGGGAGCTGGAGGTCGGATTCCTCTGTAAGGTCTGCGGCGGCATCTTCATGGGATTATGTTCAACAACCTTATTATGGGCAGCCGTATGGTCAAGACGGCTACGGATATGGCTATCCGCCACCCCAGCAACCTCCCACACAGCCGAACTATCCTCCACCGGCTCAAGTGGGAGGTGGTGATATAAGGCGGCTTGATAGAAAGTATTCGATAATTGCCGACGACTATAAATCCTTGGACCAGGTGAAGTGTTTACAAGATTATGTTTGTCTGTTTGTTGTTTATTGGATGAGAATTGGCTGGCTATGCATGCAATTGGATTTTAAGGACGTCCTTTAATTCAATCTTACCTCCTGGTTTGAGGTAATATAGGCTTTTGATCATTCTTGTATGGTTCTTTGCAGGTGACTGAAGCTCTTGCACGTGCTGGACTTGAATCATCAAATCTCATTGTTGGAATTGACTTTACGAAGAGCAACGAGTGGACTGGTATATGTTTCTGTTGTATGTTTTGATATGTAAATTAGGATGCACTGTTAGAACATACGGCTTAACATGGCTTGATCACTAGGTGCTAAGTCTTACAACAAAAAAAGTTTACATCACATTGGAGATGCCTTGAATCCCTACGAGCAAGCTATTTCTATTATTGGGAAGACTTTAGCTGCCTTTGATGAGGACAACTTGATTCCCTGCTACGGATTTGGAGACGGTAGGGTCTCAACTCTTATGAATTGTTTTCGATAATTGAATTACATAGCAATTTGTGTTACTGAGAGTTACTATCCATTGCCAGCTACGACACACGATCAGGATGTCTTTAGTTTCTATCCGGATGAGAGGTTCTGTAATGGATTTGAAGAAGTTTTAAGCCGATATCGAGAAATTGCTCCAAGCCTGAGACTTGCAGGTTTGGTTTACATGTTCCCCAAGTCATATTTGTATTCCATGGATAGAATTGCCACAGTAGTTTATTTTTGGAGCTTATGCATCTTTTTTTCTTGGTAGGTCCGACGTCATTTGCACCTGTTATTGAGAAGGCAATGACGATTGTTGAGGATAGTGGTGGCCAGTATCATGTATTGTTGATAATAGCAGATGGGCAGGTAATTCGCCTCAGTATATGATAAAAATTAGACACCACATGATAATTGTCAATGAGAATCTGTAGTTTATAATCACGTGCTTACCATGTCACAGGTTACTAGGAGTGTTGACACTGAGCATGGGCGGCTAAGTCCACAGGAGCAGAAGACAGTTGATGCCATTGTACAAGCCAGGTAAACAGTCTGGTGACATGATTTCCTCTGTTATTTTCCTTATACGTGTTCCTGTATTTCACTGTTGAGTGGAATGCGCCACTGGTCTCCTGATCATGGATTTCCTCTTCTGCAGCAAGCTTCCCTTGTCTATTGTTTTGGTAGGGGTTGGGGATGGCCCATGGGACACGATGAAAGAGTTTGATGATAACATCCCTGCTAGAGAGTTTGATAATTTCCAGGTAACTGAATCACTTCCATTAGTTTCTCTTTTACAGCTCATTATGATCATCTTCAGAAATCCATAAGAAATCTGAAATTATGTTCATGTAGTTTGTAAATTTCACGGAGATTATGTTGAAGAACGTGCACCAATCCCTCAAGGAGACACAGTTTGCACTTTCTGCTCTCATGGAAATTCCTCCTCAATACAAGGCAACGATGGAACTTGGACTATTGGGGTAACAGCTCAGCTACTTCGCTTCTCTGTTTGTCAGGATTAATTACTGTCTTCCTATATATCAGCTTTTTCTTCTTTCTTTTTGTTCCATTGCACATACACGAGTTTGTTTTGAGTTAAAGATCACGACTTAAGGACCGAGTTGGGGAAACCTCTAACAAGCTCCCCTCAATGAGACACCTTTTACAATATAATAGATGCCCCTCCATGCCTATGTCTCCTCAGGACATCATCCTGTTGTCTATTCTTTTATTTACTTGATTCTTTATCTTTGAATCTGCAGTCGTAAAAGGGGAAATATTCCTCAGCGGGCTGCACTCCCACCTCCTGTCTATGGGTCCTCATCTTTTAGTAGCTCCAAATCTTTCCAGTCTACTACCAGCTCCAAATCTTTCCAGCCTACTACCAGCTTTAAGCCTACTGTGCCGGTTTATGAACCAGACACCCATCCGATCAGCTCAGCACCGCCAATCACAAGTTCATCCTACGAAAACCAGGTTAGTTACTTATGGTTCGGCCAATTTTTCCGCATAACCTAGAGTTTTGATTTCAATGGCAGCCTCAAATGACACATTTTGGTGGTCTGTTTAACTGTACAGCTTTGCCCTATCTGCCTCAGCAACGCGAAGGACATGGCATTCGGCTGTGGGCACCAAGTGCGTATTCTTTCTTAATAGCTCCTTTGTGATTTTATCTGTGAGAAACTTGAGATCGAATGGAGGTTGATTGATATTTCGGTTTGATGGTTCTTTTGTTGTGTGGCTTCAGACATGTCGCGAGTGTGGTGAAAACGCAAACCTTCAACTGTGCCCTATCTGCCGGACTCCGATCAGCACCAGGATAAAACTCTATTAAACCGTGGGCGAAAGGATGAAGGGTTTGCCTGCCTTTTGTAACTAATGCGTGGCTTTCTCCAGTAATATTGTAATTCGTTTATTCAATGTTATTATTTTGGATCTGCTGGTTTCAGTTGTAGGCTTGAAATCTGCTGGTTTCAGTTTTAGGCTTGAAATTTGTACATACAGAAATGGAAAACCATTTTTCTCCAGTTTCCTGATCGCTAACGCCCAATTTGGTCCCCCTTCTTATGAGTACTATTTTCTGAATGAATATAAACAGATAGAAGCTTAACAAACCAGCAAGAGAGCATGTGAGAATGTTGATTACAGAATTTACTGTATATGCGGTATTCTTTTCGGAACATAGTCATCTCATTAAATGCTTGTTTGGCTGTATTTCGTCATCTAATGTCCAACTTTTAGGAGTAATCTCATTAAATGCTTGTTTGGCTGTATTTCGTCATCTAATGTCCAACTTTTAAGAGTAGTCCAAGGAGTTTGATAAGTAGCATATTTTCTACATGTATTAAACTAGGAGGCTAGGAAAGCACTATTGGTGGAGGCAAATGGTGTGAATAGTGTTTGTGTAATTTTTAGGGGAGAACAAGTTTTTTCTCTTAGTGTTAGGGTGTGGTACCATAGGCAGAGCCAGCTTATATTGTCCTTGTATCCAACAATTACAAGTAATATAAGAATATTTTGTCACTATATCATAGCTCATTACCTGTCTAATAATTGATTAAAAATAAATATTTTATGTGTTCCATTCATGATAATTATTCGACAATAACTTGTTGGGTATTATCATGATATGAGATTTCGTTAATTGAAAGAAATTGATGAATTGTCTCGAATAATGATGGAGAAAAAATATGTAAGTCATATCCATCAGTTTATTTGCTTCTGAAACTAGTTTTGATTCTACCCGTTGCAACTGTAACTCTGTAAGTGCAGAAATAACATTTTTAGCTTGAACTATACTAATATAAAGTTTCGAAGTCGAATTGACGATCAGTTTGCTAAAGATTGTTTAATAGGATACATTGAAAGAGGCTTATTTAAGAGTATAGACAACGAATGTATTTTGCATTGCTTTGAGAGAATGAAAATTCGTCATAATTGTTTATGCAAACATTAATTATATTAGTCGATAATTTCTTTATTTATATTAATTATATTTTTAAAAGAGGCCAGGGGTAGTTTCAAATCATGCCTCCGCCACTGTGTGGTCATACAATAAAATACTTTTGTTGAACCTAGTTCTTCTATGTTCCATGTTCGAAACTAGCTAGCCGCATTCTTTATATTTTTATAAAACTTTCTTGCAACTCGCAATGGTAAATTTAATCCTTTAAGTTGCATAATTTGTTTGATAAATCCTATACTTTCAAATTAAATTAATTAAGTTCTTGGACTCTTGAATTGGTAATTTAAGAATTCTTTGCTATAGTCAATTATAGTAATTCTTTTGAAACACTAATACAAAGGATAAGTAAATTTTCAATTAAGAATATATTGAATAATATGATATCTATCGACTTGTATAGTTAAACTTTTTTATACAATTTGCTCATTGTTATGAACATAACCCTATAGAAACTTTAGAATAAATTATATGTTAAATTATTTTGATTTTTTTCAAATAAAATCTTACCTCGTTATAAGAATATCATCATTATTTTCATTAAGATATGTTACTGCTCTTCTTTTTTTTTTTTTTGCGTTATTATTATATTCATTAAGTCATTCGGGCCTCCTGAATCTAAAATCCTAGCTCCGCCCCTGCCGGCTGCCGCTACCAGCCTTCGAGATGGACGCCTGCAAAAGAGGAACCCACCGGCGGTGGTTGGCGGGGACCTGCTCCGAAGCTCAAGTCAGTATTTGAGACGAGAGTAACCAAGAGCGGCGTATTGATCCGCCTCTAGAGAGAAATTTAGAGTTCAACTCCAAAATGAACTGCCTTGAAAGCATAATAAGCGTCCTATTTATAGGTGTCTCATGCTTCTGACGTGGATGGTGTGTAAAAAATAATATTCTTTTATCTCCAAACCAACATGTTTCGTGCAATGCTCGAGTGAGTGTCAAAAAAACTAGAGCACCCAACCAATCTATGTAAATAGTAATGGTTGGTTGGTTGTATCGAATAAAGAAAGAAACACATATGACCCTTAACTTAAATGAGTTGCTTACCTGGCTCTTCTCCCTGACCTATGAATAACTAAATCTGGACCTCTAGATCTAAGTGAGCCCAGAAAATTCAGATCTAAGGGTTGTCAATTAAAAACATCTTATTTTCCCTAGTTTTCATAATCGGCTCTTATCTTCTTTGTTTTAACTCGGATTTCAAATTTTTTTCACACATGGAACGAGTTCGTTGTGCTCTACAAAATGAGATCAATTTTCAATATATTTCGAAAAACTTTTTTTTTACCAACTACATACCATATGATAACTTCTTCGTTTTTAAGTCTTTTTTGAAAACGTTTGCTTAGAAGGAACGAGTTCATCATGATCTATTGGATCTACAAATTTCTGGGTAAAAAAAATATTGGACCAAAAATTATCACACTTTACCACTATGGTATGTGGATGGTAACTTGTAGTAAACAATGATGAAAGTCGTAAATGACAGTTAGTATACTCCTACTATCATGTAATCAACCTTCTTATCATATTGGTATGTTCATACAATCATGGTACTCTTTCTTACCATATGGTATTAAATATGAGCATACCATATGGTAATGACTGGTAAAAAATTATTCAATTTTTTATTTGTACTAAAAATATATCAAAGTGGATATCATTTTAAAGAGCACATTTAATCTGATTTATCTGTGCAAAAAAAAAAATTCGACTTAAAACGAGAGAGAAATCGTCCGTTAAAGATTAAAGGGGAAAAAATAAAAGACTTTCCAGGAGAGAGGGGATGCTGATGTCATACGGATGTTGACAGGTTACTGAGATGGTTACTCACCATAAGAGTTACTGACCTGATTCACTCCCCTGTCCACGTGTAGTAAGCGGGGAAATGGTTTGGTTAGTGTAGGTAACTAGATGATTAATCAAGTAATCATCCACCTCATGTATTTCTACTAAGCCACGTATATAAGTAGTGGGAGGTGGGACAATGTGGTTGTTTGAGGGCTTATGAAACCACACATTCACATAATTATTTAATCAAATGTGGTAATTTCATAACTTAATTTCTTTTCTATTAGACCACATTTTAAGGAAGATTTACGTAAACATTATATAATAATTAGTTAAATTATAAAATACATTATCTAAAACTTATGAGAATAGTTATTTCTTATGTATTGATGAAATAAAACTCATTATATAAGTCTTTCATAATAATTAAAAAGCTACGTAAAACTTATGGAGGGATAGTCATTTCTTAAGTATCAATTAAAGAAACATTTTTTTCATTTGTTATTGGTCTGAAGATTCGAACCTAAAGTGTGGTAGATGTTATTATCCCACATTACCAATAGGTCAACCCCTTGGGGTTAATTAAACATATATATTACGCAAGTCTTCCATAATTTAAGTTTTTGTAACATAGGTTTGAAGTAATATTCATTTATTATTAAGTAAACTGCTCACCATCAATTTGAATTGCATAAATATTTCTTTTAATTCAGTAATGTTTTTACATAACAATTTAATCAAGTATAAAACTTTTCATAACTTATTTGTTTTTTAATTAGCTAATTTTAATTAATTATTAAATACACTAATAATCATCTCATCAGCTAGCATTATGCTTATGTATCATAAGGTAGGTTAACTTTCATATAATATTTTAATTATTATGATACTTTTCAGCATTTGATTTGTTATTAGATCACAAATTACGGAAGATATACATAACAACATTCTATAATAATAATGTTAATTAAAAATACATCATGTAAAACTATGGAGGGATAACAACCTATTACGTAAGTATTTCTTAATGATTAATACACGAAGCAAAGTTTATGAAGGTATCTTACCCGAGCAATTTTATGAATTATTTGATTATATTTAATCATTAAATAATTAGATAAGATTTAAATATAATTAATTTCTTACCGCGGTGAAACGTGAGCAAAAAACTAGTCTCTTTAAATGCAATATTTTCACTTTCCTTCCACGTGTAAGAGTATGACAATGAGAGGAGTGGTTTGCATGAAGAGAGAAGGAAGAGAAGACAACAAGATGTTGGTAAAAATTATTTACTTTCTTCTCCTTTGGCCATGTGGAAATGATAGGGAAAACTTTATTCAAAGCACCCAAATAATCACCATTCTTTCTTTCCACATGTGGATTAATGTGTAAGGGGAGATTGGTGGTTTGAGGGTCAAGAAACCAAAAGTTTCTTTTAGTATATAAAAGCTGGCTACGCTTTTTGCTCTTTTTTTCCCGTTAGTGTTTCACTTTCTGTCTTTTAGTGCCAATTGGTGAAAGGGCTTCGTGAAGGAGCTTCCCCAATCCCCACAGAGTCCCTTTCCCATACAACAAACATTTTCCTTCCCTCATTCCAGCAGAAGCCCATTCATCCAATTTCTTCGAATCACCAATGACTTGAAGGTAGCGAAATTCGTTGACCAATTATGGTTCCTCTGCTTTGAGTTTACGGCGGGCCATAAAGATCTCTTCTTCTTCTTCCATGACATGTATGTCCCGTGGATGAATTGGCATATTATCTTCATGTTCGACTAATGTGGCAGTCCACCTTATCATTCCATGCTCGTCTCTCACAACCACTCCAATGTAGACGAAGCCATCTCTAAACGAACCATCAGTTTCTAGATAGAAACTAAACAAGAAAAAAACTAAATAAATGAGAATGATTTGAGATTATAAACTAAAAATTATCCGAAAGTAGTGTAGGGTATATGAGAACTTACCCTCCCGAAACAAAAGGTGGATGGGGGAGCAGCCTCATTCGAAAGAATCTCACTTTTTTATAGGTGTCTTTGACTTCCTTAGTGAGTTCATCTTTCCTTAAAATCTTCAATTGATGCCTGAGGATGGCCTCCACCAAGGCAAGTTTGAGGTTAGGCATTTTCTCATAGCGTTTGAGTTGCTTCTTGAATCGCTCAATAGTCATGTATCCCTTTTGAAACCAATCCCAAGTGTTGCCAGCTTGTTTTCGAGTGTGTTGATCGGCAAGAAGTTCACAAAGCTGGCACGAGACAAGCTGGTTCTCTTCGGATGGACAAAACGAGGCGCATGAAGGTCGTGCAACTGAGCTGGCACGAGACAAGCTGACTCGGGCCGGAGACCTTGACCAACTCTGGTTCAACCTTATAGTGTTTTGCTTCTTAATACCAATTGCATCTTTGAAAAAGTCTGTAAGGGAAAGAAGAAAAGGAGTTAGATGTAATTCTGGGGGAATAGTTGTATTTGTCAAAAATAATCTTAATGAATATTAATCTTATTTGTCCAAAATAAGCAAGAAAAACTGAAAAAATAAGCAAACAAAAAATAATCTAGAGAAAGATTATAATTCTTTAATGTACCTGTACCACCTTTAATAAAAGAAAAAAACATGAAAGATTATACATAAATGAGTTGATTCACCTAATAAGCCTAAAAAGATGACGTGCCACTAACTCAGAAGCAGAGGCTCGAACTGAAGTCATCCATCTCAGAAGGAGAGCAGATTGAATACCCCAAAGATGGGCAATAAGACGAAAAGGAAAGATGAAAAGACAAACGAAAAAAACAGGGGGAGGGAATGTAAAGGGAAACAAGCAAATCAAAATGGAAATGGTGGAGGGCCACCGCCGTCCCAAAGGAAAACCCACGGCAGTCATGTTGAAGATTTGAAACTGAAAATTAATTGACCTAGTTGTTAATATTTTTCACTATGATTGCATTTTTCTTTAAAGTTCTTTTTTTTACATTTTGGCAAATAAACATTACATGGCGGCTGACTTCATCCTTCCATGAATCAAACAATATTATATGTTAGGATCGTATAAATCAGAACCCGCTAGATGGAATGGAAAACTTACTTGTTGCTTTCTTGATCATTGCTTTTTTTAACATTGTGTGCGTCCAAAAACAACGTGGTTGATAAAGGAAAATTATGATATGCCCAACTTCTCCTTGCTGTTGGTTGGATTGAGCTCTTCAATAGAGCTTACAATCAGAGAAAAGGGGAAACAATGAAGAGAAGAGTGAGCAAGAACTAATACTCACATTAGTGGTTGGTCAACAAGTCACAATATATGCATGTAGTACTATCATGTGCTCATTTTGATTTCATGGCAGCGGCGAATCCAAGGGGGGAGCCCGGCCAGCCGTCCCATACTACAAAACTAGTTAGCATTTAATAAACCCGGTTTATAAGTCCGTTGGCCCGGTCAAGCAAATAAGTTGAGGGTTAATGGGCCGATCGCTTTAGCCCGGACATATGGTAAAAATCATTATATTGTTTATACATATATAAATTATTATTTAATATCTCATCAAATATATGAGTAATAACATATAAAATTACGTCAAAATAACATGTATGAACAAAATAACATGTACTTGGATACAACATATAGTGAAATTTCACACACACTTATATAACATCAATGTTCAAATGTTTAACTTATAATTTCAAAGATTGGTTTATGCGAAAAGCAAAACCGAAAAATAGGCACATTTCACAAACCAAAGGAAAACGCCACCGTTTGACCTCCCGGCGGGTGTGTGTATAGCCCGTTTTTCTCACCGGGTCAAGGTCAAAGCGGGCCAACTGGAGGGTCGACCCACGGGTTAACAACCTTGGCACTTATAAATTTTTCGTGTTAACTGTTTAAATTTTTCGTGTTTAGGTGTTTGGCCCAGTTCTATTAAAAGATGGTCCAGTATCATTTAGAAATAAAATTTTGGATAACTATGACAATGGTACAGATGAATATATCCAAATCACTACTCTAAGGGGTTGTTTGGAGAATGGGATTTAGGGCGTGGATTTATTGAATCCGCAGATTTTGTAGAAAGTTATGTTTTTTTGTTGTTTTTTGTATTGTGGATTTTAGCTTTAGAGATTTTAAAACTTTAAAATCTATGGATATCAAATCTCTCATAATCAGAGAGATTCTATATCTTGATTCGTGAGATTTTTTCTCCTATCTTTTCACTTTCTTTTATTTATTTATCACATTAAATATATTTACTAATTTTTTTTAAATATTTCTCAAACTACTCTAATTTTTTGTTAAGGATAAACATGTTATTTAATATAAAATTTTTATTTTTATTTTCATTAAATGTTAACAATCACAGTTACCAAACAATAAACATTTTAAAATCTATTTTCAACAATCCGAAGAATTAGAATCTTTAGATTGTTGACAATCTATAGATTTAAACTCATATTCTCCAAACGACCCCTAAATTAAGTCTATAAATTCTAATGCCACTAAAATTTTAAAAACGTAAAAGAATAAAAGCTTAAATTTTAAAAAAATCTCTAAATTAAAGCTCACCATCCCCTATCAAAACTCAAAAAGTTCTCTTGATCCCCCAAAGCAAAATAAGAATAAGGAGACGAATGGACCCAGAACGAATTCCTCCGCAAAGCTAGAAGGCAAAACAACATTGTATGATTAATTGATTATGCATCTTTGAAGATACTTAATCATGACATCTTCTCAAGCACCAAATGAAAAGGCGAAATCGACGTAACAAATCTGAAAGTTGCAGACCGAAGAAGTCCCTTCTAATGAAGGTCAACCATCTTTCCGGTCTTTTGATGAAGAAGATATTTACAAACTTGTTGAAGAGTTTTATCCTCGAGATTATGAAGGTATGAGATGTATTGTTTGAAGAATGAGCTATGATATTATGCCGCTCATGTAGTTTCTTCCCTCACAAAATTACTAGAGAAGCTTGTGGAAACAAGGATGATACATGATACAAATTGATTTGTCGACTGATTCGTATAGTGTCAACGTTATCCCATTTCAACGGCTACTAGAGAGAGAACATTTTAAACAATGGAACGTGTGAAATCTTATTTGCACAACAAAATGAGTGATGAATTTCTCGCTGATTTCTTAACTATTTTCTTTGATGACAATATGCTATTGGTACGGTTGAAGACTAGTTATCAACTATTTTCTTTACAATTTCCACTATGATGAACACTATACTTATTATATATATTTTTATAATATCTAATTCTTTATCAAATGCGGCCCAGTGCTCTACTATATACTGGATTCGCCAATGTTGCATAGCCCAACTAAAAACACAAAGCACACTTTCGTGTTGTTCCTTCCTGCTCATCACACAACTCTTCATTTCACATAATGTCCCAACTAAAACAATCATTGCAAAGAACACTTTGCTAACTTGGAACATAACAAGAAAAGAAAATCCAAAATATTTTAACCTTGTTTCTTTGTCCTTGATATCAACTAATTGCTTAAGGGGACATGACGGGTTGTGGTCAAGTGGGCTTGATTGATTTCATTGCTGGTGAAATGTTTGATAGAACGAGAGTCCTATATTTGGAGTTGCTGTTGGCCCAATGACAGAGGATCGGTTTGGGAGAAGATAAGCTTTTATGCTTTCACTTGGGTTGCTCGCTCAATCCAATTGGCATGGAGTGGCCACCACTTCCGAGTTTGCAGACAGTAATCTTCTTTACTCTCTTTCACAAGTATACACACAAATATCAGTTGCTTCCGTAGCTCATTTTTAGAAAAGAATGATTTCTATGACACCACTTGCACTAGACTTGCTTCTTTCTCCGATCTCTGTTGGTTGCATTCACCTATTCTCAATCCAGTACCTGCACTTAGGGGAAAGGATTACGACAATACCAAAATGATGTATCCAGACTAAATTGAAACCAGTTATGGCCTCCAGTATAAGGTCTAGGACTGAATCCCATATGTTTCTCAAAATAAATTCAAGTTCCTGTTTTATCATTTTGCACCCAGCTTTGTGTTGATTCGGTAACCAGAAACAATGCAGGACCTCCGTCTTGGTCGTGTCACAACTCCTACAATCGGAAAGACAACTGTGGTGAGCACTTAATTTTTAAGCACCCATTTGACGATTTAGCTGCTTCATTTGATCAAGTAATAGAATTAATTGATTAAAATCATTGCCAGGAAGAACTTGGTTCGTTCCAACATTCAGAGGTTAGAGAGGATGCTAGATTTGGGTAAACAAAGATGGCAAATGCTTAATCACCTGGATTTATAATGAACTTCCTAGAATGGTAGTTTTCCTTCATATCTTCAGGCATGTAAACCTTTCAATAGTCACGTTCTGCATCTTCGTAACAAAAATTCCTTTTCTCATCTTATCACAGGTGCTAGAGTTGAGGGGGGACAAGCAGTAGACATCCATATTATCTTGGTAGAAACAAGTATTGATAGTGGATCGTAATTAGCAGCCAATTTGAGTGTTGTGGTTCCTGAAAGAGAGTTCAATGATCGATGAAAGTATTTTTGCAATGCTACTTCGCGAAAAGTTCTGAACAAATACCACATATAGAAAGGTGGCAGGTGGATTCTGGTGGTTACAACTTTTTGCAGTATTTTTGCAATGCTACTTCGTGAATTTGTTTATTCAACACTGTCTACCATCATAGCAAAATTCGTTAGCTAATGACCCTGTTTCTTTGTTAAAAGAGAGTGGAAATAATAATGTAGTTGAAATCTAGAAGAGTTTCCCTTGACCTGTTACAAGTAATATATATCTGAACGTTCTTTACCTGTTGCTGCACAATTTTGCTTTTTGATTGCTTATATCCTTACAGTTTGTGTAGAGCCTGTTGATATGAAGTTTGACATTCTCTTTATTGTGGCTATGTGTATTGCTATGTATAATTGCATTGCTTGATTAAGCTGCAACCTGCTACCAATGATACCTTTACTTCGCAGTCTATTTAAAAGTCCTTAGTATCAATCTATTCTCATTATGTATGATGTTGTTGGAATAGGTTTGTGAAGATGCCATCATTTGAATGAATTTTTACATGGAAAATTTGGAATCCACAGCTAGGAATGATCTCCAATCTGATTATGCTTTAAGGGTTAGGCAGAAGTCAGTATGGACAATTTCAGTTCCTAGGATCTAGACGTAACTTCTTCCTTTCATGTCATGATTTATTGCAATTCTAATTAATGAATTTTCCTTGGTAGTTATTCGGTGTTGTTTAACGTTTGATTAGAGTTCCCTAGAGAATTTCTTATTTTCAATCATTATGTCAGTCCTGCAACTCATTGATGTTCCACAAAGAGTTTCTTCTCGGCCCATTACTATTCCTTGCTGCCTTTCTTGAACTTCAGTAGTTTGGAATGGGTGGATAACACTGCCTCCTACTACTTCCCGTTTTGCTCTACCACCAGTGGTTTTATCACATTGAAAATTTCCAACATCGCTACAGACTTGCTCAAAGAAACATAGATTCCTCAATGACTCGGAAAGCGCAGAAGAAAGGGCGGAAACCTTGAACAACAGTTATCTTTTGCAATTGAGATGCAGAGGAGTATGACATGGTTCTACTCTTTCCTCTCCGTCATTCTATCTTAGTTATGTGTGCATGTGGCATAAGCAGAAGGAAAAACATAACCTACTGCTCTAAACATGCAGGTAGGATCAACTAAATGGGTTAAAGACAAGAACCCAGGTGTGGCATGGTCTCTACTCTTTTTCATTCTATCTTAGTTATGTGTGTGAATGTGTCATAAGCATAAGGAAAAGCATAACCTACTGCTCTAAACATGTAGATAGGTTCAACTAAATGGGTTGAAGACAAGAACCCAGGTGTTGAAATCAAAAGTGGTGGCGTAGTGTGAGCGGATCTCTTGACCATTGAAAATGAGCAACAAAAGTATTGGTGAAGAGCAACCTCTTGGCCATTGAAAATAAGCAACAACAGCATTGGTACAGTCCATGCGCTTTCATTTTCTTTATAAACTTCATTGTCTCTGTATTTGGTACACTATATGTCACTTGATTGTGGTTGGTGCTTCTTGATTGTGGTTGGTGCTTCTCTAAATATAGTCTATTAATTGATTGGTTTCAGTCATCATCTGTGAGAGACATGTGCTTCATTCATCGTGATACTCAGGCAGCCAACGTACTCTTCGATTCAAGCTCGAAGCCAATGTACTTTATGCAAGTAGGGTGATGGGAACTTTCGGGTAATGTTCTGATGGAGTTTTACTTTTTTGAAGTGGAGAATATTATAGTCAAATCTTCTGAACTCGATTTGTTCATGCATTTTCTTTGTTTTTATGTAGATATTTGGCTCTCGAGTATGCTTCAAGTGAAAGCTCTCTGACAAATTCAGTGCATTATGCTTTGGAATGATGCTTATGGAGCAGATTAAGTAAGTTTCTTTGCTTCACCTTTTAGTTTTCATATGCGGAGTAGGCCTTCCGGTTACTTCAGAAAAGATAATCAACTTCATTGCTGTATTGTTGTTATGGGACAGGTTAGTACATTCATGAGTCAACTGTGACACTCATTTGATGATTGAACTTCCTTAGAAATACTAGCCACCAAAGCAAGTGATAACTTCTGCTCCATGCTTCCATATCAGGAGTCAAGTCCTCCCAATGTTGGGAAATTCGATATACTTTGAAGAGGAAGGAAATGCAACAGGACTTTACATCATCCAATACATATCTAGCAGCTTCAACTGGGAGTCTGGACAGTTCTTGCTCAAGCAAAAAGTTGCAATTTGCAAGTGACATTGACGGTTTTGCTGAAAGATGTTAAATACGGTTAGCTATACTCATGAACTCTTTTGAGTTGATTACTTAGCTGCAAATCAATGAAAGTCACTGTATAGTTGTCCAGTATGGTCAATTTGTATTAGAGAAATGTTGTCATTAAGGGTTATACTTAAATGCAGTCGAAATGTTGAAAGAGGCAGAAAAACAATCCTAACTTCAATTAGCACTCTAATTTTGGGTTATATGACAAAAAAAAATCTGACCCAACGTCAGATTCTCATGGTCCCTGGATTTAAAATCCTATAAAATAGTTTATGAAACATATGAATTGAAAGACACATAAACTATGGAGAGTAATAAGATTTTGGTTTCAGGTTTGCCTATTTGGTATTAGAAAATCACCAAGTGATGGAGCATGTATGTCAAAGGTGATATTAGAATTTATGGTATTTGCTTGGTAAGTGTTTATCGACTCTGCGCCTTTAGGTTGTATTGAACTGGGCGAGAATGCTAAATGGATATTGGTTAGTATTATTTGAGATTGAAGAGTAACCGATAATGAGTGACCGAAAAGGGGTTTCTAACTTCAAAATGTGATTGCTTTTCAGGGTAAAACTCAAATAAAGTCGGTTCAGTGCAAATATTAACTAATTGCGCGCAAAGCAACATTATTTGTTCAATGACCTTGGTCTCATTACTCATGAGTTGGCTACAAAAGATAACTACACTTTAGTACCTTTCAAGGGCCATTATGTTCTAGAGTCGGTTATCTTCTCTCCAGTATTTGTTTAGTGTCCTTGGTCCTATCAGTTGGCGAGAAAAATCTAATAGTAACAGTACATTCCAATGGCCATTATGGCCTAGATTCGGATATCTTCTCTTCCGTATTTGGGTTTAGCTTCTTACATAGCCTTCCTTTGGAGATTCTATAGCACATGGATTTTATGTTTGTCTCTATGTTGGTTCTGCTCGAGAATTCAGAGCGGTGTCGAAACTAGCAGGCTCAATCTTATTATGAGTTTGCTTAGGTATCCTTATCAATTAAGTGTTTACTTCCATTGTCAGTAAAATATCTTTTTGGGCAGAGTACTTTAGTGAGTTTTGTCCCCATATTTTTTTCACTACTACAATTTCTTTGTACACGTGTTGAATGTTGCTATCCTTTACAACTAAATATTGCTGAAATTTTACTACGACAATGTGGGTGTGGATTGATTTGATGTCTAAAGTCTATTTCTCTTATTATTATATTACTTTTAAATATACTATGTTCTTGCGGCGTAGCCGCGGATATTGATACTAATATCAATAATTATTCCATGTCATATTCCATGTGTAGTTAGGGTAGACTAGTACTGCAATTGTGCTTTCTTTCTACACATGTGCATGCAGTGGTATATGATGCAATTCTGGATTTATCAACTTTGATTTTCGGTGAGTAATTGTGTTGGTGTGAAGATGAAGAATGCCATTTACTAGAATCATTGGTCAGATTATTTTTGGTGTGTACGTTGACCTCTTGACTTACTAGAAGAACTCGTCATGATGCGTCGAGATTATAGCAGTATAGATTTACCTTTTTATCGACAAAGTGTTTTTTTATCATAAATAAAATTAGGCACATGTATATTATATTTTTTTTATAACAAAATCCTTATTATAAAAGAAAATTTGCATGTTTATTCTTAAAATGGTGACATTTTGGTCGATAGTGCTCCCTTACTCCTAGTTTTTCATGAGTTAACATACTTGAGGGTGATGGAGTTTCCTATACATCACAAACGTGCTACTCGGTTGTGTGTCTAAACTAATATAGCATCGGTTAGCTTGGAAATGGTATGAATGAGAGATGTAGCAGTAAAGCTGCTTGATGAGCTGTGAAACTTAGCTCTTCGTGTGTCATTATTGTGAAGTTGTAACCAACCAAAAGAATCCCCCACCACGAGGACCAAGAAAGGCCACCCACCATCTTATTCTTCACCACCACCATTAAATGCTCTTCCTCCCTTTCTCTCTCAAGTCTCAACTGCTTGTTAATCACCAAACTCAACCCCAACTGACCCAGAAATTCATTATGAATCCTATCCAAAAAGGCCAAAGCAATCACATTAGGCATGTAGCTACATCTTGAGCCAGCTACCATAACACCAGAAACCACCCAACACCTGTCTCTCCTTCCATATAACCTCTCTCTCAACCCCTCTCCTTTCCATTGATCAACTTCTCTCTCAAAAACCATGGAGTCTTTCTTCCCCAGGAGGCTCTCCAGCTACCAGAAGCTGGACTACGGTGGAGAAGAGTCACAAGATGGAGGAGGTGTTGGCCATTTTGATGGTGGTTTCATTGGAAGGCCAACAGCTAGGAGCAACTTGTTCAGGTTCAGAAGGGTGCAATGGAGGCGGAGGAGAAGGAGATCACCATCATCACCAGGCTTCATCAGGGTCAAAGTTTCGAGCTTGATTAGGAGGAAGAGAGTGGTGATGAGGATGGTTAGAGCTTCCATCAGGAAAGTGCTGAAGAGGTTGAAAGAAGGCCATGCTCATTTTGGTGATCTCTTTGCTGGGAACTATCTCTTCCTGCAGATCAATCCCACTTCTTTGAAGTCCTTGCAGAAAAGTTACAATAGTACTCCTCCTGGTTTTCACTTTAGCCCCAGGATTCCTCAATCATGATTGAGATTTGAACATCTTTGGTGTTTGTTGAAGTTGGTTCGGTTTTAGTAGTCTGTAGTCATTAGATGATGTAATCTTCTATCTGTGTCAAGTGTAATTTACTTTCTAATCTAATGTTTCTCCTCTTTTGAAATACCTTCTTTTCTGACTTTCCCCATCTGTAATCCTTCTGATTTCATTGGACTGGGTGGAAATAAATGGCTGACTGAATTCAGTGGTGTCTGAATGTACTGATTTTGAAAGTTCTGTGATTTATTACATGAGGAAGAAGTTATGTACTTTTACTTCTTAAGGCAAATATAAGGAGTTGATATTTGGTGGGTATGCAGTGTATTTGGCAGAAAGAATGGCGCTAGTTAATGGGCAAGTTCTATATTCTTCTTACTTGTCCTGTACCAGTCACCATTCCTTTAGCTCCATGTGAGGTTGCATGGCTGAATGAGGTATGGGGTTGTAGAAAAATACCATGCATTTGCCCAGCTGGGTAATGATGATTTGGACCCATCTGGTTTTCTGGCATCCATGTGTATTCATGCTTGCAATTTTCCAATTCATGGTAATTTACAGCGGAGGTCATCGAATTCAAGGGGATTGCTTCGTATCCCACTGTAAACAATGTTATCTTTTTCTATCTAACTCGGTCGAATCTTACATTACAAATTAGTTTCGTGTATGCATTTGGTCATTCAGCTGATACAATTGCCTTCGGTTAATCACTCTTGCTACGCGAAGATCTCGATCATCAGGTAGATTGTATTAGAACTTGGACCGTCCGAGTCATTCATAGTTACACAGATGGTGACTTTATAGCTTTCCAAGCTAGATCTTACAAACCTCGTACAGAATGGTTTGAACTTAGTAGCTCTCTCAGCTAGATCTCAAGTCAGGCAGTTACAATGACCATGGAGCTTCAGCTAATTTTGTGAACCTCACCTCAACATCCTCCTCATTTTCCAATCTCTCTATCTCTTCATCAATCCTCTCCATTCTACCCACCGATTTCTCGAGTTTCGCCTTCAAAGCCTTCACCTCCTCTCCCACTTCAACTCTCTCAGCCTTCAATTTCTTGCACCTATTGACATGGTCAGAAAGCCCTATGAGCTGCCTCAACCTGGTGAGTATGAACTCTACATTCATTCCCAGCTTCTCGAATCCTGACAATGTGTTTTCCCAATTTGCAAACTCTTCCTTCTGTCGAGTACAGAACTTTGCAGTCCTTACTGCATCAGCAATGTTTGTGGTCTCAGCGATTATTCCGGCTATCAGCTTACAGTTAAGCCCATTGGGAATATGTTGGTGGAGGAAGGACTTCTGGCTGCTGCATAGTTCGTAGTACTTGTACTGAAGCTGTTTGGAGAGTTCACAGTTGATGATCAGGCCATTAACCACAATGTCAAAGTCATCAACGTTCCTCACTTGCTGGAAATCAACAGCTGGTTGATCTGATGACATAATTATCCCATCTGAGATATCAAACCCGAAATCTTCCTCGCTTCCATTCTTGGGCTCGTCTTGTTTATGTACTACAATTTTGCAGTTGGTGATGCTGGTCTTCTTGGCTTCTTTGGCACTTGTCTCGACCTTTCTCTTGGATCTTCGACTCGCTTGCTCTGAGGCACTTGCTCTCACTACGTAGACCTAAGGAGATGGCAAAACAGTCAAATATTCTACCCTTAATTTCAAGTAGAAGACACGCAAACTTTAGGCAGCAGGGAAAAAAAAAAAAAAGAGAAGTCACCTTGAACTTGGTCGGTTCAAGTAACTGAAAAACCACAACATCGCCTTGAACTAACTTGTGATGGATGGAGAAAGCTCTCCATCCACCGCTAAGACAATGCTTACTAGCTAAGAATTGGGCGGGATAAACTTTGCCCTTGTCATCTTCTAGGTCGATCACCTTATCCTTGTCAGGCAAATGCTTGTAGCAAAACCCTGCCACAAGATGCTGTCATGACAGCAGCAATCCAGATAAAGATACAAGCATCCAACACTCCCGGGGCGGAAAAGACATTGACAAGACAAAACACCACATTGAATTCCCGATAGACTTACCAAGGAAAACCCAATATGTGAAGGGTGCATAAGCTTCATCAAGGTAGGAAAGTTTCCAGGTAGACTAGATGCAAACTCATGTGCTTTTCTCATTGCAGCATTGTCAACCTCGCCACTGACATACAGATTCTCCATGGAGGCCCTCTTCCCCATAGCACTGAAGATATCCTTCTGATTCTTGACTGACTTTACAGGAGACTTGATTGCGACTATATCTGCTTCCTGTTATAAGTACTCTTAGCAGTCAATTAGTTTACTGTGGAACAATGTTCAAGTGGGATAATCATGCTTTCGAATCCTGTCGAAATAGGTTGAATCATTTTGACAATGCATAAACATTCGCGAAAGAATGATGACTAATGAAAGCAAATTACTAAATCGGGTCGACCAGATCAGATCAAAATTCTTCACCTGAGGTAGACCAAGCACATACGTATTCAAGCTTTCTTCCTTTGTTTCAAAACCCTTTTCCTTTACCTTCCTATTTCTCCACAACCCCCTACATTAAACATCTCTTTCAAAGTTCAGAAAAAAGGTAAATAGCTCATGCATTCAGCTTTTCACTAAGAACCCACCAGACCCAATTTGATTTCAGTAATGATCATGCAAGGAAGGAACCACCAAACAACTGGATGAAAGCAAGCTAAAGAAAAAAATCTCAAAAGGGCAATTGAAGCAAACTAAAGAGATCTTCAGAAGGGCAATGAGTGCCACCAAACAAAGCTCATTAGAGTAGACTAGAGACTGAAAGAAAGAGAAAGAACGGAAGCGGAGTCGGAGTCGGTTTTCTCGCCTGATTGCTGCAGGAAACAGCCCCGTCGCAAACTTCCCGTGGCCTTCTCTTCTTCGCCTGCAGCAAAATCAGAGCAGGCGATCAGCCGTCAATTGTCAAGCTCAAAGCTTTCACTCATGTAGCAGATCAAGAATGTAAAATGACAAAAAAAGGGTCTTTAGCATTGGGTTCGACCTGATATCTCTTAGCTTGAAGAACGGTCATGATGCTAACCACACTAGCAATTCTTTCTTCTTCTCTTTTGGGGATGAATGGATTGCTGCAGCAGGAATTCCAAGCTGCAGTCTTTCCACATAGAAACTCATAGACCAGAAGCAGAAGGGTAGAAGAGAAACAAATGCAGTCATGTGAAGATTGGTTCAACTAATTTATCCGAGAAGAACGTTGGGTTGGGCTTCTAAATCGGCTGGCTAGCTACAAGCATATGGAAAATTACTTCTTGGATACCCAACTCGTCTTATTTAGTCATCAGTGGACGTAGTAAATTTAAGGGGTAATACCACTGGAAATACCAAACTTTATCGAAAGTGCAATTTATATTACGAAATTTCAATAAATCAAAAAATGTTACAACCTATTAGGTGTTTGCGCCATTTGTGTAACACGAATTTCTGTTGACCGTTAGAGTTTATGGTTGACCTAACGGTGGTCAACCTTGTGCCCACGTAGGCGACATGTAGATGCCAGGTGAAAATTATTAATTAAAAATTTAAATTCTAATTCTAATTAAATAAAAAAAAATTCCAAAAAAAAATAGCAACAACGCACTCTTCTTTCCCCATCTTCTTCCCCTTAATTCTTTAATAATTAATATGTTCCAAAAAATAAATTAATTCTTTCCTAAACCCAAAAATCCCGTCTCAATCTCCCGCAGACAAAAATCCATCAACCCAAAATCTACTCGACTCCAAGAAACCCAAATATCGAATTGTGGGGACGAAGAAATCGCCTCTGAAGGAACCTGTGCTGCCTCGAAGCCGAAAGCAGAGATGTCGCTGGAAGTGAGTGAGAAAGAGAGATGGAGAGATAAGAGTGCGATTTTGATTGGGCCGGGAAGGGACGTCGCCGGAGACGGACATTGAATACGATTTCGATTCCAATAGATCGCGGGAAGGGTAGAAATTAGAAAATCGCCGTTAGATGGGTGAACGAGAGAGGTAAGAATTATGAATCGCAATTCGAGACATGGAAATTAATCTGGATTGAGACCGGGAATAAAATCAGAGGAAGGAAATGGTTGGGGTGAAGGTTTGCTTAGAAGGAGAGACGACGAAGGGGAAGAAGGAGAAAATTAATCATGGACAAGGGGATGGGAAGGTGAGGGAGAGTTTTTTTTATTTTTATTTTTAATTTCTTTAATAAAGATTTTCATGTCAGCAGCCATGTCATCGCTTACTGTATTTTCTGTTAATTACTAATGGAAAATTTAACGGTTAGTATACAATTGTCATATCGAAAGTTTCGTAATATAAATGACACTTTCACTAAAGTTTGGTATTTCTAATGGTATTAGTCCTAAATATAATTTAGGTAACCATAGTATTTGCTACTCATTTACAATATTTTGTCGTTTAAGATTTGATTTGCTACTTCGACCCTCAAATGGTAGTAAATTTATGATGTAAAACTACAATAATTCACGTTGAAGTTTAGTCATTACGAGTTTGTAACGGAATTATCACGTTATTATTAGCGGTTATTGTAAATCGTTGAAAAACCGGCAATGTCTAAGTCTGATTAGTTTGGATGTGAAAGAGTGTGGGGTATGTACAGACTAAACGGGGTCATATTGTAGTAGAGAATACACTACACTGACTACAGTCTAACCATATGCATCATTCAGAGTTTCTAACCTTTGCTTCTGCGGCTCCAAATTCATTAGGTGAAGGGTCGGCAGCTCAAGTGCTCAACTAACAAGCCATTACAAACAAATCGATGCACCATGTTCAAGAGCTTACTTTTCTAAAGCTCTGCACATTGAAAAAAACTCTTGTGCACAAAGTGAATTACCAATTACCCCTAAGTCAGCAAGTCATGTTCACCATGGAGATTTTGCCAATTCTCTGTACCTCGCCTGAATACCAACCACGTCATTTAGCTCCAACATTTCGATCTCTTCATCAATCATTTTCGTTCTTCTCGCCCACTTCTCGAGCAGCGCCTCTAGTGCCTTCACCTTCTCTCCCACTTCAGCTCTCTCAGTCTTCAATCTCTTCAACCTATTGACATTGCCACAAAGACCCATGAGCCGCCTCAACCTGATTAGTATGAACTCCACATTCATCCCCAGCTTCTCAAATGCTGACAAAGTGCTCTCCCAAGTCACAAACTCTTCCTTCTGTTGGGTACCAAGTTCTGAAGCCCTTATGGCATCAGCAATATTTATGGTCTGGGAGATTACCCCGGCAATCAGCTTACAGTTGAGGCCATCGAGGATGCGTTCATGGAGGAACAACTTCTGGCTGCTGCTATTGAAGAATAAAGTTTAACAAACAAAAAAAAATGTAACATCACAACTAGTTGGAGTTGTGAAGTGTGTGGAGTTATCTAGAGTGTGTATTAATGTGGGTAGTTATGGATTAAGAAAAGAAGAAAAAATAAGAACCACAAATGGGTAGATATTTGTGGGGTTAAGTAGGTGTAAAATGGTAGTTAGGTGTGGCAAAGTATAAGCCACAATTTAGTGTTGGAACTTGGCTATAAATAGCCATGGTTTGTGTATGATTTCTTCATCCCAAGCAAAGCAAAGCAAATAAGAAAGAAAGTAGAGAGTGTTTGAGCAATTGTGAGTTGTGGGAAGGTGAAGAAATAAGAGAGTCAGTGAGCATTTCGATCCATTTTTTCCAACAAGTGGTATCAGAGCCAAGGTTATTCCTCGTATGCTCTGTGGTTGCGGTTTAGGCCGATCTTCCACATCAGAAAAGGTTTCCTTGTGCTTTGTTATCAGTATCAAGGTTATTCCTCGTATGCTCTGTGGTTGCGGCTTCGACCGATCTTCCACATCAGAAAAGGGATTCCATGTGCTGAGTTATCAGAACTGGTTCAACCGAGAGCCAGTAGTGACAAGATCCTCATCAGGCGGTCAGAGGCTGCAGTTATTTCAGGAAGACTGAAATAGAGAACTTGGAGAAGTTACCAAGTAAGAAGATGGAGGGTTTCTCAGTTACCGCTATGGAGAAGTTGAATGAGACCAACTACTCAAGTTGGAGCACCCGTATGGAGTTTTATCTCAGAGGCCAAAAGCTCTGGGAAATTATCACCATCCCACCACCCAAAGATGAGAAGCTGTTGGAGGACTGGAAGCAAAAAGCAGACAAGATCATGTACATCCTTGCAGTCACAACAGAAGACCAATTCCTGCCTCGCATCAAGGAAAGCAAATCCCCGAAGGAAGCTTGGGATACTCTCTCCACAATCTTCGCCAGGACCAATGAGGCGAGACTCCAGAGACTGGAGAATGAATTGATGGCACTATCCCAAGAAACATTGACCATTGATCAATATTTCAAGAAAGTAAAAAATGTTTGTGCCGAAATTTCGAAACTAGATCCGGAAAATCCAATTTCGGAAGCTCGGACAAGAAGAATCATCATTCGTGGCTTGAGACCGGAGTTCAAGGGCATAGTGACAGCAACAAGAGGGTGGTCAAAGGAGCCAACCCTGGCTGAGTTGGAGAATCTTCTAGCAAATGAAGAAATTCTCGATGACAAGATGTCAAAGGCGTCAATCAAGGAAGAGGAAAAGGCCTTGCTCAGCAAAAGTAAAGACTCTAATGGTGGAGAGAAGGCTCTTGCATCAACAAGTGGCCAAAAGGGGTTCAAGAAGAACCAAAAGTGGAACAAGAAAGGGGGCAACTATCGAGGGGGAGCCCAGAAAAATTACAACCACCGTTACAAGGGTGGTGACGGAAAGGACAGGAAGGAGCATGATCGAGAAAATGGCAATTGCTACATTTGCCACAAGAAGGGTCATCTAGCCAGAGATTGCTGGCACAAAAAGGAAGAAGGAAACGCTGCAACTTCTTCCAAGGTGAATGATGATGAATGGGACTTTCAAGCATCCTTTGCAACGGAAGCTCCAAAAGGCGCCACTAAAGAGTTAGCGCTCATGTCAGTGGACAAGAATGTCATTGATTATGAAAATGACTGGATTGTGGATTCGGGTTGTTCAAATCACATGACTGGTGATGAACAGAAGCTTTTAAACGTGTCCGAGTACAAAGGTGGACGAGTGGTTGTCACCGCCAACAACTCTAAGCTGCCAATCACCCACATCGGTGAGACACTTATTACTCCTCGGTTTGGTGATCAACAAGTGGAGCTGTCAAACGTTTACCACGTCCCTGGAATGCGAAAGAATCTGATGTCAGTATCACAACTGACAGCATCTGGTAATTATGTGGTATTCGGTCCTAGAGATGTGAAGGTGTATCGAAGCTTACAGCCAACTTCTGATCCAATCATGCAAGGGCAGAAGCTGGATTCTGTCTATGTAATGTCAGCAGAAGCGGCTTATGTCGACAAAACAAGAAGAAATGAGACGGCAAGCTTATGGCATGCTCGTCTTGGACACGTTGGCTATCAGAAGCTCAAGGTGATGATGAAGAAGTCCATGCTCAAAGGACTTCCTCAACTTGATATCCGTGACGATATCGTATGTGCCGGATGCCAGTATGGGAAAGCTCATCAGCTACCCTATGAAGACTCAAAGTTCAAGTCTAAAATGCCTCTAGAGCTTGTCCATTCAGACGTGTTTGGACCAGTGAAGCATACCTCAGTGTCTAGAATGAAGTACATGATTACATTCATTGATGATTTCTCAAGATATGTCTGGGTTGACTTCATGAAAGAGAAATCTGAGGCATTTGATAAGTTCAAAATGTTCAAAGAACTTGTCGAAGTCGAAGTCTGTCAGAAGATCAGATGTCTTCGTACAGACAATGGAGGAGAGTACACTTCAATCGTATTCACACAATTTCTCAAGCAACACCGAATTCGACGCCAGTTGACTTGCCCAGGTACTCCGCAACAAAATGGAGTAGCAGAGAGGAAGAACCGTCACTTGGCAGAAATTTGCAGAAGCATGCTACATGCAAAGAATGTTCCTCCCAAGTTTTGGGCAGAATGCATGAAGACTGTTGCTCATGTTGTCAACAGACTACCTCAGCCAAAGTTGGGGTTTGTATCCCCCTATGAGAAATTGTGGAAGTTGAAGCCCAATGTCAGTCATTTCCGAGTATTTGGCTGTGTGTGCTATGTGTTCGTACCAGACCATGCTCGAAGCAAGTTTGACAAAAAGGCGGTCCGATGCATTTTTGTGGGCTATGACAATCAAAGAGAAGGATGGAGATGTTGCGACCCAACAACAGGAAACTGTTATGTGTCACGCAATGTAGTGTTTGATGAAGCATCATCCTGGTGGTCCCCAGAAGCAGTCCTACTTCCAGACTCAAAGGAGATGGAGGAGAGGTTGCTAGAGAGGTCTAGTGAAGAAGAGGTGAAAACAGCAGAAGCTGAACAAGGAGAAAGTTTTGCGGGAGCTCAAACTCGCTCTCCTGAAAAAGGCAAGAGTCCTTGGAAGACTGGAGTTCACCAGCCAGTCACAGAAGAAGAACGACCTAGTCAACTGGATCATATTGTTGATCCTCAACAAGAGCTCAGAAGATCGAAGAGGGCTAGAAAGCCAAATCCCAAATTTTCCAATGTAGCCATGATATAAGATATTGGCGTAAGAGAACCAACATCTTACGAAAAAGCGGCAAAACATGGTGAATGGAGAAACGCAATGAAAGAAGAGATTCAAGCTCTCGAGCAGAATCAAACATGGGAACTCGTACCAAAGCCTAAAGATGTTAAGCCCATATCCTGCAAATGGGTTTACAAAGTGAAGACAAAGTCAGATGGATCAATTGAGCGTTTCAAGGCTCGATTGGTCGCTCGTGGATTTTCTCAACAATATGGGCTGGATTATGACGAGACGTTTAGTCCAGTTGCTAAGATCACAAATGTCCGTGTTCTCTTAGCACTTGCAGCCAGTAAGTCTTGGAGAATGTGGCAGCTAGATGTGAAGAATGCTTTCTTACATGGAGAGCTTGATCGAGAGATCTACATGGAGCAACCTAGAGGGTTTGAGAGCATAAACACAGACTATGTCTGTAAGCTCAAGAAAGCCCTATATGGTCTGAAGCAGGCACCTCGAGCTTGGTACGGTAAGATTGGAGAATTTCTACTCCAATGCGGATACTCTGTCACTCCGTCAGATTCAAGTTTGTTTGTCAAGGAGCAATATGGAAAATTAGCAATTGTGCTAGTTTATGTTGATGACTTGATCGTGACTGGAGATGATGAAGAAGAAATCAACCGAACTCGAACGAATCTATCCATACGGTTCCAAATGAAGGAACTTGGAGAGTTGAAGCACTTTCTTGGACTTGAAGTCGAGAAAAGAGAAGATGGCTTATTTCTTAGTCAGCGGAGATATGCCATAGTGTTGCTAGAGAAGTTCGGGCTACAAGAGTGCAAGCCTACGACAACACCGATGGAGGCTAACGTTAAACTCAACTCACAAGAGGGGAAAGATTTAGAAGACGTGACGATGTATAGACAACTTGTGGGTAGTTTAATCTACCTAACTTTGACACGTCCCGACATTTCTTATGCAGTTGGAGTCGTTAGCCGTTTCATGCAGAATCCCAAGAAGGTTCATCTTGAGATCATCAAAAGAGTTTTGAGATATGTCAAGGGAACCATTGATCATGGGATAATTTACAAGAAGGGAGTAGAGTGCAAACTTAAAGGTTATTGTGATGCTGATTATGCTGGAGACCTAGAAACTCGTCGCTCGACAACAGGATATCTGTTCACACTCGGTTCAGGAGCAGTGTCGTGGTGTAGTAAAAGACAGCCGACCGTTTCGTTGTCAAGTACAGAGGCCGAATATAGAGCGGCAGCAATGGCATCACAAGAGTGCACCTGGCTAGTGCAACTTTTGAAGGACCTTCATCAAGAAGTTGATTACTCGGTTCCATTAAATTGTGACAACTTACCCGCTATCAAGTTAGCAGAGAATCCTGTGTTTCATGCTAGAACAAAGCATGTTGAAGTTCATTATCATTTTATCCGAGAGAAAGTGTTGAAGGAAGAGATAGAGATGAAAGCAGTGAAGACTGGAGATCAGATTGCAGATATTTTCACTAAAGCACTTCCGAGAGTCAAGTTTGAAGAGTTCAAAAGAGAACTTGGAATGATCAACAAGAAGAATGTTGGTGGCGCTGAACTTCGTGGCGAAGACACTACTCAAGCATGATACGAACTCGGAGTAATGGTGAATTAAACTTTAAGGGGGAGTATTGAAGAATAAAGTTTAATAAACAAAAAAAAAATGTAACATCACAACTAGTTAGAGTTGTGAAGTGTGTGGAGTTATCTAGAGTGTGTATTAATGTGGGTAGTTATGGATTAAGAAAAGAAGAAAAAAGAAGAACCACAAATGGGTAGATATTTGTGGGGTTAAGTAGGTGTAAAATGGTAGTTAGGTGTGGCAAAGTATAAGCCACAATTTAGTGTTGGAACTTGGCTATAAATAGCCATGGTTTGTGTATGATTTCTTCATCCCAAGCAAAGCAAAGCAAATAAGAAAGAAAGTAGAGAGTGTTTGAGCAATTGTGAGTTGTGGGAAGGTGAAGAAATAAGAGAGTCAGTGAGCATTTCGATCCATTTTTTCCAACAGCTGCATAGTTCATAGTACTTATGCTGGAGCTGCTTAGAGAGCTCACTGTTGATCACCAAGCCATTCACTATAATGTCAAAGTCAGCAAAGCTCTTCACTTGTCGGAAATCAACTGTGGATTCTGATGACATCCGAATACCGTCCGGGATATCGAATCCAAAATCTTCATCACTTTCATTCTTCGACTCATCAAGTACGTAGTTATCGTCGGATGAAAGATCAGAATCGTGGACAGTTTTGAAAGCTGACTTGCCACTTGTACTCCGATTGTTTGTGTAAACTGAAGAAAATCAAGGAGCAAGCTTTTACTACAAGTACGAACGAAGTTTACCTCATTCTCCTTCTCCTTCTATTCAGTTTCAGCTAGTTCCTACCCAAAAGCCATAACAAACATCATAAATAACTTGCTTGGGGGCCAGGAAGGGGTTTTAGTCTTACCAGGTTTCTTCCCCATATCAAGATCACCATCCACTCCCTCTGACCTACTTGTCCTCACAATGTAGACCTTAAGAAATGGTAAATTCAAAATATGGTTCCTTGAAACTTTGAACTCTTAAGCAGAAGGAACTGAAACTTTAAATAGTACCTTGAATTTGGTTGGCTTAAGTAACACGAAAACCAGAACATCTCCTTCAACTAAATCATGCTTGCTGGCAAACGCTGCCCATCCCGCACTGAAAGTGTTCTTATAGGCTAGATACTTTGTCGTGTCAACTTCACCATTCTCATCCTCCAACTCGATCATTGAGTCCTCCTCAGGTAAATGCTTGTGGCAAAACTCTGCCAATAGACGCTGCCATGCCAGCGCCCAGCAGCAATCCAGTAACGTACACATTAACAAGCATTCAAATTCCTAAATCATTGATGGTAATCGAATAACATGTAGAATTTCAATAGGCTTACCACAGAAGCTCCTCTATTAACATGTGAAGGGTGCATGACCTTTATCAAGGAAGGGAAGTTTGCAGATAGATTAGATACAATCTCCTGTGCTTTTCTCATTACATCATTCTCAGGCTCGTAAGAGCTGCAAGGCATGAAGTTCAGAAGATGTTAATGACCATCTAAAAAGAAGAAGTGATGCAGCTTAAGAGTATGAAATTGTGAGATTTTGGCTGACCTTACAGTTGACTTGATTGGAACAAATCCTCCTTTCTGTTATATAAGCATGAAACAGTCAATTTCCCCCCAAATTTTATGTGTTCACGGAAATTTTGGAATGGCCACCTCAAGTTTGGGATTTTAAGCCTAGGAAGAAGACAACCATTTGACAAGAAACCCACTACAACCAGTTGATTGTCAGTCATGACCATGCAAAGGAACCACTAAAGAACTTGATTGAAGCGAACTAAAGAAATCTCAAAAGGGGAATGACTAGTGAGAACCACCAAACGAAGGCCTATTAGATGATAGGGATCACTCTGTAAATAACCAAGTAGCTTAGGATTAGTTTAGTAATAGTAGATTGTAACTAGGACTAATACTGTAAATTAGATAGGTTGTTGTAACGGTATTTCCCTCCGTTGAACTCTGTAACCAGAGTATAAATTCAGCCTCACAAGGTGAACTCTGAACATTCAATTCATTCTTCAATTGAGAAATTCTTCCTTCAATCAGAATTCTAGCATGGTATCAGAGCTCAACTGAGCCGATTTCGTCTCACTCTCTCGCTTCCGAATCTTCTCCTTCTCGTAATCGTTCTCCTATGGCGATTCACGATTCTTCCTCTTCTGGCGACGATGCCCACCCTGCAAATCCTCACACTGGAGGTCGCACCATTGGCATCAATGGCGTTCTGTACAAAGGCATTCCGATCTCCGATCCTGCCTCACCGTTCTTCATTCATCCCTCAGAGAATTGGGGGCAATGTCTCGTTTCTCAACCACTTAGTGAGAATAATTTCTCGAGTTGGGAGCGCTCCATGATTCTTGTCATCGATGGCAAGAACAAATTAGGGTTCTTGAATGGCAAAATCCCGCAGCCAAGTGATGATTCCCCTCTGTTGGAGCCCTGGAATCGCAATAACAAGCTTCTGCTCAGCTGGATTCAACGATCTGTGAATCCCACTATTGTTGAAAGCATCCTCTACGTGACCACTGCTATTGGTGCTTGGACAGAGTTGCGAGAGCAATTCTCCCAAGGCGATTCTTTCAGGATTGCGGATCTTCAAGAAGCCATTTTCAATCTCAAGCAAGGTACTCTTAGTGTCTCTCAGTACTACTCAAAGCAAAGAGCCTTGTGGGATTAGTTAGCCAACTATAGGTTTATCCCCGATTGTGAATGTGGAATTACTTGTCACTGTGTTTTAGCTTCTCTGCGTAAAGATCACATGAATGACAAGGTTATCCGTTTCTTGAGGAATCTCAATGATAACTTCAATGGTCCTCGATCCACTGTGATGCTGCTTGATCCTTTACCTCCTATTAACAAAGTGTTTGCTATGATGGTACAACATGAAAGGGAAAATGGATTACTTCCTAAACCACAGCCTGCTCACAATCCTGCTTCAGTTAGTATGGCATTTTTTACCAAAGCAGCTGGACAGCATCTGGGTGTTCAGGGTGTTGGTCAGAATTTCAAGAAGCCAAGCAAGAAGCATGTGTGTACTTTCTGCGGATACACTGGCCACACAAAAGACATATGTTACAAAAAGAATGGTTATCCTCCTGGATACCAATCTAAGAAGAAGCAACAGCCTTCTAGACAGGCCAACAATGTTTCTTCTGATCTCACTCAGGCCTCTAATGGGGCAGTAATGATCAATCAGTCTGACTGGCAGAGTTTCCAGCAAAACTATCAAAGGATGCTTCACATTATGCAGCCTTACTCTCAGCAGCCTTCTTCCACACCACAGAATGTTATCCAATCAACACAGTTTTCTGCTCCTACTCAGCAGCAGTTCTTTCCACCTCCATCTACTTTCCATGAGGCATACACTGCTAATAATCCAGCTCATTATTCAGCTTCCAATGATAGTGAGGGATCTGGTCAGCACAACATAATCAGCATAGCAAATTCTGTTGTTTCTCATGGTTTTGAACCTACTGAGCAGTCAGGTATCATTCACTATGTTTTGAATGTGAATTGTTCTCTTACTAATAAGTGGATTTTAGACACGGGTGCTATAGACCATATTATCTGTTCTCCCCACCATTTTTCACACTCCAAACCAGTACAGAACACCTATGTTCATTTGCCTTATGGCCATAAAGTGTTTGTCACAGCCATAGGGACTGTCAAGTATTCAGATCATCTGATTTTGTATGATGTTTTGCTTGTTCCCTCTTTCACGTTTAATCTAGTTTCAGTTAGTAAACTAGTACGTAGTTCAACCATATGCTTATGGTTTCATTACTCTTTGTGTTTTATTCAGGCCTACCCCAGTTTGACAATGATTGGAACAGCTAGCTTAGCTGATGGTTTGTACATTCTACACCATCCATCTCAAACTGCTCAACTCCAACAAAATCTGATCATTAACACAACTCAAGTACTACCAGCTTCTTCTCCTACAGTGGCTTTTTCAACATCACAGCCTTCCATTGACATCTGGCACTACAGACTTGGTCACATTCCAGCAACTAAACTCAAGACTCTACATAGTTTAGATAAATCCATTTCTGCTCTTCCTGATTACCATTGTACAGTTTGCCTTAAGGCAAAGCAGAAGAGACTGCCATTTCCCACTAGTTTCAGCAAAACAACAGCTCCATTTGATGTTGTACATGTTGACATTTGGGGAAATGCCCCAATCACTTCAATTCAAGGTCATTCATACTTTTTGACCATCGTTGATGACTTTAGTAGACATACTTGGATCTTTACTATGAAATCAAAGTCTGAGGCTCGTCCCACTATTATTTCTTTTTTTGCTTTTGTTGAAACACAGTTCAACAGCAAAATTAAAGTCATAAGAACAGATAATGGTCTTGAGTTCCAAGTACCAGGATTTTACAAATCAAAAGGAACTATCCATCAAACCACCTGTGTGTATACATCTCAACAAAATGGAATTGTAGAGAGAAAGCATCAGCACATACTGGCAGTTACTAGAGCCTTGCTTTTTCAAGCCTCACTGCCTACACAGTTCTGGAATTTTGCAGCAATGCATGCTGTTCATCTCATCAACAGAACTCCCACCACTCTTTTAAACAATCTTACCCCTTTTGAAAAGCTTACTGGTTCTTCACCTACTTTAAATCATTTAAAAGTTTTTGGCTGCCTTACATATGCTGCAACCATTCAAGCAACCAGAACTAAACTTGATCATAGAGCAAACCCTTGTATTTTCTTAGGGCATCCTCTTGGTACAAAAGGGTACAGATTATACAATTTAGTAACACACAACATTTTCACATCACGAGATGTGTCTTTCCATGAGACTATTTTTCCTTTTCAACAGGTCAATCAAAATTTGACCTCCTCAGTTCCTCTTCCAGTTTTTCCAGCAGTTTCTGCAGACCTGGAATTTACTAAAGCTCACACCATTAATCCATCTCCTGTTCTCTCTCAACTGCCATCAGTTCTTCCTACTGATGCTCCAGTATCACCAACAACAATCCATGATTCCTTACCTGTACATCAACCTCAATTAAGAAGGTCTACTAGACCTATTATCAGACCTGCTAAGCTGAATGATTACAAGTGTAATCTAATCAGTCAAGCATCATTGATTTCCTCTGTCAATTATCCTATTCAACAAATGCTTACATATCGATCTTTGAGTCCATCTCATCGACATTTTGCCCTTTCTATAACTCAAGTAAGGGAACCAAAAACCTACAAAGAAGCTGCTAAGAGCAAAGAATGGCTAGCAGCTGTAAACTCAGAGTTTGCCTCTCTTGAGAAAACAAAAACATGGGTTATGGTCGACCCCCCTCCTAATGTACCCATAATTGGAAATAAATGGGTCTTTAGACTCAAATTCAAACAGGATGGGACAATAGACAAGTACAAAGCACGTTTAGTAGCTAAAGGATACACTCAGACACCTGGTATAGACTACATGGACACTTTTTCACCTGTTGTTAAAATGACTACTGTCAGAATCCTTTTGCCATTAGCTTCCATTTACAAATGGCATCTGGAGCAGTTAGATGTTAATACAGCATTCCTACATGGTGATTTACATGAGGATGTGTATATGAAACTGCCTCCAGGTTTGAAAGTCCACCCATCATATCATAACAAGGTTTGCAAACTTACAAAATCACTTTATGGCTTAAAACAAGCTAGTAGACAGTGGTATGAAAAACTTGCAGCAACCTTAGAGGCCCTTGGCTACCAGAAATCTCACAGTGATTATTCTCTATTCACTAAGTACTCTGGTTCATCATTCACAGCTCTACTAGTATATGTTGATGACATTATACTAACTGGCAACAACATGGATGAAATCAAGTTTGTAAAACAACAATTAGACACTGCTTTCACAATAAAGGATCTTGGTAAATTAAAGTACTTCCTTGGAATGGAAGTTTCAAGATCAGAATCTGGAATCCATTTATGTCAACGCAAATATACACTTGATTTGTTGTCTGATACTGGGTTCCTAGCTTCTAAACCTACAACTACTCCTTCTATTCCTGCCACTCATCTCTCTGCTAAGGATGGTACCCCTTTAAATGACCAAGATCATAGCAGCTACAGAAAACTTATTGGTCGACTACAATATCTTTGCAATACAAGACCTGATATCTGCTATACTGTCAACCAACTAAGTCAATTTGTTGATTCTCCCACTTCAGCACACGAACTAGCCACCCACAGGCTCCTTCGATACCTCAAAACCACTCCTGACCGAGGATTATTTTTCCCTTCCAACTCTTCTACACGTCTTACTGCCTTCTCGGATTCAGATTGGACTGGATGCCCAGATACTAGACGATCAGTGACTGGTTTTTGTGTATTTTTAGGGAACTCCTTGATCAGCTGGCGCTCGAAGAAGCAACAGACAATTTCACGCTCCTCCACAGAAGCCGAGTAAAGGGCATTGGCGGATACATCTCAGGAACTTCAGTGGATGACGGCGCTTTTCCATCAACTTCCAGTCCAACCTCCCCTTCCATACAGCATCTATTGCGACAGTCTCTCTGCTGTCAAAATGACAGAGAATCCTGTCCAGCACGAACGTACCAAACACATCGAAGTCGACTGCCATTTTACTCGCGACCAAGTGCTTGCTGGGAAACTGAAAGTTCAACACATATCCACCACACTCCAGCTGGCTGATCCATTCACCAAAGCGTTGCCTGTCCACACCTTCATCGACCTTACATCCAAGCTAAACCTGAAGTCTATCCATGCTTAGCTTGCGGGGGGTATTAGATGATAGGGATCACTCTGTAAATAACCAAGTAGCTTAGGATTAGTTTAGTAATAGTAGATTGTAACTAGGACTAATACTGTAAATTAGATAGGTTGTTGTAACTGTATTTCCCTCCGTTGAACTCTGTAACCAGAGTATAAATTCAGCCTCACAAGCTGAACTCTGAACATTCAATTCATTTGAGAAATTCTTCCTTCAATCAGAATTCTAGCAAGGCCAGTAAACAAAGACTGAATGGAGGAGAGAGAGAGAGAGAGAGAGAGAGAGAACCAGAGCAACCCATCGTTGAATTCTTGCGTGCTTCTTTTCTCACCCTGCAGCATAATCGAAGAAAGAAAAAGACACCAAGATTGAAGCGAACAAGAGAGAGAGATGTGAAGCTGAAAGTTACAGCTTTGCAAGCAGAGAGTAAACTTACCGAACGAGGTGGTCTTTGGAAAATGGGTTCAGCCTGCTCTTTCTTGACTTGAAGGATGGTCATGATCCTAGCTGAAGTAGAATTTGATAACGCCCGTAGCAATTCTCTGTTTCTTCGTTCTTCTTTCTTCAGTAGCAATTCCAGTTGCAGAGAGAATCTCAGAACCAGAGGGGAAGGAGAAAAGAACACGAACAGTAATAGAACAGAAAGTAGAAATGAAACGGTCATGTGCTTTTGGGTTGGGCTTTCTTCGTAAATGAAAAAGTTGGGCTGGGCTTTCATATTGGGCTAGCTCGGGACAGGATAGAGATCTGGATCCTAATCCTTCCTTTCATTGCAAGGAACAAGAGCATGTGACTAATCTATAAACCAAGCTAGAGAGTTGAAACTTGAAAGCCTCTCTTTCTTAGGTCTTCAAACATGGAAATGTTACCATGGAAGATTATCTTGACAAGACAGCATATTCTACGTTATGAAATGCATATAATGATGCTGCTACACGTGTAGTACATAGTTTGAACATTATCAGATGTCTGCTAATCACACTCTAATCTTCAAAAGCAAGCCTACTGACCAAAACCAGAAGTCTCCTTAGATAACTAAAACCTTACTTCTATTAGCTCCAACTTCATTTGTTGAAGGACCAGGCTCGACTATCAATTAGCCATTACATACAAAATAATCAATGCACCATGTTCACGAGCATACTTTTCCAAACTCTTGTGCAACAAAATGAATAACCTGTGTTACTACTTACTACAAGTCAAACTGACCATGGAGCTTTAGCCAATTCTCTGAACTTCACCTCAACATCCTCCACATCGTCAATTTCCAACTTCTCGATCTCTTCATCAATCCTTCTCATTCTTCGAACAGATTCCTCGAGTTTCGCCTCCAGAACCTTCACCTCCTTGCCTACCTCGACCCTCTCAGTCTTCAACCTCTTACACCTATTGGCAATGTCACAGAGCCGCATGAGTTGCCTCAACCTGGTGAGTATGAACTCCACATTCATTCCCAGCTTCTGAAAAGCTAACAATGTGCTCTCCCAAGTCACAAAGTCTTCCTTCTGCTGACCGTTATCATTACCCACACCGCTAAACTTTGAAGCTCTTATGGCATCAGCAATGTTAATGGTCTCAGCGATTACTCCGGCTATCAACTTACAGTTGAGACCATTGAGGATTTGTTCATGGAGGAACAACTTCTGACTGCTACACAGTTCATAGTACTTGAACTGGATGTGCTTTGAGAGCTCAGAATTGATCACCAAGCCGTTCACAATAATATCAAAGTCATCAAAGCTTTTTACCTGCTGGAAATCAACAGCTGATGCTGAAGACATCCTGATCCCGTCTAGGACATGGAATCCGAAACCTTCATCACTGCCATTCTCAGATTCCTCTGGTTCATAGTTATCTTCAGACGAAATATCAGAATCATCAACAGTCTTCATGACAGTTGCTTTGACACTTCTGCTCAGATCCTTTGCATGAGCTGGAGGAAATAAAAGGAACAAGCTTTTGCTACAAGTATGAATGAAATTCACCACATTCTCCTTCTGCCCAGTTTCAGCCACTTCAATAAGTAATTTGCTTGGGTTGGGGAAAAAGAAGCTTACCAGATTTCTTTTCCAAAACACCATCCAGCTCCATAAGGTCAAGAGCACCCTCCACTTCATCTGAGCTAGATTTCTCTTCCAAACTAGTCTCCAGTTTCAGAAGGCCAAGAGCAACATCATTTTCCTCAAAATCACTTGCCCTCACAATGTAGACCTACATAAATGGCAAAAGGGAGTCAAAATGTGCTGATCTGATGAACTCTTTAACTTTGGGTAGAAGGAACTGAAACTTTAAGCCAAGAAATTTAATCAAATAAGTTCAAACCAAGTTACCATGAACTTGTTTGCCTTAACCAACTGGAAAACTACGACATCTCCTTTAACTAATTTGTGATCGGTTGAGAACTTTTTCCATCCCCCGCTAAGTCCTGCATTTCTGACTAGACAATTCACTCGAGAGACTTTGCCATCCTCGTCTTCCAAGTCCATTATGAAGTCCTTTTCACCCAAATGCTTGATGCAGAACTTTTTGCAAAGACCCTGGAGCAATGCCAAGCATACGCTGTAAGGTTTACCCATGTCAAAATTTGTAGCATTATGATATGTCAAACTTTGATAGCACTCACTTACCAGCCAAAACCCACCCGAGATTTGAGAAGGGAGCATAATCTTTATCATGGTAGGGAAGTTTCTTGGTAGACTGGCTTCTATCTCCTGTGCTCTCTTCATTACAGCATTCTTCACTTCGCCATTAACATACACACTTTCGCTTGTCGCCCTCTTGAAGCCAGACTTGGTTGGAACAATCCCTCTTTCCTGTCATAAGCATCAATAGTAAATTATTTTCGAATTTCATGTGCTCAAAGAAAGTAGAATGCCCACTTTGAGTTAAGAATGAGTGTGTTCTCTCTTCTTCATCAGCTCACTATCATACAACGGACTGAGAGCCTTCATAGCCGAAAATGGGGAAGAAAAGGTTGCATCACATCGCTTACCTTTGTATCCTTAATCTTTCACTAGTTACAAACTTTCCAAAAGTATATAGCAAATGGCCAAGAATATGCCTTTTCAAAAACCCATTTTACTACTTCTGCACTCAAACCCCAAAGTGATATTCCTTCAAACAAAAGGTGCTAGTAGTCTAGTACCCAATAGCTGATTAATGAAATTTTGACTAAGAAGTTAGAATCTCAGAACCCACTACAGCCAGTTGATTATAGTAATGACGATGAACTTTGGCTTTGTTGGGACGAGGCAGCTCATTTCAATGATGAAAAATACAGCTTGCCGGAAGCAACCAAAAAGAATCTCAAAAAGCGCATTGACGAATCACCAAACGGAAGCACAATAGAGCAAAGAGTGGTGAGAAGAGAGAAAGAGGAGAAGAGAAGGTGGGTGGGTGGGTGGGTGGGTTTCTCACCTGTTTGTTAGAGGACGAAACCTTCACCTTCCCTGGCCTACCCTTCTTCTCCTGCAACTGAACAACGGAGAAGTCAGGCTCAAAGCTTCAAATATGCAGAGCCTATAGCGTAGTAGTGTTGAAAGAAAGAGAAAAACCTGCTCTTTCTTCACTTGAGGAACGGTCATGGTTGTGGCAGTGGTAGCGATCGGTCCGTCAGGTTTATTTCTATTTTTGGTTGAGCTTTGAGATCAGAGGACCAGAATGGTGGACAAGAGAGGGAAGAACAGTGAAAAAAACAGGGGAGTTGGAGCTTTTCAAAATGTTTTACCCTTTTCAAAATGGATGTGAATATGTGATGGTGATGGACGGAAGTGAGTGGAGAATGGCTTTGTATTTTTTTATTTTATTTTACTGGAAAGTGGGAGAGTGGCTTGTGGAGATTGAAGAGATGGGGAAGATGGAAGGACGGTTTGGTTCAAATTCTTGCAAAACGTGGAGCTGGGTTGGACTTGGATATTGGCTGGTTAAAAGAAGTTTACCGTTTCGTATGACTGGCTGTCTGTAGAGAAAGATTGATTATTGCCCTGGAGATATGATAGTAAACCCTGTAATACATACGAAAACAATGGTTTACATGTTGGGTTGAAAAGGTTTGGGATATGAGTTATGGCAATAATGCTTAGAAAATGAAATTGGAAGTTGCTACTATTAAAGGGTTGCTCAACTCCTTAATCAAAGGGTGAGAGCAATCAATCAACATTGGTTTGGAAACAATGTTAGTTAAGGAATGTCTAATTCTTAAATGAATATTAATTTGGAAATGACTACTTTTAAGTTTTAACACTATACTAACTATTTTAATTACCATAAATTATTTCAACGACTCGAATCTAACAATGTAGAGCCGAGAAGAATTTATTCGGTTTTAAGAAATGTATTAAGTATTATAGTGAAACTATGATAAAATTGTTAATTTGATTTTATAGCGAAACTATATTAAGATTTAGTGAATAACGAGTAATTTAATGGTAAAAAAAAAATAAGTTTAGTCCTCCTACTCCTATAAAACCCTAATATGTATCTTCAATTCAAACCATCTTATATTATTTTAGATATTTAATTACTAATTGGGAATCAAGTTAATTTGCAAGTTGATATACGTCGATATTGTAACAAACTCACAGTTCAAAATAGAAGGGCTAACCTATTACATCGAGTATGAAGGATTGCACCGTATTTGCACTGAGTGTGGAAAATATGGACATGCCAGAGTATCATGCCCGCTATTAAGACCCACAGATGAGCCCTTGCAGCCGAAACAGACACAGGAGGAGAAAGACAAGGCTAATGAAACTCCGTATGGGGAGTGGATGGTAGCGAAACCGAAGGGTAAAAATTGGAAGAAGAAGTCAGCTACTCCTGAAGGTAACACTAATGCGTCCCTAGGTGGTAATACCTCATCACTAGCTGCCAATGAGGCCACAGGGTCACGCTTTGCGGTATTAGAGAAAGATTTGCAGAATGTGGAAGGGGCCAAGGATGCAGAAATGCGACTCGAAAATGACCACAACTCACAGGATGCTGAAATGACGGAAGAGGAAGCACTGACAGAAGAAAACACCAACCCCACCAACATAGTCCAGCGGCCTCCCTCGGATAACTCAGCTGGCGGGGGTGGGAACCAGAGAAGTAACGAGTTGAGAAGCGAGGGGCACCAGAGTGTACCTCAACAGCACAAACATGTTGGGGAAGCTCCCCAGGCAGCAGCAGTTGAGCGGTCGACGAGTGGGCATAGGACTATAAGTTTGGGTACGGACTTGCTCCGGAGCCCCCAGACTTTTCATAACTCACAAGGAAACCGTAAGCAGAAGGCCCCGCAGAAGGAAACTTCAGCTAGTCTAAAGCAGCATGATGGAAAGCCGGGCGGGAAGGATAGAGCCATTAATGGCGGGTCGAAGAGTGGAATGAGCAAAAATGGTGCGGGGAACCTATCCCCTCCACGGATCAGATGAGAATCTTAAGCTACAACTGCCGCGGATTGGGGAATAAGCGAGCAGTGAATTCATTACGTGCACTTTTGCGACGTACTTCCCCCCATGTGGTTTTTCTAACGGAAACTAAACAGACAGTGACAGAGAATACGACTTTACGAGACTTGTGTGGATTCAAATATGGTGAGAGCTGGCCAGCAAATATTTCTATAAGGAATAGAGCGGGCGGATTAAGTATATGGTGGGGGGAGGAGCTGTCTATCACGATGATGGATATTTCTTTCAACCATGTGGATGTTGCAGTCGAGGAGGACGGTGTAGGTACGTGGAGGTTTACGGGCATCTATGGATGGCCAAATAGTAATGATAAATGGAAAACCTGGGAGCTATTAACTTCGCTGAGCCAACAATGGAATGGTCCATGGCTCTGTGGGGGAGATTTCAATCAGGTTTGTTCAGCTGAAGAAAAGAGTGGCGGTAGAGGAGTTCATGAACACGAGATGAGCAATTTTGACGACTGTCTCCGTGAGGCAGGGCTCCAAGACTTGGGCTTCCATGGTTACCCTTTTACATGGGAGAATAGGCGGACCCATGGAGGTTACATAGAGGAGCGACTTGATCGCTTTGTGGCAAATGATGGATGGCGACAAATTTTTTCTCTAAACCGGGTACAACACTGTGATAGGGCAAGCTCCGACCACCGCCCAATTACATGTGACACTCGAGGAGCCGAAGATGTGGAAATTCGATGGGGGCGCTCCTTTCGGTTTGAGCCTTACTGGTCGAAACACATGGCTTGTGCAGGCATCGTGGAGCAGGCTTGGAACTTGGATGGATCGAACATTCTACAAAGAATGTCAGCTTGTGGTCAGAAATTGGAGGAGTGGAGCCAAAGTACTTTTCCCCAGTTCACTAAACAGAAGGATCGGATTAACCGGGCATTGAGGGCGCTCGAGCGAATGCCAAAAACAGAGGGAGTCCTAGAACAATGCCGAGCTTTGGAAAGGGAAATGGCGGACTGCTTGGACAACGAAGAGCAGTACTGGCAGCAGCGATCAAGAGTAGGATGGTTAAAGGGTGGGGACAAGAACACTAATTTTTTCCATAGAAAAGCATCGGCCAGGCGAAAGAGGAACTCAATAAGAAGAATTAAAGATGAAGCAGGGAGGTGGTATGTAGGGCAGGATGGAGTTACTTCTTGTATGATGCAATACTTTGAAAAACTGTTTACGGCAGGGGAAGCTCCCACGACATGGCCAGTGCTTGACACGATCTCGCCGCGGGTCACCAATGAGGATAATGAAGCCCTTCTGCAGCCGTTTACTCGAGAAGAAATTTTTGGGGCCTTAAGCAGATGGGGAAACGAAAGGCTCCAGGAGCCGATGGCCTATCAGTGTTCTTTTTTCGAAAATATTGGGACATTATAGGGGAGGAAGTGACAGCTACAGTTATGCAAATTCTTACTACAGGAGTTCTACCAGAGGGTCTAAACCATACTCTCATCACCCTAATTCCGAAGACGAAGCAACCGACCTCCCCAAAGGAGTACCGGCCCATAAGCTTGTGCAATGTATTGTACAAGATTGTGTCGAAGGTCCTGGCAAACAGAATGAAGTCACTGCTGAACAAGATAATATCTCCGCAGCAGAGTGCTTTTGTGCCTGGGAGATTGATCACGGACAACATCATGGCCGCATTTGAGTGTTTCCATACGATGAAGAAAAGCAAAAAATGGAAGCATGGCTTCTTTGCAGCGAAGATTGATATGGCTAAGGCCTATGACCGGGTGGAGTGGAAATTTCTGGAGGGAGTAATGCGTCGCATGGGTTTTGATGAACAGTGGATCAAACTCATTATGATGGGTGTGACTTCAGTTTCATATTCTGTGTTGGTCAACGGCCATCGCTCTCCTACTTTTTCCCCGAGTAGGGGCATTCGGCAGGGTGACCCTCTCTCACCTTATCTCTTCCTGCTGTGTGCGGAGGGATTATCGGCCTATACAACCCAGGCAATGACAGAAGGCCGGTTGCATGGGCTGGAGGTGGTTAGGGGAGCCCCGGTGATTACCCATCTCTTTTTTGCTGACGATAGCATCTTTTTTGCCAGGGCAACACAACAGGAGAGCCTGGAGTTAAAAAGTATCCTACAGGCATATGCACGAGAATCAGGGCAACTAGTCAATTTTCAGAAGTCAGAAGTTTCGTTTGGAGCTAACGTTAAACCACATAGCAGACTTGTTGTGGGCGGTACCCTCGAGATGAAAATTGTGGAGAAGCAGGACAAGTATCTCGGCCTGGTGACAGAAGTGGGCAGATCCAAAAAAGCCCTGTTCGAGGGTCTCAAAGAGAGGGTGAAGCAGAAACTGAAGGGCTGGAAGGAGAGAGTGATGTCGACGGCAGCACGTGAAGTGTTGATTAAATCAGTAGCACAAGCCCAGCTCACATATGCCATGTCTGTCTTTAAGCTTCCGGATGGGATCCTAGACGAGGTGCATCGGTTAATCATCAATTTTTGGTGGGGTCAAAAGGGGAGTGAGCGGCGAGCACGCTGGCTGCGCAGGGAAGAACTGGTGATGCTGAAGGAGGATGGGAGTATGGGTTTCAGGGATATGAAGGGCTTTAATATGGCGCTCCTAGCAAAACAGCTCTGGTCCCTTAGCCAAAGACCATCATCGTTGATAGCAAGAATTCTCAAGGCTAAGTACCATAAACACTGCTCGATACTAGACGCGAATATTGGGTACAACCCGAGCTATATCTGGAGGAGTTTGATGGGGGCACAAGAGTTCTTATGCAAGGGGCTCCGATGGCGGATTGGAAACGGAGAGCAGGTGAGAATCTGGGGCGACCGTTGGCTGCCGGAAGGGCCGAGCACTTTTGTCACTTCGGCCCCAAGGGAGCTTCATGTCGATGCATACGTTCGAGATCTTATAGAGCCGGAGACTGAGCAATGGGATGAGGCTCTGCTGACGAGATGCTTCCCCCTGGAAACAGTCTGCATGATACTCACCATTCCCCTGCGTGGGCGAGAGGTACAGGACCAGCTCATTTGGCATCATAATGACCGCGACATGTATACTGTGAAGGACGGCTATCGACAGTGGTTAGAAGGTTATATGGCCGAGGAAGGTATCCAAGCCAGGGGAAGCAAAGAAATATGGAAGCAGCTCTGGGCGTTGGACATTCCACCAAAGGTGAGGCAATTCTTATGGAGATTCGCCAGAGAAGTTTTACCTACAGGTCAGAAAATCAGTGCGCATAATGAACGGCGGAGTGACATCTGCCCCTACTGTAACGAGACGGAAACCCAGATCCACCGTTTCCGCGATTGTAGTTGGAGCTCTAGAATCTGGCGAGGGTCACCTCTAGCGGCAGTGTTTGACGTACCGGAAACGATGGATTGTTTGACATGGATGTCGAAGGTAGCTAAGGAGCAGCCGAAGGAAGTTTTTGAGGAATGGGCAACTTTGCTATGGGCCTTGTGGAATGAACGAAATGCTCAGTGCTTCAATGGACATAAGTGGCCGGAAGATGAAGTGGTGATGCGAGCTTTGGCTTTCCTCCATGAATACCAACGGAACCAGAAGGAAGAAATCATAGAAGACAGCCAACCTGCCAGGTGGGATCGGCCACCAGTAGGGTGGACGAAAGTAAATACTGATGCTGGCCTACTGCCTGAAGGAGAGGGAGCTGGTCTCGGGGCTGTTATACGCAACTACCAGGGTCGGTTCATAGCAGCGGCGGCCAAAAGAGTACGGGGCATACACAGTGTGGATATGGTGGAGGTTCTCGCAGCAGAATTCGGAGTTCAGCTGGCTAGGCAGCTGGGGATCAAGCGCATTGTGCTGGAAATGGACTGCCTTAATGTGGTTAACTACCTTCGAGACGAAGCTCCTATAGCTAATGAAGTTGGAATCATTTGCAGCAGTGTCAAGCATTACTTTGGCCGAGCGAATCTGGGTGCTGAGTTGGTACGTCACACTCGGCGGGAAGCTAATGGGGCAGCTCACATAATGGCACACAGTGGTACCCGATGGGATACTAGAGAAGTGTGGCTTGATCGCCCACCTGTGTTCTTAATTGACCAGCTCAGTCTGGATAATGTAACTGACAGTGCTGCATAATCTTATATAAAGCAGGTTACCTATCAAAAAAAAAAAATGATTTTAATTTTTCCTTTGATATGTATTAACTATTGACTAGCTTCACCATATTACACTTCGATGTTGCCTTACTTTATTACCATAATCTTGATATTTAATTGCTTCAAAACTCTTAAACAATATATTTTGGAATTGTCCAGTGTTCAGGCACATTTAACTGTAAGGTTAAGCACACACATTTTTTAACAACCAGCAAAATATTTTGAAATTGAAATGGTAGCACAGAAATATACGCATTCTAGTGCGTCTTAGTATAAGAGTTGAGTAAAGTTAAGAGGGCTAAAATGACTTACCGTAAAACATTGGGGATGTACATTGTAGATGGTAGATACGACTATCACTTTTGTTCCCAGTTCCACGTCCTTTCACTCTCTGGAAAACGAGAAAGGTTTTTACTTTCTAGCTCCGACGACAAAAACCCTACTCAGAGCTCAGCTGACAGCGCTCTTCCATCCATGAAATTCCCCCTTCGTTCCATTCTCGGTACACCCTTCCACTCAATCCGATGAAAGCTACGTTTTTTTGTTCAGTCATTCCGTCTAGTACTGATCTCAAATGTTGTGTACCCGGCAGGTGCCCGGCCGGCGGTAATCCGAGCTCTGGGCCGGCGATACTTCGCCGCAGCCGCTTCCACGGAGGAATACGCCAAGCGGAATTATGCCAATAATGTCTCCGAGTACAACACCGTCGTTGCTTCTCTCACTTCTCAGCGCAGGTTTTCCCTCCTTCCCCTTTTTGCTCGTGTGACGTGTCTGAATCAGTGTGTTGGGAATTGAATCATTGTGGGAAATTTATTTTCTTTTTTGCAGGGGTTATTTGTTGAGAGATGTCTACGATGATATGGTGCTGGATGGAGTGCAGCCGGGTCGAGATGTTTTCCATTCTTTGATTGTTGGAACCATGAAAAGTGCCCGCTTGCAGGATGCGTTCTACTTCAGAGATGAAATGAAAGCTATGGGCTTGATTCCTGACGTAGGTTTTCGACATCTTCTTCAGATGATCTTATCTCATTGTTTATCGTTTCATATTGCTTGCCTTGAACTTTCGAGCTTGAACTGACACTAAATTTCATGATGGTTAGTTAGGTGAACCTGTATTAGCCCACCCTAATATGTTGGAGTAGAACGCATCATTTTTTCGTTTCTTTGACTGATTGGATGTTACTATTTTCTATGTTGTAGGTAGCGGTGTACAATTTCTTAATTTCGATGTGTGGCAAGTGCAAGAACTCTGACCAAGCAATTCAGGTTGGTTGATGCTGTTGTGAGTTTTCTAGCGAGGCCTATTAACCTTCTTGTACCCTTTTTATGCTCACTAGCCATTGCTTTGCCTGTATTTGACATTTCCGAATCATTTTACCCATATCTTTGATGAAGATTTTAGAAGAAATGAAGAGATCCGAAGTGAAGCCAAATGGACAAACCTTTGTGTGTCTACTCAACGCCTGTGCAGCAACTGGCCGGCTAGATCGTGTGTATGTAATTCTTTCCTTATGTTAGCACGAGGATCTCTCTTTCCAATTTGTTTGATATCTCCATTTCATTGATGCTTAGTTTGTTAGGTTAGTAATTTACTTGCTGCTTCTTTGCTGCAGTTTGTTGTATATGGGCCAATCTACTAGCAAAGTTGTTGAAATGATATTTGATTTGTAAACTCTTGTCCCAATAATTTGTTGGGCTGAGCAGTAGTTGAAAAGCTTATATCAAGGTTCATACTTCATAAACACAATTCTATTTATTTTACATGGTATAGGTATGCAATTGTCCGTGATATGACTGCAGCTGGCGCTGGCTTGAACAAATTCTGCTATGCAGGACTAATAACTGCTCATCTTAACAAGACACCTCGTGGTGATGATACAGCCAGCAAGGTAGTTGTAGTAAAATTTTGTCATCCACCATTGCCTCTCTCTTTATGATGTCTATAACTACTTTAATTGAATGTCTTTCCTCTCAATGGCAGATTATTGAGTTAGTTGAGCAATCAAAGGGATGGTCATCGGTTGATGGAGCAACTTATGCTGCTGAAAATGTGGCGAGGGGTGTATCTGAAGAGGAGTTATATAATTTGCCAACAGCTGAATACATTCATCGGCGTGGAGGGTTCTTGAACAAGAAACTAACTGTGTATCATGTTGCACTCCATGCTTGTGCAGAACTGAAAGATGTACAGGTATATATCCCACGTCTGCAAATACACCATAATATTCTTTCAGTTACTAAGCCAAAGCCAAACTTTCACGAGCTTCTTTCACTTGATATTTTCGATATGGTCCTCATAGGCTACGGAAGTTTTGTTGGAGATGCTTCAGAAGGATAAAGAATCTCCTGATGTCTTCATTCTAATGCAAACAATGAGGTAAGTTTGTTTATAGGAAATCAGGTATATTAACTCGTACGTTTGAACCATATACTGGTTAGCTGAAGTGAAATGCACTTTCATTTAGTTTGTCTACCAGCTAAATATAAATTTCTTGTTTGCTCCTTTCTTTTCATTTTGGAAAAACATTCCTTCTTTTTTAATTCTAGGTGCCATCTACAATGTGGCGATCTGGATCGTGGTCTTGCTATCTTTGAAGAGTACATGAATTCTGGCAAACTTAATATGATGGAGCTCTATTTGGTGAGTTTCAATACCTGTAGTACCTATTACACAAGGAGTGCTTTGTCATATCTCCCTTAGTATGGATCTTCAATTGTTCTTATTATGTACTGTCTTTCCTTACTATTTCTGGGACAATTTCAATAGCTTATTTAGAAACAAAGTGTGGACATTCCCATGAAGACAAGCTTCTGTTTTGATTTCCTGGTGGGAAGATAGGAAACTGTAGGAATTGGATAGAAGTGCGAGAACATCTGAACATGTTGCTTATATCCATGTTCCTGTTATTATTACTTATTAGTTATGTTTTCTTTGTATCCCCTCCCCTCCTATCTTTAATCCTCCTGCTGCTGAAGCCTTCTATGTCATGGTGCCAGCATCATTAACCCTTGATTTTTTTTTCTCTCTGAATTTTGATTGTGTAGACTCTTATAGAGGGAGCCATGGTAGGATATACTCCCAAGGGAATGCAACTTGCACAAGACACACTGGTACATAAATCGCTTTATTCTTGCTTGCCAGTTTTTGTTGATGTTACGAATTTCACTCACAACCCATGCTTGGTTGGAAAATGCAGGTAAAAATGACCGAGAAGAATTACTTCTTGAATCCCAAAATCGGAAGCGATCTCCTTCTTGTAGCAGCTGGTGAAGAGGTAATTGCCACACTATCTACACCATTCCGACTCATCAAATCGGTTTCTTACCTTCAAATGAATTCCTTTTGCAGACCGGTGGGTACACGACTGCCAATTACATATGGGACTTGATGCAAGCTCGTAACATGATACCCACCTTCCCTGCCGTGGAAGCATACTACAAAGGCTTGAAGGTGGGTCTTCTCTCTTGCTATTCTCCTTGTTGTATTATGATGCATTGCCAAATCAATCTTTCCATTGCATAACTACTCTCAAATTTCCTCTGTGCTGCTTCATCTTCTTACTGTTCTTTTCCCCCCTTTCAGAAACGGGATATACCTGAAGATGATGCTAGGCTGCTGCTCGTTTCTCGTACTTATGACAATCTGCTTGGCAAATTCGGGCCAAGACCAGGGGTTACGACGAATAGGCCTCCGAGAACTGCCGAGCCAGAGATGGAGCAGAAACCCTCTTCAGTAACGGAAGCCAACCAAGCATAGGCCCTCTTTACATGACGCAAGTGGATCAAAAGTCTTCGTTATTGGCTCCACTTTAAAAGACAATTTCACAGAGATACCAGACTGTTTTTCCTTGTAGCCCTTTTTGGGAGGAGGAAACACCACATGACATAACTTATGTAGGAGTTCCATGATAAGCTTGATTGATGCTCTTCCATTTCCATACCAGTTAGGAATCAAAATTTTATGTTTTGTCCATCAATTCGATTCTTGAATCTCTCGTTTCTTACGAAGCATTTGACAATGGTGACTCTGAATGGAGTGAATCTTTTTGATTGCTTGAAGAAGAGCATTAGTTTATCGTTTGAGTTTATTCGGAGAAGAGTGGATAATTCAAGTACGATCCTCTTGTATTCTCTCTCAATGACGAATATCTTGGCTTGTGCAACTTGTGATTTGGGATGATGTGTTTATCAAATGTGACGAACCTCGTTAGTAACGAATGAATAAAAGTCCTAGCAGTATGAGAACTTGTTTGTTAAAATTTTACAATACAAGGATGTAATTTGGTAAACCATCGAGAAAAATGACCCAATAAGTCATTAACTAACAAAAGAAGTGCGCACCATAATCGCCGCCAGTTTCTCGCAAGGTCTGGAGTCACTTGAAGGGAAACTGGGAAAGCCTTCAGCTTCCGCCATAACCAGCGCGAGAGCGGAAACGTCTTCTTCCCCCCCCCCCCCCCCCCCCCCAAAGTTTCAGTCGGAGTTGCTCGCCGTTCTCGGCCGCCGTTGCAACTCTTCCTTTGATCGCTTTCCCTCCTCCCCTGTCTGCTATTTGTTGAACATTAGACTCCTCATCTCAACGGCGGCGGACGACCGGGTTTTAGCTGCTGTCTGTGCTTTTACGCGCCGCCGCCTTTCAGCAAAATCGTAGGGGGCGGTTGCCGAACGAGTTTTCCCGGCTAACGATTGAAGTGACTCAAGGTAGATTATTATTCTTTCTGTGATAGCCAGCTCAATTTATTTGCCTCTGACATTCTCTGAACCGGGGTTTGAATTGGAATCCAAACTACAGTGCTTTCCTTCCCTTCTGTATTTCGTTTCCCTTAGACTCTTAAAGATGCAAAGTCTTTGCTTTGTGGCTGAATGTTTTATCTCTGTGCTGTGTTGAATTATTTGTAATGGTTGTAACCATGTGGTAGAACTAATTAGGACTCTGAAACTTGCTCTTAGTTCGTAGAATCCGAAGATTGTTACTCATCCAAAGTACTGCTGCGTTTATATTTAGTGAAAGATTTGTATCTTGGCGTGCTTAGTGATATTCCCTGTCATCGGTATGATTTAGCTTTTGCTATCATTGTGTTGGATTCTGACTTGGTGGAACTGTTGATTGCCACTCTCAGTTTCTTCTTGGCCAGAATGGAGGTAGAAGAGCTCGAAGCTAATGGAATGAGTTTGAAGGGTGGTGCAGATATGAGTCCGGGTGAGGGGAAGTCGAACAGATTGAAAAGCAAAAAGAAGAAGCGGATGCAAGAGGTTGGAGTGATTGAAGTTGAGAAACATGTCAATGGTGACAACACCGAAGAAGACTATGATGTTGAAGGGAGCCGAACAAGGCTGAAAAATGGGAAGAAGAAGCAGAAGAAGAAAATGATGAAGAATACCGAAGTTGGTGGTGATGAGACTGGTGAGGAAGAGGTGAAGAAGGGGAGTAAGAGAAAGAAGCAGCAGTTATTAGAAGAAACTGAACGGGATGAGGAGGAAGAGCATGATGTAGATGGAGCTATTGGTCCAGATTCCGTTGATGATACTACTGAATCTCTGAACAATGAGCGAAAGCAGTCGTTAGTTGGTGATAAAAAGGAGAGAATGAAGAGAGAGAAGAAGAAGCAGCGTTTGTTAGAGGAAACAGCCAAGGCTGATAGGCGTGGAGTTTGTTATTTGAGCCGAATTCCTCCTCACATGGATCCTGCAAAGCTCCGTCATGCTCTATCACAGTATGGTGAAATCCAGAGGATCTATCTTGTACCAGAAGGTGATTGAATTTTCTGCACTTTGATCTTTCTGTTCATTTTTTTGCTTGTGTTGATTACGTTCTGTGGTTTCTGTAATGGCATTCGACCTCTGGTGAATATTTGGATTGAATCCTTCCTTTTCCCTATCTTCTTTCAGACTCAAATCCGCTACATTTTCAGAAGAAAGCTGCTAAACATAGGATGCAATCATTCGCAGAAGGGTATGTTTGATCTTAAGCATTCTAGTTTGAATAACTCCCTTGATGGGGTTGTTGATTGCCAACTAGATTGTTTTTCTTATTTCACACATTTTCTTGAATTTGGAATGTTGATTGTGATTTAGATGTAAATTCTTATGTTTTCTTATACGTTGCAGGTGGGTGGAATTTACTGATAAAGTTGTGGCAAAAAGAGTTGCAAACATGTTAAATGGCGAACAAATGGGTAAGGGATTCAATATATACATCTGCTGTCTTCATTATCTCTATATTGTTATGTTAGAGCAGTATGGTGGTAATGGTATCGATAGTTACATCTTTCATTTTACATGTGAAGATTTAGTGCGTCACATTTTTACTCCCTTTGTTGTCCTCTTCAGGTGGGAAGAAGAGATCACAGTTCTATTTCGATACGTGGAACATCAAGTACTTGAGTAAATTCAAGTGGGATGATCTGACAGAGGAGATTGGTATGAAACTCATTTCCTCTTCCTTTTGCAAACTGAGTTCTTCTACTTGTCTTTGGCTCACATCCCGTTTGGAAATGCAGCTATAAAGAGAGCCGTCAGAGAACAGAAGCTAGCTTTAGAACTTTCTGCTGCAAAGAGGGAACGAGATTTCTATCTCTCCAAAGTTGAGAAATCAATCGCTCTTACTAACATAGAAGAACGGCTGAAGAAGGTAAAAAAATGTGCAATCTTTACTAACCATTGTGGATAGATCTAGTTTTTCCTTAACCTACAATGTAGATTAAGTATGAACTTACTTTTTGTAAGCTAGTGTCGGTAGTTGGTTGCAGTGACAGTGATCTCTATTGTAGTAGGCTCTGGCGTCTGTAGGGAGTTAGTGTAGGTGCTGTTTGGTAGCTGCTGATTTCAGTAGTATGTTTTTCGAGACCTTGTCCTAGTTTGGTCAGGTGGAGCAATATGAAGATCAAAACAATTACCAAAAAAGAAACCATCTTTGATCACTACATCACCATCTCACGATACCTTTCTCTTTCCATTGGTTCTGCAGAAGCAAAAGGCACAAGAACCACCAAGGGTAATCCGCCGAATGCCACAGAAAAAGCCAGTGACTGAGAAAGCAGAGGAGAAGAAATCTAAAATCTCTATGGATGTCCTGGCCGGAGTAAGTCATTTTTCTTCCACCCAACAAAACTCATTCCCATGTAATATTTATTTTGCTACCTAAGGCTCATTGATAGCCGCTTTCTGTTTTCTTCAGGTGTTTGGGGGTTCTTCTGGGTGACATCTTTGGTACCCCCTTCAGTTGCTGTCATGAGGTCTGCAGCTTTCTGGGAAATGCCTCAACGCTGTTTCCGAAGTGCCTTGTGGGTTAAGTTATCTCTTTTCAGGTTTCCTTACGCACTGCGATTTTGACGAGGAAGAGGGAATGCATCTATATCCGAATTTCAGGGCTTTCTTGAAGATGGTTGATAAATGTAGTGTGAGTGAAAAGGACAGTTATTCTTTTTCTTTTTTTTTTTTTGGTAGAAAGTGGATGCGAAGCATCCTAATTCATATAGATTAAACGATCATGGGAGATACCCATTACATCATAAGAGAGCCAATAACTGTAGAAGAAGAGTGATGTAAACGCAATATATTGGTGAAACTCTTACTTGGTTTACTATAATGCACAATTATTCATAGGGTAATTGGAGTATTGTGTCTCGATTCTTTGATATGGTCTTTTTAAGTTTTTGTCGATTTAAAGTAGACAACTATGAACAAAATATCTCATTTGAATGCAACTTGATTACTTCAGAGGAAGCCACAGGAAGTTGACGAAGACTAATCTCCTTCTAATTTTTTATCGTGAAAGTAGGCTATTCAAGACCTATGTTACCTTCTTTCGACCATTATGAGAGGAGAGAATCTATAAAAATATGAGAACGACTTTTGATTTATACTTCTGAAAATCAAGTTAGTTCTTAATATAAAATATGTGAAGATAATATCTAGTAATACAAAATTTGAAGAGAAACTTTAAGTGTGAAGTTTAAAGGGTTTGATACTCCATGGATAGGAAACCCTCATTGGCTCACAAGTGTTAAGCATCTTTATGAACCAACTTATGCCATCACTAAAATCAAACAGCAGTTGTTTTTGTGGTAAAATGGTGAAGTGATATGTAAGATAGAAGTGTTTTTAGTATAAAGCTTTCTCAACAACAAAAGCCCGTCTAGCTCAGTTGGTAGAGCGCAAGGCTCTTAACCTTGTGGTCGTGGGTTCGAGCCCCACGGTGGGCGTTCTATTTTTGCCTTTTTCCTGCCTTAACATTAACAACTTTGATCTTCCCCCAATTAGATATGATCTAATACACTTATGACTGCATTGATAAAATAAATCTTCCACACAGTCAAATTTGAAAGTACACCTCAATAACCTCAGCAGCAGCTTGGTGTGCTTTCGATTAATGGTTTCTTAAAAGTGTACATACGAATTGGCACACAAGAGTGGAAAAACGGCAATTTTCTTTCTGGTATACTACTGGGAAAAAAATTGGGGGAAGGCAGGGAACAGAGGGGGAAAATCAAGGAAACAAAACTTGCTTTCCCTCCTCTCAAGGTTCTTCTATCTGACATGTTACAGTTAAAAACTATAGTTGGAACCTCGGAATGACTGGCATAAAATTCCTAACGATACTTTTAGCCGAGAACTTCCTTGATCTTCGTCTTCTGCTCCTGCGTCAATGAATTAGGGAAGAGAACCTCGAACGTCACATAGAGGTCGCCTTTCTTGTTGCTTGCGTACAGAGGCATCCCCTCGCCCTTGATCTTCTTTACTTCTTTTGGCTTAGTGATTCCCTGAGAGCATATTGGGAATGAGTTAATGTTCCGTGCTAGCAGACTCCAGGATTTGGGGTTCAAATGAAAAGAGGGGGAGTTGATTATGTGGTTTACCTGTGAGCCTATGTCGACCAGATGCTCATCGAGGTGCTTGATCTTCTTCTCGAAGCCAACGAGGGCTTGAACCTGGTGGGATACATTTCAGGCGTTCTTTCCACAGTTAAATAGAAAGATCTTAGAGGGGAAAGGAAGGAAAAGACTTAGTTGCAGAATTACCAGTGTGATGGTGACTGTGGTGTGCAAGTCGTTGCCTTTCCTTGTGAAAACGTCATGAGGTGATGTGTGAATGCGGAACTGTATAAAATATGATAGGACAGTGGTGAATTTTTGCTGCTGCATAAAGAGAAGAAGACCACAGTTGAGAAAACAAACCTTCAAATCTCCTGGTTCCCCATCTATCTTGGGCTCACCATCTTCATAGAAAACAACCTCCTGCAACAGTCATCCATCCACACATTACATCCAAATCAATTGGATCAATGCTACAAATCCACTGATGTACTAGTATGTACACACAAGAAGTGTAGCACAATTCCAATACAAATAGAATATAAGTAGGATCATGATTGAAGTTATGATCTTCCAGCCCTAACTAGCAAGAGTCCCACTATATGAAACAGCTCCATTCTAGGAACAGAATCAAGATGGTTCTACAGAAAGTCTCCAACTTCAAGCCCTATGTGCACCAGGAAATGATAGTGCATGAAAGTTCATTTTGGACAAGAAATAGTCCAAAAAGTTCAACAGTCTCCTAAACTGGATTTACTAAGAGAGAAAGAAAAGGATAACACAGGGGACTTCTACGAATCCGAAGAGGGAAAACCTCAAAAGTTATACTAGACTACTTCCCTAAATAGGTGATCGGTAGTGGAAACTGCTGAAAGTAAGAAAGCCGGTCAAATACTCTTCTCCAGCCATACATCCAGTAAGGAAAATTATTTACTGAAACTTACTTGTCCATCTTGCATTCCTTTTTCAATATCAACTGTGAGAGAATACCCTTCCCGCTCAAATTTGATATTTTGGCATTGATCACAGACCTGCAAGAAATTAATAAGAGATGCATATGAAACTTGAAGCATTCTACAGGAAGAAAAAGCATCCAATTGCCAGAACTCCATTAGCAGCGTGCGGCTTAGATCACTTGTAAGGAAATGTAACAAGTAATCCAACAGAGTTTCCAGCCATCATATACCTGCTCTGTCATTTGCTGGAACATCCCTGGACCAATTTGTCTATGATAGACCTCATTTCTGCAGTTACATCGTCTTTTCCCTGGGGCTGGCTTGATAACATTCTTCTCTCTCCACACCTACCGAACAACACAGTAAAAATGGTGAGAACATAACCACCACACTAACCCAATCATCTTCTTAAATAGCAAGATATACAGAAATGCATGATACATAAGCCATAAAAATTCTTCTTCTGCTTCATGGTTACACAAGATGAAGAAATTTCTAACGCAAATCAACGACCCTACACCCGATGAAGAAATAGAGTCCATTGCTTGCTAACCGCGGCTAACTGATTCACTCAACACATCTGTAGGAAGGAAGTTCCCTTTCTAAGTACAACAACAGAGACTAGTAAACATGGCCTATAAAAAGCTAGCACCTTTACAATGATAGAACTCATTAGCATTTCGCATTGCTGGTTAGAAGCATAGATTAGAATGCCTAATCCTACCTGCATTGAACCACCCATGTACAAATCTTCCAATGTGGCGTCCAAATCAACAATGACATCATCACCCTTTTGGATTCTCTCTTCCTCCTCTTCCGATTGACCTCCTCCGCCAAAGAATCTAGAGCAAAGAATACCATGTCAGGACTCCAGATATCTAAAAACAAGCAGAGAATACGAGAAGAAAAGGAAAAAACGTACTGCTCGAAAATGTTCTGCATGTTCATTCCTCCACCGCCACCTCCATTGGCCATATGCTGCCTAAGCCCTTCCTCCCCATAAGCATCGTAAATCTTCCGCTTCTCGCCGTCGGACAACGTCTCATAAGCTAAACCAAGGGGAATACAAAATCGCTCAAGATTCAAGCAAACCAATTTCAATCTGAAAAAAGAGCAGATGGATACAGAGAGTACAATGTCCACCAAATCCAATCTATACCGTTGCTAATCTCTGCGAATTTCTTATTAGCTTCCTCATTCCCCTGGTTCTTATCGGGATGATACTTCAACGCCAGCTTCCTGTAAGCTCGCTTGATCTGATCGTCCGACGCACCTTTGGGCACTTGCAACACATCGTAGTAGCTCTTCCTGCGACATCCCAAAATCCAAAATCATCAAATTTGATTTCCCCAAAGCTGATTTCAGACGAAAAAAATTGGGGAGAGGCTACTAAAAGAACCGTACCCGGCAATGGTGACGAGAGCGTAGGACAGTGCGCATAGCAAGAAGAAGAGTTTCACCACTCGGTGCGCCATTACGAGGAGAAACGAGGGAGAGAGGCTGGATCTCTCCGACCACCGTCGGCGGCGAAAGTCCTGAGGTTCCGGCTTGGAGATCTTCCTTCCTTCTCCTTCTACTGATACTGGTTGAAGCTTTGGTGCGGTGGGAAGTGGAAACAATGGAGGAGGGAAACTTTGTCTCCTGAAACTCGGGGAGTCTGCTTGCTTGCTGATGGTGGTGGTGGTGAGTCAAGTCAGTGAGTCGAACCGGGAACCAAAACGACTTGCTTTTTGGGTTATACGTGTAGATGCCAAGCCTGGCCAATGAGATAGAGGCAAGTAGGTGTGATGGCCAATGAGTGCTTGCCACGTCAGAATTAGTATTCCAGACAGTTTCTCTTCCCCGGTAACGAGTTGAATGATTAATTACATAAATGGTCATCAAAAGTTTTTTGGGGTTGCTATTGGTGACTAAACTTCGATTCTTAACAAACTTATCACTCAAGTAGTCAAGTTTATCTCAAGCAGCATCATCAGGAACAACTAGCGTAATGTAGCTGATACTAATTTGGAGAACCAAACTTTACTATTGAGTATTGCATGAAGATGAAAGAAGTGAGATCGATATTAGTTTCTCCAAATGACAATAACAAATTTGTTAGAAGTTAAATTTGATTTGCTTTTTCTTCGTTGATCGATCAGCTTTTACTTTTTGATAGCATAATGGATCAATATCGAAAACCAAATGCTTGAGGATACTCACTTCTTGATCTCGGCTTGCCATTGCACATGACTAACTAGACAATTTTTCGATGCTAATCAGTTTGAAAATGTATAGCTCCAATTGCATGCGATGAATGCACTTGGAAATGAACATCCTAGAATTTGATCCAAAGACAGATATAAATAGAACCTCCTCCAACTTGGTTTCTCGAGTACATTTCATCGTTCTCCAACTAAATTCAAGACAGTCAGAGAACAAAGAAGAGAAGTGAAGATAAAGATGCTACAGCCTAATCACATAAAACAGTCTCCAAAAGATCCCCCCAAGCATTTGCAATTCAGCAAAAACGACATCACATTGGGTCCCCAAGTTCTCGAAACTAATCGGTAAAAGTACAGTGATCTCCAAACAAAGCTCTGTCATTCTGTCTTCACTCTTCCATAGCATCACCAGCCTCAACCACTTGAGTTAACTCCTTCAGTGGGGTAATCTTTGTTGAGAGGACCTCTGCAACACATATCAATAGCAGTATATAAATTATAAGTGATTTGAAATCAGTAAAAATAACTCAGATCGCATTCAACCAGGCAGAGAAGGGTTCCTTCCATTTCAGCATGAATGGTAGTTGAACATGATTTTCGGAAAAACTCAAAATCCTGATGGGATTGTCATAGACGCATAGTTACACCAAGTACCAGTACTTATAGCTTGCACATACTTATAAATTATAATATAACCATACCATGGTACTTGACAAAAAAGGGCTATGAACAGCTGCTTAGATCACAACATCCAGGTCACCAAATCAAGGTTTAAGTTTCACATGTCACCACCCAATTTGAGAATAATACAAAATGAAACTAGCAAGCAGACTGTGAGACGCTAGGAGAAACTGTTCTAAATTTTAATCTGTTTCAATGAAGAGCGGAAACAAGAATTTGAAGCACATGGCTCCAGATAGTGCTATATGCTTATTTGTTGAAGTAGGGATTATGATACAAACCTATCTTCTTGGGGAAGGTGTATGCCCTCGCACTGACGTATGTGCGTGGATTGGGTTTTAAGTGGTTTCTCATGTATTCTTTTTCCCCCTGTTCCATAACCATTTCGGACAAAGTTAAATTGGTACAAACTGAAGGATCGTCCTAGAAACTGAAATATATCACGTAATAATTTGCCCACCTTTGTAATGACACAAACATCAACATTGCTTCCACTTCCCAAGTCGTTGAATATACCAGAACATATGGCCTCAGTCACAAGCTTTATTCCTTCCTCCTTCTGAAAATATAATGAGTAACTCAGTAAGTTTTAAGTGATCAAGATTATAGTAGGGTAACCAGTAATTATATGCAACTGCTAATTGCTTGTAAAAATTGGTATATACACCTCGCATTAACACAACTTACATTCAGGCCTTCCTTGTACTTCGACTCGAACACAGCCATTGCAGCAAGAGAACCAGAACCCATTGTGGCAAAAGGCAAAGTGTCTGTTGATCCATGGGGATATATCTGCAAAGGACAGAAGTTAATACGTCATCAAGTCTCCTCACAAGTCATATGAAAAAGAATGCCATGCACATTCTGCTGAACAGAAGGAAGACTCACCGTGTGTAGATGAGGCCCAGTGCAATCAACACCACCAAGAACCAAAGCAGCAGAGATGTGACCTTGGTAACTGAAGAACAATGTGCAGGCAGAATAAGGAACTCACTTGCCTTAAAAAAAGGTCATTGCAGAAAGCAGAAAGAGTTCAATGTCGAAGACAGGTTACTTGAAAAGATGCTTCTTCAGGAGAGTAAGTGCTGTAATAACCCTCGACTCTCGGCCAGTATGGTAACGATGCAACTGCAGCTGCGAACTCACCATGTCTACACAAAAAATCAATCCAAAGCCACACATTAAACTGGGGTAGTTGAAGAGCTAATTGAGAAGAAGACTTAATGGCAATATTGTGAAGAGAAGTTATATAGCGATCTGGCATTAACAACTTTGACAACTGAAAACATACCTGTCACCGACTCAGTATCGGCAGCAGTTCCTGCTCCACAGCAGTAAATGTTAGGCGCCATAAAATGAATCTTCTCACAATTCTTATCACAGACGATGGGTCCAGAAGTAGCTCTAGTATCTGCTCCAAGAATGACACCATCCTATACACCAATTGAAGGGTGGCAACACCAGCTTAAATTAGAGAAATCAAACAAAGAGAGAATCTCTCTTGAGCATGTTCACTGCTCAATCCTCAAATATCCCTGATGCATTCTAGCAATGAGAATCAACAACAAAAATTCACACTCACATGGCTATAGCAAACACTAAAAGAAGCTCAAAGGTTCAATAAAGCACAACTAGATCAAGTGACTAGGAGGGCGACCCATTAAAATCAGCTCAAATCAAACCAACCCTAAGCATAAAAAAAAAACTCCCATCTTTCCAGCTTAAAAATTCAATGGAGTCGAAACCAAATACCACGAGACGAGCGGAGCAAGAACCACAAACCTGGAAAATCAAGCCGACAATGGTGGTTCCCGTCTTCCTGTAATTCGGATGCTTGACGCCCTTCCCGGAGAGCATTTCATTCCTCTTGCAGAGATCAAAACTGAACCCACCCTTCGGCGGCGCCTCCACAATCGACGAACTCGACATTCTGGAAGAGACTAATCTGACGACTAACGAACTGAAACCAAACATGAGAAAGAAAATTAGGGATTCAGAAGAAAACCAAAACAACGCAAATGGAAAAGGAGGACAAAGCAAACTCACCGGTGAAGTGTGAAGTGAAGTTAGGGCGATCGGAGGCGTGCCTGGGAAGGGGAAAAGAAAGGATCGAGCTCTCGAGGTTTTCTTCTTTGGTCTTTAATGGGTTAAGAAGCTGGATTGGCAAAGAAGAAAAGTGTTTGGGAAAATATTCAATTTGAGTGCCTATTAGTTATGGAAGGTTACGATTGATATCTGTATTTTGTATTTGTTTCAATCAAGTTCTCCTGTATGGGCTTGACTTGCACCAGAAGGCTGATGGGCCATGGCCATGCTCTTATTTCTTCCTCCTTTATATGGGCTGGACGGTCAAAATAGTTCTGAGTTTTGACAATCATTGAGTAAAGTAAATGTTGGTTTCGTTTGGTTTCTCCGAATGTTAAACTGATGTATTGTGAACAATACATGCATTATATTACACTAGTGTGGGCCCTGGTCATTTGGCCGGAGGAAGGTGAGGTATGAGATTTGATAATGTAATGGGGGTGTATAGTTTATTGTTGTATAGTTGTTTTTGGAAAACACGTGATAAAAATAGTGAATTTTAGTAGGAAAGAGACATGAATGATGCAACGAATAAAAAATCAGCCTTATGAACCAAAATCAATTACCTGTTACCTCGTGAAATAATATTGTTTCTGGTAATATGATGAGGTGGAGTAAGTTTTATAGAAACCGAATTCCAGAAAATCGAATAAAAAATCGCCTATCCCGCCGATTTTCGGGAAATGAGCATCTCACAATCGTTGCTAGCTTTTACTCGGCCCGTTGGCCGATTAATTTGCTTTATAAAACTTTCAACTTGTCATCGTTGTGCTTTCTGGTTTTTTGCCAAGCCATGATAAAATCTAAAGAAATCAAGAATGAACAACACGATTTGGGATAGGAACCACTGTTCTTGTATCCCTAGAAAATGGTGGTAAACACGGATTCACCTGCCAAACTGGTTTGGATTGATATTTTTATCGGGTATCAGGGAACCATGTGATTATAAATTAGACTTGATCAAAACGGGCCAAAACTTGAAATTCAGCCTATTTGACCGACCCATGCCAAACTCTAATTATTCTTTACTTTTAAACTTCCTATTTGAAAATAAAAAATAATGAAAAAAAAGAGATTACCACAATTGACCATTTGCACATCACTGATTTGGGAATAAAACTATAGAATTTCGAAAGGGAACTGAAAATGTTTAGGATCGTTTTAATGTTAAAAATAACCAAATAGATCTTTCTATTTAGTTTTTTTTACTAACAAATACCAAACGATTCTCTATATATACACTATAATTTAATCATTATGATATCAAATAATTACATAATATATATGTGAAATGATAAAAATTGGATTAATTGGGTTAGTCGAGGTTGAATAACTTTAAAATACATTATATTTTAGCCACTAAGATATAAAATAATAGCATAATATATATTATGCTAGAGAAAATAGCTTGTTTTAGAATGGCAAGCCCATGATGTTCATTTGTTTTACTTGATGGGCAAATCCCGTGTAGGTCAGGCCCATTCAACTCTTTTATTTTTTGATTAGCGGTTAGCCCATTAGAATCCATGCATTAGTTTATTGTTAATTTTTTTTCTTTTTAGCAATAAAAAGGAGTATTGTTTTTGCCTTTTCATATATATTTTATCACCACAGAGAAATTAAAGGACTTAAAGAAAAAAAATTGACACTCCTGGACCCGTTTAAATCCTCATGTGTATGGTAAGTTGGCCCGTTCCACAGAGGAAAAAGAAAAAAAATTGACACTCCCTATTCTACCCTTCCTACAAACGCTCATGGAGCAGGGAATTTGAAATGGGGGAAGGGTTTTTTCCTCTCTGCGATTATATGTTTTTAATTTAAAAAGATATAACAAATGTACTTAGTGTGATTGGTTATGATATTTGATTTTCTTTAAAGTGATCATGGTTCGAATCCTAGTAAGTGGTTTTTTAATGAATAAAAAAAAGTAATTGTGAAGACCAAAATGTCCTTCCTACTTTCACTCTGGATGCAGGAAATTTGAAATGGGACTTCAAGTTTTCTCATTTGGCTTTTATTTATAGTGTAGACATGTATTGTTGAATTTGGTGTATTGTAGATTACAACGTTTGGTATTTGTGATTGTGTTTTCAATAGTTAAAAGGGAAAGTAACTTTTTAACAAAAATGTCATTTGTATCCCTCATTGTCAATGCAAAAAGTAACTTCTAAAGGTTAAAGTTTGAAGAAAAAGAAAGAAAACAATCTCAACAAATACAATCCCAACAATCCCAGCTAAAAGCTGAGATTGTACAATCATTTATTATGAATAATTGTTTCTGTCACATGAAGTAAACAATACATGTATTGTCTGTGTATAGAAAATAAATAAAAAACGATGAATTGTAAACAATACAACTATTATAACAATCTCAACCAAACAATCATAGAAACCAACGACCCCATTGTTTTTAAGTTTTAATCCAAATTTTATTATAAAAGAATTTCAATCCAAGTTTGTGTAGTTGCTTGGAAAGAGAGATCAAAATCATAATTCTGTAGACAAATCAAGCATTTCATTTCATATACAAAAATATTCATGTAAAAATATCACATGTGCGGCTCTTATTAATAGTGGAGCCATTATACATTTATACATTTATTAGAGTTTCACCAACCAATACTTCGTATACTCAGATTATAAAAAGCGTGTGTTTCCTATTTCCCGTTGGTCATTCAAGCTCGGTCACAACTTTTTTAGTCTCTCAACCGATTTGAAGAAACTTGACCGTATATCGAATTTCAACAGATACCTACTGGGCCACGGACGTGGATCATTTTTTTTATCATGGCCCGTGAAAAGCAAGCTAGATTGTGTTATGTTGCAGCCCATATGATGCCCCATACTAATTACTAAATCAATGTAATTGGGATGATCATATAATTTGGACCAATACGACAATATTCCTAGCCTATTTTTCTCATACCAAGGGGTCGTTTAGAGAATATGAGTTTAAATCTATAGATTGTCAACAATCTAAAGATTCTAACTCTTCGGATTGTTGAAAACGGATTTTAAAATGTTTATTGTTTGGTAACTGTGATTGTTAACCTTCAATTAAAATAAAAATTTTATTTTATATTAAATAACATGTTTATCCTTAATATAAAAATTAGAGTGGTTTGAGAAATATTAAAAACTTTGTTGATAAATATATTTCATGTGATAAATAAATAAAAGTAAGAGAAGAACTTGGAGAAAAAAAAATCTTACGAATCAAGATATAGAATCTCTCTGATTATGAGAGATTTGATATCCACAGATTTTAGAGATTTGAAATCTCTAAAGCTAGAATCCACAATATCAAAGGAACAAAAAAACATAATTTTTTACAAAATCTACGGATTCAATGAATCCATGTCCTGAATCCTGTTCTCCAAACGACCCCAAATTGTGGATGGAATGTATTATCACAAAAGTCAATACTTAATGAGCTGGCCATCTATAAATAAATGATATTTGTGGCACTAATCTCTAAGAAATTATATATGTTACCCCAACGTTTGTATTTGTGTAATATTTGCGTCATATTATGTTTAATCAACCTTTAAATTCAAGAAAATTAGAAATAGAAACAAAACTATGTAGATTGTTTTTCCAAAAATAAATCAAACTCCCAAATAGAGAAAATGTACAAAAGCACTGCTAAAACAGAAAAAAAGCATTGGTTTACATACTTCAAGATGCATCTATCACACAATTTATAGAAAATTACAATTATTTTTCTCTAAGAGAATTAAACTTAGGGTAAAAACTCGAATTAATACCGCATACCGAAACTAATGTACATAGTCTCTCTCTATTGTATGCCTAATCCTCGATCTAAACATGTGATTCTACCGGCTCAATCTCCACTTGAAGTCCGTTTCGAAACTCCACATACGGATAAGCAATTGGGTACTCATCTTCTTTCACTTTCCACCTATACGTTTAGAAATAAGCATATTATAGCATGAATTAAGAACAACAACAAAAGCATTTGAAATATCTAATAGAACTAGCTAGAACAACAACAAAGGAACACCATGATACCTACACAATTATTCATGTTGCTAAGTGATATAAGCATAAATAGTAGCTAGAGGTACAAGATGTGGGTCTTATAAGTAATGATTAGATGTACTAAACCACCAAAGGAATAAAGGTAAGACATTCCCTAATCGTGACAAAAATGAATGTGTCTAGAGTAGCAATATAAATTAAGTTGAAGAAATGAGATTAATTAAGAGAAGGGGGGTTAATTAATAATTACGTACCTATAGGTGAGGACAAGATGATGAAGGAAGAAGGCAACCATGACTTTAGCTAGGTCGGATCCTGGGCACACCCTTGGTCCACCACCATATCCCATAGTCTTCTTCCCTATTTCTTTGTCCTCCTTTTATAAATAATCCAAAAGAGAAAAATAATAAACATCAAACTTATGATAATAGTGATTAAGATGATACACGAAAGGAATGAATTATAATGATAGCAAAATAAGGTATTTTAATTCGAACATGTGTTCGTTATGATCTATGTATGAGTTTAATTTTGAACACTAAAGATTATAAAATGAACATATTGAAAATTAGATCAAACCATGCATCGATCAATACAGTAGCTAGTATGTATTGTGAGTAGAGGTGAAAATCTAAGGGCATTTACCGTCCATCTCCAAGGATTAAACTGAAGATGGTCATGATGAAGAGACGGGTCTAGATTTGGCCCTGCTAATACAGGAAGCACCTTCCATCCACGAGGAATCAAATGCCCTGGGAGCGCAAAAATATATTATTAAATTAAAAAGTTTTTTTTTTTTTACATCCAACCATTGAGTCCCCAATGTATTGCCAAATTATTTACGAGTCTTTTGGTAAATGATGATCTACATCAACTATTAAACTTTAACCAACCTTTGAATTCCACGTCTTGGAGTGCCTTGCGGTGTAAAAATTTGACTAGATTCCCACATCTCACAGCTTCTTTTGTCACCTACATACATGCAGCCAGTCACAAAATATTGGATCAAAAATATTAAATATACAGAGGATGAAATCAAAGGGAATATTGCAGACAATTAATACTTCAGGAATTTAGTGTAATTATAATCAAAACATTGATAATTTACATTGCGGGTGAAGTCCATTTTCTGGTAATCCTCCCACCCCAAGGGCTGCCCTTTGCCTTTGTTCCTCCTTATAGCTTCATGTTCTTCCTGCAATATTGCACACGTTTCAACAATTCCATCATACACCTTGTTATAATTATTGTTATCAAGTTCTGACTGTAACCAACTGACCAGTTTGATCCGATTGCTATTGGGGAAATCCCCATTAGCGAACCGCAATTGCCCCAACTTTTAAGTGCTTGCAATCCGATCAACTTGTAACCTGAGTCACAGCCTTAATTTGATTTATCTATAACCTGGTTGAACACTTGGCCTAATTAACTTGCAACACTAACGAACCAACCTCGAACCAAACCAAACCAAACCCACATATTTCATATTTGTTGTTTCTACTAATATATCAAACTATGAAAACATGGTTCAATGATTCATGATTTATACAACCCATATAACCATATCAACAACTAGCCCTCTAATATAATTGATATTCTCACACATATTTTGATAGACCCCATATATACTTCGTTTCCAATAATTCGAATTATCGAGACCGTGTACCTTGAAAGCTAGGAGCGCGGCGGGTGAACGGTGGAGGAAGTAGACGATGAGGGAAATGAGGGTGGAAGTGGTCTCGTAACCACCCAAGACAATGTCCAAAACGCTGCTCACTTTCTCGTCATCGTTCATTTGCCTTATGCTGCTGTGCTTCGACAATATTACCTCCAGGAAGTCCCCATTTTCCTCTCCCGACGAGGTCGTCGTAATTCCATCACCACAGTTGCCGTCGTTACTGCAGGTTCTTGCCGGCGCCGGAGTAGTAGTCGTCATTTCCCTTTGCTTTATTATCTCCTTCACCGTCCTCGAAAGCCTTGCCCTCGCCTGTAAAACATTACATTAATCGGGCGTTTGGTTAGTATAATTACAGCATCCTACTTACCTACCTAGCTAGAGAGATTAAAAATAAAAGGTCATTACTCACCGCAACTTCCCCTCGCTAATCCTAATCCAATCTTTACCGGCCACACGTATTGTTATTACAATAAATATAGACGGTATTGACAACTTACATTTCATCATTAAAAGTCATTTTTATACGAGAATTTTGGTCTTGCAGTCATTAAACTCTCGTCAGTAGGAACTGTTTTTTTTCGTAGTGCAAAAATCAAATTTGTTACAATAGTTCGAGTAGATTAAGTAATTGGTCACAATCCAATTATATGTTGTGTTTGGTCAATTGTTTCTTATTCATCATAAAAACACGATTAAATAAAAGATTAATTGATAAGAAATTCCGATAATTTCATATACGAGATCTCTCGACACCATAAAAATGCGAGCAATTAAATTAGTTTGTGCCGAGTCAATTTGAATCAATATTGAATCTTAAAAATAGAGTGACTGAATCTCAAAGTGGATGTTTTCTTCTGTGGTTTCCCGCATACAACGTCAAGTCATGATCTCTATGTTTTCTCTCGTGGTATAATTTCTCTATTTTTCTACCTGCCCATTGAATAAGATAAGACGAAGATTCCTCGTTACTGAAAGTAGAAAAGATTTGCACAAATCTCGCATCTTGTCGTTTTTCCTTTTGGTTAACCACCTAAGAACACTCTGAATCTTAGTTTTAGTTGCAATTGGATTACTCGTTAAAAAGACAGTATTATTGGGGGTTGTTACCTTGACAGCTTTGGCATAAGCAGATCCTGGAACATTTAGTGGCAAGGATATGAAGCCTTTCATGTAAGTTCTGAAATCTTGCAAAAACCTCATGGCCACTGGTTCTTCCGGGTCGATGCTCAAAACGGTTTTCACCATCAAACTCAAAGTGAACTGAAAAACCATTATTTAGAAGATTTTGTAACAAAAAAAAAAAAAAGAGAGATCAATAAAAAAAATGGAATCCATGATCAATATTAATCGATGTGGAATTTACTTTTATTTGTTTACCTTTTTCATCTCTTCGAGAAAGGAAATCTCTCTGCGCCCTCTCCACGACTCAAACATTGAGAATGCGAGTTTCTCAATACGAGAGTGAAACACAGGTGAAGATTTGGACATCGCGCTGAAGCTCACTGCGATCCCCCTAAGCTTCCTGTGATGCTCCCCGGAGACGATCAACAACGAGTACTGCCCGAGAATCCCTTGCATGGCCTTAGGGTAGCTGGCCTGGAATAGCTTTCCCTCATTCTGAAGGATGAACATGTTGAACTCGTTGTCACACGACACTATAGCTGGCGACCCGAACAAATGTGACTTAAAAACTTTGCCATATCTACACAAACAAATAAAAAAAACTAAGATCATGGTGACTGAGATTAATACTACACAGTCTATACTCACAATTGTGAGAGTAAAACACATATGTGTGTGGTTGCCCTATCCAAAAATCATTCCATCCCATTGTCAATTGATATGATTCATAATATGGGTTTGCCTACCTTCGCCTCCTCAAAATCTCCACACCACATATCCCATTTTCGACCGACCCTAACGGAATTGATGGTGTTTATTTTTCAATTGGCGATGATATGACAATAATCATGGTTGTTGGAATTATTACCTCGAGCAACGTTGTTGTAGGAAGGTGCCAATGGAGTTGGATCTATGGGGGCTGAGGAACTCGAGAGTCTCTCCAATGAAGGGCCATCCCATGGTGCCTTTAGGGACATTACAACAACCATTCTTGGGGTGTTTTTGGCGACGGAGAAGGAGTAAAGCCGTCGCTAAAAGGGCTAAAATGAGAGGAAAGAGTGTTGGAAGATCAAGAGGCATCATATCCATTTTGAGATTCAGAAAAATTGGAACAAGAGAAATTCTCTCTCACTTGTCGCTAGTCGCTACTAATCAACTTGTGTCTCCCCTTTGAAAGGGGGCAAGGGATTTATATATGTTTGTTATTAAGGAAAGTTTGGTGATAGATTTTGGATTATTTAAGAAAAGAGTTTGATGATAATGTGAATTGATTAGAAAAAAATAGTGTCTATTTTTTCGGGTCTAAGTAAATAAAAGGTCACAGAACGTGTAGTTAGGAATGGAATCAATTGGTATTCAAAGTGTGAGAAATTAAGTAGATACTTTATTTTAAGGATTTGGAGTATCCATTGTGTACATTTTTCTTTTGGATATATATAGCTAGAATTTAATAAATTGACAGTGTGAGGTGTTTATCATATCCAAGTGAAAATTTCTTACCAAAAAAGTATTTCCAATTACATGAAACTATTATGAAGGTAAGATATTACTTAAGAGAGTATGATTTTTGTGATAAGTTCCTTTTGGAAAAATGTATCATGTGGGTGCATATATAGTGCATGCATGTCATGTACACATAAAGTACGATTTCTAGCCTTATTGATTCCCGTGGCAACGATAAAATAATTTTACTATAAACAAAAATCGACATCAATAAAAAGAAAGAAGAAATGAGTATTGGTCATATCACTTAAGATATCCAATCACAATATATTTTGAATTTCGATTCAACCTATATATTCAGACGATCTTTTGTTTTTTTTTTTGCAAACAAAATCCGTGGAGAAGTGAGTACGACACATGTTCTGGACTCTCATGTCAAAGGTTATTGCACAATATAAGACATAAAAGAAAGATAATCTAGAGAAAATGTTAACAGATAAAAGTTAAATAAATTATAAGGCATAAAGTGGAGACATGATCTCGTCTTCAACTCAACAAACTAGACCTTTGAGTCCTATTCATTGCATTATACTATGTAGTTTACGAACCAAATATGAGTTAGTTTGAAGTCAGGAGGGGTTATAGTCCTCTATCAAATTTGAATATTGATAAAATTACATATGTAATTCATAACAAATTAAAAATATAATAATTTATAAGGCCTTAATCTCCCTTTCCCAATTATCATGATTTAAGTTGATCTCCTCATTCAAATTTCTAACTCCACCACGAAAACCAATCTCAATTCTCAACACAACAACTGAAAATTCTTTGCAACTTTGAGTCAAATGACCCTAACCCTCCATAGAAGAAAACCCCACTTAAAACAAACGCAAAGTTATTGGCTATATGCTTGTGTTTGATGGGGATGACTTCAATGCAAGTCCGACCAAAAAGAAAAATTGTCAACCTATTGTATAACCGCATGTAGCTTCATGGATCATAAAATATTGTGTACGTCTGTTGTCATGATTGTGCTTTTCTCTTCCTTGTTTCGTTTCTTCCTACCATTGTCGGCTCCTCTTTCTTATGGTTTCAACAAAAAGGAGTGAGGAGGCAAGAAAAAATGGGGAATTTGGTTTGGCTTTAAGTTGTTTTGAGTATGGCACTCGTGCAATGTTAAATGATTTGGTGGTTTGGTGGGATCGTAGTACTCGATTAAGGGCCTCGTGAAGAAAGTGGTTGCTAAGGACTTGAAGAGGCATTGAACCTGTCCCTATAGTTTGCCTCATGCAATGTAAATTTAGAAATCTCTAAATTGGTCATAATCTCATCTTGGCATTTCTAGAACACATAGTTATACAATATGGTGATATTTTCTTAAATATATGGAGTTGCCGGTTATTATGTCACCGAACCAGTAAAATGTACGATTCCTTAATCAAACGACTTGTACATATAGAGTTAAGGAAATTCTATCCTTAACCCAAATTGGTTTTTTTTTTTTTTTTGCCATAGCCTTAACCCAAATTGGTTACGCATATGCTTTCAAGAGGAGTGATGTGCAATGTTATGTTAGATAGGACGCTAGAGATGAACATGATCCAATTTGGTATAAATTTGAATTGAATTGATATAAGGACCAAATGCAAAATAAAGGAGATGAAAACCAAATCAAAAGCACGTTTGAACTAATCTGGTCTCGATTAGACGATTTTATTTGTATTTAATGGGGTTGCAATGAAATTTGAACAAAATATACCATTCAAATTAGAGTATCGAAGCAAAATCACACAATGCTTTGAGAAGATCCATTTCCATGGTACATGGTACTCATTCATCATCAAACAAATATGCAAAGACTGGAGAAGAAGAAGAAGAAGAAGAAGAGGGTGACCAAATTCGTTAGTTGAAGTCACATAATTTTGCACCATATATTTCTTATTTTGAACTCTGTGAGCAGTTATTGGTTACAAGAACAGGATGCATCAGCAAATGACCAAATAAAGTACAGCATATCTAAACTAAGATCCTTATGTTAAGGCCTTAAGGGCACTGGGGATGTCATATATATGACTAACAACTGGAATTGGGAGGGGAAGCCCAGATCAAGCTCCATATTTTGGAGCCTTCCACAGCTTAAATGCAACTTCATGGAGAAACCGATCAGCTGGTATTACGAGGTTTCCACCATGCTGCAAAACAAAGAAACATCAAGCTTAAACATGGGACATTCATATGCTTAGACACCCCCAAACGAGGACTATGTCAGAGTGCATGCACGCAGCACTAGTTTGGAAAATGAACTTGCAAAATGAAGCCATGACGTTTACAGGACACTAGCCATTCTAACAAACCTAAGGCAATCCAAAAGCTAAGAGGCAATGCAATGTTGAGCAATAAGGAAAGCTGGAAACAGATAATCAAGTAACGTTCTAAAACCAAAGTAACAGCAGACATACCTCTTTGAAATCTTTAAAAGCAAACACTTGCGCTTTGTCCATTCGGGTCACAGCATATTGCAATTGAGCAACTAACATTGGGCCGTTGTGCCTAATGAATGCAGATTAGATAAAATATAATGATTAACTCAAAAGGGCAAGAAACTAGAAAAATCTGTCAGACGTGTTTTAAACTTCCATGTTCGTACCTGACATCAGGTCGGGGTTGTTCCCCTCTCATGGTGTAACTCTGTCGAGGAAAAAGCGCCAAAAGCTTGGGATTCAGCTCATTATTCGAAATCAAAACCGAAGTTTCAGCACTGTTGATCTCCGAAACGGATCCATAGCTCATCACAAGTGACAAGTGTAGACGCGAGCCAATTGCTGAACCAGGTTGTGCTGCATTCATTATTGCAGCAACTAGAGAATCAATGAAAGCAACAGCCTTGGCACCAAAATCGTCTTTATCACCACCCTCTCTTTCCCCGGCACCCATGTGCACAAACACTAGATCAAATTGATTAGTGTCTACCACATTTCCTTGTTGAAACCCCAGCAGCTTCATCAACTCTAAACCCATAGAATCCGACGAAACATCATCCGATGGCAGTACAGTGAAGCCAAGTTTAACACCAAAAGATTTCAAAGAAGGGTTCTTGGTAACTATGGCAGCCTTCATTTCCATGAACCTGAAGAGCAAGAGGCAAACACGGGTATTTTTTACATGATTTAGTATTAAGTATTTTGATATGAATTGGAAATTGTAAATCGAATGCTACGATACCTATCTGAAATGGATGGAGTTGAGGCGTTATTCTGAAAGAAAAAACCAACAATTTGTCACTAAACCCTTTGCAGCATTGAAGTGACAGAATTCCAAGACCAGAGATCATACCGTGCCCTTGTAAGCGGCATCCCAGGAGTCCATAAGCAAAGCGAATTCCCTAACTATCCTCTCATCCTCAGTTTCTGCACTCCCAGTACCAGAAAAGTCTCAGACAGTTACAATACCAATAGCTTTAACCAGAATGCAAACCAGTACATTCGAATCTCCAAACCTATGTTCCCACCATGAAATTAGAAATTTTCAATCTTTGAAAAATCAAATGAAGCGCAATGCACGCAACAAATACAGAAATTTCAAGTCCCCCATCTAATGTCATGAATACAGAAATTCCTTCATCAGCAGGGGATGACAAACCAAAATAAAAATAAAAAATGGAAGAGGGTCGAGTGAAATTGAACCTGATGGAGGGGCATTAGGGAGACTCAGGAAGCCACAAGAAGCTTTAGATGCAAGCGAGTGGAGATGGACGTGAGATGAATCAACAAAATTAGCCAATCCATCACCGTACAACACCAATGCTCTGCTAGGCAAGTCCGCCATCACGAAAAGTTGGAGGTGAAGATTTGGTGCCGTTCTAGAAAAGCCCACACCCCAAATTCGTCCACCCACCACCAGATAACAGAAGGGAGAACAAAACCCAGTACCCTAAATCGACAAATGAGAGAAGAATTACACAATCCGAAGAACAAACCAGCGGAAAAATACAGAATTTTTCTAAAATCATTCACTGAAACAAACCTGGAGAAACAACTGTAGCTGATGGAAGATCAGTAAGGAAGGCACAAATTGAACTAAAGAGAGCTACGAATCAATTGGAAAATGAAAGTAATTTGGGGGAGAATCTGATAATGGCGCGCGTAAATAAGTCCAAAGATTGCAGCTTTTTCGCAGTGGCAGATCAAAGGTGGCGAAAGGAGAGAAAAAAGAAGAAATATTCGAACGAAATGGATGCCTGAACTCGTACCCGGCCCGCCATAAAAGCCCATCACTAGTTGGGCCTGTGGCCCCATCCTCTAACCGCCGCTCAACTGTTATCAGTTTCCACTTTCCCATCACACAATTCTCCCGGGAACTCAATTCCCACCAAAAAAATGCTCCGCCCATGGCAGCCACCGTCGCCGCTGCCGACGGCCATCGCCCACAAAAACACCCCTCCACGGCTGAAATTTCGGAGAGCTTCAGCCTCCACCACGAATGCAAGCGAAGAGGACGACAACAGGTCTCAACCGGGCAAAATCAGGCGTCAGGTTCTGACCCAGCAGGGGCGGGGTAAGCTCGACCTGAGATCGGACAGGGACTTCTACGCCTACCCGAGGTTCGTCACTCACGTCGATGGTGGGTTCATCTCGGCGCTGACGGAGCTCTACAGGCGGAGGCTGCAATCCGGGTCGGAGGTTCTTGACCTGATGAGCTCGTGGGTCAGCCATCTGCCAGAAGAAATGGAGTTCAAGAGAGTGGTGGGTCACGGGCTTAACGCCCAGGAGCTTGCGAGGAATCCTCGTCTGGATTACTTCTTCGTCAAGGATCTTAATCGGGACCAGAAGCTCGAGCTCGAGAGCTCGAGCTTTGATGCCGTTTTGTGCACTGTCAGCGTCCAATATCTGCAGTATCCAGAGCAGGTAGATACTTGAATATATTCGGTCGTGTGTGTGACATCCAACGCTGAACTGACATAAGCAAGATCAACGACGAAATCAGTATTAACTATTAACCCTGTGTGCATATACATGATTACACTCCAATGTCGACTACATTTGGGGCACAGGAAAATAAGACGAAGAAATAATGTCTGATCAATGACTAAAGATGCTACTAAAATTAGCCACCAAAACTGCACTCAACACATCTCTCTCTTGTGTATGAACACATTTTCAGGTTTTTGCTGAAGTGTTCAGAGTGCTGAGACCAGGAGGAGTGTTCATAGTGAGTTTCAGCAATCGAATGTTCTACGAAAAGGCTATTACTTCGTGGAGAGATGGCAGTGACTACAGCAGAGTGCAGCTCGTGGTACAGTATTTCCAGTCTGTGGTAGGATTCACTGAGGCTGAGGTCGTCAGGAAATCACCTGGTGGCAGGAAGGGAGGAGAAGGAGAGAGGCCATGGTACATGGGGTTCCTCGAATTATTGTCCGGTTCGTCAAAAGATCCCTTCTATGCTGTCATTGCTTACAAGAATTTCAAACCTGTTTATGAATAAACCGACGGTTAGATATATGTCATAGTTTTGTAACGCTATTATATGGTTCGGCATGGTTTTGGCATTACATATTGAACCGTTGGTCACTAGTTTGATCTCCAGTAAGATGTCACAAACAAGAATGCAATGACGCAAAGGAAATATGAGAAATGGCTTTCAGCAACCTCCCAGAAATAGTTTCAAATTTTATCATACCTATTTATCAAGTTATGAACAGTCAAGAATTGGACACTCTCAAAAGGATTCTCAGCTAGCGGGAAGACAATAACAGCTGCTTATGGTACGAGTTTCTTAGCGCGCTCCACTACTTGAACATAGTAATACAACCTCCAGAGTGTAGTATTATCCTGGAAAGAAAGGAGAAGTGTCAATACCATTCTGACAAAAGAATATAACGTCATTTAACAGCTATAACTTCTTACTTACCTCCTGCTCCATGTTAACAACGATTTCTTCACATTGCTGTGCTTCTATCGGCTTGTGGCGCTGGACGATATCAGCTATGCGATCAAAATTTGCTGGTGGCAGGTTCCGGATCATCCTTTGAAGCTGCTGCTTCTCTGTGCTGGTCATGGGTCTATAAAAGATTCAAGTTGCGAACTTCAGACAATGTGATCAAACCTAGATTGTGAAGCTATGTTCTCTATATTTGATCCTGAACTTGCTCATATAATTTTGACAATAAGAAAGGAAGCAACCTAATTTTATGTGTAGCATGAACGAAGATACCTGCAAGTAGAAGCTACAGAGTCGAGAAGTTCTTCGAGTTTTTTCTCCATGTGGGCTAGCTGAGAACAAGTCAGTTTCAGCTATCTGTTATCAGGAATTGGAGTATGAAACTTATCCAGTAATACTGACATTAAGCCACGGGGTCAACGAAGGATGGCCTAGATGGCAGAGAAGCCAAACTTTTGTAGAACTTACAGTTGACAATAATTCATCAGAATACTTCTTTATACTCTCTTCAACCAGAGTGCTGTCAGTCCCAAGTAGGAATTCCAGATCATCATCCCCCTGTAAAATGGTTGCCCCATTCATGATGGGTCAGGAGACACAAACACCTAAAGCAGGCAGATATGGATGGATATGGTCTAAAGAATCTGAAACTTCATGGCCTCAAATAGCTCCATCTTCGAAAAAGACCAAGGCAATCTTGATTGCCCATGGAACAGTCTTTACTAAACAAGAAATACAGGAACCAGTTCAGTGGATATACTCATATACAATGACCTTTTGCTCCTTCCAGATAACGTATCAGAGTTCTCTAACACAGAAAAGATATGTTAATTGATCCCATCTTAAGATAAACAATACTAAAATTACTTTTAGAGAAAAGAATATGAATATATGAAATGTTAAGGAAGATAAACCTCTTCAGAGGACCTAGAATCGATAGGACACACAAGTGCAGTGATACTGCTTGAAGATGAAGATGAGACCTGAGGTATGTTGTCAGCAATCTCTTCTCCATCAGATTTTGTGCCTTCCTTTCCTGCAGCAGAATCTCTGTTCCACAGTTTCTCTTGTAACTGACGCATCGAAATAACAGGATCGAGCATCTGGGTAGATCCGCATACCAATACGTTTCAGTTTATATTGAATGCAAGTACACATAAACTAGGCAGTGCTCAGAGAAAAGCAAGAAAGTAAAGAAATAGAAACTTTCAATACGCTAACATGAGATATTTTCGGGTTCAAGTCATGCTACTTTCTGACTATACCAACAGACACACATACACAACACAAACACTCACAGTGATATTTACAATATTCACAGTTCAAGTATCAGATCAATGCTTTATGCTTCAATTCTGTACTGAACTTATTGTATGGAAAGAGAGGAAGACGATCCTGACTCTTGAGCAGCAAAGTATCAAAATGACAATTAACACTGCACACCATGGGACACATCCTTCTGTTATCCACTACAGTTGACAGCATAAGGGAAAGAAGATTGAACCTTAGCGAAAAGTGTAGCGAATTAAACCGTTCCAATTGGTTGCCATACCTCATCCACTTCGGGTTTAAGAGCGCTTGCAGCCTGTGGAAGCAATGAATTTAACCTCTCCTTCTTGTACTCTGAAGCTCCAGCTCCTATGCTGTTGCTGAACAACGAACGTGAACCACTGAAGCCACGCGGCTCAACCACATCACGGTCTACCCCCTCGTCAGTCCTAGTTCCAGTTGATTCAATGGTTGATAAAGGGAAATCTATCTCTTGTGAGATCAACTCCTTAACTTGAGATGCATAGTAAGCAAAGTAGTCTGGCCCCTCTTTGGTCTGTGCATCCTCCCGACTCACTGGAGTTTCTTTCATCCTGAAACAACAGCCACTGCACAAATCATCAATCAAGAAAAGGAAAACAAAACAAAAATCATCGGTCCAGAAAAATAGTCACTGATGCTCAGAGAATTTCTCCAACTCCGTTAATCTCAAATTCTCCCCAGCCCTTCCGATTCTCCGGCACATGAAACCGGTCCTGGCGCCATAGCCGCGCAATTTTTGGCGCCGAGACAAAGGAAAAAAACGCTGTTTTGTTCTTTTCGAAGAAAGATTTTTTATAAACGACGCGCATTCGATCCTAAAAGGAGCATAACGGTAGCCGCGATCTCCGATTCTCGAAAAGCACATCAAATACAAGAAACCCTAGAATTCGTCACCGTCTGCTCGCATTCCGGAAGCAATTTTTCCCTTATGACAATGCTTATGCCTGATAAGCAGATGAAGAAGGAAAAAACAAGATTCACAATTACGCAGAGGTAGAGGATGAATGACCTGGCCGGGGAGTTTGTCGGACGGCGAGAAGAAGCGTTAGATGCCCAGTCGGTGCCGTGGAAGATGGCGGGAGAAAACCGGAACAAGGGAGCAAAAGAAATGAGCAGTGAGGTCAGCCAAAATCTGTAGAAGCGAAACGGAAATACAAAGTTCCGCCCCAAAATTAGCAAGTTACCGGTAAAGTCTTAAACGCACCGTTTTCCCTCTTTTCCGTTTTATCCAATTCCATGACGGGAGGTATTCCCCCGACCCGACCGACCGCCGTGACGTCTTCCAACGCAACGGCGCGCGTTAGCACAAGTTTGTGGCCACGTCCACCAAAATGGGCGACTGTTGCGCCGGAACCCCATTGAAGCTACAGAAAGAGAAACAGAGAGCAAGCAAGTATCAAAATCTATACTTTCCTCTCTTATTTGTCTACTCTTCCCAGCTTTCATGGATTCCTTCAAGAACGCAGAACGGGGGAAAACCCTGTTCAAGGGACGCAAAGGCGAGATTCAGTTCAAAATTCTCTTCCCCAGCAAGCCATTTATCGAGGAGCAATTTTCAGGGCTGGAACAGGAAAAGAGACAATGCTTCGCTCTGTAGCTAATATGGTACTAAAACTAGGCCGCAAGAAAGGTAGTTGATTCCGCTTTTCTGATTGTGATTATATAGGGGCTGGGATATATTGAGTTAGAAAAGCCCTAAACGACTGTTTCTTTTGCTCATTCTCTGCCGTTACTGTTGAAGAATGTCGTTCAGAAGAGCGCCAGTCAGAATGCAGAAACCGGCCAAGGGTGGCCGCCTGATGTACTCGAGCTCCGATGATGTTGCGGTGATGAAGCAGCTTGAAGCTGCTCATGCTCCAGATGGGCAGGAGATCGATGTCAAACCTATACTCCGTGTAGTTGAGGACATCTTTGTTCATGCTGACCCAACTCTCGGGCCAGTTGCTAGCCCGGTAATGGTTGTGATGTTAATTCCTATGTGTTGCTGCTGCTGCTGCTTGCATTATAGTTTCCTTTGCATTGGTGTTCCTTTTTCATGATGTAGTTGCGGGTTTTGATCGTAGGGCACTCCAGTTCATGGTGAAGCCTTGGAGGACCAAGCTCTGCAAGCCAGCATGAGGGATGCTCTTGAATCTTTGGCCTTTGTGATTGATCGAGTTGCTACAGAGGTTTGCTATGATGGTTGTGATTGAATATTTTGGCCTTGGCGATCTTGATTGATTGTTTATCTTTCATTAATTTAGTTCTGCTATCACCACAGATTGCCTGCAAATGCTCGGGAAGTGAGGATGCACATGGTTCTGCAATGGCGATACTGAACATGCTTGCCCACTTCTCATGGGATGCAAAGTTGGTGATAGTATTAGCAGCTTTTGGCATGAACTATGGAGAGTTCTGGCTCATCGCACAGAACTACTCCTCGAATCAGCTAGCGAAAGCAGTGGCGATCCTCAAGCAGTTGCCTGAGATCTTAGAGCTTTCGAATGCACAGAAACCGAGATTCGATGCTGTGAGAAGTGTCATAAAAACAATGCTGGACGTTGGCAAGTGTGTCATTAAGTTTAAGGAGCTGCCGTCTCAATATATTACATCTGATGTTGAAGCACTATCCACGGCTTTGTCTCATATACCCATTGCTGTCTACTGGACAGCTCGAAGTGTTGTGGCTTGTGCATCACAGATCACTGGCCTCGTAGGCCTAGGGCATGGGTAAGTACATTCAATCTACGAAGCCTATGCTTTGGCAGTACGAGCTGTTGCTCGAAGTTATAAGTTCCTGTCGGATGAAAGTACAGGAATTTTGAGGAGTATTTGATCTCATTCTTTTTGGTTACAGACACTTAGCGGCAACCACAGAAACCTGGGAGCTGTCAAGCTTGGGTCACAAACTCAGCAACATGTGCAGCCACCTCGAAGCTCAACTGGGGACTTGCTATAAGCACATTGGTAAGCTTTTCTCTGTTACATTTTATCTACCATGGAAGTTAGAATAAGAAGCACTGATTATGGAGGTGTCACCATATGATTCAGATGACAAGAAATTCATGGAGTCTTATCAGAGCCTTATCCGTTTGTTTGAGACGACACAAATCGATAACATGAAGGTTCTCAAGGCATTGATTTATGCAAAGGATGATCTGCAGCCTCTTGTCGATGGTGCCACCAAGAAGAGGGTTCTCTCTGATTCTCTTTCTCTGATTTCGATTTTGTCAATTCTATTTGCAGCCTCTGTAATAATTGAGTGATAATTATGCTAACCTTATAGGACTATGAATCCTGATATCTGGTCATGGACATATCGTCCTATAGGATTATACTGTAAATAGGCCTACTACCCAGGAACCAGGATGAATCCTCATTGAATCAGTAAATATAGTGAGTTTTTCTTCCTTAAAGGCTAAATCTCCAATAGAAGTTATCCTTGTGGTTGACAATGGCAGGCTCATTTGGATGTCCTACGGAGAAAAATGGTGCTGCTTCTCATATCAGGCCTGGACATCCTGCAAGAGGAGATCGCTATCCTCGAGCAGATATACATTGAAGCTCGGATCGATCCAACGAGACATGACATTCAGTATGAGGTTGTGTGGCTCCCGATCCTCGACCCTTCTGTCCCATGGACCGACGGTAAGCAGAAGCAGTTTGAGAGCCTGCAGGCAACCATGCCTTGGTATTCAGTGTACCATCCATCGATTATCGACCCTGCAGCGATCAAGTTTGTGAAAGAAGAATGGAACTTCGGGGAGAAGACTATTCTCGTCGTGCTAGATCCTCAAGTAAAGGTCATGAGCCCAAATGCACTGCACATGATGTGGATCTGGGGGAGTGCAGCTTTCCCTTTCACCATTGCTAGGGAGGAAGCCCTGTGGAAGGAAGAGAGTTGGAGGCTCGAGTTGTTGGTAGACGGCATTGATCCGACAATCGTGCAATGGGTATGTTCTCTTTGATTCACCGTGATATTGTTATCGACTTATTTCCAATCTTCTACAAATCCGACCCATACTACAAGTCAACTACAATGTCCTAAACCCAATCTCCTTGTGTCTTCTCATCTACAGATGTCTGAAGATAAGTACATTTGCCTATATGGAGGCGAGGATACAGATTGGATCCGCAAATTCACCAGCGTGCTACATGCAGTGGGGAACGCAGCAGGCATCCCCCTGGAGATGGTCTATGTGGGCAAAAGCAACCCAAAAGAGCGAGTTCGTAAGAACATAACGGCCATAACAGCAGCTAACATGAGCCACTGCTGGCAGGACTTGACCCTGGTATGGTACTTTTGGGTTCGGATTGAGAGCATGTGGCACTCGAAGAACCAGCTCCATAAAACGGTCGACAACGACCCCATAATGCAAGAGATCATGACATTGCTTAGCTACGACGGCAGTGATGATGGATGGGCCATTCTCAGCAGAGGATCAGGAGGAGACTTGGTCAGAGCCAAAGGAAGCACATTTGTGACATGCTTGACCGAGTTCTCATCGTGGGAGAAGCAAGTTAAAGAAACAGGTTTCCTCCCAGCACTTAAGCAGCACCTCATGGAGCTCCACAGCCCGCACCACTGCAACCGTCTCGTGCTTCCTGGCGCTGCAGCAAACGCGCCGGAGAGGGTGGTGTGCTCGGAGTGTGGCCGGGCTATGGAGAAGTTCATTATGTATCAGTGCTGCGATGAGTAAACAGTGCGGCGCATAGTACTAACTTAGCTCTTGTTTGATCTATGGTGCGTGATCTTATGCAAATATGAGTCTGTTTTTCATGTAAATTGCAGGTGTCAAAGGTACTGTTATTGAGTTCATCATCAAAGTTGTAACTGATTGTATGGTCATGTTTGTGAAACTGTACTGTCTGAGATTGAATATAGATAAGACTGCTGGTTCACTGATTAACCGTAGAATCGTGATAAAACCATCATTAAAGTATAAATTCATGTCAAACCGGTATTTTGAATGGAATTAATCGTATTGAAAGTATTGTTTGTGAAACTGTACTAGACAGTATCATATTTTGGTGGGACAATCATTCTATCAATATAATATTATTTTGTTATGTTACAAATAATTTATTTTGTATGAAATAAAAGTAAATAATCAACTTTTTACTTCTGTAAATTCTAGTAACCAATTTGTTACATTCATCATGGTTCATGTGACCATTTCTGCTGCTTACACGGAAAACTGGGTATGGAGTTGGAATTATGGCGGGAAAGGAAAAGACCACCCGCACCCCATCCCGCCAAAAAACCCGACGTGGCAAAAAAAAAAAAAAAAAAGAATATCCCCGAAAAACTGATTATCGGGCTTCGCCTTATTCCCAATCTCTCTCTTGTTCCTCGATAGCTCCTTCCCCGCAAACCCTAAAATCACACGGCGCCAACTCATCCCCGGTCCCATTTCGTATCGCGCTTTCGCCCACGATACCGGGACTTGAATCAGCTGGAGACTGGTTTCCAATTTTGTTTTCGCCTGGAAAAAAATTCGGTGTATTTCAGCGATGGGTCTGATCAGGAAGGCAGGAGGCGTGGCGCCTCTGAAGAAACGCGCGAGGACGACGGATACAGATGAGAAACGAACGATTCCGGAATCGAAATCGATAGCTGCTGCATCGGCTTCACTCGCCGCGATATGGAGGTCATACGAGCGTACCGAGGGCAGGTTGGAAGCCTTGTCCCGCAGTCTGGGCTACGTATGCCCAATCGGGCCATTCAGACGGGCGGTGGTTTATCCATCTCCGGCCGCGCTAGTGGCTACGCATGATTCCGTGTCGGAAATGGAGAGGGCTTTGGAGCACATGGAGAGGAGATTGGAAGCCTTGTGCCGCATCAATGGCTGCGCACGCCCAGTGGCGCCCAGGGGTTAGTTGCTTTTCACGAGGTAGTTTTCCTTCTCTTTTACTTTCAGCTGTAGTGTATAGGGATTGTTAGTTGTTGTTGAATGTCTAGATGATCTTAAGATTGGAATGTGAGACATTGTAGATTTAGGGGTGGATGCAATATGAGAATGAATGCTTGAAAGTATAGCCATTTGTGTTTGATGGTTGCATGAATTGTGGGATCGATAGTGAGCTGTTTTCGAACTCAAGAGAATAGTAGCAGCCTAATGTGAGATTTTGAGCCAAAAGATTTGATGATGTCTTGTTCTGTGCCGTGCTGGTTTGGTTTGCCTTGTAAACTAGAACTTGCATGATACTGTCTCAAGATGGTAATTTTAAGAGAATGTTGATCGATTTTAATGGATGGACATAAACAGCAGCAGAATAATGTGGGGCGGTATTGCTTGCATTGTAAGTCCAGAACTTGCATGATTCTATACCTGAAGTAGTAATAGGCAGTTAAAGCTGATAGGGGCAATTAGGATCACCATGTAACTATATGGTATGGCTGTTATCCCCTTTTGAGCCTTAAACTTTCTTCCGAATTCATCACATTCAACTACATACCCCGTAAGTGTATTGACCATTCGGAATCTATCTTCACAAGCATGTAGTTTTAGGTCGATTAATTTGATCAATCATTAAGGTTAGAGTTGCCGTGCATCTTTATTATTTGTTAATTTGACATGCTGCTGAAGGTTTATTGAGATAATGATAGTGGTAACAACAACAGAGAAGTCAGCTTTCATGTAGTGCAGTGGCTGCTACTGTTGCAGTTGTATCCTCTGCCCAGTGCCCCCTGCATTCCTGGCAATTGTGGAAGTTTAGAGGAGGAAGGACAAAAGGCTGGGGAAGGCTCATATCTTCTGGGGAAGATTGGAAAGGGGACAAGAAGAAACTTTCTTTTCTCCTTTATTTCCTGTAAGATAGCTGTTTAATATAGATAAATTATGTTCCCTTGGATGATAAACTAAATCTCAATTTTCTAGGACTTTGGGCAATGTAGCAACGGATAGGTCTATCTATGCTCTGTTTTCCTATTTATGTGTAGAATTCATAATGCTTTGCGTTGATTGACCACTTTCACATCAAAATTGCAGTTTTCTTGGCTAATACATCGAGAGAAATCCCGGTAACTGAGCACCCTTACAATTGTCACAATTGTCGACCCAAGTGAGAGTGAAGTGAGGAAGTTAGTTAATTCGACCTTTACACGGTTAGTTCTCTCATTAATGGTAGTATGGAAGTAGAGGGTATATTCGTTCTGAGTTGGAAGTTACTGCTTTTCACCTGAATGAAGTGGTGTCGTCTCTAGCCATCGTCATTGCACAGCAGAGTGTCTCTGCTCTTATTCAATTTGCAAGGAAGGGGTGAGTATGTGTACAGCAAAGCTCGAAAAGAAAGGCGTAGTATGTATACAGTAAGCTTGAGGCTTGACGAGAAACCATAGGGACAAGAATCATAAAGGTTAGCAAAATCATGGACGAAAGTTAAGATCATGATCTTGCTGTATTAACTCCCCTAGAAGCAGCACTGAAGGAGAAGAAACTAGCCACAATATCAAAAGGTATACGTGTTACAAGTTGGAAATTTTACTGCTTTTCACCTGAGTTTAAGTGGTTTCGTCTCGAGCCATTCCCATGGCAAAACAGAGTCTGCTCATATCGGATGTCCGCGAAGGGACAGAGTCTGCTCATATCAATTTGCAATAAAGGCGTGATATGTGTACAGCAGCTTGAGAAGTAAGGCGTGGTATGTGTACAGTGAGCTTGAAAAGAAACAAAAATAGGGACAAGAATAATAAATGTAAGCAAAATAATGGAGCAAAGATAAGATCACGATCTTCTGTATTAACTCCACATGATCTGCTTGTATTAGTTGTACGCATTATCAGGCTTCCTATAAATCCGTCTCCCAACTAATACAAAGCCACCCATCATCACAAGATCGCCGCTATTTCTACCATTGTCTTGCCTGTTGATTGTTCGCCATGGGCAAGATGAAGAGGGCGCCAGCCACAGTGGCACCACAGAAGAAGAGGAAGAAACAGTCCTATCCAGAGCAAGTAGCCACTGTGTCAATTCATCTCGCCGAGTTATGCAGCAGTTTCAGGGCGGCCGAATTGAAGCTGGAAGCCTTCAAGGGAGGGCTGCCTCCACTGCCGTTGTCTGCCGTGGCGGGCACAATGGTGGATCCACTGGCTACAATCCTCGAAATGCAGAGGGGAACTAAAGATGGCCTTTAAGATCACCGTGGAGAGGGTCGAAGTGATGTCTCGCATCTACGGGTTACCACTCCCAGCTGGGCTCTCCTCCATGACAAATGAACTTTGATTCCGACGGGTGATTGACCTCTGGATTTAGCTATAGAAATCTGGATGAAAGAGTCTGGGTCTGTACTTTCTCGTTCTATGTCATCGTTGTATTGAGTTTTACAGTGCAGTGTTTGATGTGGAGTGATCACCTTCACATGGGTATATCGTTTCTCCTGTTCTTATTGTATGAAGTCTGGATGGATATCCGGTCGGTCTATCTCTTCTCGTTTCTCTTACCATGTGTAGGTTTCGTAACTCTTTATGCCGAGAGAAATTTCACGTACATATATCAAGCGTGAGTATGATGCATCTACAGCTCTTCAATATTACGTTCGAGATTATAATGCTCTGTATGCAGATCTTAATACATGAATGAAATGCGATGCCATGGTCCACTGTCAACTCTCACATTATTTTCTTTGATTTCTATGGTTGCTTGATTCCAAGCTTTGACATCAGAGGCAGAGTATTTAGAGTTGACGGAATCGAAGGCTGCACCAACCTTTACGCAAAGCTTCTCCACGAGTAAAGGTTTTGCATTTCAGCAAATGCAGCTCAAGATCGGCAAGACAACGATTACAATCGGCACCGGTGACGCCAACCAGACAAGTGGACAAGGCTTTCACTGCACCACGAGGCGCCGTCGGAGGAATGATTACAACACGGCCGGTGGGTTTTCCCTGAACCGGAGGCGGAGGGTAACGTGTAAATACCACCAGTACCTTAAGAGCTTCATCTACGAAATCGGAGAACTTCTTCGGGTGGGCCACCCGAACGGTGCTGCAGAACGGAGATTTATGGGAAGTAACGCTCCGGAACCCGACCAAGAGTGTGATTACGAATATCATCGGGGCTGCAGAAGTATCTGAGAAGTAGTAGTACCCCATTGTATATATGTCTTATCAGTGCTTTCTTTCATATGAGTTTCTACGCTTTTTATAGGCTCAAGGTTGTCAATCCAGTTTAGTCCATTGGCTCGATCGAAACAAGTGGTTGAGAGTTAATGGTTCGATCGCTTCAGTCTGATTTAACTAGGATATATAAAAAAACGTCATTATATTGTTTAAATTTTATGTAAGATATGAGTAATAACATATAACATTACACAAAAATAATATATCGTACTTGGATCCAATATATAGTGAAAATTCACACACAAACACGCACTTATATAACATCAATATTCAAACGTTCACCTTAGAATTCCAAAAATACAATTAGGCGCAGAGAAAAACCGAAAAGAAGCACATTTCACAAAGCAAAGACAAAACTACGCGTGTGACATCCAATCCGATAACCTTCTAACAAATCAACTTGTAAATATGTGAACATGCCCCGCGGGGTATTACCCGACCTGACCCGCGAGGAGGGGGGTATTACCCGACCCGCAGTAGCATGGGGCGGGGCATGGGTATCAACTTCTGACCCGCCCTGCCCCGCCCCGCTCCGTTCTTGGTCCGTTCTAGGTCGATTTCTTACACCATCTATTCATATGTCTCCTATTTTGGCTTTTCTTCAACTAGTTAGACTTGATGTTTCAATTAATAAGACTCAATTACCCATTATATTATCACTATTATTTATTCATGAAGTCTTTCTCCTTGTTTTATTGTAAAAAGTAAAATTTAACTTGTATTTTTTTCAAATAGCATATAAGAGTGGGTCGACCTGCCCCGTTCCGTACTCGCGCGGATATTACCCACCCCGACCCGTAGTAACGTGAAGCGAGGCATGGGTATTGAGTTACCCGTCCGCCCCGACCATTGCCATCACTAACCCCAAATTGACAACCTTGTATAGGCTAAAAATGGCTTCTCCATCGATCAATCATTGTTGGCTTCTCCCTTGATGAGCAGTGTTTTAGTTTCTCCCTTCTCTCCCAACTTTGTTATTTTTTGGCTACTAGCTTAATTTGGAAGAGTATACTGACACTCTTCTCAGATTCCATCGGCCAAAGAAATAGAAATTGAACTTAGTGAAATCTTCCGACGACCATTGTCGGTAATTTAATACGTACATTACATAATTACTCTTTACATACTAAGAAAGCAATTTTTTTTTAATTTCTGAGTGATATAAAGAGAAGATAAGAGTTAAACGAACCCCTAATGCAACCACCTTACAAAGTCAAAAGACTCTAACTCTAGGAAAGACAAAAGCAGTGCTTTACGCGCCACTCTATGGGCAGCACTGTTGGCGCCCCTAGGAACCGCCCTGAACTCTATACCAAGAAAGCAATCTATTCAATCGATTTTGGTTGGCCTCGATTAAATTAAGGGTTGTCATCGTTTGACTGAGGTCTCAACCGAAACTAATTTGTCCAATAAAATAAAAAGTTTCCAAATATACACAAGCTCTTGTACTAGCTATTCTTGAGCGGTAGGGACAATCAATCCGCAGAGATGGGATGACGAACTGAACTGAATGGGAATTCTCCCACCGTATCTGCCGAGCCTGTCGTATTTGCCTATATGAGGCATATCAATGATCAAACGAGGTCAACTTCCAGTTTGATCGTAGGTCAACATGAAATTGGTTTTCAGCTTAATCGTAGATTTGAATAGTTTTTTTAGTTTGAAACACAGTCTGACGTAACTCTTATCGTGGTTTCACCGATCTACGATAAAGTTCGGTCGGAGTTTGAATAGAGTAGCTTTTTGGTCACCATGAAAATTTTAAATCATCAATAGAATATAAGATTGTGGAATTTTACCAACTTTTAGTATTAAAAAATCATGTCTTCCCCTTGGTTTTCGGTAGGGGTGTATTAGTCATACCCAACTCTTAAACCCCGCCATTGCTATCTTTACGTTTCCGTTGGCAATTAATAGGGTAATTTTCAAGTTTGGTCACTGAAAATTACTAAAAAATTCACGTTTTGTCACTAAAGTATTTTATTCAATTCATGGTTACTGAATTGGACGGAGGCTAACGAGAGAGTGATTAAATGTGATCTTTTTCAGTAATTCGTGTGACCAAAATGGATATTAAATTTTTCTAGTAACTAAATATGACACGATTTAGTAATCTCGGTGACCAAATGTGGCTTTTGCCACATCTTATATGATATCAAATTTGCAGCGGTTCACTCGAACCAAACCGTTGCACGCGCTTCCCGCCATTGGTCGGGCAGAAAGCGACGTCGCATTAACGGCTTTTTCCGGTTCCCTCGTTTTCCCCTTTTCCCAACTATCTTCGCGCCTGCCCGGCTGCCCCTCAAATCCCTAAAATCAGTCGTCGTCGTCGCCACCGCCGCCCCAACGCTTTCCCTACGAATCACGCCGCCGCAGCCGAGTACACAGCCGGCCGACATCACACCAGCGAGTACCGCCGCGAACCACTCTCACAAGTGTGACTTCCGCCATGGGGAAAATGACGAAGTTGGGTGCCGTAGCCCCTCTGAAGAAACGAAGCAACAAAGAGCGAATAGCGTCAAATTCAGCTCAAATCGCGGCGATGTGGAAGAAATTTGAGGAGACCGAGCGGGTGTTGGAAGCCTTTTCCCGAAGCCAGGGATACACGTGCCCATTGGGGCCCTTCATGGGAGCGCTTCCTCCGTTACCGGCGGCCCCTATAGTGGACGTAGACAGGGCGATCGCCGAAACAGACATGGCAATGGCCGAACTGCAGAGGGCAATGAAACACACGGAGAAGAGGGTGATAGTCATGTGCCGCAGCCTCGGGTTAGCATTCCCAATTGGGGCTTCTTCCAGGCGCATGCATCAACCCTAAGGCAGAGGAGTCATCCGCCGATCCCACACCTTAGTTTCTGTGCTAAGGTACTCTTCTTCCACTTTGAGCGTAGTGTTGAGTGCTGTAGTAGATGATTTTAGATTAGAATAATGTGATTGTTTTGTAGATTTAGGGGGTGAATGGATTTGGAGATATTTGCATAAATGGTGAGATTGAATTGGGAGTTTTGGAATTAAACCTAAAGAGAGAGTTGATCGTGGTCAAATTGGCGGGTTATGTGAGGTATTGAGCCGAAAGCTGATGATTTCTTCTTGTGGGATGTCTTTTACTTGCTTGTAAGTTGTAAAGTCTAGAACTTGCATGATATCATGTTGAGATTGAATTGTTCACGCATCACTAACTTAACTGAACATAGACAATTAGGATCATCTTCTATCAGAGTATGATCCACCTTTTCTAATTTACCCATAGATTACCCCAAATGAACGGTTAACATTTTCTTCGACATTCAGCCACATGGAGCTGACCTATTTCTTGTTTGTTGACCCTTTTGAAACAATGAGAATGTAGCATTAAGACGATTGTTAGGTTGCTCGTGCATCATAGTTGGTTGGTTCATTTGCTGTGCTTCTTAAGGTTTGTTGAAGTAATGATGATGATGATAGTAATGAAAGCAGTCAACTATCGTGTGATGCCTGCTTGCAGTTATGCCCTCCTCAAATGGCACCCATGTATATCGAAGCGAGCGGTGGATCGAGAGAGATTAGTGTGATTTTGAGTTAGATTATCATTTTCCAGACCAGGTAGTTATTTCGATTTGTCACACTGATAGTGAATCAATTTAGCGGGCTAGCACCATAGCACATTATGCTTCTCGAGAAAGATAGTTACCCCATGAGTGATAGTCACCTACTAGAGGGTATATGTATTCAAGTTGGAAGTTTTGCTGCTTTTTATCTGAGGTAAGTGGTATCATCTCAAACCATCAATCACCATGACAAAGCAGAGTCTGCTCTTGTCATTTTGCAAGGAAAGCGTGCTATGTGTACAGTAAGCTTGAAAAGTAAAGTATGGTATGTGTACTGTAAGCTTGAAAAGTAAAGTGTGGTATGTGTACTGTAAGCTTGAAAAGAAAACATAGGGACAAGAATAATAAATGTAAGCAAAATAATGGAGCAAAGATAAGATCACGAACGTCTGTATTAACTCCACATGATGTGCTTTTATCAGTTGTTGTATGCATTATCAGGCTGGATGTAAGCAACCGTGGCTTTTCATGATTTCCAAAGCTTTGACATCAGATTGATCAGAGGCAGAGTATTCAGATTTGATGGAATTCAAGGTCACACAAACCTTCATAGGCAGATCCTCCACTAGTAAAGTTTTTGCATTTCTGCAAATGCCGCGCATGATGAGCAAGACAACGATTGCAAGCGGCACCGATGACGCCATCCTCACAAGTGGACCGGCCTTCAACTGCACCGCGAGGCGACATCGGAGGAAAGGTTACCACACGGCCGGTGGGTTTTCCCTGAACCGGAGGGTAACTTGTGAATACCACCAGTATCTTGAGAGCTTGATCGACGAAACCGGAGAACGTCGTCGGGTCGTCCACCCGAACGGTGCTGCAGATCTTTTTATGGGAAGTAGCCGCGCTCAGGAACCCGACGAGGAGTGTGATTATGAATATCATTGGGGCTGCAGAAGGATATGAGGAGTAATAGTACCCCATTGTATTTCATATTTCTCATTCAGTGCTTTCTTTCAGATGAGTTTCCAAGCTTTTTATAGGCTTAAAAATGGCTTCTCGATCGATCGATCATCGTTGGCTTCTCCCTCGATGAGTAGTGTACTAGTGTTTTAGTTGCTCCGGCCTCCGTCTTTCCCAGCGTTGAATTTTGGCTACTAGCTTAAGTAGGGAGAGTATACTGGCACACTTGCCAGATTCGACCGGCCAAAAAATAGAAAATTGGACTTAGGGGGGCCAAAAAATAGAAAATTGTACTCAGGGGTCGTTTGGAAGTTGCGATTGTTAAATAGATGTATTTTTGAGAATGCATGTATAATATTATATATGTATTGTCGAAATTTGATGCATTGTAGAATACAACATTTGATATGTGTAATTGTGTATGCCGCATCAGCTAAAAGCTGAGACAAAACAATCTCACATCAACTATCTCAACAATCACAACTAAAAGTTGAGATATAACAATCACTCAAATAAGTGATAGTTTCTGTCACATCACAAAAACAATCCATATATTGTTTCTGCTAAAAAAACAAAAAAACGATGCATTGTAAACAATACATGCATAATGACAATCTCAACAAAACTATCGTAACTTCCAAACGTCGCCTTAGTGAAATCTTCCGACAATGTTCTCCATGGATATAGTTAATAATTATAGAATAGTACTGACATCGTTAGATAATCTTATTATTATCCTTTTTATAATATTCTAACACAACAATACAATCAGTTATGGTAACATCATTTGATTGAGCTCTGGACCGAAACACTATTAACCCCGATCAAGCGAGGTCATTGGTCAACCAGAAATTGGTTTCGGCTTGACCACTGAGCTGGGCGGATTTTTGGTTTGAAAAACCGCCGGAGCTCAAACGGAGCAGCTTTTCTGAGTTTGAATTGAAACTAATCTATGGATGAAAGTGAGGATCATTTCGGAACACTTCAAACACTTCTAGTACCTATAGGTAACTTATAAATTCTGATTGCATTATCGCGGGCTTCTCTGTTCGCTCTTTCCTTTCCTTCCCCAAAAGGGAAACTGAGATCACAGACGTCGCTGCATCGCCGGAGACCGCCAGCGAATCGACCTCAGTGGTGGTGGTATTTCAGCCATGGGGCAAATGAAAAAGCTGGGAGCCGTGGCACCGCTGAAGAAACGGAGCTACAAGGAGCGGATAGCGGCTAGTTCAGCCAAACTCGCCGAGATATGGAAAGAATTCGAGGATTCCGAGCGCGTGTTGGAAGCCTTTTCCCGAAGTCAGGGCTACACGTGCCCGATCGGGCCATTCGAGGGAGCGCTCCCTCCATTTCCTGCGCCCGGGGCCCCTGTGGTGGATGTGGAAGCTTCACTCTCCGAATTAGAGACGGCAGTCGCCGAAGCGCAGAGGGCGTATAAGCACACTAGCCAGAGGCTGGAATTAGTGTGCCGCAGCTACGGCTTACCAAGCCCATTTGGCCCCTCCTCCAGGCCTTAGTTTTCTGCCCGGAGGTACCCTTCTTTCACTTTTTGAGGTGGCAGTGTTGACTGTTTAGATGTTAAGATCAGAATGTGATAGATAGTTTTGTTAGATGTAGGGGGTGAATGGATGTTGAGATGTGATTTGGAGATTTACAACATGGGAAATGAGTGCTTGAATGATGCTGTTAATCGAGTTCAACAGTGAGTCGATCATACATAGTTAGCAGCCTATGAGAATGAGAGGTTTGAGCCGAAAACTTACGATTTCTTGTTTTGTTCTTTTTGCTTGCAAATCTATAGCTTGCATTATATCATGTTGAGATCACAACATATATGAGAGGCGATTAGGATCATCAGCTAGCAAAAAATGACGCACCTTTTACTTAGTTAACCCCAAATTGCTTTATGTGAGCATTAATACTTCTTTCAAATTCATCACATTGGACCACAACCCTATCTTTTCTTGTTTCTCAACCCTATTGAATAAAACGTTTGCAAGAAGATTGTAGTGTTAAGACGCTTTTACGGTGCTCCTTGTGCATATTAGTTAGGTTGGTTGGGTTAATGTGTTGCAGAAGGTTTGTTGAGTTAACAATGATGATAGTAGTAATAAAGAAGTCGACTTTCATGTGGTGCAGGAAAATTGCAGTGGGCTCTTACTATTGCAGTTATGTCCTTCTGTCACTGCACCCATGTATATTGAGAGGGAGCAGAAGTGATTGGGGGAAGTCTCATATTTTGCCAGGGGGAAGAAGATGGTGATCAAAGCCTTTTGTTGCTCCTTTATTTTGTAGAGGGATAGATTTTTAATAGGGAGTCATATGTTTTCTTGGATGATGAACTAAAGCTCAATCTTTAGCGGAATATTTTAGGATTATCTATCTATTGGATCTCGTCGGATTAGTTAAAGTCTATCTTTCTTCTGTTTTCATATTGTGTGCAGATCTTATAATGCTTTGTTGATTGTCACCTTCACATGTGAAGTGCAATCCATTCTATAGATTAATATCGGGAAGGGGGGAAAACATCCTAGTTACTTTGCAATCTAATCACACTTCAATCACTAATTTTCCATACAACAGAGTATGACTTGTGTCTCCAGCAGAGGAAAAACAGCAAATCTGTATTCTTAAGTAAACCTCACACTTTCTCTTTATGGTTCTGAGATAAATGTGTGAAACAAAGAACGGTTCCTTCTTCTTCATGAGTGATCCATGAAGATGAGTCACCTGACCTGATGCATATTTTATAGAGTTTCTGACCAAATGGTCTATCTAGGTCATGAATTTGGTTGCCACGCAGACAATCACCAGTAAGCTAATAGTGCTTCCGACACTGTTAGATCATGGCTTCCTGTGATCTCGGCTGATGGATCGATGCGGTGGTAATCTTGTAAACAATGCCACCCGTGTTGATCCCATAGCGAGATCGCTGGTGGCACTAGATTACGTATCAACTCATTACTCGAGCCAAAATTCTGCCAAATATGTTTTCCCCAAGGAAATTGTGAGAGGCTGGGAGCTGCAAATGGTTATGTATCAGTCAGTTTGCAGCAGGCATATTCAAATGTATCAGCTAATTGGTGGATCACATTCGTAGGAGGACTCCCAAGATAATTTAAGTTTTGAAGTGTAATTATGACGAGAGATTTTCCTGTATAAGAACAAATTGATTTGAAGTTTGTCTTGGAATAAAAGCAAAGCATATAACATCATGATCTTCCTCATGCTTTTCCCTTGTTCCATCCAAGTGGGTTGAAGGAAGGTTTCTTGTTGAGCTTTGTTACTGTCTTATGGCTTCTTTCACTGTCTTGACTATTATTAATAATAATCAGTCAATTAGCAGAAATCTGGTGTTTAGGAATCTTAGTACCAGGTTTAATCATAGGTATATAATACTTGAGGCAACGAGGCTGGATAGGATATATTTTGAAGAACCTTTTTGAGCTTTGAGGGGCCACTTGCTGGGGTCTTGAATAAGAATGTTCAAAAGATAGCTCCATAAAGGGCAAAAGCATCTCGTTTTGAACTTTTTCCATCTCTTCACTCTTTCTGGGAAAAAGAAAGAGGAAGTCTTGGGACACATTTACGGAAGGAATCAAGCAAGGAAGCCACTAACAGGAGTGGCAGTTCAGCATGCTTCACATGGTTTTACAAATTTTTTTTTTCTTTTTCTTCTGTCTCTCTATTAAGTATGTAATCCATGCTTGATAATGTATATTCCTAACTTTCATACTGAACCATGAATTTGGCTATCATATTGAAAGAGTAACGCTTAGCCCTACTTAGTTGTCCGATGAAGAATCGGACAATAGTGATGAGCTCAAGATGAGGTGAAAAAAATGAGTGGTTGGATACGTTCGCATCCAGCACGTATCATAACCGTCTGATTCTTGTTCGTACAGTTGAGTAGACATACGCTATCCCTTTAGCAGCCAAGCTGAATTGCAAAAGCCATGGCTAGCAGTTACCAAAAGATGCCTAAAGGGACATCCAAAGTACAATCTTGTGCTGAAAGATTATGTTAACTCTGAAGGAAAGGAAAATGATTGAAGAAGACAACTTTATTCCATCCTTTTGTTGGATATAAATATCCTGGTGAGTTTCCATTAGTGGGCACATCCACATTTTCCCATTTCCTCCCAAAGCTTCATCTTTTTGTTTTCCATTTGGTCATTTTGCCACCATGTCTCTGAGGTCACTTGCAGCAGCTACTGGTGCTAACATGCAGCTGATCAAGGGTGACCGTGGTGGGATGCTATCGATGTCTGACGATAGCGTGATGATGAAGCAAGTGCAGGCGACTCATGCCCCAGACGGCAGAGAAGTCGATGTGGCCCCACTTCTTCACTTAGTTGAAGACATCCTCAATCACGCCACCCTCCAGGTTGAACCGCCATTGCTGGTATGATATTACCATCAGTTAACAGCTTCTCAAGAATACGAATGCAGTTTGAACGAGTGTTTCTTTCTATGGTCTCTTATCAATTTGTGTTTGTTTTGGGTCGGAAAAAGGCTAGCCAAGCACATGCAGAAATGGAGGAGAAGAACCACCAGATCAGCTACTCCATAGTGCTTGATGCTCTGTCCTATGTCATTGACAGAATTTCTTGTGAGGTTAGTTAAGAGGAATCTATATCAAAGTAGGGTTATGAATGGTATTTGCAGTTTGATTTGACAAACAACACTTGTCCATATACTGCAACTTTTAACAAATAAGTCCATGTAATATGCCATTTTTGTCCAAATTCATTACTTGGCTCGACTCATACTTAGTAAATAATGTGCTAGATGACTAAACGCTATGTATGCTCGGCAATCTTTATTTCCAGATAGCCTACAAGGCACTTGGAGGAGCAGATGCGCACGGCACAACCATGACAATACTCGAGACACTCACAAGCTTCCAATGGGATGCTAAGCTAGTGATGACCTTAGCAGCATTTGCACTCCACTATGGAGAGTTCTGGCTCCTTGCACAGATCTACTCCTCGAACCAGCTTGCCAAATCCATGGCCATCCTGAAGCAACTCCCCACAATCCTGGAACATTCTGGCCCATTGAAGCCTCGATTCGATGCTCTGAACAAGCTCATCAAGGCCATCCTGGAGGTCACTAGGGGTGTGGTTAAGTTCAAGGAGCTTCCACCTTCATACATCTCGCAAGACGTGCCAGCATTGTCTGCAGCCATGGCCCATGTTCCCGCTGCTGTCTACTGGACAGTGAGAGCCATTGTGGCTTGCGCGAACCAGATCACTCTGCTCACCACCATGGGACATGAGTATGGCTTTCATTTTTGTGTGACTTGGCATCATAATTATTTCTTGTTTCACAATTAAAGGTGGCAAAATCCAATCCATCTAATTCCTGAACCCTCAAAACTTACCTGTTTGCCGCCTCAATTCGGAAGTCATTAGTAAGTTTTAATGACTCTCTCTTTGAAATTTGCTTCCTAGATATGCACTCACGACTACAGAGTCATGGGAGCTGTCCACATTGGAGCACAAGCTCACCAACATACATGAGCATATGAGGAAGGAATTAGCTACATGTCACCAACACATAGGTTCTTTTGATTGCTTCGTGTGCAAGGATCAGCTTAGATATTAGAATCGATGAACCTTCATGTATAACTCAATAATGTATTTTTGTGAGTTGCAGATGAGAAGAGAAGCCTTGAAGAGTACAAAATGCTGGTGGATCTGTTTGAGATGATCCACATTGACAACATGAAGGTGCTGAAATCCTTGATTTACAGCAAGGATGATATGCAGCCACTTGTTGATGGATCTACAAAGAGAAGGGTTAGTTAACCAGTCTTTCAATTTCATCAGTTAAATCGAGCTTACTTCAAGTTTTTAATTTTGGAGTTTGATAACACAGGTCAGCATTGAGGTGCTGAGAAGGAAGAATGTCCTCCTACTGATATCAGACCTCAACATCTCAAACGATGAGCTGGCGATCCTCGAGCAGATCTACAACGAGTCGAGGCTTCATGCGACAAGGCTGGACAGCCAGTATGAGGTGGTGTGGATCCCTCTGGTGGATCCTTCGATCCAGTGGACCGACGCAATGCAAACCAAGTTCGACAGCCTGCAATCCACAATGCCATGGTACACGGTGCACCACCCTTCGTTGATCCGGAAGGCGGTGGTTAGGTTCGTTAGGGAACAGTGGCACTTCAGGAACAAGCCCATCCTTGTGGTACTTGATCCACAAGGCAAGGTAGTCAGCCCCAATGCCATCCACATGATGTGGATTTGGGGAAGCAATGCGTTTCCTTTCACAAGCAGGAGGGAAGAAGACTTGTGGAACACTGAAGCATGGAAGCTCGAGCTTCTGGTCGATGGAATTGATCCAATGATCCTCAACTGGGTAAAATGACAGAAACCTATGAATTTCTAGTTACTGCACGATGCTCTTCTAACAAATGCATACCTATACTATGATCTTTTTACCAAGGAACATATCCTTGCAGTACTATTTTATTTTATCCTTTTATTAGTCCCTTGATTGAAGATCTCATGAAAGTTAATTACAGTAAGGATCAGTACTTACGGGTAATAATCACATCCTAGCTAGATGGCTTACATGTCACGTATTTGTTTCAGATCAAGGAGGGGAAGTACATTTTCCTGTATGGAGGGGACGATGTAGAATGGGTACGAAAGTTTACAAACTCAGCCCGAGCAGTTGCTTCAGCAGCACGCATCCCCTTAGAAATGGTCTACGTGGGGAAAAGCAGCAAAAGAGAAGCAATCAGGAGAGTCCTAGCAACGATCACAGTCGAGAAGCTGAGCTACTTCTGGCAAGACCTCACCATGATATGGTTCTTCTGGACACGACTCGAAAGCATGCTGTTCTCCAAGATCCAGCTCGGGAAGATCGACGATCATGATCCAATGATGCAGGAGATCAAGAAGCTGCTGAGCTACGACAAGGAAGGAGGGTGGGCTATTTTGAGCAATGGTTCAAACATCATATCAAATGGACATGGGAACACTGTGTTGACCACTCTGATCGAGTATGACCTGTGGAAGGAGCACATTCCTGTTAAAGGGTTTGACTTGTCCTTCGATGAGCACCACAAGAAGATCCATGGGGTGACTTACCCTTGTTGTAGGTTCGAGTTTCCTAACACTGTTGGGAGGATTCCTGAATCGATGAGGTGTCCCGAGTGCCATCGGACAATGGAGAAGTACACTACTTTTCTCTGCTGCCATGATGTGGGAAATCCTCATGAGTCGTCGTTGTTGTAGGACTCCTGCAATTGCAATTGAAGATGTTCCTGATGCTGAAGTTTCTTCTTAGAAACTCGGATTAAATAAATTTTATTAGTATGATTTGTTGCTCTATCTTGATTGTTGTATCAAGATTTTCTTCTTGACATTGCCAATGGCCACTATGTGGGGTTGGCTGTCTAGCTGAGTTTAACGAATAAAGCACTTGTGCTTTGATGTTGATCAAAGCTGCTACATATGGAAAGTGTATCCTATGGAGTTCCTTCTTCAGTCATGTTCCACTTGGTAGAGCAATCTATCAGCTTCCTGTTTCACTTGTCTTTGTGTAGTTTATGCCATGTGAAATTGTTGGGTTTGAAATAGGACAATCACCAAACTGAAAATCTAAAGAGAATACTAACAAGATTGAATATTTAGTATCTAAACACTCAGTCCATCTAGTTTGGTTCCATTTCATCGGCTTTCAAGTCAACATAGCCTCGCACCTTGCAGCCACTCTGCCAACATGAGAACAAACTTGAAATCTTACGATCACGCAATTTTAGTGACATGGACATACTGACTCAACCCAATTAACTATGGATTAGGCGGAATAATCATTTTCTTATAAAGCAACTTAAGTTCAATTAGTGACCTTTTGTCACAGACTTCGTAGTTTTAGTTACCATTTAGGTATTTTATCAAACCATCTATCCCAGTAACCAGCCAGCAAGAATCTCCAATTACAATAGCACTGAGTAATAGTATGATCCATATCTGACAAGAAACTGCAGATAGTTTAAAGGTTGGACAGGCGCATAAGGCATAAGCTCCCTGCGTTGTCTGGGAGAAAGAAAGTAAATTACTTCCTTCCCAAGTTAACAGGAACCTGAGCATGTAATGGTGGGCAAAGTTCATAACTTTCTTGGTGATGAAGTCATTGGTTATATACCCTTTCCTTGTTCGCAGGCAGTTTATAGGTAACTAAAAAAGCTGAGTAGTGATCTTACCGTTCATCTTTGATGAGCTTTTCTGGAGATAGAGTCTTCGATGATACTATAAAAGGAGAAACTCTATGTCGTATTGGTAACTCAATAAAAGACCCTACAAAATAAGGAAGCAGTAAGTAACTCTGTAGGCGTAGACATACTGAACCGCATGAATCTCATGCTTTCACTTAGAGTGGAGCTCAAGTTAGTGAAAGGCAAAGAAAAAACCAGCTGCATTTCCCCTACCACCATAGCCTTTACGCCATATATGGAAACTATAGAGAAACCACCTACTTTACAAAACACTGCTCCAGATCCCAAACAGAGGCAAAAGAAAAGCAGATTTAGTAGAGACAGTAAGAAAGCAACACTCTTTCTCTTTAATATATGCCTTCCAGATTATTTAACTCCAATAGAAGCAAGGAAGTTGATTCACAAAAATATAAGCTTTATACTTTATTCCTTCTCCAACACTGCTATAAATTGCAGCTAAAAGCCCAGTTTGCATCATCACCATACTCATTCTAATTACTATCTCTTCATCAAAACAGCCTAATTTTCCCTCGCTCATCACCATGGATTTCAGAGGATCACTCCCACCTCAAAAAGCACTCCCACCTCCAAGAGCTCCCATGCCTCCTCCAAGTAGGCAGCTAATGAGAGGTGGTGGTGGTGGTTATGGAGAACAACAACAGCACCGTGGTGGTGGCAACATGATGATGATGAGCGACGACAATGTGATGATGAAGCAGATTGCAGCCACTCATGCACCTGATGGCAGGGAAGTTGATGTCAAGCCTTTGCTGGTCCTTGTGGAAGACATTCTCAACCGTGCAACTCTGCAAGTTGATACCACTCTCTCGGTAAGACTTTCTGAAAATCCCATATTCATGCATGCTGCAGAAAGTATCATTGTTCTTTATGTGTAATGATTTGAGTTGTGAATTCGGTGGTGGTGTTGTAGCCAATCCAAGCTAAGAACGAGATAGAGGACAAGGCATACCAGATCAATCAAGTCAGCATGCTGGAAGCACTCTCTTACACCATTGATCGAGTTTCGAAAGAGGTTCGCAGTTAGATCATCTCTGCTCAAAGCTTTTACTGCTACTTATATAGTGTTCTTGATTGTGCATGGTTTATGTCAAGTCTGTACATCACCCCAATTGGTCAATTGCATATGAAAGTAATTTTGTGATCCAACTTCACATATAAAAATTTTCCAGATTGCATACAAGGCATTAGGAGGAGCAGATGCTCACTCAACAACAGTAGCCATCTTCGAGACACTAGCAAGCTTCCCATGGGATGCCAAGCTGGTCCTAACCCTAGCAGCTTTTGCACTCCACTATGGAGAGTTCTGGCTCCTTGCACAGATCTACTCATCAAACCAGCTTGCAAAGGCCATGGCCACACTGAGGCAGCTGCCCATGATCATGGAGCATTCTGGCCCGCTGAAGCCGAGGTTCGATGCACTCAACAAGCTCATCAAGGCCATGGTGGAAGTGACTAGGTGTATGGTTCAGTTCAAGGAGCTTCCACCTAGTTACATCTCTGAGGATGTGCCAGCTTTGACCCAGGCCATGACCCATATCCCAACAGCTGTTTATTGGACCATTAGGAGTGTTGTGGCTTGTGCTAATCAGATCACTCTTCTCACTACCATGGGACACGAGTAAGTAATGTTCTATGAACTTCATTCATTTTGGTTTCATGGTCATGATTGTCTGTGATAATGTGATCCCTGGTTTGAGTTTTATTGTCGTGAATACCATCCACAAAGGGTATTGATCAGGCAATATAGTTTGAATATCGTGTTATCGCGGTTGAGCTGACAACATATGATGACCAAGATTTATCTTAACCTCGTTTTAAAATGCCTCATCATAAAAATAACTTAGGTTTTCAATGGAATGTTTGTGTATTCAATTGGACTTGTTATTGCAGATATGCACTTTCAACAACTGAGGCTTGGGAGCTGTCTTCTCTTGAGCACAAGCTGACCAACATTTGTGACCATTTGAAGCAACAATTGGGAAGTTGCTACCAACACATAGGTTTGGTCCTTTACCACGAGTACACCAATACATTAGATGAAAACAGGGAAATAAGTTAATTAGATACTAACAAGTGATTACAACATTCAAGCTAGTTAAAATCGGTCATCCTGCTTATAGAATCTTACACTTGATGAAATTCATCTACTAGTTTCGATCATATGATAAAATCTTTTGAACATGAGATTTTGATTTCACCTACATTAACGCATTGTGCGTAGTATATCGATCATAACTAAATCCAACATTGATCATAGATGACAAGAAGAATGTGGAAACATTCAGGATGCTGGTGGAGCTATTTGAAATGACGCACATTGACAACATGAAGATTCTGAAGGCCCTAATTCATGCAAGGGATGACCCCATGCCAATAGTTGATGGTTCTACCAAGAGAAAGGTTTCTTCCCCTTTTGGCTTCTAAAATTTTTCTCTAGGTAAAAAGCGAACATTTCAGGAAGCCAATGATACATGGTCTGAAACAGGTTACCCTGGAGGTGCTAAGGAGGAAGAATGTCCTCCTCCTGATCTCAGACCTCAACATCTCCCACGACGAGCTCTCGATCCTCGAGCAGATCTACAACGAGTCGAGGATCCACACCACGAGGCTGGACAGCCAGTACGAGGTGATCTGGATCCCCGTCGTGGACCCATCGATCGTGTGGACCGAGGCGATGCACAAGCAGTTCGAGACCTTGCAGTCGACGATGCCCTGGTACACCGTCAGCCACCCTAGCGTGATCGAGAAGGCGGTGGTCAGGTACATCAGGGAGAAGTGGCACTTCAGGAACAAGGCTATCTTGGTGGTGCTTGATCCACAAGGTAGGGTTGTTTCCCCCAATGCCATCCACATGATGTGGATTTGGGGCAGCAATGCTTTCCCTTTCACCAGCTTGAGGGAGGAGTCTCTTTGGAGGGAAGAGGCATGGCGGCTTGAGCTCTTGGTCAATGGGATTGACCCCATGATCCTCAACTGGGTAAAGAAAATGGACAACACACAAAAAGAACCAACTCCAAAAATCAATCTCAAATTTAACAATTCCTCTGTTTATTCCTCTGTTTTCTCCCCTGTTTCCTAATTCCAAAGCAAAGCTCAAATATGAAAATTCCTCTGTTTTTCCTCTGTTTTCTCCCCTGTTTCCAAAATCCAGATCAAGGACGGCAAGTACATCTTCCTCTACGGCGGAGACGACGTAGAATGGGTCAGGAAATTCACCAACACGGCCCGAGCAGTCGCAGTAGCCTCGCGGATCCCTCTGGAAATGGCCTACGTGGGGAAGAGCACGAAGAAAGAGCTCGTCCGCCGCGTCCTGGCCACCATCACCGTGGAGAAGCTGAGCTACTTCTGGCAGGACCCGACCATGATCTGGTTCTTTTGGACGCGCCTGGAGAGCATGCTGTTCAGCAAGATCCAGCAGGGCAAGCTCGACGACCATGACCCGATGATGCTGGAGATCAAGAAGCTGCTGAGCTACGACAAGGAAGGAGGGTGGGCCGTTTTGAGCAAAGGGTCGAACATCATATCGAATGGACATGGCAACACGGTGCTGACGACTCTGGTGGAGTACGATCTGTGGAAGGAAGAGATTCCGGTGAAGGGTTTCGATCTGGCTTACGATGATCATCACAAGAAGGTCCATGGGGTGACTTACCCTTGTTGCAGGTTCGAGTTTCCTAATACTGCGGGGAGGATTCCTGAAGGGATGAAGTGTCCTGAGTGTCATAGGTATATGGAGAAGTACACCACTTTCCTGTGTTGCCATGATGAAGGGCATCCTACTGCCTCGCCGTTTCGAGGGGAGTTGTAGAGGACGATATGGCGTTTGAGAAGTGATGAATGTGGCTGGTGGTGGTTGGAGTAGTACTAAAATAAAGAAGATGGTGGAAGAGAGCTATATAATGCATGGATGCTTGCTGTATGGTTTGCATTCATGGAGGTTTTTTACAATATATTTATTGCAGTTTTCAAGTGTTTTTTAGTTAATGGTTTCAGTCATGTTGTAACTTGCCAATGGCGGTTCATGTGATGGAATTGATTGATGAATAAAAGTAATATCTGAATGGACGATGAATACTGATGGATCGATTTGACCTAATTGTTTCATTTTGAGACAATATTGATTAAATTGACCCGTTTGGCGGCACATAATTTGGATAAAGTAATTTGGCTTGAGAAATTTCAAATTGACTCGTTTGAAAGCAATTACAATTGTACGAGATACATCCAAGCGACCCCATCTCTGTATAACTCAAAGCTTATTTTTAAAATATTTTCTTTCTTAAAATGAAATTTTATAAATATTTGCATTGAAAAAACACATCGATTATATATACTCAATAAAATTCATTTTGTTATATTTTCATAAAAAGAAGTTAAACCTTTAAAAATACGGATTTGATGTCATTTTTATTACACTACCATACATGATCTTACAAGCCACTATAGTAAGACTAAGACTAACAAACGTTGTCTTACCATTGTCATATACTCATTATGATATTACCATTAATTAATTAATTAAAGCCGCTAGTAATTAAAAAGTAGGGACACTGTTCCATACGATAATCTCGCCTACAATTCTACTGTTGATAAAAGTACTTTTTCCCTGCGGGCATGTGTACTTAACTTCAATTTGGCATAAATCATTAGAGGCTGGCCGAAAGTTTCCTTTGTTTAGGGCATGGAAATATATTTTTATTTTTAATATTTAATTACATATGATATTATTGTCACTTGATTGCATTATTAAATCGCACATCATGAAATATTTACGTAACGTTGTTCTATTATAGTTACGTACATTATAATATTTAATCACATATGATTTTTTTTTGTCACTTGATTGCATTATTAAATCGCACATCATGAAATATTTACGTAACGCGGTTCTATAGTTACATACATTACATTATAAATGCATTATGTAAAACTTATTGGTACCAATTAAACTGTTTTATCATACTTACATAAATTACAAATGCATTACATATATCTTAAGGTATATCTTAAGGAGAGATGGATATTTCTAATGTATCAATTAAACAAATATGTATTATATTATATATGAATTACATATATCTACATTTTAAAGAAGATTACCACGTGTGCATATCCATCAAATCCACTTTAGTTATTTTTAATATTTTAATAAAATGTGATATTTTTTGTCACTTGATTGTATTATTAGACCACACATTATAAAATATTTACGTAAACACTATTCTTTAATTTTTTTATTGAAAGGGAGGCAAAAGCCAGGAATAAGGGAAGAGAACAAAGCCCCCCAACCTATCGCTGAGACAAAATAGCAGAACAAGGCAGGGAGGAGACCACAACAAACAAGAATATAGTCCAAAATTCTCAGAAGCACAGTCGCAGCTCGCCCCTAAGCCAAACACATTAGTCCCTGTTCTGCAGCACCCTCCTTGGGAAGCTGACGCCAATTATGTCCTCTCTTAAGATCCATTCTAGGTCCCTAGGCGGATTGATTAGCTCACATGTGCCGAAGGGATAGACGAGACTGTGCTTCGAGAGTCAGTCCGCGACTCTATTCCCCTCTCTGTACGTGTGAACTAACTGCACTACCAAGTTCTGAGACATCAACCTCCTGATGGCTGCCAGGATCGTAGAATGAGGATGAGCCAGATCATCACAGTTCTTGATGAGATCAATAGCTAACTTCGAGTTTGTTTCCAAAATAAGGAATTGAGTACCTTGATTCCAGGCCATAAGGAGACCCTGAATCCCTGATGGATTCCCCACAATTCTGCTAAGATAGCCGAGCGAGTCCCAATCTTGCAACAGAAACCACCTAGCCAGTCACCGTCGCTGTCCCGGAGAACTCCACCAGCCGTTGCCAAACCCAACCCGCCCTGAGATGATCCATCCGTGTTCAACTTTCTCCAACCAGCCGCCGGAGCCGTCCACCCCATCAGCCTGTCTTCAAGTGGAGGCTTTTCCAGAGAAGTCAAGTTGCAGTTAGCTCTTTCCCAAATGTCCAGCCAGTCCTTCGCCCTAGAAATAACATAGTTGATGAGCGACGACTCAGCTAGCTTCTTTCCCTGAAAAACAAACTCATTTATGTACTTCCAAATATACCAGCAAATTAAGGCAAATCTGCTCGGCCAAACTTCCTGATCAGCTTCTCTAATATCGCCCTTAATGTTTAAACTGAACCAGGTAGATTGATTCGACGAGAAGAATCTAGACTGCTCCTGGACTGGAACCATCTTCTCCCATATTTTTCTTGCCGAAGTACAGTCTCTAAGACAATGCAAGTTGGTCTCAATGTTATCTAGCATAAAGGGCACTTGTCATTTGCAGTCAAGTGTCTCCACTTTTGCACACTATTTGTGGATAGCCACGTACATTATAAATGCATAACGTAAAATTTAATTATGGAGAAATATATATTTTATGTATCAATTAAACAAATATATTAGGTATCAATTACATATATCTACATTTCAAAGAAGGTTACACGTTTACATTTCCATCAAATTCACTTCTGTTATTTTTAATATTTTAATCAAATGTGATATTTCAATGAGTGTCTCTACTTTTTAGTTACTTGCAGTTTTAATTAATTAATTATTCTATAGTAGTTACGTACATTATAAATGCATTATGTAAAACTTATGGAGAGACTATCTCATCAATTGGCATTGCAAATTTTTTTTGTAGATAAGCTTTTAGAAAATATTTATTTAAATGAGACAATTTTTCGTAAAATATCCAACATGTCATCAATTTGTATTACGCAAGTATTACGTAACATCAAGTAAATTTTACTTTACATTGCATCTTAATTAAATCTGGTATTTTTCATCACATGATTTTATTATTAGATCACACCTTACAGAAGATCTATATACATGTAACAAAATTCTACGTAAAATTTATGAAGATATAATTATTTATTACATATCAATTAAACAAATATGCACTTAAGTCTTTCATAATGATTAAGACACTACGTAAACCTTATGAATTAATATTATTTCTTATGTATCACTATTAAATTATAATATAGTTCTTTCTTAATGAATCAAACAAAAAGTTTATGGTGGTTTTTAAACTAAAAATTTTAATTAAAAATTATCAAATCAATTAATATAATTTCAAATATAATTAATTTATTACCGTTGCGGAGTGCAGACCAAAAAACTAGTATCAATAATATAGCTAGCTAGTTCGTGCAGATTTTGATGAGAAAGTGCGCGCTCTAAGTGATAGCAAAAACTTACTCCAAGAATTTTCCTACAATGGACTAATAGTTGAATACATGTGTAATTAACTAATTATCAAAGTTTAAACTGAGAATAGTTATTCATAATCTGTATGGACTATATTGTGATTTCACATCCTTAATGGAAACAAGGTGTAATTATGTTTTGATTTCTTTGGGAGATAAACACTAGCTACATATACAAAAAGAGATAAGATTTTGGATTTCTGATTTCCTCTATTCGTTTTCCCTCTCTCTGTCTCTCTTATCTTCTTCTCTCCATTTATGTATCCAAACTAGCCCAGCACGTCTTACGCGTCAGAGAAATGCTTCAATTTCACCTCTGCATTTTTCTTGTTCACCAGCTTCTTGTCCGGATCAGAATTTCAGGGTAAATCGCGCTCTCAAAATTTGAAGTCGTGCTCTCGCGAAAAGTAATTCGCGAATTTTTAGCCAACTCCTAATAAACCGCGTTTTGATGATCAAGAGCGGGAAACGTACGTGGAGCCGGTGGAGGGGGAAGTGGCGAATTAGGTCATACCTAAAACCAAAGTACCTGCTGAAACATCAATGATTTATTTTTAAATACATAATCTCACAGGGTGTAAAATTTAAACTCCCATGCTTACTTTATTTGAGTAATGTTTGCATAAAACAAAACTCACCACATGAGTTATGTTTGCATGTTCGTTTACTGAGTTTATCACAATTTAAATACATAATACATTTTAATATTGTTATGAGCAAAATAATTAATCTCAATTTTTTTTTATGAAGGTGAACGAACCAAAATAATTAATCTCAATAACTCAGAACATTGTGAAAATGCTCAAGAATTGAGACGAGCTTAGACCATTTAGCTAGGGAGATTTTCGATGAAGCTAGAGCACTGCACATAGGTTTAGGTGTAAGTGTTACTAAATGGTATATGATTTGGAGAACTTGTCTTAATAAGTTAATTTATTGGATCAACTAATTTTTAATATGATATCAAAAATTTTTGTGGTCGAGATGTCTTATGTTCGAATCTCGATGACCCTCTATATGTTATGTTAGTGTGTAAACCTCAAGCCTCACACAAATCAGCTTTCATTTGAGAGAGGTATGTTGGTGTCAATGGTATATGATCCATGATGAAATCTCTTCCAATATATTCTGATTAGTATATGATCCATGATTAACAATATAATTTTTTATTGATTAAAAGGGAAAATGTAAACGATAACAGCTGTGATAACAGTCCAGGAAAGGAAGCATGAAACTAACATCAACAAAAAAAAAAAAAAAAAAAACCCCACCACTAGCAAGAAGAAGAAACGTAAAATGAAGCAGCTAGAGAGCTAGGTAGCGTTGTGATTTAATTTGTGAACCACATGACATGAGTACTAGCTAGCTAGGTAGGGCATTATTTAATGGTTTCTTGAAACTAAAGGGGCAGAGGATCGAAGAGCAGTGAGGTGAGCTGATCCTTCATGAGGTGGGAGTTGGTGTAGCCATCGCCAATCTCATAGAACAAGTTGCAGGAACGCGCCAAATTGAGGATACGATCCGTAACAGCTACCGGCATCGGAGTTGGTTTCTGATACTCTTGAGCGATATCTTTCCAGGCGTTGTGAATCTGTTTCCACAGGAATTCAACTGCTTCTTCCTCCGTCGCTCCATGTTGTTTCATGTAGCATTCAGCAGCCGAAGCCGGATGATTTCTCTTTCGCTCATACTGCATGCATACGTACGTACATGTGCAAAACCATGCACGTACACATGATATATACTAGATAGTTAGCTATGAGATCGATGCACTCCGGTACTCAGTAGTTTGTTTAATTGTTTGGTAGCTGTAAATATATATATATATATATAATAATTACCTCGTGAGTGAAAATGTCATTTTGAAGCCTACCAATCAAACTGCAGGCTTTCATGAGTTTGGATTCGTTAGTCATCCATTCAAAAGCCTCCCTGGTGGCTATTTCTGGTGTCATGCCAATCAGATTAGAGGTGCAAGTTTTGGGCACACCGGAGCTGTTGTACGCGTTGATCATGTACTCTTCCAGTGTCGGAACCATGCCTTCAGCGCGCCACCCAATCTCAACTAAGTAGGCTCCGCACAGTTTCTTGAGCTATATATATATATATATACACCACGTGCATAATTATATACCATGAATTAATTATATAACCCAAGTTTGAAGTAGTATGGTAATTAATGGTACTATATATATTTTAATGGTAAACTCCGGATCAGTTACTAGCTACTACTCTCGATGCAAATTCTAAGATCGATTATTCATTAAAAAAGAATAAGCGCTGTTATTATCTCCAATGACCATATCGTAGCTCAATCTGCATATATGATGCGCGCATGGCACACATATGCTAACTATTTATTAGTGTATTACCTCGTCCTTGGCATAATCCACGGGGAAAGTGGGTCGCGTTTTTCCAATTTCCCTCTCGATTTCATCATACAATCAAGGACGGCACAATAAGTATTCCTCATCCTATCTGGTAGTTCTTCAAGAGCCCCAACATTCATCCTGAAAGAAATATGTATGTACATACAAACACCATATATTATTATTATTATTATTATTATTATTATTATTATTATTAAGATAAAAGCACAAGCTCTATTATATCTAATCAATCAAATACACACATATGTGTAAGAGTTAATTATGTGGTAATTCAAACCTTTCAATAGCTTTCGATAGGGCCTGAAGCTCTTCATATGTAGCAAAGTTATCACACGTGTCATCCAAGATTGACAACATATGATAGACCTTGGTGCTTATAATTCTTGCCAATCGATATTTGGGCTCAAAGTAAACGCAAACCATCCAGTAATAACACTCTACAAGTCTGTCTCTTACAAATGGAAAGTTGGTTGCCACATCAAAACTTCTCCACCAACTGTATGAATATATAACAAATCAAACCAAACAAGCAATTAAGGTGATTAGTAGTATTGTGTAATATAATATTAGCTAGCTAGTGAACATTATAACTAACTCACCCAGAGATTTCATAGAGCTCTTGCTGATGCAAGTTTTGGACTATGTTGAAGTCCATCTTTGCAAACGTGAGAAGCTTTAGATTCTGCGAAGAATCCTCAGAATAAATATCTATGGAGTGCCTAGCAAGTGATCTTGGGACACATTTCCAAGCAGGAAAGCGAAGAGCAAAGTCGATTTGCTTTTGGAATGAATTAGGGTTGGTATTGTGGTGGATGACAGATGATGACTTAAGGTTCTTGGTCGCAAAATTCAGGGCTTCATCCAATATGTCTTCTCCATTGAATGCCAAGTGTGCTGCCTCGTACAAGCTCAACAGTCCTTGTCTATCCCTCGACACCCATTCCTTGAACCTCCCTTCACTGTTCTTCAGCTTTCTAAACCCATCTACTCGTACGTGTTTGTGTGTGTACATATAACAAAGGATTGTGAGAATCCGGGATCAATGTACATATACCAAGTACAACTAATAAATCAACTATACATATATACGTACCCTGCGAAGCAGGAAATCCTTGTTGTCTGAGGAGCCGAAATCTAAGAGCTGCATGATAGAGATCCGTGCCTTTGTCGCCGATGTTAGCGAATAAGTCTCCTCCCATATCATGTACTTTTTCAAGTGCCTTTTCAATCTCTGGCTCAAAGTGATACCCAATACCTAATCGTTGAACTGCATCTACCAGGCGCAGCTTGTCGGCGATTATTGCCTCTTCATCTCCGGTAGTTTGTACTTCATTTGTCAACATCTTCCTCACTTCTTCTTTCAGGACTTCATGGTTTGGGTATCTTTCTTTCGCCTGAGAATCAGTGGATTAATTTAAAATGATTTTTGGGTCAAAATTGTTGTTATCCTTGATAAATCATCTCACAAGTTGTTCAAAGTCAAGAGCAACATGCATGGGTCAGAGATCTGTGCGCACATATAGTGAAGTGGACTGTTGTGCTGTGTATATATATTTCAAGCTCATCGTTAGCCGCGTGCGCGGGACTCTTTCCCGCAACTCGATTGATGTTAGTAGGAAATAACATACACCAAAAACAACTACTAGTTAATAAAACCCATATATAACTTAATTAACCTGGAAGGACAGATCAACTTTGTCGAGGAAGCCATTGCCCCAGACTGTGCGAGGGAAGCTTACTGACGAGACACAATGCGCCGCTGCGCCGGAGGTTGCCTTCTTCTGATGGGCCGCCGCCGCCGCAGCAGCAGCTGAGCGAAGTGATAGTGATGATGAAGATGACATAATATTAGTAATGGTAGCAGTAGCAGTAATAATGACAATGGTAATATGAATGGGCTGTTATACCATTATAAAAAAAAAAAATGAATGGGCTGTTATAGCTAGTTAGTTTCGAGTCGATCTATATTATAGCAAATTAAGGCTAGGGTTTGAAAGCAAGACCACCGGCCACCACTCACATACGATGATAATAATGTATTTAATAACAAAAGCTAGCCCACCACCAACCCACCCATTGGACAGATCACTTGGACTTGGTTCCTGCATGCACGTATTACAATGATATAATTAATTAATTAAGTATGGTGAGTAATTTTAGTATCTATAGCAGTAGCCACTATGGCTACGGATCTAGACCAAATATTCGAATAAAATAGTACCCAAAAATGGCATTGGATCCATTTCTTGATTTCCCCAATTTTGGCACATGATTTCTGGCAGAACTCGGTCAGCGGGTTTGTGGCAGTCGACAATTTCAACAGTACTGCTTTATTGCTTAATTTTATTTGTGGAGCATCCAAGTTCCAACGTTGGCGAATTAATGCATGAAAATCCTTAATTATACGTGATTGATAAAAAAAATAATTATTAACGAAAGAACAAACAGAAATATGGTTCAGTGTAGCGTTGACCCGCAATCCGATGACTGATCAGTGGGTAAAGTGGACTGAATTAGCTAAGCTAGAAGTATGGATGGCAACAAAACCCGAACTCACGGGTACCCATCCGACCCAACCCGGTCAACGCGGGTAAAATTCGTGTTGATGGGTTTTGGGCCGGGTTTGGGTTTAAACTCGTTCCCGATTCACCGGGTTGGGTTTGGGTTTAAGTAAACCCGACCCATGGGTACCCCCATATAATTAATATTCTAGGCATTTTAATATTCTAAACAACTAATCTTATTTATGTTTGTGGAGACATATCTAATTTTTTCTTTCTAATTGTGTAGAATGAAGTTAATGTTATCGAGTGGAGAGTGAAGAAACTTAAATGAAAGGAAGAAGCTTTCAATTAATCATGTTATTTATGAATAATTTTTTATTTGCTTCCATTTTCTTGAGTTTTCTAGATCAGTGTTGAGTAATTTGTATAGTTAATTTGTGATTTGATTGAATTTTCTAGAATGATGTTTTAAATATGGATAAATTATATTGAGAGATTGATATTTGACTTTAATTTTGATAGGAACTTGTTATTGTAAATTTTTTACGACAAAAATCCGTGGGTACCTATGAACCCGCGGATACCCAGCGGGCTGGGTTGGGTTTGAGTTTTTCAAACTCAGTGGGTTTTACCCCGGGTTTTTTTCACGGATAAACCCATGGGTTTGGGTTTGGCAAAACCCGACCCAACCCGACCCATTGCCATCCCTAGCTAGAAGCAACCGATGCAGCGGCGGATCCAGGATATAATAGAGCACTGGGCCGTATTTGAACTAAAAATTAGATACCATAACAAAAAAAAAACTATAGTTTTCATTAAAATATCAATTGTACACAATGGTATTTTAATTGAGCAAATTTATCAATAATTGAGTCTTCATCCATACCAATAACATACTCTCCCTCAATGAAAATAGTTAAGCAATCAGTAAGAAATTCATCACTCATTTTATTGTGCAAATAAGTTTTCACATGTTTCATTGCTGAATTTTTTTTTTCTTCGTAGTAGCCATTAAAATTGGCAACATAAGAAAATAATATTTTTCGCCTTTTTATTTTATACTTGAGAAGATGCTATGATGAAGTATCTTCAAATCTACATAATCAATTAGCATAACAATTATATACTCTTAAGTTTCTAATTAACTTCCTAATTCTAATTCGAATACACCAAATAGCACAACAAACTCTATCCATTCTAAATGCTAAGTTCTTTATTAATTGAAAACATGACAAACTGTGGGTTAGTGCACTTCTTTCTCACAAAGTGGGTTAATGCAGTTAAACAAACCAACAAACATAACTTGTACACATATGTAGTTATATAATATAAAGCACAAAATTGAAAACCCCAAATCTCCATCCATGACCCAACGCCATCAGATCCTCCACCTCTTCCTAATCCTAACAAATAATATAATTACCAAAAACTCAAAAATAAACCTTGGCTCTTGCGATGCAGCGACAAATTTTGTCAAAAATCTGAGGTGGGGATTAGCCTGTTGTGTGCAGCCAATCCAAGCTAAGAATGAGATAGAGGACAAGGCATACCAGATCAATCAAGTTAGCATGCTGGAAGCACTCTCTTACACCATTGATCGAGTTTCTAAAGAGGTTCACAGTTAGATAATCTCTGCTCAAAGCTTTTACTGCTACTTATATAGTTTTCTTGATTGTGCATGGTTTATGTCAAATCTGTAGATCAACCCAATTGGTCAATTGCATATGAAAGTAATTTTGTGATCCAACTTCACATACAAAAAAAATTCAGATTGCACACAACTGATACAAGGCATTAGGAGGAGCAGATGCCCACTCAACAACAGTGGCCATCTTGAGACACTAGCAAGCTTCCCATGGGATGCCAAGCTGGTCCTAACCCTAGCAGCTTTTGCACTCCACTATGGAGAGTTCTGGCTCCTTGCACAGATCTACTCATCAAACCAGCTTGCAAAGGCCATGGCCACACTGAGGCAGCTGCCCATGATCATGGAGCATTCTGGCCCACTGAAGCCGAGGTTCGATGCACTCAACAAGCTCATCAAGGCCATGGTGGAAGTGACTAGGTACACCGTCAGCCACCCTAGCGTGATCGAGAAGGCGGTGGTCAGGTACATCAGGGAGAAGTGGCACTTCAGGAACAAGGCTATCTTGGTGGTGCTTGATCCACAAGGTAGGGTTGTTTCCCCCAATGCCATCCACATGATGTGGATTTGGGGAAGCAATGCTTTCCCTTTCACCAGCTTGAGGGAGGAGTCTCTTTGGAGGGAAGAGGCATGGCTGCTTGAGCTCTTGGTCAATGGGATTGACCCCATGATCCTCAACTGGGTAAGGAAAATGGACAACACACAAAAAGAACCAACCCCAAAAATCAATCTCAAATTTAACAATTCCTCTGTTTTTTCCTCTGTTTTCTCCTCTGTTTTCTCCCCTGTTTCCTAACTCCAAACCAAATCTCAAATCTGAAAATTCCTCTATTTTCTACTCTGTTTTTTCCCCTGTTTCCAAAAATTCAGATCAAGGACGGCAAGTACATCTTCCTCTACGGCGGAGACGACGTAGAATGGGTCCGAAAATTCACCAACACGGCCCGAGCAGTCGCAGTAGCCTCGCGGATCCCTCTGGAAATGGCCTACGTGGGGAAGAGCACGAAGAAAGAGCTCGTCCGCCGCGTCCTGGCCACCATCACCGTGGAGAAGCTGAGCTACTTCTGGCAGGACCCGACCATGATCTGGTTCTTCTGGACGCGCCTGGAGAGCATGCTGTTCAGCAAGATCCAGCAGGGCAAGCTGGACGACCACGACCCCATGATGCTGGAGATCAAGAAGCTGCTGAGCTACGACAAGGAAGGAGGGTGGGCTGTTTTGAGCAAAGGGTCCAACATCATATCGAATGGACATGGTAACACGGTGCTGACTACCCTAGTGGAGTACGATCTGTGGAAGGAAGATATTCCGGTGAAGGGTTTCGATCTGGCGTACGATGATCATCACAAGAAGGTCCATGGGGTGACTTACCCTTGTTGCAGGTTCGAGTTTCCTAATACTGCGGGGAGGATTCCTGAAGGGATGAAGTGTCCCGAGTGTCATAGGTATATGGAGAAGTACACCACTTTCCTGTGTTGCCATGATGAAGGGCATCCTACTGCCTCGCCGTTTCGAGGGGAGTTGTAGAAGACGACGACATGGCGTTTGAGAAGTGATGAATGTGGCTGGTGGGTTGGGGTAGTACTAAAATAAAGAAGGTGGTGGGAGTGAGGAGAGCTATACGTTGCATTCATGGAGCTTTTTACAAGATTTGTTGCAGTTTTCAAGTGTTTTTTTTTTTTTTTAGTATATGGTTGGAGTCATGATGATGTAACTTTCCAATGGTGGCTAATCAATGAATAAAATGAATATTTATCTAGAATGTTGGGTTTGTTTCTCAGGTGATAGTAGGGAAGGTAATGTAGCGGGTTTGTATAAATCATCTCCATCTCTGTTTTCAAATATCTAAATTCATATTCGTTTTATATTTATGCGGGAATGTTTTGTAAATTCATCCTCATATTAGTGGTTCCCGGTACCCATGGGTAATATCCATCTCGTACGTTTAACATTATTATACCTAAAATTTTACAAGATTTATTATTATTATTATAACACTAAACGAAACTACTATATCACGGAATCAACAAAACGCAATCATTTTCTTAATACGGTTCAAAGAATATGATCCAAAAACATCTATTAATACATAATATAGAGCACAATATTTTCCAAATTATTATGCTCTAACTTTGATACATCTACTAAGTAATAATTAACTAATATAATCTTGTTGACAAGGGGAAAGTGAAAGAGTGAAGGGAGAATTGAGGGAAATGAATTAGGTTTTGATTAGGTTGGCCACTCAATTACAATCTACCATTTATTTTCTCGAGTCACCTTCATTATCATTGAGAGGTTACAATTTGATCCACATATTTTTTTGGGCTAATTCCATTAGTAAGTCCAAACTATTCAAAAAGTGTCATCTGTATCCTAAACTATTCAATATGACAAATCTGGCACAAACCATATAGATGTTGACTAGATTTTCTGTTAAATACTAATGGTCAACGTCGGTCAACATTAACGAAAAAACTAGATGTTGACTAGATTTTCTGTTAAATACTAATGGTCAACGTCGGTCAACATTAACGAAAAAATAGTTTGTGCCAGATTTGTCATATTGAATAGTTTAGGACACAAATGTCACGAAACACATATAGTTTGTGCAAGATTTGTCATATTAAATAGTTTAGGACACAAATGACACTTTTAGGATAGTTTGGGCTTCCTAGTGTAACTAGCACTATTTTTTATATGTGAAGAAATTCTCTTGATGGGGCGGGTATGGCTATGGATATGGAGTGGGGATGTTAAAACCATACCTGCCCTATACCCAATCAAAGCGGGAATTTCCCACGTTTACTAGGTCGGGAGCGATCGTATACCCGCGAACAAAGATTTGATTGCGTGGTAGTGCAATGATAACTGGCTTTTGACCGTGCTCTTCAGTAGTGTCTTTCCAAATTTTAGAATATTCATCGAAATTGTCCATCACACTCCATATAACTTTTAATTGGATGCTCTGCGATAATATCAAGGGCAATGTAAACAGTGTTGACTCAGAAGTTTTGTATAGGGTGTTCGTTTAGTTTTTTATATAATTTATAAAATATCAGACTATTACAAGTTATAATAAAAACTCACGACATGGTTTTATACTATGAAGAAAATTTGGGCCAGGCCCATATGATATGAGTGCCGCTACAACAATTTTATTTCAAGGACAAAACGCAGCGCCAAAACTAATGAAACTCGGGAGAATTGACCAAATTTCCTTTCTAAAAAGGCGAAAATTAATCTGTGTAGTGAAACTTGACGTTTGTGATAATAATAGTCATTTTTAGAGAAATACCAATAATAATCAGGATTTTAAAAATTTCATGACAAATATAGCCATTCTGTTACAAACTTTGACGGTGTTAGAAAGTCCGTCAGTTAAATTAACACTAGGCTGATTAGGATGCCAAATCATCACACACGTCAGCGACAAGTCATCAATATCATTGTCACATCATTTTGATTCATCTTTTAACAATTCCAGGTGGATAAATCATAAATGAAAAAAATAATAAAGTTTTTTTTCCAAATAAAGTTTTTTAACTGAACTAATTTTTATTTATTTATGAAAACTAAAATAAATAAATAAAACAATAAATAAATAATTTATTTGATCTCACATCCCTCTCATCTCTCTGCCTCCGCCCGCAACCGTCTCTCCTTCTTCCCGGACGATCAAAACCAATCGCCGCCACCTCCTAGTCCCATCTCCAATTTCGCCTCCCTCCATACCGCTCCTCCCTCGACCAGTAGCAAGCCAGGTCCCCCCTTTGTTGAGTCAAGCATATCAATGGCAGCAATCAAAGAAGGAAAATGCTGCAATCTTGTAAGTAAAGGAAAGAAAATCAAAGACAACATAAAGGAGGAGAGATTCTGTAATCAGCAAGAACAATAAAGGAAAGAACTTCCCAATGGCTAGCTACAGCTCAAAGATGCTGATTTGCCACCTAGCAAATCAAAACAAAGAAGGAAGGTTATAACGGCTGAAAAAATTAGAGAAGAAATCAGATCAAGAAGATTGGATACAACGGTGCACAATGAGGCTCAAATGACCAGCTCACTACAAATCAAATTAGAGGATTGAGTTCTCAATCAAATCATCACAAATAGGAAAGGAATTTGAATGACTAACGGTCATATTCCTGCCTATAAAAGGCGACCTGAAGAACCAGCAATGGCAACCTTTTCGGAGATCAACAACGCTAGCTAGACAAGAGGGGATTTTGTGAGTGTAGCGAGTTTGATAGAAAATGGGGTTTCTCAAAGGGTTCAGGGAGAACAACTTTGAGGGTTAGTGTTGGGGAAACACTGGTTACGAGTTGCTGGGGAAGCAATTCGGGTTCTGTGAGATTGTTTGTGATTGATCGGGTTCAGATTAATCACAGGGGTTTTCGGGTAGATAGATTGTCTCGACGAACTTCAACGCACAATCATTAGTGAATCGTCGGAGATCACACAATCGCGACTCTCCGACCGTGGAGTGGTCAATATTGGGATTCTTATTCTCCCAATACTGGAAACCACATAAAAATCGTGGGTTGTGTTCTTACTCTACTTTTTACTTTCAGTTCTGTATGTACTTCTGTGCGTGTTCTGTGTCAAGTCTGTGTTTACAGGGAAATTCGATCAGGAGAAGCTAGAGAAGACGAAGTTCGAGGAAAGTGCCAGAATTGGATTGGGAAAGTTCTACGACCTGGTTTGATTTATTTGTGTCATAACTTTCTGGGTTTATACTGCAGGGTTCGTGGAGTTCTTCCCCTATTCTTGAATTAAATATAAACATGGTTCAGTTTGATCTAGAACACTCAAGCAGGAAAGGGGAGTGAGTTGGAATTGAAACTCCACCGTTTTATCACTCACATAAAAGCTGGGTCGGGTATTATTGGCAATTGAACTGGGCCTTCGAGTGGTGTTCACTTGCAGACTTAAACTTTAAAATTCAAGCGGTTGGGCTTATAAGTTCATTCGGCTAAGACAAAACAAAAGGTTTACTGGTTTGGTTTCCAATTAATTGCCTAAGTAAGGCTTAAACGTTAATTAATTTACTTAGCCAAGTTGTTTGATTAGTGTGTAGAGTTTAGCTAATATACTTAATAGGTCAAGGTCTCTGTTGATAGACAGACTAGGTAGATAGTTGGTCTAGTAGTAAGTAAATTAATTAAACATTAATTCTGTCTTTTATTTTCAATTGTATCAAACATTATCATTGAGCTTGATTTGTGGCCAAGATATTGAAAGATAGGTATAAAGTCTCGCGCTCGACGCAATCAACACCCGCCTCCCTCCCCCCCCCCCCCCCCCCCCCCAAACCCTGGGGAGACCACTGAAACGACAGCCGACAAAGACGCCGACCAAGAGCGACGCTGACTTCGCACCGTTTTCTCCGTTCGTCGTTTCCTCTATTTGTTGGGCACAGAGGCTCCAGATCACCTGCCCTCGTTCTATTGGTAAGGACCACAAAATCCATGCAGCTTCGAGCTCAATCAATCGCTAACCTAACTCAACCCGTGTTCATGAACCAAACTTTTGCCGGCGGGATTGCGGCGATTTGGAGCTCTGAAGCCGTCGATGTTGCAGCAGGAGCGACACTGAGTCAGATCTGGGGGGTTGGTGGTGGCTGTTGCGGATTGGAAATATATTGTGGTTAAGGTTGAATTCAATGTGGTAGTTGAGGTGGATGGAAGAGAGGAGGTGAGTGTGAAGGTTGGTGGTGGTTGTCGGTTTGGAAATTGGGGAGGAGGAGGAACATGGGGAAGTGATTCTGGGGAAGAAAGAGAGAGATTAAGAAGGTTGGGTGGGAGAAGAATGGAGAGGGAGAGAGAGAAAATAAAAATATATTTAATAATTTTCATTTTAATTTTTTCTGATTATTCCAGCTCATATTTTTAATGACTAAAAGGTTTACATGTCAGTTTTTCCGTTAGTCTAGTCAACACGTTAACTAATACCGTCACACAATTGGAGGGAAGTGGCTATTTTTAATATTTCGTTAAATGTGGCTATATTTGACAAAACCATCAAAGTTTTGTCTATACATGTGTATTTTGCCTTCTGAAAATGCAATCCATGAGCACCTTTGAGCACAAGCAATTCAGCATATACCAAAAGGAAGAACGATTGACAATATAGCTAGATATTTGATTGCTTAAAAGAAAGAAAAATGGAAAAATGGAAATGATTTCAATAGCGGTGATAACTGTCCAGGAAAGGAAGCATAAAACAACAGAAGAAAAACAGAAAGCAAAAGAACCAGCAGAGAGCTATTAGCACTGTGATTTGTGAACCATGAGTACGTACGTAGGGCATTATTCAATCACTTAATTAATTGATTCTCAAAGGGGCACAGGATCCATGAGCAGTGAGGTGAGCTGATCCTTGATGAGGTGGGAGTTGGTGAAGCCATCACCAATCTCATAGAACAAGTTGCAGGAACGCATCAAATTGAGGAGACGATCCGTAAGAGCTATCGGTGTCAGAGTTGGTTTCTGATACACTTCTGCGATATCTTTCCAACTTTTGTGAATCTTCTTCCACAGGAATTCAACTGCTTCTTCTTCTGTCACTCCGTGCTGCTTCATGTAGCATTGCACGGATGAAGCCGGGTGATTTCTCTTTTGCTCATACTGCATGTGCAAAACCACATGATAGTAGTTACTGGCTAGCTACCTATATATGAGATGTACAAGATGTAAATAATTAATTAATTAATAATTACCTTGTGAGAGAAAATGTCATTTTGCAGCCTAGCAATCACACAACAGGCTTTCATCAGTTTGGATTCGTTAGTCACCCATTCAAAAGCCTCCCTGGTGGCTATCTCTGCTCCCATGCCAATGAAACAAGATGTGCAAGTTTTGGGAGCACCGCAGCTGTTGTATGCGTTGATCAAGTACTCTTCCAGTGTCGGAACCTTGCCTTCAGCGCGCCACCCAATCTCAACTAAGTAGGCTCGACACAATTTCTTGAGCTACCATGTGCATATTTATAATCATGAATTAATTAACCCAAGTTTCAAGTTTGGTAATGACACTATATTTCAATGGTAAATTCCGGATACTAGTTCTCTCAATCCAAATTCTATGATTGATTTAACAATATTAAAAAAAATAATTTATGTTCTGATTTGTCGATGCACATGACAATGATCATATCGTAGCTCTGCATATATTATGCGCGGCACACATACGCTAACTTATTTGTTAGTGTATTACCTCGTCCTTAGCATAATCAACGGAGAAAGTGGGTCCCGTCTTTCCAATTTCCTTCTCGACTTCATCGTACACATCAAGGACGAAACGAAAAGTATTCCTCATCCTATCGGGTAGTTTTTCAAGAGCCCCAACATTCATCCTAAAGAAAATATGTATGTACATTCAAACACCATCAATATATATAGGATAAATACAATTTATTAACCAAACTTTTCAAAATATTAGACAAACCTTTCAAAATACAAATTATTTGCCAAACGTTAACTTCCCGTTAACAGTTTTGTTTGTAATATTGACTTGGCAACATGATACTGAATTAAAAGAGACACGTGACGGTCAATATTTTAATATTTTTAACTAAGAAAAGAGATTAAAAAAATTCTAACGATAATAGGCATATGGCTAATATTTTGATGCGTTACAAAAAAATTGGTTAATATTTTGTATTTCAAAAGATTTGGCTAATAATTTGAAAATTTTAGCTAATAAATTGTAGCTACAAAATATTAGTCAAAATTTAACTTCCCGTAGCAGTTTTATTTGCAATATTGACTTGACAACATGATACATAATTGAAAGAGACATGTGATGATCAACATTTCAAAATTTTAGTATTTTAACTAGGAAAAGAGTTAAAAAAAATTCCAACGGTAATATGCAAATGACTAATATTTTGATTCGTATATATATATTATGAAAAATCATAAGTTGCATTATATCTAATTAATCAATCAAAAATATATATATATATATATATATATATATATATATATATATGTAAGAGTTATGCGGTAATTTGAACCTTTCAATAGCTTTTGATAGGGCGCGAAGCTCTTCATGTGTAGCAAAGTTATCACATGTGTCATCCAAGAGCGTCAACAAATGATAGATCTTAGTGCTTATAATTCTTGCCAATCGAAATTTGGGCTCAAAGTAAGCGCAAACTATCCAGTAATAAGTCTCCACAAGTCTGTCTCTTACAAATGGAAAGTTGGTCGCCATATCTAAACTTCTCCACCAACTGTATGCATATATGACAAAATCAAACCAAACAAGCAACTAATGCGATTAGTAGTATTACTTAATATAATATTAGCTAGCTAGATAACTAACATTAAAACGAACTCACCTAGAGATTTCATAGAGCTCCTGCTGATGCAAGTTCTGGACGATGTTGAAGTCCATTTTTGCAAATGTGAGAAGCTTTTGATTCTGCGAAGCATTCTCGGAATAGAAATCGATGGAGTTCCTAGCAAGTGATCTTGGGACACATTTCCAAGCAGGAAAGCGGAGAGCAAATTCGATTTGCTTTTGGAATGAATCAGGGTTGGTCTGGTGTTGGATGACAGATGACGACTTAAGGTTCTTGGTCGCAAAACTCAGGACTTCATCCAATATATCTTCTCCATTGAATGCCAAGTGTGCTGCCTCGTACAAGCTTAACAGTCCTTGCCTATCCCTCGACACCCATTCCTTGAACCTCCCTTCATTGTTCTTCAACTTTGTAAACACATCTACACGTACGTGGTTGTGTGTGTACATATAACAAAGGATCATGAGAACCCGTGATCTATCTATGTATACATACGAGAGTCCTTAATTACCAGCTAGCTAGCTAGCTGGTTATCAAGTACAGCTAATGAATGATCAACTATATGTTATGTACATATAATATACGTACCTTGTGAAGCAGGAAATCCTTGTTGTCTGAGGAGTCGAAATCGAAGAGCTGCATGATAGAGATCCGTGCTTTTGTCACCGATGTTAGAGAACAAGTCTCCTCCCATATCATGTATTTTTTCAAGTGCCTTTTCAATCTCTGCATCAAAGTGATACCCAATACCTAATCGTTGAACTGCGTCTATTAGCCGCAGCTTGTCGGCGATTATTGCCTCATGATCTCCACTACTTTTGACTTCATTTGTCAACATCTCCCTCACTTCTTCTTTCAGGACTTCATGGTTTGGGTATCTTTCTTTCGCCTGATTGAGAATTTAAAATGATTTGTGGGTATAAATTGTTTGTTATTCATGATAAAAATATCTCACAAGTGATTCAAAGTCAAGAACAACATGCATGAGTGAGAGATGTGTGCGCACATATAGTAAGTAGCTAGCTAGACTGTGTATAGTTAAAGCTCATTAGCCGCGGCGCTTTGCGCAACTTGATCAATGTTACTGATTAGGAAATAAGATACATACAGTCATACACAGCTACTGATAACTTAAATAACGACCTGGAAGGACAGATCAAATTTGTCGAGGAAGCCATCACCCCAAACTGAGCCAGGATATCTTGCTGACGAGACCCAATCCGCCGCTGCGCCGGCGGTTGCCTTCTTCTGATGGGCTGCCGCCGCGGCAGCAGCAGCTGAGTGAAGTGGTAGTGATGATGAAGAAGACATAATATTCGTAATGGTAGCAGTAGCAGTAGTAATGTTAATTTATGGTTATATGAATGGGCTGTTATAGTTTCGAGTCGATCTATTATATATACATAGCAAAGGCTAGGATTTGAAAGGAAGACCACCGGCCGGCGACCACTCAGATATATATATGATAATAATGTATTTATAAAAAGCAAAGCTAGCCCACCACCAACCCACCCATCGGACGGACGGATCGCTTAGCTTGGTTCCTGCATGCACGTATTACAATGAGATACATAATTAATTTAAGTATACGAGGCAATTATTCAAATTTACCATTTCTGTAACAGTAGCAGTACAGCTGTACAGGTAGAAAACTTAGATCGATAAAATCTAGATCTGGAATATCAGCCTACCATTCAATAAACCAAATACAGTCGATATGGATGCTAGCTTAATAACAAAACCGGAGGTATCAAACTACATGCTCCCTTTTTTTATTTAATTTTATTTACAACCTGTTACAGATGGGGAAGGAGGAAAGGCCGTTGCTTGGTAATTAATCAAACACACAACCTTTTTTTTTTTAATTGATACTTAACAAGAAAGAAGAAACAAAAAGGACCAGGTGGCAAACACCAGCCCAGGTCTCAACAACAGAGTTCCAACCTCAGCCAGCTGCGAAAGCCACAAAAGAAGAAAGGGAATGGCAAAGCAGCAGCAGCCCGTAAAAGCAACAATAACCAAAATAGTACAAAGTAAACAAGAGACTGGCTGAGATTCCATCAGAAGCCCGGGAATGCAGCAATAACCACCATCAGAAGTCCATTCTTAAGCAACCACTCCCATGAACCTTCACCATCGTCATCGCTTCTGACTGGTCTTCCTGCCAAAAGGCTCTGCCAAGCGGCATTAAAAGAAAAAAAAAGGCCTCAGATGAATAAGTATCGAAGGTCAGAACTTTCTACTCATGACACAGGCCACGGAACCAAACTCTTCCCAGCTCCCGAACGTAATCTTCATGTGATAAGATTGAATTCACTGTGAAGCCCTTAGCATACAACACGAGCTGCTCCTGCAAGCAAAGACACATTAGGAAGAGAATTTAAGAGTTGCAATAATCTCACCCTCTCCCTCTCTGCCCCTCCCCTTAAAGAATTTTTTAACACAATTTCCCAGGAGATTCTTCCCTGAACAATCTGCATGTTATCCAAGACACGACAGTTTGGGAAGGCGGCAGCAGCAGCTACTCTCGGGAAATCATCGGCGAGAAGCACGTTCTCGATCCACTTATCCTGCCAAAAGGAGTTCCAGGCGCGACCACCTTCAATGTAGGCCAGGTTCCAAAAATCACCCTTAAGCTTAGCAATTTCCATCCAATGGCTCCAGCCAACACTTCTAGGACTGATTCCTGGCATCCATTCTGACTCAGTACTGGGGTACTTAAGCTCTATCATTCTCCTCCACCAAGAATTCTTACTAGTTGCAAACTTCCACAACCATTTACATAGCAGTGCCCGGTTCCTTTGTTCGAGGTCCGGGATTCCCCGTCCACCCAATTCTTTTGGCCTTTTGCACATGCTCCATCCAACAAGATGCATCCTACTGCTACCATCAGCTCTCGACCAAATGAAGTCTCTTTGGATCTTCTCAATCTTTTCAATGACTGATTTCGGAGCTTTGAAAAGGGACGCCAAATATAAGGGCTGGCTAGCTAGGCAAATATTGCCAACCTTTCAATGGGAAGTTTGTCGATCCACCAGTTATGCTGGCCTCGTTCGCATCAAACTACATGCTCTCTAATTTATGCTATATTTATTTTTGTTATACGCAAGATTTGTCAACACAGACGCAGTTAAGGTTGGGGAGCGGTTATGGTGAGTACTCTATAGTATCTATAGCAGTAGCCACCATGACTATTAAGGGCAAATTGGATAAAAAATATTTATTAACTTTTTTATAAATTATATTTTAGAAAATTAAAAAACATATTAATTAAAATTTTAACTCTCTCACTTTGCAGATTTCCAGCCACCACTATCTCTTCTTTTTCTCAATAGTTTCCTTGTTTTCGTTCATCAGAATTAATACCACTGCAAAAGTAAAACAAGATGTCAATATCAATCCATTAAATAAACACTTCAAAAAAATGTCAACTTCATTTTAGAAATAAAACAAGAATCAATAAAAAAAAAACACTACCACTCTAATCTACACAAAAACACTATCACTACCATAACATATATATCATTTATTAACCAATACCAACATATAAACAATTAACACCAATATGATAAAAAAAAAAAACGAGGGGAGGGATGGCGAATGACAATTGACAGGCGGGGGGAGGAGGGAGGGCAGGGGAGGGTTGGCAGCGAGGAGTCTTGTCTGCAAGGGAGACGATTGGTTGTAGGGTTGGAGATAATTATTTATAGCTTGGTGAGAATATATGAAAACACCTATTTTAAAAATAGTATTACGGTGGAGTTATTATTTTTTTGTAAAATCATAGTAATCAACCTAACTCATACTCATGGCCATGAATGATAATGGGATAGCTTGTAACATAATTTGAAAAAATCAAAATGAATAAAAAAGGTTAGGTTTCTCATAGTTTGTAATAGAGAGGACCCCTCGTATTTGGGTGTCCCGGTGCTTAATGATAATTTTTGATTCTCATAAAAAAAAATCGGGTAACATACTGCAATATCCAAAAATGAAAATGGATCCATCTTCACAATTTCCCAATTTTGGCACATTCAACTAAAATAATAAAGGGTTTAGGTAGAAAAATGGCAACGGATCTAGACCAAATATTCGAATAATATAGTACCCAAAAATGGCATTGGATCCATTTCTTGATTTCCCCAATTTTGGCACACGATTTCTGGCAGAACTCGGTCAGCGGGTTTGTGGCAGTCGATAAATTCAACAGTACTGCTTTATTGCTTAATTTTATTTGTCGAGCATCCAACGTTGGCGAATTAATTCTACCAAAAAAAAAAAAAAAGTTGGCGAATTAATGCATGAAAATCCTTAATTATACGTGATTGATAAAAAAATAATTATTAACGAAAGAACAAACAGAAATATGGTTCAGTGTAGTGTTGACCCGTAAAATAAAGATGCAATGGCTAGGAATTGTAGGTAGAAGAAGGAGGAGGCGGTATATAATGGAGCACGCAAGGAGGCAGGGTTCTCACTTCTCTCGTATATATAGTACTGGTAAAGGGAAAGTGTTCGTACAAGAACAGTAAAAACTGAAACAAACGTTAAACTATAATTTAAATAAAGCAGTAAATAATGTGCCACGTGTTGCTTCTTCGTTGGCACCCGTCTTCTCCATGTAACGGTAAGCTCAGTCCTAAACGTCGCCGTCTCGTTCTTCACTTATGTTGCTGGAGAAGTTGATTGAAACGTTTCGTCATGCTGCTCTGTTCTTCAAGGTCAGCTACCAGCAGCTTCATCATCTCAACCAGAGCTTCAGTCTTCTGCATCCTGGATTGATATTGCCCCACAAGCTGGCGAGTAAGCATTGTGAACTCCCAGCTTGTCAAGCAAAAACTTCAAACGATATCGAGAGACCCCTTTAGTAAAAATGTCTACAATCTGGTCATCTGTTCTGACATGGCTCAAATGAATCAAACCAGACTTCAAGCGCTCTCTTGTATAGCGGCAGTCTATTTCGATATGTTTAGTCCTTTCATGGAACACTGGATTCTCTCCAATATGCATAGCTGATTTGTTGTCACAGAACAAAGGAATGGGCAGTGGAACCTGTACTCCCATTTCCAGCAATAAGTTCCTCAACCACTGAACTTCACAAACAACTTGAGCAAGAGCTCTATATTCAGCCTCAGAGGAGGATCTAGAGACTGTTGTCTGTTTCTTAGTTTTCCAGGTAATCAGAGAGGTTCCCAAGAAGGTACAATAGCTTGTAAGTGACCTTCTAGAATCAGGGCAGCTTGCCCAATCAGCATCACAGAATCCAGACAACTCTAACTTGGAATCTGATCTGAGCATGAGTCCTTGTCCAGGAGTTTGTTTTAAATACCTGATTACCCTGTGAGCAGCCTGCAGATGCTCAACACATGGTGCTCCTTGGTACTGTGCTAATTGTTGAATTGCATAGATAATGTCATGTCTTGTAATTGTTAGATAGTGAAGTCTTCCAATAAGCCTCCTGTAAACACTAGGATCTGGTAATGGATCTCCTTGGGTTGCTGAGAGCTTCACATTACAGTCAATAGGAGAGAGACAGCCTTTGACTTCAAGATAGCCTGTATCAGTGACCAATTCCAGGCAGTACTTCCTTTGACTCAGGAAGATGCCCTTGTGATCTCTTAACACTTCCAATCCCAGAAAGTAGCTCATCTGCCCAAGATCTTTGACCTTGAACTCTTTACTCAAAAACAATTTAAGTTGTTCAATGTCTCCCAGGTAGCTCCCTGCAATTAATATGTCATCAACATATACAAAAACCACCACAACCCTTCCTTGAATCCACCTGACAAACATGGAATAGTCTGATGAGGTCTGGGAATAACCATTTTTTATTAAGGCGCTGGTCAGCTTGGCAAACTAGAGCTTCAGTCTTCTGCATCCTGGATTGATAACCCGCAATCCGATGACTGATCAGTGGGTAAGTGGACTGAATTAGCTAAGCTAGAAGCAACCGATGACTACTGGGCGAGCAGGTGATCACAAGCGAATTTGTGGGTCATTCGCGAAACTCGAGTTTGGTTCATGAGAAGTCGAATTTGTGGGTCATTCGTTTTTTTTTTCCCATTCCTCATATGTCGAATCTCAAGGATCAACCTGCAAAATTTAATAAGAGATCGATGATATATTTTTTTTATGAAGAAGAGATCGATGATATTTGCCGCCGCCAAATTTTGTATTAGTGGCTGCCGACTTCACTATTCTACCTGACTATCTCTAGGTCAGTTTTATTTGAATACAGTTACGGTGAAAAAAATTCCACAACCTCAAAGTTCAAACACACATTCAACCTTTCCAACTTCCAGATATAAGAAATTGGGTGTTCGCCGAAGAAGGCTAACCTTTCCTTATTTCTAGTCGTTTTCATTTCTAATGCCATGTATTTTTCAAGATTCCGTTATAACATGATTTTTTTCAGACTAATATCGGCGGTGATAGATTATCGGGCCGAAAAAAGAGAGGTTGAACCAAGACGCACCAAAAATTTTCCGGTGATCCAGACGTAATCGGGCCGAAATTTTCTATTGTCACACTTACAGTAATAGAACAGGCTACGTACATCAAAAGGGTATCAAATCAAACTACTTGCTCTCCATTCTAGGCTTATATTTGTCTTTATTAGACACTAGACAGATCACAGACTTGTCAGTACAGTCATGGGTGTGTCTAAATTTGGCCTAGACTATATTAATTTAGGAAAACAATATCAAAAATAGATACGATCACCACGTATCATTTCATCTTTGATGACTCACGTTTTGACACCTGCAGCAACTTGGTTAATATCGTCTTCAATTATTAAAATTGATTTGAAAGATGCTACATTAATTAAGATGCTAGATTAATTCATTCTTATTTACAAAAATGAAGGAGAATGAGCCAAATTCTACATATAAGATATAATCATAATGTCTACAGGATATGAATGATCGGTATGTTAAAACGAGTGAATTTAGAACCTAGATGTAATGAATAATTGGGTCGATATTTAGAATATTATAACCACACCAAATCTATTACTCTTCTTATTGGATTCTTGTAAAAATCATTAAAAAATCATTTTGATTGGATTTTTCGTGATAAAATCGATTCGGATTTGATTAGGTATCATAGACGATGATGGGAGAAGCGTAATCTACTAGTTGTGAACTCATCCCAAAATGAGGAGACTAAAAGAGGAGAGACCAAAAGTAAACGTCTCACAAATTAGTTCCAAAGCTAAAGCCTGCAATTAATAAAATTAAAATAAACATTATTTAATCGCATTATTGAATTAAAAATGACTTATAAATTTTGTGTGTTTAATACCGTAAGGTACTCATCATATCGTGTTACGTTGAGGTAGCCGCAAATATAATGAGTTACGTCAATATAAGTATTTTACTGTATTAATACATTGTTTTCACCCCAAAAAATGTAAAATGATGTTAGGTTATGCGTTCAACCAAAATAAATAATGCCACTGTATGCACTTTCGTTCATGGAGATCGATGTTTAGTTCGTTGTAAACTACATAAATTAATATCGTATCACCATTATATAAAAAAAAGGTTTGGTGTAAAAATGGTAATGGTACTAATAATGGATCTAGAACAAAGCGGAGAATATAATATATCCGAAAAATAGCAATGGATCCAGGTCTCGAACGGTGGGCTTTTCCCAATTTCCGGCACAATATCGCACAACTCGATCGGAGGGTTGTGTTGTGGCAGTCTACAGTGCATGCATGTGTTCATCTGCGCAAGTGCACTAGTGAGTTCCCAATGCACAAATCTTAAATTAAAATTGTGGGAAAAATTTGTTTGTGTAAAATTCAATTTAATAATGGTAGTATTTGAATTCAACACTATTTGACTATCTATGGTTGAATATCTTTGATAAATATCTTTGGGCCCGCTATTTGTTTTTTAGTCATCCCTCCTTAAACTACTATGGGTATGTTACCGCCATTAAAAAAAAGACACCAAAAGGTTTTACATAAAATCAATCAAGGTATTGAAAAGGTTTTTAGTCATCCCCAATAATGCAAGATATTGTCTCTAGGTAGCGTAGCGTCGTCAAGGTGAAGGTGAAGCCATTAAAAGAAAGAAACCGAAAGGCTTTACATCAAAATCAAATCAGGGTAGAGAAAAAAAAGGACTTGTGGTTCTGTAAATGGAAGTGCCAAATTTGTCAGAGTTCTCAAATTGCACTTTGTGGGTCTGCTTGTGCTTGGCATAATCACTTAATCATAAAGTACTGGCTTAATTAACCGTCCTATAATGGAGCCCCTAGTATGTTCAAGGGTTGAGCTGAACGTATACACAAATTATCTAGGGTCTAGCTAGCTATGGAGATTTTGGATCAAGTGGAATGAGTTTGAGTTTCGGTACTTGAGTCTTATTCTTTAAAGAGAATATTAAAGCAATAAGCTGTCAGAATTTTAGTTAATTATTAGAAAGTTAGTGAGTAAGTAGTTATGAAGTCTATTTAGAGAATTACAATTAATTTTTGTTTGTTAACAACACGATAGCTTGCAATAAACAAGAAACAAAAGTTATACCATACCCGCCTCTATAAAGAGCCATGCACAAAAATCGACCAAATTACATCGACTAAGAAATAAAGAAAACTTAATCACCTCATGGGGATACCCTATTGTTTTCCTTTCTCACAAACCGAAACCACACATCAGGTAAAGACAGCTGATCGGAACAGATCTCCTCAAAGATTGCCCCGCCACGAACATTTGCCACCATGCCTCCATTGACCTCGTCTATCACCACCTAGGCATCACCTTCCAACATCCTGATACACCAATACACCGCCTCCCATAGTGCTGAAAGCTCAGCTGTACTAGGATCAGCTATTCTATCAAACAACACCTTTACCTTGCATCGTTATTGTAACTATTAACCTTTCATAGTTGATTATTAAAGTAGCTACATTGATAATAATTTGGCTAGGGGTTGTTAACATTTTTGCTTTCCTTTTGAACGGTTTACAACAACCTGCAGTATTAACATTTTTTTTATATAGGTATTGTTACTAACTTACTTTATGGTTATTAATATTTCCTAATAATTAGTATCATAATTCATATCATTATTAACGGGTGGATACAAGCGTATCAATGTTTGAGAAAGAATTTTTAATAATATGTAGTATGATTGACGGCCATTAGATCCGATCATCAACAACGAAAATTAAGCCTTCGTCAAATATGTATATTCTCCATTGAACGACAGGTGTGTGTTGTGCTCGTAGCTCAACAGTCCTTAGCTTGACACGAAATCGATGTGTATGTGTAGCAAAAGATCGTAATTAATGTGTTTAAAGGAGGCCTGAACTAGTTATCAACTACAATTGTATATGTATTCCCACATATATCTATGCATACATATATATACCATGCTTAAAAGGAAACCCCTGTTGTCTGAGGAGTGGAGATCAGAGAGTAAAGATCATCTGTAACCAGCTTAATTTGTCCATAGACCAGATTAGAATTTTTATTAATTCTAAGCTGCGTATTGAACAGAAATTTGGATAAAATTCAAGAAATCAGCCTAAATTCCAATATTCCCCAATTCATGCGATTGCAGAAAATTACATTTACTGTAAGGTTGCAAATATGCAATGGATATAGATACATTAATACAATTTGGTTTTGCAATTGCAAAACTCCATACCATATCATTTTCTAATTGTATGCTCTTAATTATAGCCAATATGCCATTAGCGAGGTTTCTCATAAACATCTCACATCTTGACTCGAACATGGCAACGAGGCTCCATCGCGCGCCAATTGACCTAGCTATTAGGTATTTTGATGCAAATGCTATAATTCATATGGGCGTTAGACCCAATTGTATCATTATTTCTTCTGGGCTGAATTGAGTTTAGAAATTGGGTATTCGAGGAGAAATATAATTGCCTAGCGGTGAGATGCTAATTACAGAAGTTATTAACCGAACTGATCATGTACGTAAGCTCCAAGCCAGCAAGCACCATCCTGCTTTAATTTAATTTAATCGATTCCCTCCGATCCTTTGTACTGATCACAATCTTCCTTCTTGTTTCGTTGGGATAGGAAAATGTTAAGTATCTCCCTAGTCACGTAAACACCTGTGGTGTCCTGTCCTCTACGTTTCCGCACTTAACAATACTTTATTACAATAGTCTTGATTTTCCCAGTTTTGGCACATGGTTTGTGGCAGAAGTCGATCGAGCAGTCGACAAAATCAAGACTACTGCGCGCAATACTGCATTAATTGCATGTGCTAATCAATCAATCAATCAATCTGCGCGCGCACATTTATAGAATAGATCGAACCGTTTACGCCCAGTGGCCGGGTATCAAACTGCATGCTGCATCGATGCTCTCCTTTCTAGACTAGCTTGTCAGTATATATGGCCATGGGTGTCTCTACATTTGGCCTAGACTATATATATTAATTTACTCAAACAAGATCAGAAATAGTTACGTTTGAGCAGCTGCAATCAATTTGGATAATATCTTCAGACTTCAATTAATATTGATTTGAAAGATGCTTATAGTACTATAACAGTGAGGAGGAGTGGAGTACTGAACTACTACTGACCACCAGTGCCTTTGCCATATATAGCAAGCACATTGATCGAGCAGCTTACTTATATCGAAAACTAAGAGCTATATATATATGGCCATGGCCATGCGTATTGCTATTGTTATGTCATCATCTTCTTCTTCACGATCACTTGATCCCTCTGCTAGTGCTAAGGCGGCAGCCAGAAAGGCAACCGGCGGCGCAGTGGAACGGGTCTCGCCGGCAACCTTCCCGAACACAGTTTGGGGCCGTGGCTTCCTCGACAAACTTGATCTCTCCCTCCAAGTAAGAAACGATGGCAAAGCATTCTGTGAATGATATGCAATTGTTTTATTTTTTTTCCTAGATTACAGATTTTGCACAGACGTCGGTCTTAGGCTATCCTACTCAACATTAATACATGATATAATATTATATTAATGATTTATTATGAACACTAATTTCCTTAGTGAACGCAAAGCATTCTACGAATATATATGCAATCGTTTATACAGGTAATAATATTTTAAGACACTCAACTCTTACTCGAACAATATTAATTCTAAATCTATAGAATAACTTTCTTAAAATATTTCAATGTTTGTCATCTCACTTATGATGGTTCATTTATCTAATCTTAACTTATGCATTTGCTAAAGGATTACAAAGTTTTCTATTTTTATTTTGAGATAGAGATCTATAAAGTCTCGTTGTTAATGTGAAAATCCGTCAAAAAATTATATTATGACATTGATTCCATGTTGTCTAATTGGTCAAGACTTTCGTATGAGAGAAATGTGCTCAAGTCTCAACAAACACATATAATCTTTTATATTAAAAGTTTTTAAAACGTCAGAAATCAACAATTTACGTCAGTTAGTGTTTGAGCCTAACTGGGTGTAGGAGGGAGGCTCGGGAAAATAGGTCAAGTAGAGTAAGCAATGAGGGAACGATCGTCGATCCGGAAATGAGAATATTACTGGGAGAAGTGGGAGAGAAATATTTAGAGAGAGAAGTTGATGATTCTAGAGACGGAGTCTGAAAAATCTCATCCCCTCACCCACCGGAGTAAATGCCATATTTATAGGCTACATGGTGGTGGGTGAGTGGTTGGGTTACAAGTGGGTACAATGATGTGACTACTGACATGTCAGGGATTTAGGCCATATTTTTAGGACCCTGATGTGACTACTCCTGACATAGGCAGGACTATACCTAGGACTATGATAGTGACTGCCCGTTGGATGACGCGGCGCCGCTTCTACGGCTTCTCGATAATGGTCCACGCCTGTGCAACGCGCCGTCGTTTAGTGTTTATGCGCGCCTCTACGGGGGTGGTCTTTACCTGCGCGCTTGATTCCGGCGCGACTCGCGCGCTTGACTCCGGTGTGACTCGCGCGCTTTGCCTTGGCGTGAATATCCTTGGTGCTTCTTCAGTGGGGTGAGATCCGAGTCACATGCCCAACAGTTAGTTTTAAGTGTTTAACTTCCTGGATCATATTTTGATTTGTTTTTTTTTTTCGAATAACTAGTTCCATATGGTTTTACAACACTACACGAGAGAGCTACAATAACCAAAAATGGTTTACTAAAATTACTCTCATTACAAGAAATTCGAAATGGGAAAATGAATTCTCATTTCAACTTGATATATGATGTAGATATAAAAGTATAATTAACTCGTTTATTTCAAATGAGATTTTGGAAATGAAATGTTCTAACATTTGTTATTCTTTACTTTTTTTTTATAGATTTCTTGACTTTGGATCATTCGTAAGAGATCTAGCATGCATAACCTTATAAGTGCAGCTTGTTTTATTCGTTTCTACTTTTAAATCTATACATCTTTAGGCAAAACAAGGACACCCGAAATATGAAATTCTTAAGGAAGAGGTGAGGAAGATGGTGAAATATGAAGCAAAAAGTGGAAATGACAAGACAATGATCGCTGACAAACTGCGTTTGATTGATACAATCCAACGATTGGGCATTGGATATCATTTTGAAACAGAAATTGAAGAAGCACTAAAAAGAGTGCATGATTTGGGAGAGGACTCATCATTCAATAATATTGATGAGGAAGGTAATGATCTCTATCATAAGGCTTTGCAATTTCGACTTCTCAGACAACAAGGATTTCGTGTTTCCACCGGTACGTGTGTGTATATATATATAGAAAGAGAGAGAGCTAGAATTAAAATATATTTAATTAACTAATTGGTTGATAACTAATTAACGCATCTCTTGTATATGTGTGTGTAGATGGGTTTAGAAAGTTTATGAATAATGAAGGGAAGTTCGAGCAGTGGTTGGCGACAGATGAGAGGGGACTATTGAGCTTGTACGAGGCAGCACACATTGCATTCAATGGAGAGGACACATTGGATGAAGCCCTAAGTTTTGCGACAAAGAGCCTTAAATCATTGATGCAACACAAGAAGATCAACCCTTCATTCCAAAAGCAAATTGACTTTGCATTTCGCGTTCCCGCTTGGAAGTGTGTCCCAAGGTCACTTTCTAGGCACTCCATTGATTTCTACTCTGGACATCAGGACACTTCTCTTCATAATCAAAAGCTTCTCATGTTTGCGAAGTTGGACTTCAACATGGTCCAAAAGTTCCATCAACAGGAGCTCCAGGAACTCGCTGAGTAAGTCTTTTTGGGGCTAGTTATTCATTTGCTTATCATTCGTCCATACCAGTGAAAGGGTATTAAAATGTTACCATAGCGATATGTTATGTTTTAAACTTATCATAGTGACAATAATCATATCATTCACCTCTAATAAACATAAGTTATGTAGATCAGGGTTACACACTTGATCCGCTCTCTAACTAACCATGAAAAAAAACCACTAATCTAAGCCGTAAGAACCTAACATGCACATTATACTATCTTACGCACACTAATAATAACCATAATCGTAATTGTTTGGTTTGCTTTTGTTGTACCTATATACGTATATAGTTGGTGGTGGGGAAGCATTTATGAGGCGACCGACTTTCCATATGTAAGAGACAGACTTGTGGAGAGTTACTACGGCATTAATTCTATTTTCTTTGAGCCCAAATATCGGTTGGGAAGAATTATAGCCACCAAGTTCTGGTTAGTGTTGGCAATTTTGGACGACGCTTATGATAATTATGCTACTTATGAAGAGGTTCGGTCCCTCACGGAAGCCGTTGATGAAAGGTTCTTACCACATAACTCATTTATAGATTGAGCGCTTTCTCTTAATTATTGATTGTGTATATTGTATATTTATACTGGGTATTCTTAATTCAAGGTTGGATGCTAGGGCTCTTCAAGAACTGCCTGACAGTATGAAGAAAGTACATCGTATCATCCTTAATATGTATGATGATTTTGAGAGGGAAGTTGGAGAAATAGGACCCACTTTTGGCGTCGAGTACTTCAAGGAAGAGGTAATGATATATTTAACAAATGGCTCTTATGATAGATATACATGCATAGTTGTATTTGTTTTCATCCACGGACAAGAAGTGAACCAAAATAATGTAAGGGAAATATTTAGAACACTTCCAATATTTGAAGCTATTGGGATCAACTGATTTTTTTATATTTATTAGATCGAGTTTGAGCTAATTAATAAAGACTCTTATGTTCAAATTCTCCCAACCCCAATGTCAATAGTACATGGGCTAATTTTTGTTAGAGGGACCATGTAAAAAAATGTAAGTTCTCTTCTGTAACCTCTCACTACAACCCTCAATTTATTGGAATCGATTGATTCTTGGTGATGATATTGTTATATGTATTGCAGCTCAAAAGAATAATCCATTCATACTTGGGTGAGGTTGAGTGTCGAAATGAAGGTCGGGTTCCGACACTAGAAGAGTACATGATCCACGGATATGGCAGCAGTGGTATCCCCGTACTTTGCGCATCTGCTATGCTTGGTATGGGAGCAGAAGTAGCTACAAGGGAGGCTTTTGAGTGGGTAGCTAATGAGTCTAAAATGATGAAAGCCACTGCAGTTATCGGTAGATTTCGAGATGATATTTTCACTCACAAGGTAATTTGTCGTTTATATTTCTTTATGTTATGAATCTCACATACAGAGTGGAGTGCATTTCATAAAATTGTGGTTTCTTAGCACAGTTTGAACAAGAGAGAGGGCATTCAGCTTCAGCTGTGGAATGCTATATGGAGGAGTACAAAGCATCGGAGGAAGAAGCGGTTGAATTCCTATGGAAGAAGATTTCTAATGCTTGGAAAGATGTTGCCGAAGAGTGTCAAAAATCAAGTCTATTGCCAGTAGCTATCACAGAGCGTGTCCTCAACTTGGCACGCCTGGTCAGTGTGTTATATGAGAATGGTGATTGCTTCACCAACCCCCACCTTATAAAAGATCATCTCAAGTCACTGTTCATTGATCCCGTGCCACTTTAAAGAAATCATTAACGTACGCTTGAATGATTTCCTAATCGATGGTTGACAATTGTCTCTACTAGTCCTTTTGTGCGTACGAGAGATGTTTCTGATTGTTCTGTCTTGCTCTTGGTTATTTCTGTTTTTGTCCCCTTTATTTCCCTAAAAGTTATCACTACTGTTGAAACCATTTTTATTTTCCATCTTGTTCTTAATAAAAGTAGCTATATGGTCAACGTTTCTTCATTGATCCATTCGAATTGTCTCTATACATAAAGATGTATAATGCCTTCTACATATGTGTACCTTAATTCATTCAAGATATCAATCGCCAGAAGACCAATCATCTTACCCACTGCAAAGTCAACAAATGGGTCTTTATACTACACCTTTGAAGACAACAAGTTGTCACCTTCGCGACTTTTACGATGAACAGACTTTGATAGTCCACCGATTTGTTTGATTGGTCAATTAAAGTTCGATGATGTAACAACAGAGATTGATTAATGAAAAATTCATATTTACCATATTAAAAAAAGGTATCTGTACCAAACTTATCCAACTATTTGCTACATGGATGTTAATAGACAGACCGACTCACTACACTTAATAGATGTTCCATATTCCTCAAACCTTATTATATGATAATACCTTACATTCCAAACCTTGCTGATTCTTCTTTCAGTTCCATCTCATTATCATCAGTCATCCTTCTGTCTTGCCCTGCCCTGAGAGTGAGATAGGTTGGTTCTGCAGCATCCAGAATCCTTCGTCTCCTTGGTGAGACGAAGGATTGCCGAGTTGGCAGTTTCAAAGGCGAAATTAGCATCATCGACACCATCTCCAGCATCAGCCACAGAGAACCCATCAACCCAGAAATCGGTCAGCCGGTGGTGGCAGTCAACAAAATTAGTAGTCCATGTGGTTTCTCGAATCTCTCTGGAGATAGATTTGGCCTCGGCCGACATTAGTTTAGGAAAACAACATCATAAATAGATACCATCTCACGTGCACGTAGAAGTGGCAATTAAGATCCAAATCCATGAATCCAATCCATCCACCAAATTATCCACCTAATCCAATCCATTTGATCGAAATCCAATTGGATTGGTGGATTCATGGATCAATCTATGGATCCAAATGACAAATTACGACTTGGTACCTATATTTTACATTTTAGTAACTAAAATTTATATTTTTATACGAAAAATATCATGGAAAATTGCATTTTGGTACCTAGATTTTTTCATTATGTCATTTTAGTACCAAAACTTTTCAAATTTTACATTTTGGTCCAAGCCTTGGATTTCATTTGGATTCATGGATCAATCCACCAATCCATTTGATCCAATCCATGAATCCACTAATCCATTGGATCCAATCCATTTGATCCATGGTCCACCAATCCAATCCACGAATCCGATCCAATTGCCACCTCTACGTGCACGTATCTTTTTTCTTTCTTTCTTTCCGATGACTCACGTTTCAGCACCTGCATGCAACTTTGTTAAATTATTAAAATTGATTTGAAAGATGATAGATTAATTTGCTCTTAATGCAACACCTGCAACTAAGCCATCGTTTTACGCTACCAAATATTAAATATCTTCAGATACCTTTGTTTCTAAACATACTACCAAATAAACGCAACGCTCACGTAAAAATTGCTACTGCTATTTACGTGATTGGCAAATGAATCCGACCAACCGGTCGGGCCTGCGACTAGTATAGATAGATATATAGGAAACCTACCTGGTCTTTATAGTGCCATGCCACAGAATCTCATCCGATCCAACAATCCAAGTAAGATCGGGTCATTTTCTAGAGTTACAATGTAGTGTAACACTATGAGAATTTAAATGATTAATCACCCCCGGTTCACTTCAGGTTACATCTGCCTTTAATTTGCATACTCGACACCTAGCTAGGTAGGATTGGTCATATTTTCACAAAGAATGTGATAATATAATATCATACCCTAAAAAAATGGTAATGGATATCCATGTACGTCTTGATTTTCCCAAATTTGGCACATGCATGATTTCTGGCATAACTCGATCAGCGCGCGGGTGGTGCAGTCGACAAAATGAACAGTTGTGTGCATGTGCTAGCTAATCTGCACGAGCCATCTTCTGCGCGCTTAATTTCATTTCATCTGAGGCTGAGGGGAGCATCCAAGTCCAACGTTGCCAAATGGGGATGCATATATATGGAAAGGAAATCCTTAATTATATTATATGTGACTGACAAAATAATAATTAACAAAAACAACCGGCTACGTTCGTCCATAGGGTATCAAATCAAACTACTTGCTCTCCATTCTAGGCTTAATTATATTTGTCTTTATTAATTATACACTAGACTTGTTAGCATAGTCATGGGTGTGTCATTAGTTTAGTATAAAACAACATCATAGATAGATACGATCACGGATTCTTTTTCCGTCTTTCTGATGACTCGCGTTTCAACACAACCCCTGCAACCTTTTTTTTTCTTAATGATGATAATAAATTACTAGAACAAAAAGGAGAATCCAACAGGATACAAAACAATCCAAGTTGGGATCACAAGAAGGACTGATCACAAGCAGAATAAAAGAAAAGAAAAACAAAATAGGAGGAGAAAAGGCATTGCAAGTGCTAGGAGGACCAGACCTCCGGCTCACGAACTACGTGAATGAGCCTAGGAGTGCGTCTCATATAACGTATTGTTGGGTTTTTTTTTTATATAGTTTGAAGGAGAGAGAAATCATTCACCTTCGGCCGTTGAGTGCTGCATGAAGCAGTATGGAATATCGAATAAGGAAGCAGTTGAATTTTTGTGGAAGGAAATTTCTAACGCTTGGAAAAATATTGGCCAAGAGTGCTGTCAGAGACCGACTCAACTACCAGCAGTTTTCGTGGACCGTATGCTCAACTATGTACGTTCCATAAAAAAAATTATGATAAAGACAATAGTGATCACTACACAAACTCCCATGCTTTGAAGGAACACCTCACCTCATTGTTTGTTCATCCTGTGCCGCTTTGAAGTAGCCATTAGCCCTTCAATAATGCCCGACCTATTTTCACATGCAATGCTCTTTGTTGGTTGTTTTGTAAGATGTTTTGTTGTTGTAGCTTGCTTTTTTCTGTCATAGACTTGATGTACGCTATTGTTCTTCCCTTTTGTGTTTCTTTTCTTTCCCAGTTATTAGTGTTGTTGAAATAATTTTCACTTTCGTTCTTATGAACAAAAAAGAGATATTGTCAATTTTTCTTCTCTCGTAAGTTTAATGCAAAAATTTATTATATGGATGGAGGTGCACCACAAAAATACAATCGTTCACATAATAGACAAATTTAACTACGAAAATTAAACCAAAAACAAAAAACAAAGAGAGGAAATTTGTAACCATCTATTAAGTTACCCTATTGTTAGAGCTACCAACAAAACGGAAATTATAATCTCAGGAACTCTACTCATAGCTGCTCTAATTACTCGGAGATAATTAATTACATTTCTTGACCATTCGACATCAACGCTATCAAAATCTTATCGATTACGATTTAGACATCAAGTTCAATCAACACGTCCTGCTCACAACACTAGCAGAAAGCATCTCTTCATATGACCAACTCAATCTTTAATTAGCACAGCTCGGTTTTCCCAATTTTGGCAGACATAGATTATTATATTTGTGGCAGCAGAACTCGATCGGCTCGGCGGGTTGTGTTGTGTTTGTTAATAAAACGGTATATGATCCACGATTGAACCTCTCCCAACAACTCGAGCTATTGAGATCAACTGGTTCTTGACATGGTATCAGAGCCTTCTGTGACCGAGAGGTCGACGGTGTCCGAACCTGTGCCTGTCCAAACTCCAAGCCTAAACAATTAACGAAACAACAAACAGAAACAAGGTTAAGTGAGTACTAGCCCAACATCCCAATTCCCAACTGCTTTTTTTGTAAGATTCCCCTGATTATCATTATTATTATTATTATTTTGGCCGAAAGATTCCACTATTTAAATGAACGACTCTGTTTCCCTTAATTATTGGAATCAAAGATAAAGATGGAGAGAGAGAGAGAAAGAATTAAATTAACTACAAAATAATGTAGACTTTTTATATATTCCGAGGGCTAAATTTTAGGATCAATTATACCACTTTTTCCCAAAGTGGTAAATAGTGGTTAGTATTTTTTTTTTTTTACCATCATTCTACACTTGTGATATTCCTAGTACCATATGATACGTTTTCATATCACCATCGTATAACTTTGTATCACCCAAATATATACTATTCTAAATATTATGGTAAAAGCCTCATTATTCTCCAAAATATATCAAGTGAATATATTTTGTAGGGTATAATTAATATGATTTTTCTATGGAAATGTTTTTGAAATTCATGTTAAAACAAGTGAGATATAGTCATTACTTCTTTTATGGGTAAGAAGTCATTACATTTTAATTCCAAATTAATTATACACGGTAAACAGCACCGAGTCTACACATTAGTTGACCAGTCAAAAATCTCTCTTGTGACCATTACTGCTACATACAAAAACAAATGTGAAAAAAATACCAATAATAAATCTTTTACTATTTCTTTTTTATATACCATTTTTAGCAGAACTTACCTTAGAGTTAAGAGCAATAAGAGTACAGTTGAGATGATGATAATAATAATAATAATGTGGATTGGATAATAACAAAAATGTACCCGCCAGAACCGCATCGCACTTATAGTAATAGAACATTATTATTATTATTTAAATTATCAGCCAGGCCATGAAAGATGCTAAGATTCGCTCTGCTATCAGCAGCTGCAGCTTGGTTAACATCTTCAATTATTAAAATTGATAATCCTACCTATTTATAGCCGTGAGGATTACTGATCACCGGCCGCCAGTACATTACTTTGCCATAGCACATTGAGCAGCTTAATTAATTATATCGAAACTAATAGCTACAGCCATGCATATTGCTAATATTATGTCATCATCTTCTTCTTCACTATCATCCTTTGATCCATCAGCTGCTGCTGCTGCTAAGGCTGCAGCCAGAAAGGCAACCGGCGGCTGCGCAGTTGATCGGGTCTCATCGGTAACCTACCCTAGCACAGTATGGGGCCATGGCTCCTTCGACAAAGTTGATCTGTCTCTCCAGGTAAACTAATTTTTATTTTGTTTTATTACTATATATAGCATCTGCTGGTGTTCTTGTTATAGGTTAATTAGTTCCTGTCACTCGATCGAGTTACGTTGTTAAAAGAGATACAATGATAATACACCCACCATATCACCCTTGTACATGTGGATCACTTTAATGATCGAAAGATCTCCCAAACGTGAGTTTGAAGTGCGCAAAAAATATGTCACGCATATATATATATATATGCTCAAAGATATATTATTCATCATATGGTCTGATATGAATTTCATAAATTAGACTTCAATATATCAAAGATTATGATTCGTTATCACTTTTAAATCCACAAATTTTTAGGCAAAACAAAAACACCCACAATATGAAGTTCTAAAGGAAGAGGTGAGACAGATGGTAACATATGAAGGAAAAACTGGAAATGATGAGGCAACGATTGCCTACAAGCTGCGTGTTATAGATGCAGTCCAACAATTAGGCGTTGGATATCACTTTGAAAAAGAGATCGAAGAAGCACTAGAAAAAGTGCATGATTTGGGTGAGGACTCATCATTCATCAATATTGATGAGGAAGGTACTGATCTCTACCATAAGGCTCTTCGATTTCGACTTCTCAGACAACAAGGATTTCCTGTTTCACAAGGTAATTGTCTATATATAGTCAGAAGCTATATATATATTTAGTTTACTACTATATAGTTAACGCGTATCTTGTATATATGTGTAGATGGATTTAGAAAGTTGAAGAACAGTGAAGGGAAATTCAAGGAATGGTTGGCGAGGGATGAGCAAGGACTGTTGAGCTTGTACGAGGCATCACATATTGCATTCAATGGAGAAGACATATTGGATGAAGCTCTAAGTTTTACCACGAAGAGCCTTAAATCAATGCTTGAACACAATAAGATCAACCCTTCATTCCATAAGCAAATCGACTTTGCCCTACGAATTCCCGCTTGGAAATGTGTCCCAAGGTCACTTGCTAGGCACTCCATAGATAATTTCTATTTAGAGGACTCTACCCAAAATCAAAAGCTTCTCAAGTTTGCAAAGTTGGACTTCAACATGGTCCAAAAGCTCCATCAAGAGGAGCTCTACGAGCTCTCTGAGTGAGTATACTAATGGACAATTTATTTATTTATTTGATCACCCAAATTGCTTTGTCTAAATTTTGTGATGTACATACAGATGGTGGAGTAGTCTTGACGTGCCGAGAAACTTTCCGTATGCAAGAGACAGAGTTGTGGAGTGCTATTACTGGATCATTTGTATGTACTTTGAGCCCAAATATCGGTTTCCAAGAATTATAGCCACCAAGATCATGGCAGTGTTGTCAATCCTGGACGACACTTACGATAACTTGGCTACATATGAAGAGGCTCGAGCCCTAACCGAAGCTTTTGAAAGGTTCTTACCCACATAATCTAACACACACACACACATAGTTGGATTCTATCGTGCCTAGGGTAAATCTTGAGGTATAACATACTCTTAGTAAGTAAATTATATTTGAACCTTAAATTAACTAGATTTTATGGCATGATACCAACCCCTAATTCTTAATGAACAAACCTTAGATGTTAATTCTCTAAACAGTAAAAGCTAAATTCTAAGATGATGCATCTAGTATGTTGGATGTATTTCGACGAATCATAAGCATCGGCTATTATTTTTACTAAACAAATATGTATGTGATATCCTTATAGATACATAGAACTCTCTCTATAGATGTGTTAATAAGTTAGGTATATAGAACCCTTTCTCTTAATAATTGGTATGTGTAAATGCATATTTATATTTAGGTATTTCTTTCAGGATGGATGTTTGTGCTCTTGAAGAACTACCTGAGAGGGTGAAGAATATTTACCATGCCTTCTTTACTCTATACGACGAAGTTGAGCGGGAAATTGGAAAAATAGGGCCCACTTTTGCGATGGATTACAATAGGGAACAGGTAATCTATAAATAGTAAATGCATGTTGTATATATATATATATATATATATATATATATGTGTGTGTCATAGACATGTAAGGGTTCAGTTGATTCTTTCCAAGTGAAACAAAAGAAAGATTATCGATCGCAGTTAAATTTTGTTGTTGGTATATATATATATATTATTGTAGCTCAAGAAACTTTGCCGGTCCTACTTGGGAGAGGTTCGTTTGCGCAGTGAAGGCCGCGTTCCGACGTTGGACGAGTACGTGGCGGAAGGATATGTGACGTGCGGAATGGCCAAATGCACCGCAATTGCTTTCATTGGCATGGGAGCGGAGATCGCCACCAGGGAGGCTTTTGAATGGCTAGCAAATGACTCTAAACTGATGAGAGCCAGCTCTGTCATTGTCAGGCTTCAAAATGACATTTGCACTCACAAAGTACGTACATGATGATAACTGTTATTAGTATTATTGTGTTATTGACTTATCTCATTGGGGGTGTAATTAGCAATATTTTGGTTTTTTTATTTTTGCGTTGTTTTTATTGCACAGTTTGAACACCAGAGGAATCATGTCGCTTCCTCTGTCGAATGCTATATGAAGGAGTATAGGGTGTCGGAGGAAGAAGCAATTGAATGTTTATGGAAGAGGATTTCTAACAGTTGGAAAGATATTGCTGAAGTGCATCAGAGACCGACTCCATTGCCGGTAATTCTCATGGACCGTTTCGTCCACTTGACACGTTCTGCCAATTTGTTTTATGACACCGATGATCGCTACACCAACCCCCACCTTATCAAGGATCACCTTACTTCTTTGTTCATTGATCCCGTGCCTCTTTGAAGAAATCAGTATTGTCGGAATAATGGCCTACGTACCGATGGATGAATCATCACCCTGCTCCTCCCTACTCCTTATTTTGTTGTTGTTGTTGTTGTTGTGTGGGATCCGTTGATGTTTCTTTGTTCGTCTAGCTTTTGTTGCTTTCCTTTTGTGTTTTGTGTGCTTCCTTTCTTCCCTTAACTGCTGTTGAAATCCTTTATCCTTTTTTTTATCAATAAACATTGGTTACATCGTCAATCTTTCTTCTTCGGATTAAGTAATTAAGATGAAGTTAATTAGGTGTAAGCATTATACAACTTTGTGTATACGCAATTTAACATATCAAAGGAAGAAAGATTGACGATTTCAACATCGATCAATGATAACTATTGAGGAAAGAAACGAAACATAATATAAACACAAAAAGAAAGAACCAAAAGCAAGAAGAGCTAGCAACGAGAAACTCCACGCACACACAATGTGGATGATTTCTTCAAAATGACACCGGATGAAATGGACAGTGAAGTGAGGTGATCCTTCGAAAAGAGAGAATTGATGAGGCAATCACCATTATCATAGAAGAAATTGATCAATCATACCACGTTGAAGGATGTCAGAACAGAAGCGTGCAATCGATAATCCAGATCAAAACGAACAAACACGAATTTAACGTGGTTCACTAACACAATGTGTGCTAGCTAATCCACGGGCAGGGGGACAAATTTCACTGATTTGAGGAGAGTACAGGTTACAAACCAAATTCCAAATGGACAAACCAAACAAACTAACCTGACTGACCTTACTACAGACTAGGGTGATGAAGAGTATTTATAGAACTCTTCTCCTAATCCCAAACAGAAAACCAAACACCTTTTCCCAAACATACAAGGAAAAGGTCAAACAAAGCCCAAACAAAATAGGCCCAAAACACAAAACAAAACCAAGTCAAATTCAAGTCATATTCTAACAGAGGAGACAATCTAGCTATGAGAGTTACTGGGCAATATAGTCAGTTGCTGACAGTACTCTTTGTTTATATTTTTCCAAAGTTAGAAATCTCGTTCTAATAGAAATTCTAACTATTTAGTTTCTTTCTCCGATAAAATCCCTTATACTATCTACCATGAGTCAAAAATAGTAGCGATGGGTATAAACAGACTAGCAAGCGTCAGAAGGGTCGAAACCCGGTAGAAATCATATATGAACGATTTTTGGGTGTAATATCTTAACATTCATCATAAATTTGCATGATGAATGTTTGTAATTTAAAAAACCTTTAAAACATGATCATATTATGAAACTGGAATAGACACAATATTATTATTTTCACATTTAACCTACCTTAAATGAATTTCTGGCTGCAATTTCAATTAAATCTGAAAATTTAATTTGTGTTTTCATCCGTTTTGGGCCTGCCTCTTTCCCCAATCTCTTGAACCACATTCAGGCCCACTGCTGGCTGCCTACCTGAGAAAGGAGACGCAGCAAATTAAATTTAAAGGCCAGCCAACTGCAGCAAAGTCTAATTACTGATGACGAGTGTGGCTAAATTAAAGAAGCTTTGACCAAGCTCCACCAGCCAGAGAGATCACGTTTAGTATACTTACAGATGATGTACCTTGCTTAGCTACTAGCTTGTCAATCCCCACAATTCTTAATATTCACAGTTAATTGGAAATTAAAGTATGATGAGTATAAACTTCAAATTCATGAGTTGTCTTTCATTTTGAAGACACCGAGAAGAAAGAAAAGATGGTAGGATAAATTGCCACACCAGACCATCACTTCTCATATTTCTGTCATTTTGCTTTCTAATGAGTGTCAATTTTGCCTGCAAACATCGCACTATTATAGATGGACGCTTTATATATGGGAATAGGGCTTTCCTATCCTTCGATCTCGTCCAATTAACAACCATTACTTCTTCCTTCCCATCAACATGATTAGTTTTGACTAATGAAGTGAACTCATATGATTTGCCCATTAATCTGTTCCTTTCCCTTCTTCGATTTGCAATTAACCCATTCTTGTTCCCTCCCATGTTATCTCTAGGGGGGGTTTGGGGCCAGGTCTTGTTATTATACAATTAGTACTCAACTAAAACTTTTGTGACTGATAAAAGTATGCATAATTTTACTTGAATAATTTAGTCATGGAGTCAAAATGGATTATGAAATCTTATCCACTAATGAGACTAACTATTCAAAGTATAACTAAAACAGTAGAGTAACAAGATTATAAATAATAGCATTTCAAATTGATTTATATACATATTTTAATCACTATATATAGGGTTAATATCTTAGTTTGGCCTGAACTATACACATACTTTCTACTTTGGCCCGTGGTATTGGAAATTGCTATTCTGGTCTGAACTATGTAGCAAACTTCTTCATTTGGTCTGGAGGCGGGTTTGACCGTTAAATTAGACGGTCAAACTTGTTGACCGTTAGACAATGTCCACCTCACCTGCCACGTCAGCTTTGAGGACATAAAAAATATTTTTTTTTATGAACCACCTATGATGGGTACGTGTTCTTGGTCTTAGGGAAGATCCTAGGAGGAAGTGGAGGGCACGTGCATGGCATTACGAAAAAATGGTGGTTATCGATTCAGAGATTCATAGGGATTGGAAAACAGGGAAGCTCTTTACCTTTCTTTTTACCCGCGGTAAAAATTCAACTCCCTTCACATTCAGTCAGAGCACAAACGGGTTACTTACCAGCCTTGAGTTGTGATGAACAGGTTGGCTTGTTTGTGTTGTGTGGCACTGGCAATTTATGTATTGAGAGCATTTGGAATTGTTGGTGCAAACAATTCTCCCATCCCATAGCCACAAAGAGAGGCCTACGAGAATGTGAGGCAGCTAACCTTCCTTCACCCTCACGCCACACAAATTTTATCCAGCTGTTTTTAAAATATTGAAATATGAGTTTGTATAACTGCCAGAGAATTTCCAAACCCTATTTGATTTTGAATAAAAGTAGTTGAAATAGAATCACTTCATAGATTTCTCATTTCTTTTTAAACATTGTATATATTCGAAGCTCTTATCTAGCTAAATTCTCACCACAAAGGGTATTCTCTTCAAATAGATCTCATTAAGATGAGATGTGGGATGATAACAACCACTATACAATAGATAAAAAACTTGGAGCCAACAATTAATTATCATTATATAAAATTAAAATAAGAACATAAGTTATAATTTTCAAGCTCTCAAAATTATAAACTCGAAATGCTCTCTATCAATATCGAATCTACATACTTGACCTACTCATAGTATTTAGGGGTGGCTATACGGTCCGGTCCGGTTAAATTGGACCAAATTGATCCGGTCCCAGTCCGGTTTTTTCGGAAATATAATGACCAAAGATTGGATTAGACCAAATTGATTCAGTCCGGTCCCAATTTGATCTTGATTTCAGGTGTTGGGGGTCTCTTATCCGGTTTTTTACCTCAAATTGAAGCCCGAATATGAGATTGGATTGTTTGCTATCTGATCTCAATCCAATCCCGATCTGATTTCGGGTAAAACCAAACAGTTCGGACCAAATAGCCAGCCCTGATAGTATTCCCAAAGTTGTATCAAACACAATTTTCTAATAGCGGAAACTTGAAGTACTCCCTCGTTCACTTTTAGTCACTCCCTCCAAATTCTTTTTGTTTTCACCCATTCAAAATGCCATCCAATCATCAATCCCAACAAAGCTACACACCGAGAGGAGAGAAGAGCAACCCCCAATCCACCACCTTTATTCACATGGGGCTTGGGCTTTATAATTGGGTTTTCTTTTTGCTTGCCATATAACAAACAGCAAAACACTCAACATTTTGCTCTGTTACGCCAATTCAGTTAGCATCCTTATAGATCGAGTTGATACAAGGATATACTTACGTACGTTAATAGATTGCGTATTCTACAAATTACAGTTCTCGAATGTACACATCTCAATCATATAAGTAATGGACATATAAGCATTTGGAGATGATGAGATGTGGAACATGAAATTCAACAATAAAATATATTTCTAGACCAAGTGAATTTATCAGTTTTGAATTCACGGTTTATGACCGTGTTTTGGATAATGATACAAATCCTAAGATGGTAAATTGAAGTTAAAGTATTATAGAATCCGGTTTGTATAAAATCACAATTTTTTTAAAATTGATACATTCAACTGGAAGTGAGACCCTACGAGTCATTACAAGAGAAATAATTTAAGCTTCAATGTCAATCAAATTCCCTCCTGCCTTTAGAACAATCTATTGATATGATATGATATGCCCCAATGTAAAAGCAAACTCTCTCTCTAAAACATAGCAGCCAGCCACATTCTTCTGACCAGCCGAGGGATCCAATAAAAGCAGATAGACAAAAGGGAAAAGGAGCTTCCCCTGCTGCCTTTACTTTTCCTCTGCAGCAAAAAAGAAGGAAGAAGAAGCAGGTCTGTTTGTTCTTCTGGAAACCTTGGGGATGTTTCTTTCCCCTTTCTCCTCCTTCTCTTTCTTTCTTCCTCCCCTTTCGTTTTGATGAACAGTGAAGAAACTCTGCTCCGTTGGAGGAAGGAGGAAAACAGAGCAAGTTCAGTTGGGTAGAAACAGGGGAGGGAAGGGAACAGAGTGTAAATAGAGGGAGATGGGAGGGGTTACTTCATCGATGGCGGCGAAATTGGCCTTCTTTCCGCCGAACCCACCATCGTACAAGCTGGTGGCAGACGAAATGACGGGCCTGCTGCTGCTGAGCACTTTCCCGCATCGGGAAAACGTGGAAATCCTGAAGCTGCCGACGAGAAAGGGGACGGAGGTAGTTGCGATGTACATAAGACACCCCATGTCTACTTCCACTCTGCTTTACTCCCATGGCAACGCCGCCGATCTGGGCCAGATGTATGAGCTCTTCGTCGAGTTGAGCATCCACTTGCGGGTCAATCTCATGGGGTAAGTAAGACTTAAATCCTTTCACCAGAATAACATACTCTGTCTTTTTTCTGCTTTTCCTTTCTTACATGGTCAATTTTGTGCCAAATAAGCCATAGGCGAGAGGGTCAACTGACAACTGGTACAACTTGATAGTTGAAAGGTCTTATGTTTGAATTCTGACCGTTACAATGTTAAATATTGATTCAACAAGTTGACAATGAGTGTGGGCACACTTAAAAGCCCGTGGATTGATTTTCATAAGCTTCAAAAGCCTTCCCTCAATGATTCAAGTTATTGATACAAAACTCAGAGTGTTATCTGAATACTGTTAAATGCAATGAAGATTACTCTTTATCGGAAAAAGTTCAAGGCTTTGTGTTGTTTATCCAGCTCAATCCTGAACTTGAACTTGATGCAGGTATGACTACTCTGGATATGGACAATCATCTGGAAAGGTAATGTTGATTCATTACCTCATTTACTATGTGTGGTGTACATGTATTGGTATGATGCCAATGTTAGACTCTTTATGAACTTTTAACTATCTGAAATGTTGTTATGAACATTCAGAGTATGAATTCAAATAACCACTTACAGTGATAGTTAACCTAAACATGAAAGTACTATAATGCTACAAATTTTGAATTTTAAAAGGGCATACAAGAGAATTGTAAAGTAAGAACATGAGATACAGTTTAGAACTTCTATCAACAACTATGGTAGTTATTGCAACGAAATCAATTCTTGACATGATATAAGGAGTCCTGAATCATCAAAAGATCGTGGCTTTCCAAGACTTGACTTATTAGGATATTACATTGTATTGGGGGTGTGAAAGACAAAAGGACATTCATTCATTTGTTTGGATGTTGCAGCCTAGTGAACAACACACATATGCAGACATTGAAGCAGTCTACAAGTGTCTGGAAGAAGGCTATGGTGCAAAGCAAGAAGACATCATCCTTTATGGGCAGTCTGTTGGCAGCGGGCCTACACTAGATCTAGCTGCCCGACTGCCTCATCTAAGGGCAGTTGTCCTTCACAGTCCCATACTTTCAGGGCTGAGGGTCATGTACCCAGTTAAGAAATCTTACTGGTTTGACATTTACAAGGTACTACTGCAAGTTTATAACCATCCATAATCTATCTATCACTATCCTTACCTTTTTAATGCAGGCAAGGGGTCTTAAAATGATTTGGTTTTGTTCCTTGTGGCAGAATATCGACAAGATTCAATTGGTTGATTGTCCTGTTCTTGTGATCCATGTAAGTATGTTTGTAGTTTGCTGTATTTCTATATATGACAGAGCGTAGCAGAACCACAGAACTATGCTAGACCATTGTTCCCTTAAAAGAAGGGATAACATAATTACCTCCACAATTTGTGCAGCTCCTTGTTTACTCATTGGATCCATTTTCCATGTTTCCTTGTTCGATTCGATTTTGTTTGAATGTGTTGGTTTGATGTATTTGATTATGGCTATAGATTATAAAGTTGAATTGGGCCAAAACGGCAGAATTCATGTTTCTAGAATCTGCTTATCAAATACCTTCTACCTATCATTATCCATCTTCTATTATTCTTTTTTTTTTTTTCGTTCTTTCCTCTGAGTATCATATTAATATATGATCCAAAGTCTTCCAGAAATACATGACAGTATACTGTACCCTATATTTCTTTATAACAAGCTATGCCAAAAACCCTCGAATGCATACAAAATGACTGCTGTCATGTTGGTCACTTGCTGGTAGACCAGTTTTCAAAATATAGAAAGCAGCCAAAACTAAATTATGTCAGCTGTTAAAGACAAAATATAGTATACAAGCTCACTCCTGAAAACCCCCAAGTTGACCACCTACTTCAAGTACTAGCTGAAGTGGCATGCTTCTGTCCTGGTCTACATTTTGATCTTCAGTGTTTGATTAATGGTATGTAGGGAACTGCAGACGAAGTAGTAGATTGCTCCCATGGCAAGCAACTTTGGGAACTAAGCAAAGAGAAGTATGAACCACTGTGGCTCAAAGGAGGTAACCACTGTGACTTGGAGCACCATCCAGAGTACATCAGGCACCTCAAGAAGTTTGTGTCGACCGTGGAGAAACCGCCTTCTCAAAGGTACACCGGTTCGAGGAGAAGGAGCACGGACCAGCAGCTGCTTCCTCCTCGAAAGAGCACTGATATTGTGTTTGAAGCTTCGAGGAAGAGTACTGACAGAAGGGAGAAGCCTAGACACAGCACTGACAAGGCACTGCCCCCTACTGATGTCAACAAGCTGCTGCTGAAGAGCAACAGCAACAACCTCAGCGAGAAGCTGGAGAAGCTAAAGAACCAATCAAACTATGCGGAGAAGCTGAGGGTTTCATTTGATCAGGTAGAGAGGTCGAGGAGGAGCGTCGACTGCTGCCTTGAGAAGTCGAGGAAGAGCGTCGACCACCAGTTGGAGAGAGGGAGGAAGAGTGTGGACAGAATACGGACTGGTTGACTTTTGTAGAGCTTGTGGTCAATTTGGTTATTGTTATTTGTGGGGGTTATTGTGCTTTCGAGTGTGGTTTTTTTGTGCTTCCTTCTATGGTTGTGTAGCTGGGATGTCTTTGTCTCTATGTACAATATAAGAGCATGAAATGAGAAAGGTGGGGAAGTTTAGTATTGGCACATTGCACATGTTTTGACTCGATCTCAATCAGTCTTTATCTTTATTGCCAAGTAATAAACGTTAAACAAGGATAATCTTGAAATCCAACCATGAATGTCATCTATGTTTTCTGTGGATTCAGAGCAAAAAGAAGCTTCATTCTTATTGTGTAAATGAAGTATGGTACAATAATTACTATTTTCTGCAGGGCTATTATGCTATTACATCATTAATCACTAAAACAAAATGCTGTTGCATCATTGTTTCACTAAACAAACGCATAAACTTCTGCCTTTCTGGTGCAGAACATGTAAGAAAAGAACACAGAAATCTGTTGCGGTAAGTTGTTTCAAACTCAAGCATTGGTACTTCCTGATATGTAGCTTTCAGTGATAATATTTGCATTAGATGGGCAGTAGATTCTTGCAACATACCTTGAACGTCTTTGCAAGCATAATAGCAGCATCACTCACGAAGAGAAGTATTGAGCAGCGCCTTCTACCGCAGAGAAGTTTGGCTTGTGCTCGCCATACTCAACAATAGCAGAAGGTGGGAGGCGTCCACTGCTGATCTCGTGCACTGCTGCAAAGAGTGGGAACAGCTCCAGCCACCCGCGGTTGGATAGAACTTCATATACCTCTCTTGCCGTTGAAACTCCCTTTTCGTATTAACATAAAGATTAGCCAGCAGCACAGATAGAGAAGGTAAAATGCAAAATCAGCAGGCTTCTGACAGATGCTTTTACCTGCAACTTCTGACCCTGCAACATTTCTGCCTCTAGCTCATCGAAGGACCTGCATAAAAAAGGTTCAACATTGATTTCTGCGCTTCTCCTATCTTTGAATGGAAGTCTAGTCCAGAAATGGTGTTAAAGGTCCAACCTTTTCCCTCCACTCTTTGCAAATGCTTCTGCAACTCTTCTGTTTCTTCCTCCCACTGCACATTTCATGTGGACTGATTCAGCATACATCATCCATGCTTTTAAGTTTTAATATAAACCAAAGACTGATAAGGATGCTTACAGCATGTTGTGATGAGATCTGCCACCCCACAGCTCTCGAAGAAGGTGTTGTCCTTAACAGTTGGAAACAGTATCTTGGAGAAGGCTCTCATCTCCCTTAGTCCAATTCTCATTATTGCTGCCTATTATTTTCTCCAAACAAACAGGTGAGGTGAGGTTTGAATGGAAAAACAGATACCTTATTGCAAATGTTCCACATTTACCTTGGTGTTATTTCCCATTTCCAGACCATCCACGAAACCTGCTGCCAGTGCTACCACATTCTTCAAGGTCCCACATAGCTCAACTCCCTCCACATCTTGGACCTTTTTGCTCATTCATCAAAACATGGAAAAATTAAACATGATCTCTGAGTATACCCTTCAGTTGGCCACAAAACAATATGGTGACTGTTGGGATGTATTTTACTCACAGCTGTGACCATGAAATAAGGGGTGTTAAACAACTGCACCCACTTCTCTGCAATCTCTCTGTTTTCTCTGTATCCAACTGTCGCCTCACTGAACTTCTCAACAGCAATCTGCATCAAGAAAGCCACATCATTTCCCCACATTTGATATCGAATCACTGAACACGGATTTGACAAAAGACGATTAGAAAACCGTCTTACACACCTCGTTTGCAATATTTGCTCCCATTAACACGCAACAGTTCACACCGAGCTGCTCAGAGATTAGACTGGAGATCATGCATGGGCCTTCCATTTTAACCTCCATTCCTTTGATGAGTGAAATAGCCTGAGAACCTTCCTTCACTTTCCCTACAAGTCTCTTGCATATTCCCTCCATGAATTGGTGAGGGGTCACAAAGACCAACATGTTTGCGTCCCTCACTGTGTAAATTCATTCATCAAACCAACGAAAGATTTCGATCTAACATAGGAAAAATGGGCGAAGTAAGAACGATAATAACCTGCATTCTCGAGGTCGGGGTCTGCAACGACATTCTTGCCAAGCTTTATGCCAGGGAGATACTTAACATTTTCCTAATCCCAAGGAAACAAGAGAGATAGTGATCAGTACAAAGAAAGGAATTAAATTGAGGCAGGATGATGGTGGCTTGGAGCTTACATTAGTTCGGTTAATAACTTCTGTCAGCTTCTCACCGCTAGGCAATTTCTCCTCGAATACCCACATCCTTACTTCATCTGGATTCCAGCAGTTAATGGTCAAATTACATGAAAATTGATCCTCAAATGGAAAAATCTCCACTTAGCAAACGAATTTATGGATGAAGGGCTTATAAAACTAATCCAAATACAGAACAATCACTTAACAGTGGAAGAATCATGAATTTAAGTGTGCTTATATCTCTCGTCATTCAGGACATTCTTCCAGTACCTAGAATCCAACCCTTACATAACCAAAAACAGCCCACAGTTCAGCTCCAGTCATCCTATTTGCTACGCCATGGACAATGCATGCAAGAAAAAGCTTCACTAGTTATCCTAATTCTCGTTCTATTTGATACTAACCAACCAAAGCAAGCTACTTTACTGAAAGGAAACAAATTCCACCCAATGCCGCAATCAAATACCAAAAAAGAATCACAACCCACAAAACCTTAGCGAAGTTATACCGTGGAAAGAAGCGAGCTTGATTGTGTTGGAAGCGATGAGCTTGGAAGCCACACTCCCCCAGTTACCACTTCCGATAATGGTGACCCTTGATTTCTGGGCAACAGAGGAAACGGCGCCGCCGACACCGGAGGAAGAGAGCAATGCGGCATTGTGGGAAGCGTCTTCCGGGGCAGAGGGCGCCATTGTCGTTGAGAAGAAAGAAGCGACTGCAGAGACGATTGCCGCCGGTCGTTTCGGAACTGGGAACAGAGTAGAGGAAAAAGGAGCAGGAGCAGAATAGAGGAGAAGGGAAATGAGATGATGGTGGCGGTGATTTAATCGCATAGAAGAAGGTGAATTGAATGAGAGGCAAAGGTAGGCGGGCGGAGAAGGCGGGGACAGGTTTCGTGGGGAACGATGATGGTTCGTTGGATTTTTGGGTGTAATTGATCGCGTTTTACATGTACAGCAACAGCAATGTTCCAATCGACAACGGGCGATTTGCTCTATGCTAGGAGGATATTTGTTGCTCTCTGTTTTTGTCCCGCTCTCTAGCCTAGCTTTCTTGTTGTGTTGCACTCACTCCACCGTGATTCGACCGACCGTATAGCTCTTATTCCTTACTATAGCACCACTCCATTTTTGCACCAACAGTCCAACACCATGTCATGGCCATCGTGCATGGCTTTCCATAATATTTGCCAGCTAATCATGAGATAGGAGGTGTTCCTAACTGACAGACTTGTGAATGTTATGATCTTTAAAAAGACCGATGAAGGATTCATCATCAAAATCCTATTTTTCCTACTTTTAAATTTGTTTACAAAATACAAAGGCTACCTGAAATGTTATTTCACTAGATTATTTCTCAAATTATTAGAATATAAATAGCGCCTAATTGCTTAAGGGGTCCAGTGGAAAGTGGACGGGTCTACAATAAGTATCCTGCAGACCATATGGATCGTCGTCCATCACACTCTAAGATTCCATCTCAGCCGTTAATTCAAGACTCTCACCTCCTCTCACCTTCTCCCCGCGTCTATGCGTCTCTTCACCCTCTCGCCGTCTTTCCCGGTCGGCAAATAGGCTGGTGGCTAGCCAAGCAAAGTCAACGATTAGGCTCCACCTCGGGTTGGCGATATGCAGCATCGCTGCTGTTGTCGTTTCCCAAACCTGTAGTCACAAAATTCAGATCGTCGAGGATAATTTATGCAAGCCAGTAGTCGCCAATTCCTTGCACCGTCCCCGCCGATTTCGCTTCTCAAAATCCAGAACCGTCGAGGATAAGTAACGAACTCTAGGCACCCTGTTTTATTTTCAATCTAATTGGGTAATCGTAAAAACATGGCAAGCAATTAGAAAAAGAGGATGATTGGAAGAAGCCACCACAATTGGCAGAAGAGTTCGACATGAAGATGAACAAGGACAATCAATCAAATTGCATGCAATTGATCGACGCTCTTTTAGTTCATGTCGAATTCTCGATGCTAGCCAGATTCAAAAAGCCAACCAGGTAGCAGTTGAGAGAGTGAGGGTGGTCGGAGATGAAGATGATATTTAATTTTTTGGCAGCAGGCAATTATTTGGAATTCGATCGCAATAAAAGAGATAGAGGGGAGACTGCAAAGTTTTCTTATGGTAGGGGAAGCAACAAGTGATTAAAAGAGAACTACATGCCGATGAAGGAATAGTAGGCAATTTTAGATTAGAGTATAAAAAAAGCAGCACAATGAGAACGATGGTAAGAAAGACAAGGGAAATGAAGGAAGCTAACAGAGCTCCATTAAGTGACATTTGTTGCCACAAGTTATTCATCTCTTACCACGTGTAGAGTGAAGTGAGTGGTCTTGATGAATAATGGAAGGGAAGGGAACTTAAGCCATTAGAGAGAAAAAATCGAGGATTAAGAAAAAAACAATATTGTTGTGTTTACTCTTACACAAATATTGGTAAAATGGTAGATGTCATCCAAATATTAAGTGGAAAACACAGTTGCGAATCTATTTTATGGAGTGATTCTAATACTTCTTATCTTTAAGTATTTGATATTTTATATAATTGCACTCAAATGTATCAACAAAACTCAATACATATTGTACATGTTTAAATTATTTATACCACAAGATAAAAGTTCATTTACAAAACCAAATAGCACAACAAATCCAAAAAATCTATAAAGAAAAACACATATATTGTTGAACATATAGTTGAGTAATTATCATGGTGATCTTTTATAGATTGAAGTCTGATTTACTTGATTGCAACTCGGCTAGACATTGCATATTGTTGTTTAGGTTGTTAACCCGTTCATGATTACTACCCCTAGACCACATTTGATTATTGTTCATTGCTTCATACGCTACGTAATGTACCGTATTTGGACTTTCTTCCTAGATTATAGTGAACTGATTATTATCATGGGCTGATGTATTCAGTTTGGTTATTATTTGTGTACAAACACTACTATAATCACGAGAGTTTCCCGTCCTCGATAAAGGCAGAGTATCGGTTCATGTTTAGCGTGAATTTATAGATGCTATAGTGGTACCACCATTTGCAATATATCAATACCATAATCAAATTGAAAAACTATTTAGTCCAATTTGGTCAAGTCAATTAAGATTTGGTATGCTCTTTCTTTCGTTTTAGAGAGAATCATATTTGGTTTGTTCGAGTTCGAAAAGAAGTTTGATTCAATCAATCTAATTTGGTGTGAATTACACAATTCATCATTATTACCGCTACGAAGTGGGGACCAATTATCTAGTACCTATATAATGGAATGAAGTAATCTGCAAGAACTATTATTTTAACTTGTATATCGCCGTAAACTAATATAACTTACATTATGATTATTAAAATTCGTCTTTCTATTTGCTTCTTAGTTCTTCATAAGATATCTGGTGAAAGTTTGAGCATAAATCTCGATTAATGCTTACTCTATGTAAAAGTAAGAAAAAATGATCTATTAAACATAGAATTAGAGTATGATATCTCTTTCAGATTATTTATGATAGTTCTAGACTTAAATGATCGATTTCAAACTTAAGAAATTTAAAACTTAATTAGAAGTAGGAAACCATTTGAAGTAGGAAGGCAGTTGAACAAGCTGAAATTGGGACGCTGACATAACTTATGTTGGAACATGGAACACTAGGGATTTAGCTTTTCCGGCCACCAAAAGTAGACTACAATTAGTGATGATGAAAAAGATCCAGGAACCTGAAATGTTTTCTCAGAATTTCAGAATTTCTATGGTAACTTTGTGATTTGACAGATTGCAGGATTCCAGGCAAGGGGATCGGCAGGCTAGAGCAGAATGGAAGATTCACAGAATCCAAACAATCCCTTGTTCAGACAAGACCAGAACAGCATTCTGCACCAGAAAGTTTGCTACTTTGAAAGAGAATATAAAATAACACCATACATTTACAATCACTAGTCATGGAAGGAGGCATCATCGAGTCATCAACCATTGTTTAAGGTTCCTCGAAGCCATTGTTAACATGCCTTCGCTTGTGAGGCGAAGAGTAATCCTCGGATGACCACCATGGAGCTGCCACATCAGCTCTGTCACCAGCAGCTCCTTTCAGCTGATGCTGCTGCTCACCTGGAAATTACAGAAACTGCTCTCAGTTTACAGAAAGTTTGCAGTCTTGCTGCAGCCCTTTATCTACATTTAAAGATACCAAGTGGATTAACACTACAGAAGAATTTGGATCAAAACATAGGTGAATCTTAGAATAGCCAGGCATGTTCGATTTAGGAGTGGAAAAAGGGAAGATTGTTAGTTGTGTGTGCATATGGGAACATGCTTGGGATTTCTTTTTGTTCTTTCTAAGCTTCCAAAGTTGCTTAGTTTCTATAAAAAAAAGGGTAAAGTGCTGCTTGGCCGATGGCCATCACGTGGTTCATTTGCCCTCCAATCCCTACTTTGTACTGTAGAGAACAGTGCAGTTCTAGGACCAGAGATCAGATTGAAGCCGACCCTACTTTGACATCTATTAACAAAACCAGACGAAAATCTTCTAGGTGCAAGCAAAGGAAAGTAGTACAGTACACAAGAAACATCTGCAGGAGCTCCGAGGCTGTCATTCTCATTCATGAAAATGAATGCAACGGCCACTTGTTTGTACCAACATAAAACTGCGAGAGCCCACCAAAATATTGCAAAAGTTTACAACACATGATCAAACTTATCTGAATCAAAATAATTGCCCGGTTGCCATTCCAGTAAGGAACATGTCGAAACCAAGACAAGCTCGGGGTTGCTTTCCCTTTGAAGGTCAAAGTAGGGAAAGATCATCCAGTTGAACTACATGGTAAACGAGACACAATATAAGCTATGTTTCCGGTTTGAACCTATGGCCCTTCCAACGGAACAGTGTGTTCTCTGTTGTCAATCAAGCAAGAAGGTATAATTGAGCATCCATATGTTTTGACCATAGGCTGGTGGCCATGAATGTATGTGTTCTCAAGGTGCTCTATCGAAAGGTTGTGTATCATTATAGCAGACATCCCAGACGGCTTCCATGGCATCCTTTGCAGCAGCCTCTGAGCAGTATGGGTTGCCCTTCATAGATTTCATGACCCTTCTTCGTACGCATTCCTTCAGAGTTCAAATGGAAAAGTTATGTTAGATTCTGTGGTTCCACATGAAGTATCAGATCAGAATTCAGAGATGAAGAACTATGGCACAAACCAGTGGCCTATAACATTTATTTTTATCTTTCTGCTAATAAAGGCCAACATATTAGACAATCAGCGGGATTGGGACATGGATCGTGTTCTGGCATGTATCAAAATTCAATACTATATAGCCCAAGTATCAGAAATTCAGAACACAAAACTATGAATGCTATCAGTCAGATGTCAATATATATAAGAATTTGGTGAAACTCACTTGTTCATGACCTCTAATTTTCATGAAGCCACGGAGCAACTCCCGCTTGTAGTTACAGTCCCCGCTTAAATGGCCAGCCCGAATCTAATATCAGAAGACAAACCAACAAAGAATCATCAACATTAAGTGTCAACTCGAGAAGGTTCAATTATAGCTAAGCAGCAAGCATTAAATTGACTAGAGACCTCACTACAAGCATGGTGAGCACAATTAGTCCAGTCCAAGTTTGCAGAACGGCATTCGTCAAAAGCATGGATAAGTTCATGGATGACCACTTGATTGACCTCATCTTGAATGTTCATTTGATTGCTGCACACCTGTATCTGGAAACCCCAAGCAGACCGGAATTAAACAACTTGTGCCACCACCCAAATTCAACAGAAACGATACTTGAACCTTGCATTGTGAAAGACTGAAAAATTGAACAAAGGATATACAGAAAAGAGAGAAGAGCTAATAAAATGCTACCCCTTTACCGGGAGTGAAGCCCCCGCTATAACTGCCATCACAGTGAACGGCCTTGATGAATTTGTCACCAATTCCACACCCAGCTTTCTCCAAATTCTCCCTCAAAAATTTCACCATTGGAACTGAAATGAAGTCGAAGAGGGGAAAAAACAGTTAATTGTCAAGACACGAACTTTCCGTTTGTTCAGAGTAAACTGAAGGTGCACAATTCATTATTTTCCAAGAATTCAAAGGCAACTGAAATTAGAGTGAGTAAAAGAAGTCTAGAACCCTAAGAGCTCAATTGAAATGTAAGAGAGAAAGAGAGGAATAGTTACTCCGGAGGCTCTTCCGAATCATGTCTTCGCATTCTTGGACGGTTCGGCCGGCGGAGCCAGGAATCGAGGTGGGTTCATCGGCCATTGCTGCGTTCGATCGGTCAGCGACGGAGCAACCCAATTAAGCTTCACGGCTGAAGCAGCGGTTTTACGGCGGCTTGGAGAGGTTTTTTGGATTTTGACGAGAAGTAAAATCAGAGGGGGGGAGAGAGAGATGATGACAGCCACGTCGGAGTCAGAATTCATGGGTTAATTACATAAACCATCACGGGAAAGTTCATTGACAAACTGATCATCAAACTATGAATTTATATCAAATGAATCATTGAAGTTAAGGATGATGATAAGCTTTTTGTCGACTCCACTTTCAAATTGAAAAGGATCCAAGGGTATGATGAAGATATTAGTCAATTGTTAAAGAAGAGGGAACACAAGATGTTCAAATAACATATTTTGTCCAAAACCTTTTCCGAAATGATTTTATAATCTAATTTGATGTGTTTGATCGGCCTCTCATAACGTATTGGGTTATCAACATTAATATCATCGTCACAACGAAGTAAAGCTACATGTGGATGACCATAGTGCCATAAGTCATGATGAAGTGTAATTTTGGGTTCGTAGTTACGAGTTTCGAGTTATTCTAATCGTGAATTATCTCAATATTGCACACATTTACCATCTTTTGTCATGAATCAATTACATAGTTATATTGATTTGAGAGTATATATCATCTCATTTATAGACCGCATAATTAACCAAATTCATATATGTCCTTAAGAAACCGTTTGCTTACCTAATTAATTGAAAAGCTAAATATATGCATAATATTGTACATGTCTATATATGCGGTTTTCCAAAAATATATGCGGTTTTTTCTCTTCATTGGAGGGTTAAAAGCTAATCAACAACAAGACATGTAAATACACATTCCTTAACCACACAAATATGAAAAACTCTAAAATTTAGCACAAACTCGGTCAAAACCTAAAAACAACCCCAAAGGTGTAGTAATTTCCCAAAAATAGCTTCTTCCAATCTCAACCAACCATTTCTCTTTCCCTTCCATGCAAGCCATGCAAAAAAAAAAAAAAAATCCCCCATAAATTGCTCCCTCACCTCCACAATTTGAAAATGATTCTATAGCTTCTGCAGTGTCTTCTCTACTTGATCTAGAGAACCAACGACACTGCACCTCCTATAGAATCTCACCTCCTAATTATTAGACCTTATATACCCCTAAAACAAAAACAAAAAAGGAAAGAAAAAAAATGGCGCGACAACTTCTCGTCATTGCCCTCATCCTCGTCGCCGTCGTCGGCGCCCTCGCCGCGGACTCCCCCAAGAGCTCCCCGTCGCCGAAGAGCTCCAAGGCCCCCTCCGCCTCCCCGCCCAAGTCCGGCGACAAGGACGACTCCTCCTCCTCCTCCTCGCCGGCCAAGTCTCCCAAGGCCTCCTCCCCAAAGGCTTCCTCCTCTCCGGCCAAGTCTCCCAAGTCCTCCGCCGGAGAATCTCCCGCCGAGTCCCCCAACGGCGACGACTCATCCTCCGACGACTCCGCCTCTTCCCCGTCCGGCGATGAATCCTCCGACGCTCCGTCCTCCGACTCCTCCGCCGGTTCTCCGGAAGCCGACGTGTCTTCCCCACCTGCCCCCACCACCGAGGCCCCCGCTGCTGACGTGGCTGCGGCCGACGCACCCGCCCCTGCTAGCGGTGTCGATGGCTTGAAGTTCTCGTACGTCGCTGGCTTCGCCTCCGTCGTCGTCGCTGGGCTCTTCTTCTAAATTTGAGTTCGCGATGCGGTTTTATTTGTTTGTTCTTTTTTAATTTGGGTTGAAGACTACGGATGAGAGAGCTGTTAAATATGGAATTAATTCATCTGTATGTACTCAACTTATGTTTAATATATGTTTTTTTCCTTAATTAATGAAATTAATATATTATTGGATACAAGAGGCGTGGCCAGGCTTCTGGTATCCCTAGCTAATATACATTTGGTTTGCTTTAATTATTTACCTACTTTTTCTGCTGGGATATTAGGTATTGTGTTGTTCTCAATTTCATAGTCGTTTTTATTGCACAGCATATATATATTTATATTGAGAGTAAATTGAACGTCAACTAGCTAGTTTAGTTGGACAAGTGTAAATTTGTTCATTCGTGGGTGTTTGCTCATTATGGTGGCAGTGATTTTGCCTATACGGGTCAAATAATACTCAATTATATTTAGGCCAAATCGTAAAATATTGAGTATAATTCCATTTTGTTTCCAAATTAAAATTATTTTATGTCGTTTCGATTCCATGGTTTATCTTGAAAAACATAGAAAGAACAATGAAAAATATGAAAGTCATACCAATTCATATCTGCTGTCGAACTCTCTCACAATTGGGTTATCCATTTGTTCATCATGAACCAGCTGCATGCAACTCTATTGATCAACAAATTTTGCCCTATCCACCCAATCTCGAAAGTATTAATCTATTTTATCAAATTATTATAGAAAAAATTAAAAATTTGATCCCCAACTCGAACAATAAGTTAAAATCTCAACTTACTCTTCACGTACATGTGAAGAATATAAAATATTGGGCAGCCTTAATAAATTTTGTGCATAGAGTTATATATCTCATCCACATATTAATCTACGAATCAATGACATTTACGAATTTGAAGAACTTTCCATGTGATTTCGTTATCCCAAGACAACTATTTTGACTCGTCAAGTGACAGTATTTATATAATTCTTCTTAGAGTCAAAATGCTAGTTTGGAATTTTTAGATTGATGTTACCATGCTCAAATTTTCGGAATCAACCCATTGTACATTTACACAAATAGTTTAAAGTATGAATGAGCGACTTAGGACTTGGTCTAGTGGTATTATCATTAGTATTGAATTTTGAAGTTCTATATTTGAATTTCTCAAGTAATACTTTAATAATGATAACAAACATATATCTCCATTATGACGTGCCAAATATATGAACAATTCTATATTAAAATCAGATAATACATGAAAATTGAGGTGATATGTCCTTATCATAGGAGTTCGATCCAACAATAAAAGCAGTGGCGGAGAGAGAAGGTTAGATCCACCCTCAATCAAGAGGAAAAATGGTAAATTAGGTATAGTAGTTAGTGGGGTATGAAAAATAATACATACTTACATGAGAATGATTGATCTTTTAAATATTTGGTGTATGTTTTATAAGTTGTGTATTGGCATATTCAATGTTTTTATAACAAGCTATGTACAAACGACCATGGTGCATATGATTTGCCTAAAACTAAGATATACTTATTCAATATCTACAACAAATTTTCACTAAGTCATAGCTAATTTGTAAAAAAAAAAAATTTCAATCAGGGTTAGGGAGAGTATAATGGATGACTCTTAGTGACGAAAATAAGTAAATTAGTGAAATAATTGATTGATAATGAAATTTAGGGAACTTCTAATTGATAATGGTTGGCCGAGAGATCATGTGTTCGAATCTTGGCGACTCCATTTAATTTGTTAAGCATATGATATTCGAATTTGTGAAAACTTTAAGAACGTATAAGTTGATTTTCGTTAGTGGGGAAGTGTTGGTAAATACTAAATAGTATAAGATCCATTATTAAATCTTTCCCAACAACTCAACTTATTGATACTAAACGGTCTTGACAAAGAACACCATTCAAAAGCAAATGTATAACTAAATCATGAATAATTGTTTTATACATGTAGAGTAATATTCTTGATAGTTTTGACATATATTTATTTTATCAAGTTTTTGTAAATATAAAATTACATCATAAATAAATTAAAAAGCTAACAAAAACTATTTTATCGTATGTGTATTTTTTTCTAAACGGACCCGCCCTCGGCAAAATCCTGACTACGACACGGAATAAAAAGAACCAAAATGCACAAGGAAACATGTACTTGCAACAAAAATGAGTAGTTATCATGTAACTACACATACATATTGTTAGTAAGTCTAATTACCACTAATTTGGTAGATGATATTAGAATATGATTGTAGTATCATGTCAGTGTGCAACCGAACAGAAATTGGGATATTAGGATATTAGAATTTGTGACGCTAATGCAGAGTTTTAAAATCTCCCTATTCATCATTTGTTAAAATATCAAAAGTGTCTTTTCTTGGCTTGACTTTCTCACAGAACAGAATTTCTGGCAGCAAGCAAGCTAACAGCTAGAGACTAGAGAGGAATTATTTTGGTTTGAAGTAGGGGAAGTAGCAAAGATAATTAAGATACCCCTCTGCCGGCCGTCTTGTCACTGAGCCGATCGATCAAACTCCATGGTAGCTAGCTAGCTGTAACAGATGGAGTCATGCATTCTTCATGCAAACAGAAGCAGTTCCCCAAATTTCATCATCATCATGGAAAGATGGATGAGGTTGAGAAGCAGCTACAATATAACTCTCACGGTGCCACTCATCATCATCCTCCACATGATTACTCATACCACCCAACAATTGACGTTCATGTACATTTGCAACAAGGAGAAGTTCGACGACGGCGACCTCCGGCTGCCGTGCGCCTACAGTCTCTTAGAAATTCTGTCTCTTTATAGAATCGAGGGTGGGATGCCCGGAAAGCAGGAATGCGCCGGCCCGGACTCGGGTGTCTACGGTTACGTGTGGGTCGATGTGACAAGAAGAGACGCGGATATTACTGATTATGTCTCCCTAGCTGAGGCTGTTCTCAAGAACAATTGCCCTAACCGCAAAGGAGCCCAAGTAAACGAAACCACTGGGATTTGTCGAGTGAGGTATGAGCTCTATTCCTTCACCATCGCCGGAACTACTACTTGAAGGAGCTCGCCGGCCGGTCGGCCGGAAGAAGAATCATCCTAAGACTACCAAACACAATTCGCCAACTCTTTAGCCCCTACTTAAACAAATTTCATTTGATCGATCGGCACCTACACTTGGTTTGTGATCCAATATATATTTTACTTAGTTAGCTATGACCCTAGCTTCTTGTTTCCCGCTAAAAGGTTGCGGTAATGATCATGTTATAACCACCGTTATGCTATAATAAGTATCCAACTAGAAGTAGGCGACGAGTAATTGAGTTTATAATTGATTTGTCTGTGAAGATCGTGCATTGCATGGCAGGCTATAGCCAACTTTTTTCGTCCCGTGCGACCTGAAATTAAGCAGCCAACCACTTTATAATTATTAATTAGGAATTAGGATCACTGCATGAACAGAGACTCTTCCTGCTCCGTGATTGCCGCATCAATAATATATACTCCATCTGGCCGACCGCCTCGATTCAAACTCTTTCTTCCTCAAACGTATGATCGGGTTATGCGGTGTGAATGCATGAAAAGAGGAAGAAAAATAGGTTCTCTCATCGATCGATAAGGTTCATATATGATCTAAACCCTGAATTAGTGAATTCCCTTTGCCCATGTTCACACATACAATAAGTTCTTTATCTGGTTTGTAATGCTAATTAAGCAAAAGCAGGCATGGCGGGGCGAATGATGCCGAATTGGTACAAGGCATGCATGAGAGCGATTTGTTCATTTGGTTCGCTTTTCATAGCATATATATAACAGAGTTTAAGAAGATGTTCGTTTAGGTATCTAAGCATTTCATGACATGTTAGACTCTAGATTATGCATAAATTGGTCAGGAAAAAGGCAAAGCAAAGCCATCGACATAAAAAATGACCTTATTTATCCTCACTACGGGAAAAATGGCTTTTGGCAACACTTCAAATGTGTTGTAAAAAGTGCTCAAAGTGTTGCATATGTAATATGCAACACTTTTACTAGTGTCCTCTATAGGTGGTGTTGTATAAAGTAATAGGTAACATTTTTCTTACTTTTGGTAACAAAAAAATAAGTGTTGTATATATATACCGCTTATACAACACTATTTTAGACAACACTTAAAATAAATTACGCAACACATTTTTACGAGTATAACCGACACATGTATATACTTTATTAGTGACGAGTTTGATCGTCATATAAGATGTACCCAATGGTGACAATATACTTTTGTAACAAATATTATACATTTGTGATGACTTCATGTGGACATCGATGTATTTCAACGGCTACCACTTTAAATTGTCACAAATGTGCCATTTTCATACTGTATTTTGTCACAAAATAGGGTTTTGTGATGGTATTGTAGTCACAATATCATGTTTCTGTGACAAAGATATTGTTACTATTGCAACAACATTAATGATGAACTCTTTTTTTACACAAATATTATGCTTTTGAATATAGTATATTTATTACAATAAAGAGGATTTGAGTTATCACAAATAGTTACTATTATTTGTGACCACAATATTGTCATATATACCGCTCGGACCATTGACCAAGAACTACACTAAAAAAACATACACATCATATACTTCATATTTCCATTCCTCCCCTATTTACTTTGCAAAACCAATACAAGAAAACAAAAACAAAATACACAATGAATATGCCAAGATTAACCTTACGTAGATTAACTTTTCCTATAGTTGTGATTCATAATCAATCACAGATTTGATGAAGACCATGCCCTGCTTATGATATCTTCATCCATAAGAAATCATGCTTTTGAGTTGGAAGGGACACAATGTGGTGTGGGGTAGAATTAGCACCAGCTAACCTTCATCTTGTCTCTCATCTGATGCCATTTCTTGTGTCGGATTCAAGGTGAGCTTCATACAAACTCATTCGTGATCAATAGAGTCTAGCAAGGGTGACCTCCTGCTCGCAAGTATGTTGTCATTGACCCTGACTTCCAAAGCCATCAGCCATAAAAGAAGAGCAGATGCAATCCCTTGTATAAATCCCTGAAATTGATTGATTTATAACAATGTCTAATTAACACTTCTGATAAATACTATAAACTAATTTCATAAAATTAAGGACAAGTAATTGCCTATGGAAAACAAAGCATGTAGAACGTATGAGCCACTAATTATTAACCATACTCAATTAACCTCTTCCAAATAGATTAAAGTTTACATCTAAAGAGGTTTCTTCCATCTTTACCATATTCCAAGTAGCAACCTGGTGGAGAATAGATGTATGGAATTGAAAACTGGGAGTTTGGGACTGCCAATTATTAACAATGATGGATAGAAGGAAAACACTAATTAGAACCAACGAGACATGTCAAACATAATTAGATAAGTAGAACAAATAAAATTTTACCTCCTCGGATCTTGGGGCACCCAGTAAATCTTTTCAAGGTTCATCCAGAAAACAACTCCATTTTCATCCCTAAACTTCAATTACACGCTGTTATGATTTCTCATCTCTATATACACCTGGGTTCACCAAAAATACAGACCAAATACAATTAAAAGAGAGTACATAGAGAATAGCAAAAGAAGAAACATAAGAGGGTCTGACGATGATGACGAAAGACATGGAATCGAAATTGACTAACTTGTCGTCGTCTCTTCACATCGCCGCTCTCGTTATGCGATTGGCAAAGGGGGCGGAGGTTTAAGCGCTAACACAAAAATAAACCCTAAGCCTTTTCGTTCTCAATAGAAAATAACCCATACCCTACCTTTTAAGTTTTAATTGACGGAGAAAAAATTTCCGAAAACTCAAAACTTTTAACTTTTTTTATTTGTCCCGCCTCCGTGAATTAGTTTGAGCAAGCTATCTTTAATTATTATTTTTTTCGTTTGCATTATAAAATGTTGTAATGAGAGTTCTAGTTTGTTTGAAATTGATATACGAGATTGATATCAAAATATTAGTTAATAATAAGTATCAAATCGATACCGTATGTAACATTTTTTATTAAGTGTTGTCTAAAATATAAGAATATGTAACACAAATTATTTTATTGAACAAGTGTCACATATTATACAAATATATAACAAAAATTATTGTGCTCCTAATTTGTGTTGCATAAGATATATATTAGGTTACACAAAATGAAAGTGTTGTCTATATTTATTTTATGTGACACTTTTTGAAAGTGTTGCATGCTGAGTGTTGTGTAAAGCCACTTTTCCCGTAGTGCCTCTATAAAAAAAAGTGACATTATATATCTTCATCCTCCAAGAAATAAAAAAAATGTTTTTATTTATTTATTTTAGTAGGATCTACATTAAACTACATGGTAAAGGATAAATAATAAGTAGATAGTATGCAAGATTGACACCTTGATTAAACTCAAAATTACTAGCAAGCAGGTCAACACTTCTGCTCTTGGTTCGTTTTTAGTGTAGTAACCATAGGGCTAGCTAATTGGCACATTAGTTTTGGTATAGTCCAATATTCCCCATGCTATGCTACATCATTCTTCCCCAACCAAGACATTATATTACAGAGGTCGTACTTTGACATGATGGATACATTTTTTAATTTCAAAAACAAAAACTCTTTTCCTTTAAAATTCCCGGCCTTGATTGACGCCGCGATTGGTACATAGCTTAGCCCTCGTTCATCAATTCTGTAATATTATTATATATTATCGTCATCAAGTTCAAGGCCTTGATCATAATGATATGGATGCGACTTGACACCGTTGACTTCATGGTCGGTATAGTCAGCAATGGTTACCCTTCCTGCACGTGAGCGCACCGGCGGTGCTAGTCATGGCGGCGACGAAAGAAGCCGGCCGAGCGCTCAGGCTAGAAGCTCTGGCAAAAGTACCGGCCCCGGCTCCGGACTGGCGGAAGAAGGCCCCGTTCAGCAGCAAGTCGCCCTCGGATCTCCAGTTCCACCTCCTCCACTCGCCCTCCGGCGCGTCCTCGTGCTTCGTCACCTCCTTCTTCGAATGGTCGTCAGGGGCCAGGAACCTGTTCCCCTGGCTGTTGATGGTAGGCGACGCGCTCCCCCCAATCGCGTACATCTCCCAGTGCGTGTAGTCGTTGTTCGCCACGTGGAAGTAGCCGTTCCTGCACCTCGGCATCCTCTGCACCAGCCCTTCCCCGAAATGGTTGAACGCCACCGTCACCTATGTGTACGTAACAAAAAGTGGTCAAGTCTCCGATATCATGTCAAGAACCAGTTAATCCGCGCATTACGTACCTGCATGTTCCTGTCCTGAACGTACGAGTCCTTGTGCCCCAGCAGCATGACCTTATCGTGATGGGTGAAGTGGTTGTTCGAAATCGTGACGGCGGTCGAACCGTGGATGACGTCGATGAGCCCGTCCCTGCAGTTGGACATGGTGCAATGATCGATCCAGACGTGCTTGCTGGCGAAGACGGAGATCCCGTCGCCGTCCGACGGGGTCCACCACCCGGAGTGATGAGGGGAGTCGCGTATGTTGGCGTTGCCTCCTTGCTTGCAGTCGTGGATGTTGATCCCGTGGATTATAATGTTGGTGGCGTAGTGAATGGTGATGCACGGGCCGCCGGACACGTGGACGCTGGCCCCACGGCCGTCGATGGTCTTGAAGGAGTTCATCACCAGCTCCTGCTTCAGCGTGATCACCATGTCGCGCTGGAACGTGATCCACAGCGGCTCGTCCTGGATAACGGCGTAACGGAGGGTGCCGGGCTTTGGGTTCACGGCGTCGTTGTCGCTGGAGTCGGTGACCACGTAGATCCTGCCGTTTCGGCCACCGATGGCGTTCTTGCCGAACCCTATGGCGCAGTCGGCGAGGCGCTGGCGGTTTTTTGACCAGTTTGGGTCGCACCGCCAGCAGTCGTCGATGGGGTTCCCTGTCCCGCAAGATAAGTAGGACAGCTTCCTTCTTGACTCGTTCATTGCCCTATAACCAAAGAATGTGGTGAAGAGTTGAACTCGTTACCTTAAGTTACGTAAGTGCATTATGAAGTATGGAATGTACGTACGTACCTGTGGAAGTCTTGGACGACGAGGTCGGGGTCTTGGACGGAGGAGGAGACCAAATGTGGGTGGAGAAGAGAGATGAAGAGGAGGAGAAGAGGAAGAAGGAATGTGAAAGAAGCCATTTTTGGTTTCTCTTCTTCTTCCTTTTCCTTATATGTTGATCAAGTGCTTTGCTCTAGTTAAGCTAGCTAGCGAGTAGTAGTATTTGTGGTAAGTGGTGGATGAGTGGGGTTTATAAAGTGAGGTAAAAGCCGGGAGTGGTGGCGGTGATTAGTACAACCAAATTAAATGGACCGGAGGAGGGAAATGATGGGTCCATTCTCGTGTTATTTGCGGCTACGTAATTTCAGGTCATAGTGGAAACATAGTTTGTTCGTTTGATGAGGTAGTTTAAGGGGCCGTTAATCACTCAAGAGGAAGTTGAGCTTGTTGACTATATGGATGAAGGGGTAGAAAAAAAGAAAGGAATGAGATGATCCTTTTGGGAATGAGTAATTAGCGACTTTAGTACACAACTCAAATGTCTCTCCCTTTCTTGTCGGTTATGGTTGATGAGTGGTGACTTTGGCGTTTGTAAACGTTCTTTCTTTTGGTTATGTGATCGACGGACAATTTTATATGCATAAAGTGTTAGAAGATAGAAGGCAAAAAATATGATAACAAGATAAAGTTATATAAAGTGAACCACATATATAGCGTCCTCGACATTTATTTAGGGTTTTTTATATTCAGTTCTGTATTTATTGATCACACAACTCAGTATAACTTAATTTATTTATGAAATGATTCGTCATATCTATCCACCTCTAATAACAATGCTCTGCCTTCATGATATATCTGCATTACATATTTACATCCGAGCCCTTTTACTATGTTATAAAGTATTGATGCTTTAATGTACAACTTGAAATTGTACCATAACATTTAATGTATAAGTTCAAGTTTAATGTACAACCTATAGCACCAATACTATATAGTATTGTAAAATTCCTTATTTACATCCATGAGGTTGAGCATGAGATATGCTACCAACTTAGGGACAATAAATAAGAATGTGAACATAGTTCGATATTTCTTCTTTCAACTCTCATACTATAGAGAACTGTGTTTACATTTAATTTACAAATTGTGTTACCTCAATCAATGCAAGCAAATATAGAAATGCTTTTATGTATTGATATGTTGGTCCCAACCCAAGCGTGATCTCTATTTTCTAATGAAAGAGCTATCCACATAACCAGTGTTATTAAAGCCGAGCCGAGCCGCTCGGCCCGACAGGTAAAACCGCCACCCGGTCACAAAACCGGCTCGGAACAGTCTAAAAGCCGCTCCGGTTTTATGTAGCGGTTGGCGAGCGGCCGAGGCGGTTAACCGTTCGAGCCGATCGAGCCGCTCGTCCGGTTTTTGCCATTCAGCCACTAAATTTAATTAAAAAAATTGTAGAAATTTGAAAATTGAAATAAACCAAAAACGTCGGGCTCTTAAATTGAATCCTTATTTCCACTTCACAATTTCGAAGGAAAGAGATGAGCTCTGATTAAGAAATGTCCACTATTTATACTGATAACATTTATTAGATACCGGTTCTCTAACGATTTTTAAACGGTCTAATGCTGGTTGGACCGCTAAAGTGCGAGCTGTTCTTATTACCGGGTCATGCTCTGGTTCGGTTCTGACAACATTGCACATAACAGAACATTCTTTGACTTCGTTGTTTTCCTTTAGTTATCGAGCCATGCTGATGGGACACAAAAGGAAAGTCCTCCACCAAAGAATACAAGAAAGTCTGTTACCGCAACCACCCTAATTGAGAATGAAATTTAGGATACTTCTAATTGAGAATGGTTGACCAAGAGATCATGTATTCGAATTTTGGTGACCACAATTGTTAAGTACATTATATTCAGATTTGCAAAAACTTTAATCACATATAAGTTGGTTTTCGTTAGTGGGGAAGCATAGTAAACACTACATAGTACAAGGTCCATTATTAAATCTGTCCCAACAACTCGAGTTATTGATATACAAACGGTCTTGACAAATAACACTATTCAAAAGCAAATGTCTAACAAAATCGTGAATAATTATTTGATACATATAGAGTGATACTTTGACATATATTTAATCTATCAAGATTTTGTAAATATAAAACTATATCATGAACTATTTAAAAAGCTAACAAATCTATTTTATCGTATGTAATTTTTTTCTAAATGGACCCACCCTCGACAAAATTCTGAGACGAGCCATGCCCACGAGTGCATGGCTTCCCAAGTTACCGCCATTTCTCACTTCCACTAACTGCGGAGCCAAATGGGTTGGCTCATTAATTCTTGACATGTAGATCTAGAATAGGACAAGCAGTACTAAACCTTGTTCATATTCCGTACGTGGTTGTGTTCTTTAACGGTGACGATGATCGATGTTATTTGAGTTGAGTCGAATAGAACCTCATTGTATATATTTAGGCTCAAGCCCATTGATTCTGGTTGACGAAGTTGCAAAGTTCATGTCTAGGGCTCAATTTCCCTCTATCATCTTCATTGACCAAGTTAAGGGCCCAAAACTAATTGAGATTGTACATATGAGCCTCGACAAGGCAATAGAAACAACGTAATCTTAATCTTTACCAAAATAAACTTAATACATGTTCTTTTGGATGAAGCAATTAGATAGTAGAAATTGGAAAATATATAATGCTGCAGTTATTTTTATAAGGATAATATAGATTTGTTTTTATGTGGTTAGCTATTAAATAATATTCGAATTCTCAAGATTCAAAATACCACTAGACCCTGCAGATTCTTATTTTGCATATGCGGAGGTGCGGTTGTTGTGGAGGTGCGGTTGTTGTCCTACTTTGTAACCCTTATCTCTTGATTTTGGGATACTATCCTATTTTGGTTTGAAGTTGGCGTAATACACAATTTTGAAAAAAAAAATTAATAAAGACAATTATGAACGAATTTTGAAATTTCTGGACAATTTTACTTGGTTATTCTTTGTAGTATCACCAATATCTTAGGCTAGATGCACATATTGTATGGACTTCATGTGTTTTATTAAAATAATTATCATAACAAAAGTAATTCAATGTTGTCGTTGCTGCCACTCCAACAGCGGAGACCGTCGCCGGGTCCTTCATGAGCTATGGTGGCGCGGCAGTGCTCATGGCGGCAGCGAACTTGGGTCTCGTCCTCTTGGTGACAGAGCACCGAAAGATGCGGTGGTTGGTTGGTGAGGGAGCCCCTTCATGGTGAAGTTCAGCGGTGCGCTCCTCTCCCTCGTGATCTCGCTAGTCACAAATGACTATCTCAGCGAGAAGTCAGTGTCGGTCGCTATGTATGCTGGTTTCGCTGCCCTCTACGCGTTTGCCCTTTTCCGTCTTCTCTGATGCAAGTACGACCTCAACATCCAAAACACTGCTCTTGGATTAGCCGCCTCGAGGGTGCTTGGGGCTCGTAACTGGCTGGTGGGTTACGTCTTCGTACCTTGTGCCCTTGTCCTATACTGTCTGAGGTACTAGTTTGAGAGGTATTTTTTTGCACAAATGGAACGAGTTCGTTGTGCTCTACAAAATGAGATCCATTTTCAATATGTTTTTAAGAAAAAAATTCTTGCATGTCGTTACCAACTGCATACCATATGGTAACTTTTTCGTTTTTACGTCGTTTTTGAAATTTTTTGCAAAGAAGAAACGAGCTCATCATAATCTATTGGATCTACAAATTTCTGGATGAACAAAAATACAAAATACAAGACCAAAAAATACCACACAATACCACCCTGGTATGGGGTGGTATCTTGTGGTACACAATGTTGAAAGTCGTAAGTGACAGTTAGTATACTCCTACAATCATGTATTCAATGTCTTGGTATGTTCATACCACCATGGTAAGCTTTTTCATACCATATGATATGCTTTTATTGAATACCAGTCAATACCATATGGTATGTACTGGTAAAAAATGACACAATTTTTTTGTTCAAAAAATATATGAAAGTGGATATCATTTTGAAGAGCACAATTAATCTGATCTAACCGTGAAAATTTTTTTTTGACTTAAAACGAGTGAGAAATTCCGTTAAAAATTAAGGGGGGGGGGGGGAATTTAAAGTCTTTCCAAGAGAGAGAAGGGGCGCTGAAATGTTGACTTAAAACAAGAAGTATGAAATTTTTTTCTAAAAGAAATATTGAAAATGGATATCATTTTGTAGAGCACAACAAACTCATTCTATCTGCGCAAAAAAAATTGAAATCCGAATTTGAATGAAGAAGATATGATCCGATTAAAAAATAGGGAAAATAAAATATTTTTAATTCACAACCCTTAAATTAGAATGATCATCATATTTTTCCTAAAAACATATAAGAGATTTTATCTACTTAATCCAATATTAAAAAAAATCTAATTAAAGACAATATGTTTTTCAAGATAGTTATGATCTTACACATGATCTTAAGAATTTTGACCTATGTTGGATGATGATCGAAGATGTGAACATTAAATTGTTGAGTTCTTTAATCTAATACGATATGGATTCATAGATCTAAATTCAACAATATTACAAGATGCCCTTCTCTCACTCTGCGTTGCCTTATCTCTGAATGAGTTATCGATGGTTGGATATATAATAAAAAAAGTAAGTTTTGCCTAAAAATGAGTATGATTGGAAGTATGATGAAAAAAGTAAGTTTTGTATAAAATATATACAAAAAAGTTTTGATATAATAAATAGAAGTTATATTGAGATATAGTTGACCTTATTTTGATTTATAAAAAAAAACAACAAATACTAAAAAAGTTATAGTTACCAACCAATTGGAACAGAACGATGAAGACATACTAAAATAAGTTTAAATACAAAACATGATCGTGTCGTTCCTTAAGAACGCACAAAGTCCATGTTTGATGTTAAAGTGATGTTGGATTATGGTGTGTGGGTCCATGTATGTGGGATTATTTTGATGTCAAAATCAGTGGGGTTCACGGATTATAAAATCTCACATATTTAGTTGGAATTTTGTGGGAGGCTAAAATCCATGATGGTAAATGACGAGTTTATCCTCATCTCTTTTCAATATTTCCTATATTAAACATTAAGGACACAAATCATTAAGGGGTCGTTTGGATGTGGAAATGTAATGCAGTAATTGAACCCAATTACCATATAATGCAGTAATTGGACCATGGAAATTGGCTTCAATTACCACATTCATGGTAATTGAGAATACTACACCTCCCCCTAGTAATTTGACATTACCGCGTTTTAGTGGGTAACATGTAATTAAAAAGCTAGCAAGGTACCGCGCGGCCGTATTATATTCCATGACTGACAAATATGTAAGGATTTTTTATTCTCTACGAACACGCAAAAGATATCTTCTTCTAGTTCTATAAGTACGGTGGTTGAACTAGCCGAACCTAAGCTACAGTTAAAGGCAAACAAAAGAAAAGAGAGAGAGAGAGAGAGAGAGAGAGAGAGAGAGAGAGAGAGAGAGATCAAGTTACAGAAGCTAAGCTAGCCATGAACGGCAGGTCAAGCTCCGACGGAGGAGGAAGACGTTCCAACAGTGGCCACAGCAGTAGCGGAAGACGTTCCACAAAACTAAACAATATCCAAACGTGAATTTTTTTCAATTTCCACAAGTCAATTTCTTGGTTTTGTACAACATGGAAATTCAGACAAATTTCAACGTTTTAGAATTTCCACATCCAAACGACCCCTAAGGATACAAATGTAAATTCGACACATAATTGATAAAACCCATGGACACAAATCGAATATGAATCCAACAAGGAAACATGCACTTTTTAAAATCCAACACAAATCCAAAGTGACAAAATTCCACATAATCCTTAATCCATAAAATCCAAGGTTTTACCTAAATCCTTCATTTTTTAAATCTTACAAACAAACGACCTCTATGTTATTGTATGGAGCAAGAAGTCGTTCCTTAATAACACAAAACTCAATCAGCCATAGTTGTCTCTGTTGTTGTTTGGTCTATCTCGACTCTAATAAATTTTCAGGACACAACTTTGTCGTGTTTTTTATGGCAAAAATCCACCAAGCAGTTTTAATACACACTTATCAATAGATAAAGCACTTTCGAATTTAGAAAATATGAAACAAAATGGATAGTGTTTAGTTATATACAATCAACAGATAGGCAATTACAAGCACAACAAGGTGATAAGGCAAACAAAGTATGCTTACGTGTAACATAAAGCGTTTGTCTGATATTGGATACCATTAGGCGTGAAGTTATTCATATCAACAAGAACGTGGTAATGAGCAGGCCTACAAGTACCCTACAGGAGCAAATAAACCAGAATTTCAAATCTGAAAGTTATCAAAGAAAGGAAATGGAGTTCAAGTTTATATATATACACCTTATCAGCAGCATGGCTGTTGAGATAAAAATCAAACCCAGTACCGGGACAAATATCTGTAACAACTACCGTACCTTTAAGAAAAGAATTAATTTAACTTACATGCACAAAATGAAAAGTAGAAAATGATCCTAATATAAGCAATTTTCAAGACACAACTTTGTCGTGTTTTTTTATAGCAAAAATCCATAAAACAAGGATTACCATTTAAGATAAGCATGGTCATTATTATTGTCTAATTTTACTTGGTTATTCTTTATAGTCTCACCAATATCTTAGGCTAGATGCACTTATTGTATGTATTTCATGTGTTTTATTAAAATAATTATCATAACAAAAGTAATTCAATATTGTGTTAAAAATTATGAACATGTATTGAATGATTAATTGATATTTACTGATCATATTATTGAAATATTTTAGTTGAAAGGCACAACATATTTTTCCTAAAAACATATAAGAGCGTTTATCTACTTAATCTTATATGTTTTTAATATTTTCTATTGAAAGACAATATGTTTTTCAAAATGGTTACGACCTTAGACATGATCTTAAGAATTTTTGTCTATGTTGGATGATGATGAAAGATGTGAACACTAAATTCTTAGGTTCTTCAATCTAATATGATATGAATTCATAGACCTAACTTCAACAGGATTACAAGATGCCCTTCTCTCACTCTGTATTTCCCCCATCTCTGGATGAGTTATCGATAGTTGGAAATATGATTTAAAAAAGTAAGTTTTTGTTTAAAATGAGTTATTGATGATTGGAAGTATGATGAAAAAATTAAGTTTTTGTTTAAGAAATATGTAAAAAAGTTTGGTATAATATATAAAAGTAATAATGAGATAGTTGACCTCATGAGCAAAAAAAACAACAAATATTAAAAAATTATATTTACCAACCGATTAGAAAGGAGCCATGAAGACATATATGAAAAAAGTTTAAAGACAAGACATGAATGTTGCAAATATGAGTGAAGACCTTCAATTGGTTTCTTGCTTGACACCACAATCAAGGTGGTGTTGAACCCAAAATGAGAACCCGGATTACAAAACAATCATTCAAACCAACACAATCATACAAATTAAACTAATTAACAAATAAAAGAGAGAGAAAGAGGAGGAGTATAGCCCAGCAAGATGGAGGTGAACTCCAATCTCACCCCCAATCGGAGGAATTGTGAATAGTAGAAGGCAAACCCGTAGAACAGGACCATAACTAGAGCACCAAACCCTACTTCGTGCAATATCTTTGAGAAACACCGAGAAAATCATGTCACAAACTAGGATGAAAGTCTACAAACACTCCCGAGCAAACTTGAGCCGCCGCTTCCACTTGCAGCCAATGAAACCCAGAACTCGACATGAGACAACCACCAAAACAACGAATGCAAATGGTATCCAGGTTACTAGCTTCTTGCTGTCAAAGCGTCTATGAGAGAGCCTAATGATTTCTTCGGCAATAAAACCAACAAAAACGAGGGCAACAACGCTCATCGCACGGTAGTGGGTGTATTGCACACGCCTCAGTCTGAAAGCATGCTTCACAATGCCCATGGCCAAGCAAAATCAAAGAAAAAATCGAAACATGGACGAATTGGAGGACGGACGTACGAAAATCATAGATGGAAAGAAGCACAGAAGGAAGAACGTAAAGTGGGAAGGCAAGCTAACCTATTCCGCAACGATCGAACGGTGAAGGGAGAGAATAATTTCTCCGGGCGAATATAAGAGGGTGTATACTAAAGTGTGTTAGGGGTGAACAAAACAAACCGCAAACCGACCCACCCGTCCAACCCGATCTAACCCATCCGTATTTATTGTCAAAATTCAAGTTAAGGTTGTGTGAGGGTTTTCTTTTGTACAATCCGCCTCTATTGGGGTGGGTCAGGATTTTGGGTAACGCAACCCATTGAACCCGACCAAACCTGTGTTGAACTATTGTATTTTCATATTTTTCTCTTGTGGTTTCTCTAGTCTAATACATTCTTCAACTTAATATTGAGACGTATATTTAATATAAGCTATGATTCACGTAATCTATTTTCTTGTGTATGCAATTTTAGAAGAAGAATATATTATGAATATGTTAGCTTATAACTACTTTAGTTTACTTCGATAAATATTATGAAAAAAACTAGACATATGTTGAAGTAAATTGCATTTCATTAAAATCCAAACAATATTTATGCATATTGAAACTTTTTGGCTCCATTTATTTGTTTAAAATCTTAATTAGCTATATAATATTTTCGTAATGTATAATAGTTGCCTTTTTGTGTTCGGTTCGATATTTAATTAAAAGTATCTCCAACCTGGTCCAGCCCAATTATAAACAAACCATAAGATTTTAATTTTTTGGATTGGGTTGAATTTAACATTTTCAAAATTGTACTGTATGGATCGGATGGTTAAAATGACTATCACCGGACCAATGTACACCACTAGAGTGTGTAGTGACTAGTGAGTGTAGTCCCACCCGAGAACGGATTAGGTTAGTAACCTTATGGTCAGTAATCATGAGTAGGTCGTCCACATTAGCATGACATCAACATCTCTCTCCTGGAAAGTCTTTTATCTTTTCCACTTTAATCTTTAACGGACGATTTCTCTCTCGTTTTAAGTCAAAATTTAAATATTTTTGCACAGATAAATCAGATTAAATGTGCTCTTTAAAATTATATCTACTTTGATATATTTTTAGTACAAAAAAATTAAATAATTTTTTACCAGTCATTACCATATGGTATGCTGATATTTAATACCATATGGTAACAAAGCGTACCATGATGGTATGAACATACCATTATGGTAAGAAGGTTGAATACATGATAGTAGGAGTATACTAACTGTCATTTACGACTTTCAGAATTGTTTACCACAAGTTACCACCCACATACCATAGTGGTAAAGTATGGTAACTTTTGGTCCAGTATTGTTTCACCCAGAAATTTGTACATCCAATAGATCATGATGGACTCGTTCCTTCTGAGCAAACGTTTTAAAAAAACGACTTAAAAACGAAGAAGTTATCATATGGTATGTAGTTGGTAAAAAAAATCTCGAAATATATTGAAAATTGATCTCATTTTGTAGAGCACAACGAACTCGTTCCATGTGTGCAAAAAAATTTGAAATCCAAGTTAGAACGAAGAAGGTAAGAGCCGATTATGAAAACTAGGGAAAATAAAATGCCTTTAATCGACAACCCTTAGATCTATATTTTCTGGGCCCACTTAGATCTAAAGGTTCAGATTTAGTTACTCATAGGTCAGTAGCCAATGGTTACTGACCCTATCCTAAGTCGTCCGACCCGGCTCAAGATAGGGTGAGTAACTATGAGTAACCAAATCTGGACCCTTCTTTTAAGTGGCTGCAGATCTAAGGGTGGAGAATTAAAAGAATTTATTTTCCCTAGTTTTTTTGATTGGATCATATCTTCTTCATTCTAACTCGGATTTCAATTTTTTTGCACGGATGGAACGAGTTCGTTGTGCTCTACAAAATTATATCCATTTTCAATATTTTTTGAGAAAAAAATTTTCATACCTCTCGTTAAAATGAGTGAGAAATTGTCCTTTAAAGATTAAGGGAAGGAAAATTAAAGGTTTTCAATGAGAGAGAAGGAGGCGCTGATGTGGCGGATTCTTATTAAGTTATGCAAGGGGTTACTCACCTGATGGTTACTGACATGATATGGACCCGTCCCACCCTGCCTTGAGTTTTCGTCTCTCATTTTCCTCGCTAGTGATAAACCATTGATTGCACATGTTTTTACCCCTATTCTTGAGCCGTTTGAGATATTGATTCTCGTGTTTTAAGCCGATTTCACGCTAGGTTGTGTGTTTATTCCATATTTCAGGGCTTGGCATTGACATTGAGGTGAAGAAACGAGTTTCGGGTCGAAAGGAGCACATTTGAGTTGAAGTGTGCTGGAGGAGCAAAATACCCAGCCATGAGCAAAAATACCCGGTCGGGTATTAATTTGAGCAGACCGGGAAAAATCTCTTTTGGACGTTTGAGAAGCAGAAGGGGGCCCGGGCATTGAGCATAAATCACCGATCGGGTATTCTTGACCACGATCGGGGATTAATCCCCTTGTCCTCGATGGTGCATTTCAACAACCTCCGGTCGCCACCTAAAATACCCGACCGGGGATTATGACCGGGGATCGCGAACGCAGGCTGTTAAAAGCCTGTTTTGTGCGTTTTTGCAAGGGAGAGCTGGGTTTTGGATCCCAAACACCCAAGGGCCGAACCAAAGAGAGAGAGGGCGATTTGAGGGCATTCTTGGAGTGGAATTGGAGGATTTCTTCGCCTTGGAAGTTCGAGGAACAAGCCCGGACTTGAAGACTGATCATCTGAATATTCTTACTGCAGTCTCTCTCTTCTCTAAGGAGTAAATTCCCTTCACTTAGGTTTTGAGGAACCCTAGCTATGTTTGTTTGATTGGATGATTGTATGAGTACTCCTACTTGATAATCTTGAGTTCATATTCAATCTATGCATGTTTTCATGATTCAATTCTGCTTTAGTCGAGATTATTGATTCTGCTTTGATCCTATGAGAGCGAATACCTGATTAGGTCAATAGAGCACCATAGATTGATAGTATTGGATCGATTGCTTTAGTCGAGGGTCGATTCACTAGAGGGAATCTAGTTCAGAAAGCCTTGATCGGTTGTTCTAGAGTAGGATACGTCCCTCTAGGCAATCGACTCAAGAGGGCCTTGATCCTTTAGTCGATATTCAAGGTCTAGTCAAGGATTCTCCGCATTGTGAATGAAAGTCAAACAAGTTAGAAATCATCAATCATTAATCTGGCTAGTGGCTAGGGGGAATCATACCTATGTGAATTCCCAACCTGTAATTAGATTAACTTTAACAGTAGTTTGTTAGAGTAGTTTTAGTTCTTTCATCTTAATCTGGTTTGCTAGATAATAAACTGAAGCTGAGTAATAGTAACTCTAGAGACCCGTGGATTCGATATTTATTACTTAATCCACTACACTGCAGTCCTTTTCATTGATTACACTTGACCATTGTTAGGAGTTGTGTCATAGCGAGTAAGCTATTTTTCCTTTTTTCTTTTCTTTTCTTTTCCAACCGTTAGACAAGTGGCTATCCTTTTAGACACGCCACTACACCAGGCATAAAACAATCAAAATGATAAAATGACACAAAAAGTCGTTGTAATAATTTTAGGCATTTAGGCTCGTAAAACTAGAAAGACCTATTTCTTTTAGGATAATATAATTATTAGAAAGCTCCAACTTTTTAAAAATCCCAATTGTATTTTATAATTTTCACAGCTAAATTCTTAAACTAATATTATCAAAGATAGTTAGTAAATACTTGATTTAATACATGTATATGTACCCATATGTATTTTATCTGTTTAAAACTTTCGTATCCATATTATTATTAAGCCGTTTCATTTTTTTCCGTTCATTTGATGGCTCCCGTATTAAACACGTATAAAACCCGTATAACATGTTTAATATCCGTATTTAATGAATGAAACTGTTAAGTTTAGTATTATGTAGATATTTGTTTATTTTAAAATAATTAATTTTATATATTTATGACTATTGTTCAGAGTGTCGAATGCGCTGCTGCTGATGTGTTCCTCGAGGTGGCTCCTCTTCGAATGTCGTTGTTGCCTTCTTGTTCAGGGTGTGGATTGCGTTTCTGCTGCTGTGTACTGCGCGTTGGCGCCCCGTTGCTTTTGATTCCAGCTGGATGTCGCCCTGTTGGCGGTGTCTATGTTTTCGTTTCGAGTCCGAGTCCGTCTTGGAGTGTTCTATGTTGGCTTCTGTTTTGGCTTGGACTCGGGTTCTAATTTGTTTGTTGTTGGTGGGAGCAGGAGTCTCTCGGTGGGTCCAGCTCCTAGGTTCTTTTGTTTCATTTTTTCCAGGTTTTCGTCTCTGTTTGCTTTTCTGAAGCACGCACTTCTTGTGCAGCTGACTTCTTTGGTTTTGTTTGTTTTTTTGTTTGTTCCTTTGTTGGTTTTTTATAATAAAAGTTTCATCATTATAAAAAAAAAACACATTACCTAAGAGATGAAGTAAAATACCCGTACGTATTTTATGCGTAACTTTCCCGAAGCGTATTTTACTAACTATGTTATAAAAAAAAGTCACCGATTCGGTATATTGTATTTGAATTGTGATTCAAAAGTTCATACAAGAAAAATCGCCTACTGGTTTGAGCACTATATGTGATATTTAGATCAGACTCTTAATACGACACAGTTTCGCAACCACTGATATTAACCCTGTATTTTATCACTTTTTAATAACACTTGCCACTTTTTAATAGTTTTAAGGAGTGGCTAAATGACAAGCTTGGTCATTGAGTTCACCATTTCGTTTCACGTTTGTCACTAAAAATTTTAATTGTATTAGTAGTCACTAATTTCATATTTTCGACTGTGACTGGATCTCCCCCAGCACACACCTTATAGACATCCAAAAAATTTACAACTTTATTACATTACTAGTCACTTTCCGTACAACTCCATTATCTGTATCTTATATGGTATCATTTCTCGCGTTTCACCATTAAATTAGTGATATGTCAATCAAATAAAAAAATGTAGGGTCGTTTGGAAGTTGCGAATGTTAAATCGTTGCATTGTAATGAATCACCATGATATAAATGTATGTATTGATACAATGGATGCATTTTAACAATACATTGTTTGGTTGTTGAGATTCTATTTTATGCATTGATTTACATAAAATTACTTTTATGGGGAAATGTCACATTTACCCTCAACTTTTAGAATAAGACAAAAACTATTGGGGATATAAATGGAAAGAAAAGGTTGACACAAATCTAAAACCAACAATCAAACAATCTCAACTTTTAGTTGAGATTGTATAATGCATCATTTTTTGTGATTGTTGGTGGGACCTACCTAAAACAATGCATGCATTGTTTAACACTTTGGCACTTCCAAACATTGTATTGTGCATAATACATGTATTCAACAAACACAACTATAACAATCACAACTTCCAAACGACCCCGTAATTAATTTTACTTTTCCACTCCCTTTAGTAATACAGATTTTTTTCAAAATGTCTTCCATCAAAATATAATAATACAATTTAATTTTTTTTCTCCCGCCAACATATGCACTGCCTCCAACCGATTCTTCCTCCTTCACCCCATCTTATCGATTCCTTCATATATATAGTAAATACTTGTATACTCCAGTTGATTTTGCGACGTATTTCGTTGAGCTCCGACCAATCTCATGAATCAATTATTGATTTCTATTAAATTGTACTTCAGGTTTGGGTTAGAGAATCTGGGCGTGGAGTTTAGCCATTAGAGGATAGGGTATAATATCATAACTTAAACTCGATTAATTCATGGTCTCGAGTAATCGGCTCAGTCGCGGTACTTTTAGAGTTAATGCATTGTATGTATTTATTTTTGTGAGGGCACCGAAAAAGTCACATATATGTTTTGCTCTTTGACGAATAACATGTTAGGATAGCGTACGCCTGACGTATAACATTTGTATGAATTCACACATGTTAGATGTACTTTATATACTTTGACATATCAGAACAGTCGGTCTTATTTTTTATAAATATATCTTATGGTTTGGATTTAGATAATTATAAACCGAGATTCATTCATTACAGGTTAGAGTATGATATCATTCATCAAATTATATATATAAATAGAGAGAGATAGAGAGAGGGAGAGTGTGTGTTCTATCATACCCATTGTAAATTTGAGTGTAATGCATCGCTTTGGTAAGAAAATGCTATTTAGACTTTGAATTAAGTGGACTTTGCCATATGACACTCAGTGGCGGAGGTAGCATTTCAAATCACCCCTGTCCTCTTTTCATAACTTAAATATATAAGTATCTAATAAAAGAATTATTTAATAAAAAATAATTATATCAAAATAATTCATTCATAAATTAAAAATAATCAATTATACTATCATACTTTTCAGAAACAACTACGAAGGAATTTCATATAGTGAAAGAAGCGCAAAAACATTTGTTGTCTACACTATTATATAAGTCTCTTTCAATGTATCTTACTAAACAAGTATTAGCAAACTGGTCGCCAAATCGACTTGGAAACTTGTTCTTAATATAACTCAAAGCTGAAAATGCTCTTTTTACACTTGCAGTTGTAATTGGTGGATCAAAACTAGTGGGATTGCCGTTGTCGCTAGACAATTTCAGGGTTGTTGGGGAAAGATCGAATAGACAAAAGGTGAAAAGAGACCCGATTAGTTCTTTATTGCAATTGGAATTTCGTTTATTATATAATAAATTAATTTTATGTCAATTTTGGACAAGTAATGAGTTGTGTTGTAGTGACAAAGTACTCTAATACTACCTATACGTGTTGTGTTCCGTCACCAACATAAATAAATATGGCATACTTTTGTTCCACCGAAATTTACCCCTGTCCTGGGACAAGGCCAAAAGGCCCTGCATCCGCCACTGATGACACTATACCTTGACTATTAATAATTAAAATCTAGGATCTAATTCTCTAAAACTCATAAACTAAAATCAATTTATTTATAAACAATAATCAACATATAATTTGTTGAAATACATCCAACAAACTACATGCACCATCTTCGGATTTATGATTTAGAGTATTAGAGCCTATATATGTTACTTATTAACAGTTAGGGTACAGTATCATGTCTCAAAATTCGATTAAATGAATGTTTAGTGAACCATTTCTTACTCCTGCTATGGGGTTTGATGAAATATCATATACATTAATATAATTCGGTCTTCTATGTATTATGTGATTTGTGAAGCATAAATCAATAAGCAAATACAGAAAAATTTATCTCTAATCTTAACCCTCGTCTCTCACTCTCCATCTTCCTCGGTCTCTCTTTTCGATGATACCTTCCTCGTACTCATGAGTATTGATTACTTATCTATTACTAAACATAATAAGCATATATGGGCAGAATGCTAGGGGGGAGACTCAAGCTATGGTAATGGGAGTTACGTTACGTTGGTCCACTATAACGATGTGTAAGCAACTTAATTGGGTTGATGTCTATGCATGTAACGATTTCCATTTGCACAACCTATGGTAATCTAATGAGAAAGTGCAATTATAGAAAAGGCCCAAAAGAGAAGAGGACACACCCTCAAGTCAAGTGGAGCCTGGGCCCAAAAAGCGCATCAAAGAATGGGGCCTTCTGACGAATGTCTGCATGTGCTCGTGGCCAAGTCACCGGAGGCACGACGACGCCGTCATCGTCCGCTCCTTCCTTATAACTGTGAAGGGGGGGAATTTACCGTCACGGTTGAATCTGCTCTGCTCAATTCAACCAAAAAACAATACCACCTCTCGTTGGTCGTTCCCGTGACTTGCAGTAAATGGCCGATTCTTTAGCTTTATCTAGTATCTATGTAGTTACCATTGGGAAAGGCAATTTTGTCAAAGTCCATTCATGTAACGCAAAACTTTGATGTTGTCACCAACTAATTCCAAGACTTCAACGGATTAATTAGGGCAACCATCTATCTATCTAGCTTAATTAATTAGATGGTAAGCATTATGCACTCTTGTCTTCTTCCATTGTCAAAAACATGATGGAATGGAACCTGTACTAGATTTGTCCTTCTCTCTGATCATCATCAGATTCTAGTGGCCGGATTCACACGATGAAGGACATATATATATATATATATATATACTCATCCCGATGGGCTGCATCGAGGTGATCTTTAACCCTCCGACTCTAACAACTTACAAACAAGTTAGATAGCTAAAAACGTATGGAAAACTCTATCTCCCAACTAAATTCATATTCATTATCCCATCGTAACTTTTGTTCATTAATTTTTATAGAATATCTATCAGGGGACACAGGCAAAGTTATTAACTTATTATTAATATAATGGAATCTCTTCCAAATTACTAAATCCGACATGTGCCTAAACTAAATACTAAGTAAAAAAGTCACAATTAGTTCCACATCTTCACCTTATAATCATCTAGGGTTATAGGTATAATATGCCCCTCTACTATGTAGTTTTATCAAACATGCCCATTTACTATTTTTTACATCAAATATGCCCTTGTACTTTGGAAAAAATGATTAAACATGCCCTTCTGTTGAAATTTCCATTAAAAAAATCGTCAATCATGGTTGAACCGAGATGTAGACGACCCGACATTGGTAAATGAGAGGGAAAATGTCAGTTTTGTCCCCCATTTTATTTTTCTAGGTCTCGTTAAAGTGAAATTATTAGAGGTATTTGGCTCTACAAAAGAACCCAAAAATTCTAAAGTGAAATTACCAGGGATATTTTAGACATTTGTGTCGCCCAAACTAAGGTACGACCGTGGTTGACTGTTTTTGGATGAAAATATTAACAGAAGGGCATGTTTGATCATTTTTCTAAAGTACATGGGCATGTTTGATGTAAAAAATAGTACATGGGCATGTTTGATAAAACGACATAATAGAGAGGCATATTATACCTATAACCCAATCATCTACTATGAAAACGTAACAAATTTTCGTTTTTCATAAGCTGAAATTTTAATGTTTTTTTCTATTGGAAAACATGTGCATAAATACAAGTATCTTTGTATTAGATAAGAAGTCAGACAAACTTACCCCAAATTTCTGAAGTTGGAAACATCAACCCAAGCTTCAGTTCACTTCTTTAGCTTTCAATTTCTTAAACATCACACAAGCTTGCTTCTTAGCAACTGAAATGTTTCCAGCTTCAGAACTTTGGTCATCATATATGCTACTTGATGATCATGTGTGCCACATTGCTCTAGTTCTGTGACTCCTTTACTTATTTTGTTCCTTGTGTGTAGAGGTAAGAAATGTTACACAGTATAAAGATGGTTGGAGCAATAGTATGAAAACGGGAAGACAGATTATGTGCGAAACAACTTAATTATTAAACTGATAAAAAAAAACTCAATGACGCATAAAAAAAAAAACAGATGTTCGATTTGAAGTTTCTACCCAAAAAGAAAAAGAAGGAGCTTGAAGAGGATTCAAGCTCCTTATCACATTTGGTACAACAAGAGGCTTCATTATTCCCCCTTTGATCACATGACCAATTGTTGGCGTCCCTTTCTCATCTCCCCCATTGCCATTATCCAAAATCCAAGAACCCCCTCAAATGACAGATTTACACCCCATTGCCCACCCAATTCCCCAAAATCCCCAAACTCCATCTTCCCACCACAATCCAAGATAACAACACAATCCATCGCTCCCTCCAATCCCCTTCCTCCACGTCCCCATTCCCTCCATCCTCAGTTCCTCATCATCATTACTCCTTGATTTATCGTTTTATCATATTCCCTCCCACCAATAAAACAAAACACAGAAAGGGAAATAGTACCATTCATTGCTCCTCATGTCAAAATCCCCTTTTTCCCCTCCTCCCACCAAAAAGTTCCCACCTTTCTCCCTGACCCACCCCCATTTGCTCTGTTTTTGCCTCCCCTACTCTGCCTGGCCTCACTAGATACTGAAGAACATTGAGGAAGATCGAAGGAGGGGTGAAGAGATGAGCAGCAGAAGGAGATTTCCTTCAGCAAAAGCAATTGCAGCAGCTGCTTCGTCGGAGAAGCCGAGAAGCAAGAAGCCCAAGTACCTGTCGCTAAAGCTCCAGCTGAACCAAAACCCGACCCTAAAGGAGCTAGCTTTGGAATCCAACCACGCTACCCAGAAGAAGAAGAAAACGAAAATGGGTTCGCCTGTGGAAGAAACACATCATCAGCTGAACCTCTTCCCTCTTTACCCAGAAGCTGAAAACCCCAATGTCAGCGGCGGCGAGGAAGATCAGCAGCGGCGCATTCGGGAGGAAATTCATCAGGCGGATGATCACGTGGCGATTCTGTTGGAAACAGACGCCGCCGACACTTCAACGTCCCTCCACGGCCTCCTCGACAGCACTACTACTACTACGACGACGTCGGAGGAAGACCCAATTTCTCCAAATTACTCCATTTTCCCCGGAGCGGTTAAGGGGTTCGGCGAAGCGGCGCCGTTTGATCAGTGGCTGGTACGGGCGGCGATGCGGTCCAGGGAGAGGGACGCGAGCGAGGAGCGGTGGGTGAGCTACTGTGAAGTGGTGGAGGAGAGTCAGCCGAAGAAGAAGAAGAAAGCGACAAAGAGGAAGAGATTCGAGCAAGATGAGGTTAATAGCGGTGCCGGTGGCGATTTCTTGGTTCCGTCTGGATTTATTTCCGCCGACGCAGCAGATTTTGATCCGTTGGGAGTGGTGCTGATGGAGCAGCAGAGGGAGAGTAATGGGTTGTCGGCGGTGGTGGGATTGAAGCTTGATTATCAGGAGATCTTGGATGCTTGGTCCGATAAAGGGTCTCTCTACATAGACGGCGGCGAACCGCCGCCGCAGACCGTCCCTGATTTGCATGATACTTCGCCTCCTTCCAGCGTACGTGAGAAAAAATCCAATCTTTACTAAATTTACTAATGCCTTTTTTATGAACTGATTTTTTTTATATCTTTAATTGATTGACTGTCCTGGCTTTTATCTAAATATGGTTGGTGTTTTGGTTTGGCTGGGCATGTGATCATGTTAGACCAAGGTTTTTGGATAGAATATCTCCATCTTAATTCTCAGATTCAAGGTTTTTCTGGGTTTACATAACGAAATTAAGTATAATTTCGAAGCGTTTGCATACCAATTTAGTTCGATTCGGGACTAAATTAGAACAGATCATATGCCTACTCCTTTTCCTAATTGTTTAATGTGGGGTTGATATTTTATTATCAATTTACTTAATGCATAGAATAGAATGGTTAGGTCCATTGTGTGCTATTAAAAATTTTGGCCTTTTTGCTGACCCAAGATGGAGCTATTAGCCAGCTGGGGTAATGGGGCCATGGCTCCTCCTTGCAAGATGAATTGATTGGTTTCATTTTTATGTGCAAAGTGATTTTTTATAAGGTTTAGAATTGGAGTTCTTCAATCATTGGAGAAGGATCAAAGGGATTCATTCCCATGTGGTTTCTGAAGTTTTGGCCTTTTTGCTATGGTGATTACTACTTGAACAAGTTAGTGACACTTTTTGGTCAATTGGCAGGGCTCTGTGGAGTGTGGTGGGAATGTGGGCAACCTATGGAGAGTGCCTGACATGGGGAGCATGGAAATGGAGGAGAATGGAGGTGAAAAAGAATGGAAGCTTGGGCAGAGAGAAGCTAGTGTTTTGAGGTACAAGGAGAAGAGGCAGAACAGGCTCTTCTCTAAGCGGATTCGGTATGAGGTTAGGAAGCTCAATGCTGAGAAACGGCCCCGATTGAAGGTAACTAGTTACTTCCTCATCACTCCATCATTGTGCTTGCTTGCTGACTTTATATGTATGATCATAGTCCATTGTGTTTGAATTTTGATAATTTACCCTTCTATGATCGATTGGTTATGATTGAGGTCAATGGTGTTTGTTTCACATTGCTAATAGCAGAAGCTGAAACTTTAAGTGCAAGGGGAATGAGTTACAATTTCGTCGTAATAAATCATACTTTTAGCTAATGGACCATAAAATCCTTAATGCATAACACACTTGTATTAGGTAGAAGTCAGAATAACTTAAAACTTAAAAGCAGGAGGAGAACTTTCTGCAAAAGATAGCACCGTTCATTTTAAGAACAATGGTTGTGGAGTCTGAATATCTCATCCGTTACGAAAAATTTTCAGGGTCGATTTGTGAAGCGAATTGGCGAGTGATAGGAGTAGCATCGATCAACTCAAACTACTCTTGGGCATATTTCAGAATGTGTGATGATGAAGAAGAGCACCTGGTAGACATATCCTTTGTACAGTTTTTGTTCTAGCAATGCCACAAATTTGGTATGCAGAAATGAAAGATTACTACATAGGTTATGTAGAAGAAAGCTCCTGAGCCAGCTAACAGTGTTCTGCAGAAAAATGCAGTTTGTAGAATAAAGAACACCATGGCCAGAGTGTTTCAGAGTTTAGCCATCAAACTGTAAATCGGTCTGTTTCAGTTGCTGAGGCTTTTTTCTTTTTTAACTGAACCCTGCTGGAGTTAGCAAAGGGGCAGTTGATGAGTCTTTGGTTTTTATCTTGGCAGCAGGATGAGTCTTGTTTGTATATCAGCAGCACATGGAATTTTCAATCCAATGTGTATGGTCTGTATGCAGAACTCCTTATGCTTCTAATGTCTAATATTAATATTGATCGAGGAACCCGAATCTTTGTGAGTCCTTGAATACCCTCTAGAAGCACAAAACAAGCTCTGCAGTACGTACGAACAGTAAACACTAAACATGCTTCAGAATGTATGAACAATTAAAAAGAAATAGCAAAATACCCATGTGAAGAACTATGTTAGGCTCATTTCTGAGATTTTGAAAGGGAAGGTACAATCTTAAGATGACTTGCTGTAGTCCCATCCCAGCAATTAGTACCACAATCCCTCTTGCTGTGTCTTCTGGTAAGCAAACCAGTAATCTGTGGGCTTCTTTTCCAATTGGGGAAATGGGTGAACTGTAATCAATGTGTCCAAACCCAAGAAGCAAAACCAAAAACCTATTTTCAGGAAACGTCACGTTGATTGGTAGTTGGTTTGATGTTTGACATTTCTTATTTCCCCAATTCCAAGAAGAAGCTACAGCTTTTCTGTAACAAGAATTTGGGTACTTGTGCTCACCCTTCCTTTTCATTTACCTCAGTAGATGGCTGGATTGGTTGGCTTTCCTTGTCAATAAAGAACTTCAAATCTTGAGCTTTACCTGGCGAAATTAATCTCTGGAGAATCCCAAAGCCAAAGGCCTGAAACAGCAAAGGAGGTGGGGAAGATTGGTGAAAAGATTGAAGCTTTTCCAAGTTGTGGCCGCCAAAAAGATCTTAAATGGAGAACATGAACTCTCCAGTGGGTAAAATGATGGCTGTGTAATGTGTATGCCTGTGTGGTATAATCCAGCCATCTCCTCGCTTTCAAGTCAGGACATGTCAAACACATCATACAAAATAATGCATAAATCAAATTATAGATAACTGATCATTGTTGCCATTTAGTAAAAAGTTGCTCTCTAAAAGACCTAAAAGAATACACACCTTTGGCCTTCTTGATCCCTTGGAGATGTCATGTCACATGGAGTCGAGCTCAAGTGCCATCTATTGGTATCCGAATTATTGTGCTAGTTCCGCGCTCGTAATTCATCTATTGAATTGAATGACCATGACCGTAAATATTTAACTATGAAACACTCTTGTGATTGTGAGATTGTGGTCTCACTCATGATGGTGAAATGTAGTTTACAGTTTTTTTGGACAGGAAAAAAACAAAACAAATATAACCTTGAAACCATGTATTTCATTTTGTTACTCGACCAAAAGAGAGAAAAGTAAAAAAGAGGGTCTTAATCATAGTCACAAGCCAGAGCTGACTTTCATCAAAATAAGTACCACCAGGAATGACAAGAGCATAGGATGGGAATATGGAAACAGAAAGCTAGCTTGATCTGTCAAGAACTACAGGGAAAGAAGAAACTGAAGCTTATGAGAAGTAGGCCACATGGCCGAAGATATAAAGTCCAAAGTTTTTATATTACTGAATTCAGTCTCTCAAGCAGGAGAATAAACAAGAGATGAGTAGTACTAGTACTATATTCCTTGGTAGGCGAATGTTCCTAGCAAGGACACAACTTATAGGATATGAATATGAACATGGCAATGGCAACAAACATAATAAACTCCTGCATTCCCTTCCCTCTAATATTACTATCAAGAATACACACTCATAACTAGTACATGCCAAACGATATGTCTTGTAGTTAAACAGAACAGTAAGAAAGTAAGATGAACATAGCAAGTGGAATTCAATCTTATGGGAAACTAAAACCAACTCTACATGGAATGGAGATCAAACCAGAGAAATGATGATGATGATGATGCACACTTGGTGAGAGCTTAGTGGGTAACCATATATATTGTTGTATCGGCAGAAGAAAAGAGAGCACAAGAAGCTGCACAAACACAGGCCATTTCCCTGGGTATGCTCAGTTGTGCTCTCTATCTTCTGTCAATACATGGTATTAACGTTAACATCAAGTGTTAACCACCACTAGCAGCACCATGTGATCACCATCATCACCACCATAAACATGTAAAAGAAAGCAAGAAGAAAAAGGAGGTAGCCTCTCTGGCTTGATTGATCTCTGGACAAATAAAACTCCATCTCTCTCTGCTTCAGTATGAACTTGGTGAAGGAGAGCTTGGAAAAGGGGTAGTGTCGTGAATGGAGCAAAGGAAAGGTAGCCATGACTAGTGGTAAGGAAGAAAGTGTCTTTGAGGGGAAAACTTGGGTGAGGGTACTGAAAGGGATGGGGAGAAAAGAAATTATTATGAGAGAGCTAAAAAGAACAGAGAGCCTCTGCCTCTCCTTTCCTTCTTTTCCCTGTCCATTAACTATATTTGTTAGTTTGACACAAGTGGGTTGATGAACTCATTAGAATCTTGCATTAGCCAGCTGGTCACTAAAAAGAAAGGAGTTGGTACTTGGTTGGTACTTAAAGTTTAATTACCACTGAAATTTATATAGTTTAAACTTATCATTTCTCATTTTTAACTCAGTAAAATGGTTTGGTACCCATAAATCATTGCTGGGGAACTGTTATATAACTTTTTCCTCATATTTGAAATTGACATAAAAGCGTGTATTCATATGACCGAATAAGATAAAGATAAACAGTTTTCACCGGGACTTATCCATAGCCAAATCCCCCAACTCTCTCTCCCCTTTTTTTTTCTTTCTCTGACCTCTCTCTAAAGGTTCGCAGCTGAGTGGGCTGCTGTCGACGCCTCTCCGGCGACCGGCAGCAGCTCTCCGCCCCCAGTTCCATTTTCCCGGCTTTTTTCCTGCTTTTTCTTTCTTCTTCTGCTATTTCCAGCCATTGTGGCTTTGCTTTCATGCATGTGTCTCTCCCCCTTTGTGGATTGTGTTCCTTCCCCTGTATTGGGTTGATTTTTGTCCCTCTGTTCTGATGATTCAGATCTGGAGATGTTGATCTTTCTAAGATGCAAGGAGGCTAGATCTTATTCAGATATGGCTTGCCTTCTCCTTTCCATTCCATAGTCTACCTCCTTGCTCTCACCTTGCAGATCTTGGTGGTTCGGAGTTGCAGCCTTGGGCGACGGATGCGGATATGGAGAGATTGAAGACAGAAGATCGTCTCCCCTTTGTTTCCTCAGTCGGCCGACCGATCGTGTGTCTGAGGTCCCATGGTTTCGAGCGGCGGGAGGCAGACGGCCGATTGGCTCGGGGTGGTGTTGTTTGAAGACTTGTCTTCATCTTCCTGCCATCCGGGTTGGTGGAAACCCCTTCCTCGGTCTGACGGACGGTGGCGATGTCCTCGGCGAGTGACGGCGGCGCATGGAGTCGGCTGTGTGGCGGCGGCAGTTTTCGATCACGGCGGTGGGGATCCAGAGGGGGGCAATGGCGGCTAGGGTTGGAAGCTGGGAGATTGGTTTTGGTCCATGACTTTGGGCCCTATCGTGGTTCCGGGTTTTTGATGGGCCTTGTTTCTTTTCAGATTTTTAGCCCTTGTCTGTTTGTTGTGTGTATCTTTTCCTTTGGGCCCAGCCCATTGCATTCTTAATGAACCACTCTTTTCAAAAAAAAAAAAAAGATAAAGATAAACATTGCATATGGATCGCCCCAAGATTAGAAAACTAGTTTTGATCAGCAAAATGATCACTCGCTAATAAACATCATTAGTAGACATTTAAATAATATCAATGAAAATATGTATCGTTTCAATACTTATGAAACTCAAATATGCATGATCGGTCATCTTATCATATGTTCAAACAATAGATGGATGAGTTGGTATGTAGAACTAGATGCACATCTAGTTTTAAGGCCATCAAAGCTAATGAAATTGATTTCTCTCTGTCACAAAATTCGACAAATATGGGCTTATTTATTGATGGTTTAGTAGGCACATCCTATTTACATTGCTATCATTCCAGGCTACCTACCTTGTATGGTGAATTTAACTCACTCTAATTTTGGACCAAAAAGGGTTCTGTAGTCTGTTTACTTTAGCAGGAAACTAATATATTCTCAACATTTATTTATTGTATCTGGGTGGAATGTGACTTTCAAAGTGTTAAAAATACACCAAGCACTGTTGCAGTTGTTATCAAATACGTAATGGCTCTAAATGGGCCAATAAATGTGATCCCAAGTTCCCAACTACTAATTCTTCGTTTGAAGGACCATCAATCCATCATGAGGATGGCAAATATACAAGCTAGTGGCAAAAGACCGTACCTTTTAGTGACACAATTTCTGAAATATGTGAGATGGATGTTGTGAAAAAAATATGATAATGATTTATATTATTATACTTTAGTAGGATGAAGTTTTTGCTCTTCTAAAAAGATGAAACGTCATTTTCGAATTTGAATATCGTGATACAAAGAATGTTAGATGTTTTCAAAGTTTTGTACAAATTATACATGAAAATAAACGAAAAATAATTTTGAAATAAGAAAATCTCATGTTAAGTCTCACGATTCATTCTTTATATGAAAAATAGATAGATAGGTAAACTAAGCAGGTTATTTACACATGTATTGTTGCCTAATTAGGATGGCTTGATTGCAGCCCAGTGATTGTCAAGCCCAAGCTCTACCCACAGCAAAAGGCTTCCCATTGTCCAACGGGCTGAGGGGGCGAAGAAGCCCATTTCTGTCCAAAGGCTTCCCATGGATGTTGAATTTTTCAGAATGGTACTCCTTCAAGATTTTTGTGGAAGATAACAATGAAAATTATATAAAAATTAAATTTATGACATATATGAGTACATGGTACATGATGGGACAAGAACATATAAACACTGTTCATGACTTATTTCTATAAATTTTTCCTTTTCCATCGTATAACCTTTTTCTATGTCGTCAATGGTTTGGCACGGGCTAAAAATATTAAATATGTAATTATAGGTACAATTGTCACACATATTTAAGCGTGGCTCGTGGGATGGTTGGGTTGTTGAACCAAATTGCCCCCAACTGAGTTCATGTAAAGCACTCAAAATGAGTCCCCTAATCTCTGCCGACGGCTATAAACACTCTCTTTTTTCTATTAACAAAACATCTCCTTTTTCTTCGCTCTTCCGGAATCGGTATTGAAATGTGTGCTTTTTTTTTTACGTTGTTTACCTTAGTTACTGAGGGGTTCGGGAAAACCTATACGGGGTACCTTTTGGGTGTGGGATGCTCGTTTAACCTCTGTATTCATCTCGTTTCTTATTTACCTAGGTGCAATAGTCTCCTAATAATACTCAAAAGAGATTGTGCAAAAATATGTATATATCATTATTATTGCCAAAAAGTTTAGTCCAAGAAGCCAGCTCTTATGTGACCCAATTATCCTTTTCAAGTCATTATCATAGTTAATTATGTCGATGTGTACCCGTGGAATTACTATAGCCTTTGAAATGAAAACAATTGATCAATTTTCTTACTAACCGAACAAATTTTATATATAGGATGATGATAATGATGTTGAGGCAGACAGCCAGAATCAAACCATATTTTAGTATAATGTAAAGTAAAACCCTCACATATATAACTCATATAATATTTTTGGAAAGTGTAGAGAAAGATCCAAACTACATGACTTGGATCAGCATCAGCTTTACTCATAATAATAACTTTGTCAAGCTGGCAAAACCCAATTACATAGACAAAATAAACTAGTTAACTAAGTACACATAATTAGATCAAACTTTTTGGTTTATTATCAAAGTATGCATCATCAAGAGTAAAGACTAATCCTTTCTCATAGATGATCAATCGTACTACACGATGATAATACGAATTAATCTAGTAAAAGAGAAAGGGAGAGAAATATTGAAAAAGGAGATATAAACCCATCTTCAAAATGTTTATGGGTTCTCATTGGGGAGTGGTTGGTTAGTAGGTACTTAGTAGTGGTAATTAATCCATGTTTGTGTTTTCACTTTTCTTGATCAGTTAATTAATTATACACTAATGGTACGAGTACAAGATGGTAATGGTGAAGAAGAAGAAGAAGACAAGCCATGGAGGCGCCTCATGAGCTTCATCTCCTTGATGGCTGGATCTTCCAAAAGCAACACTTTGTCTTTGTCTCTAACCCCAACCATGTGGAGGAACTCACAATCCTCCCTCTCTTTCCCTTTGAACAACACCCTCTGCTCCTTTGGCTCCAAGTTTGTCACCATTGCCAACACCATCTTCAATTCCCCTGAAAAAACAACAAATTCACCGAATCGATCAGAGACACGACAACATCAGATGTCTGAAAGAACAAAATAGTTACAAACCAAACCAGTGATCTGGAGATGACTATAGTCTCTATAACAAAGGATGCTTGAGCAAGCACTACTTACCAAAGGTAGAAGTGGCTTCAATGGAGATGTCATGCCATTGAGAGACTGTCGAGACTCTGAGTGTGATTAGCTCCCCAATGGTGCTATGGTCATCACCATTTTGCCTCTTTTGGACCAGCATCCCTCCAGGCCTAACCTCCCATTTGATCTCACCAATGTAAGAGCTTGATGATGATGAACAAGAAAATGAAGAAGAAGTGGAGGAAGAAGATGATAGTGATGACGATGATGGGCTCTTTTGGTCATCAATACTGTTGTTTCTCTTGCTCCCACCAATTAGCTTGAAGCTGATCCCTTTGCAGAACTTCTTGGACTTCATCTTCAGCATCTTCATTGAAATTTCCCCCATCTCTCTCTTTTTCTCAGATTAGGCTTCTCTTCTTTCTCTCTATCTCTCTGTAAGGTGTGGATTGAGGAGGCAGAGGAAGAGGAAGGGTAGGGGAAAGTGTTGGAGGGAAGGTTGGTTATATAATGGCAGCAAGGAAACAGGAAATGGATATATATAAAGAAAAGTTTAACACACACTTTTCATTTGCAAGCCGTCCATTCGGCGTGGAGATAAAATTGTTGTTTAGAGTTCAGATGGTTGCTTTCTATTTTCCTATTTTTTTTTTACGATGAGTAACGCATAAATTTAGCTTATTCTATCATGTTCTTTATACATGATAGAAAAGCTAGCACATACTCACACACAACGTGTTAGTGATCATTAAAAAATTCTCTTCGTATGATAGGTTATAAGAATCAAATTCACTTTTGATTTATTCTATCAGAAGCTAATTAATCAAACAAATGATCAAAGAGCGAGACGAGTCTGATCATTTTGAGCCGCAACAATCTTATCTAATTCTAAACTAAACTATACATAAGTAATGCATCGTTAATTATCGGTTCGACCACGAGTCAATTGGGTCATAGAGAAAGACTAGTCTGATCGTAATCATATCATTGGACGATATTGTGACCACATGTGTCTATCATCATCAAGAAAGACGGTGACGTTTTAGAGATCGATCGAGCGACATCCAATTGTCCTCAACTCTAGTGTGAGGGTGAAGAAGAGGAGAGAGAGGGGAGGGAACAAATGAGATAGGGACACATGGGAGGAAGCATGGGACTATAGTGTCTTGTGCACATTTGATGGGAGAGGAAATGCACATGGGAAGATGGTGGAGGTTAGTACTACTCTAACTCTACTAACTGATTAGCTAGCTTAAATTAGTTCCTTTTTTAATGCTAACACGCTTTGCTTGATTAACGGGCCAAGCCAAACATTTTTGGACTTATGTATAACACATCTCCTATAATAGTCTCCTCAATAAGTGTTTATGAACCAAAGTCGATAATTAGAGGAACTATGTGCATATAATGTTCATATATATATGTGATCATTAGTTATGGCCACATAGATATACATACTAGTTTGCATGTTTCTGTTATGGCGATCATGTGGTCGGTTGGTTTGGTTTCGAAAATATGGTGTCCTTTGGCAATGGGAGGGTCTTTTTCTTTGATGCCTCAAATCGAGCAAAAGGGCAAAATCCAGCAAGCAACTCATTTATAAAAAAAAAGGCTGGCATTTTGATTGATGGGCAGGCTTGAAAATTTGCCTACTCTATCATCTCTACTTTTATGAATCTTTAGTAGTTAAAATTGATATTCCCCGATCCTAACTTTCCCTTTTCTACATTGCATGCGAGAGTCTCTTTTCTCCTTACTAGTAGTATAATAATAAGAATGTAGATAAGTAGTTATAACAACTCGGGTTGCGAGAATAGTTTGATTCGTTAAAAGTGCTATTGTGAGTCTTTTTCTTCATGGATTGGTCTTGGGTTCGAACTAGTTTATGAAATTATCAATTAAGATATGATGGTTCGAACTTCGTATAAATTAATAAGTAAAAGAGGATGCTTTGTTTGAAAGATTCTCATAACATTTCGAGTTATTAGCATAAATCAGTTGTTTGATGATACATGCATACATGAATGCATTTGTTGATTAACTCTATTTTTAACAAATTATTGATTTATAATTCATTCTTGGCCCTCTTTAATAGTTTTGAGTTTTATATTCGACGAACTTCTTTCTGACATGATACAAATAAATCATTCTAGTGCATCTCGATAATATTAATGGTCTATCCAAACGAGCTAGATTCACATGCAATACATTAATGTATTTCGCAACTTCAAACTCAATGAGCAAGATTTAAAACTCATCGTTGAGACTCGCCCAACCACACAAAACATAAATTGAGGCGTAATCTATTTTATGATATCCTTAATCACAATACGTGCGTATTCTATGACAGCCTTGCCTATTCGATTTTGTACTTAGTGGCATTCAACTGAAAGGAAACCCGCAATTTTGTAGGCTCTTTAGGGGCATCTTCCCCTCTAAAAATACTAACACATAGTTGCTAGGTGGCCCTTGTTTGTTGAGTCCACCATATAATAAGCGTTACTTAGCTCCCCCTTTTGTTCCATTGACCATAGTTAGTCTACAAAGCAAGACTGTATAATTTATTAATTGCGTGAAAAGGCGGGAAAATTGGGTTCTTAATTCATTTTTGTAAACCGAAGGATGGAATATTAGAATGAATGTTTATCAACTTTTTGGTGCTTTGACTAGTTAATTGGAAACCAAACAAAAGTGTTTTGTCTTTAGTCCTAACCCAACACCACCTTTCTCGATTATATGACGAATAAGCTAGGTTAGAAACAACAATAAGACATATACTTGAAACCTATTTGAATGAGGATGGAGGATATCGAGATTGGGAAGTCTTTATACTTTTTCATTATTTATAATTTCGAGGGTTCTGGCATTGATAACGATTGATCGAATTCCTGCTAGCTTTATCGACGTTTGTTCTTAGTTGCATCATAGAGCTATTGTAACTGTAATGAGAACTTAGTGAACAATTTGAATTTCGCAGGAGGGCAAGAGCGAGAGAGCTTCATGATAAAGAATTTGAGAATAGGAGGAAGATGATCGATGGAGATTGCTTTTGAGGATAGTCACTACAACAAAAACTAGTTTTTGCAACCAAAACCCTTACAACCAAATTAAAATTGGTTGCGAAAAGGCAACTATATACCACCAATTATATTTTGGTAACTAAAATATTAATAAATTAGTCGTCTATTAAAATCAAAGTATTGATAACCAAATAAAACTTGAGGAAACCAAATAATTTGGTAGCTAAAAGAATTTTACTATTTCCAACCAAAAAATTTGGTAGCAAAATCATCTTTACTTTTTCCAACAAAATAATTTGGTTGCAAATGCAATAAAAAGTTTCCTGCAACTAATTAATTTGGTTGTGACTGTATTGATGTTAAATAAAAATTAAGGTACTATATTTATCTACCCTTAAAATTTGGAACCTGCCGTGTTTAATTGCTCAAATGAATAACACGCTCTGCGCTCCAACTGTACTCTATTTTCCTCTCTCTCTCTCTCCCCTCCATCCCTTTCTACCGAGAGCCTAACTTCTACTCGTCCTTTTCTTCGTCTCCTCAATTCCCTGGATTCCCTCTGTGCTACTTTGAATTCATAGATACTAAGTAAAATCGATTCCCCAAATAAATTTCAGCTCCTCACTTTCCATCGAATTCTCCATTTATCAAACGATCTGTCGCGTCTTGAGTCCTTCGAAAAAATCATCGATGGACTCACCGCCTCCAGCAGTGGCGGCGATCTTCCTCCTTGTCGATCTGGAAGCAATCTAGCTTTGATTTGCTGAAGCTCTTCCTAACTCGGAACTTGCACCTCGGCTCCAATCCCTAGCCATGGAGTCAATCCCTCGCCAGATCAGATTTTGATCTCGAGTTCTATCGCCGCAATAGGCCGGATTTCATCTTCTCCTCTATGTTCTCCTCTTGGTTCGACAAGTAATCCCAACTATTCTACTCGTATTCGTGTGTAAGATTCGGACTCCTTTCAGATTTCGATTCATCCAAGTAATCCCAACTATTCTCCTCTATGTTCTCCTCTCTATTTCTCTCTTCACTGAGCTAGGTTTTTGGAATTTCAGTCAAAATTGGAGGTTGTTGGTAAATCTCCTCTACGCGGTGGCCGAACGCTTGAACGGGAGTTGGTGAAGATCACGGCAGTGTCGGACGATAGCAGAGGGGAAGTGAAGAGCATCTCCGACTAAAGTTCAGTGTCACGGCAACAGGCTTCAAACTCGTCGACTAAGCCGGGAGTCGCTAGGTTGCGAGCGAGAAGAGGCGCTGGCAGTGAGTTTTGCATTGAAGTTTTATAGGATGCCAGATGAAGTATGTCGACGGAGAACCTACTGACGAGCTGCTGCTGGATATATCCAGAGGTTGCCTTAGACGAAATCACGTCAAGGTACCGATCAGTTCTACCAGCTTTGAATTGATTCTTCTTTTGTTCGTTTTTCAACTTTCTTAGTTTCTAATTTCAATCTTTGCTCGACAACTGTTTGGGTAAACATTAGGGAGAGGGGTTCATGGAAGGAGATGTGCTCATATTCCCTTATTTGGTCAAGAATAAGTGAGTTGGGGTTCTATGGCAGGTGATGATGGCTAGCAGAGAGTATGTTACCTGTGGCTGGACTGTTTAAAGACAGTTCTTTGGGAAGATTGTTATGGAACTTATTAGTCGTTGATCTTTGACAAACCCCCAAAAAACAAACTGATGGATGTTGGTTAGTTTCTTCTTCTTTAATTTGCTAATAATATTGGTCTCTATATAGAACCACAACGTGCATTCCACTTTTATGGTTCATAGCAATTAAGCTATGAACATGGGAATTCTATACTGAATGAAGGTCCACTGTTTTGGCATTCTTGCAGGCAAAACGGGAAAAGATAAGCAAGAAAATGAAATGTTGACGCCTTTCCTGGTTGGTTTACATAGGTTGTTGGAGAAAAGGAGTTAGCACATTCAGTATGCTGTGTTGCTGGGTATATATTTGCATTTTTTATTTTGTATGATGGTAACCAGATGTGTATCTCTTGGGGATGGTAATATTATTTTCTGGGATGGATCTCTATGAGCTCTTTATTATCAATCTCACCCCTTCAGAGATGTCACTAGGAGACAATGGCAGATTGGTCATATGTATTTGGCATTTTCACTTTTGGGTAATCAATCGATCTAGAGCGTCAAATGTTGTCATAACTGGGAACCTAAATTGACAATGCTTAAATTCTGTATAATCTGAACGCCATCACTTTTGTTTCCCTTGTAGGAGCAGCCTAGATGGTTAGAAGTGGAGACTGTGAATGAGCTGTAAACCAAGGCCAGAAGTCAGCTCCCGTAAGCTCTCCTGGCAAGTGTTAATGTATAAGTACCAGAAAATATTGTAGCCTGACAAACTTCACTTAGCATTGAGTTACTGTAAGGACTTATAATGGCTGCCGCATTTCTAGGTTTGTTTGATTATGATGCTCTTCTCCCGAGGTAATAATACATCCTACAATAACATCTTTGCTTGAG